GAATAACGCCGATGCAAAGAACTTAAATAACTTTAACAAGAATAAAAACTTTAACAAGGACAAAGACTTTAACAAGAACTCTAATAAATCTAATAATATTTTTTTTAACCTAAATACTAATAAGAATAACTCTAAAAATAATGCTGCCTTTAATAAAGCATAATTAAAAACTATTAACTTATAGACTAATAGTTAGCCTAATACTACTTAAAAAGCAAAAACTCCAGGCTATCTTAATCACTTTTAAAAAGGGAAAAGGTTATTAATATTTTAGAGAAATTTATATAAAGCCGTGGATTAACAAAGTTTTTTAAAAGCAAAAACTATGCTAAATAAGCCTGCGGCCAAGAACTTGTTTATTAATAAGTAAAAAAATATTTAAAATATTAACATGTTATTTACCAGCGGTTAAAAATTATTAAATTTTTTTGCTTTTTAAGCGTTTACTAGCAGTTAGAAATTATTAAATCCTTTTACTAATAGTTAAAAATTATTAAATTTTTTTACTTCTTAAAACAGGCCTATTACCCCTTTATATAAACTTACTAGTATATTTAGTTTAGGCTTGCAGTAGGACTTAAGTTTTTACTTATAATAGCTAAAACTAGGCTTTATAATTTTTAGCAGGCAGTAACCCGTGCTAAGTTAACCTATTAAATAATAAAAAAATGCTTTAATTCCTCCTGCTATTTTAACTATAATAGTATTAGTAATTAAATAAAAAAGGTAAAGGCTTAAAAAAGTATTAAATTTTATTTTTACTAAATTTATTATTACTTAAAAGCTAGCTAACTAATAAATAACGCTAGTTCCTTAAATATTAGCATAAGTATTAAATTTTATTTTTACTAAATTTACTGCTGCCTAAAAGCTAGTTAATAAATAAATAACACTAGTCCCTTGGGTATTAGCACAGGTGTTTTTTAAAACCTTAAAGACTTTATTTACTTTTAATAAGCGCCTTATTAATAACTACCTAACTTTATTATTTTTACTCCAGCAAACATTGTTTAAAACTTTATTTATTATTTATTTAATTATATTATTCTTGCCCCAGCAAACCTTACTTAAAACCTTATTATTTTTACTTTAGTAAATATTACTTAAAACCTTATTATTCTTAGCCCGTGCTCCGGCTAGTAACCTTAATTTATTATTAATTAACTATAATATAATATTAAATATACTAAAAAAAAAATACCTTATTATTTATAAGGCTATATAAGTTTTTTTAAAAGCCTAAATACAAGCTTTACTAAAAGCCCAAAGGCATACTATTATTAATATAGCTTGCTAAATAAAGAATTAGGTCCTGAAGGTTTTTATAAATATACTATATTTAATATTAAAAAAATTAAAATAGGACTAAACTTAATGCCCAAGGTTTTTTATTATAACCCCTTATTATAATATAATATTTTTTCCGCTAAGTTCCTATTTTATTTATTTTTTATTTTTATTACTAGCTTATAAGTACTACTATTACTATTTTTATTTTAGTATTAGGGACTACCACTTTTGTTTTCCTGTAATTTTTTTACTTTAATTACTTTTAGGCCTTTAGTATTTTTTTTATTTTTTTTTACTTAAGCCTTGGGCTTTATTTTTCTTTATTTAAAGCTTTTTTTTTTTATTAATAAATAAGGGCATCCGCCTTTTTATACAGGGGACTTATTAATATTAGCTACTAATAGTAGCACCTAATAACCTAATACTACTATTAGCCACCGCCTTTAACCCCTCTTTTTTACCAGATTATACCTAGCCTTTAAGATAATCATTAATGAATTAATGAATCCTCTTTCAAAGCATCTCCCGATGACAAAAATACTAGCGGAGCGCCGCCGGTTAGCAGCTGTTAAAGTAAGAAAAACTTATTAAATTATTACCTATAACCTTGCTATATATTTTAAAGGCACCTATTAAATATAAGTTATACTAGTTATTGCTATTATTATTACCGCCTAAGAACTAATTAAAATTAAAGTTTTTAAACTTAAAGGGGGACGGGGGCAGAAAAAAGATTAGGAATGTTAAGAGCTTTTAAAGTTAATAAAAACATTATATTAAAGGGGTTTTATAATTATATTATAGTAAAAGTATAAGGGGCGGAAATAAGAATATTTTAAATTATTATAGTTATAGTAAGGCACTTTTTTTTTACTTGCTAGAAAGCTAGGGCAGCGCCTAAAAGGGCTTTTTTTTTAGCTATAATAAAAAAAAAGTGACTTTTTATTTAGTAAAAAGTTTAGTAAGTTTAGGAGTTTATAAAACTATAAACTATATTATAATTTATACTTTTATACCAGGCACTATTAAAGTGCCGCCTTTCCCCTTTTAATTATAAATAAATATTATATTTTATTTAAAGTACTATAAATAATAAGAATAAAATACTAAATTTAATATATTAAATAATACTTTAATAAAATTAAAAATAGTAATAATAAAGCTATGTTTAGTGTTAATATTAATAATAATAATAGTATTTTATTATTATTTTTTTTTAGTTTAGCGGCGGGTTGCGGATAACCCTTTAATTAAGGGAGAAAAAAATTATTAAGGCTAATATTTTTTTATTTAATATTACTAAAGCTAATTTATTATTAGTTTAAAGTTAGTACCTAAGCTTTAGCCTTAGGCCGCCAAGGCTTAGCATATTTTATTATTATATTAGGCTATATAACTTAACTAGGTTATTAATATTTAGGGTTTTAGCTATTAGTTAGGTAAGGCTAGGGTAAGCCCTAAGTATAGGTTAAAGTAAGGACTTATATATAAAGTATTTAAACCTATATTTACTTTTTAATTAAAAATAGCTTAAGCATAGCTTAAAGGTTTATAAAAATAGCCTTAAGGCTAGCCTTTTTTCTAGATTTTTAAGCAACTTTTTTAATATTATTTAATAGGGTTTAAAATACTCTATTTTTATTAGTTAGATTCCTTTGTCAATATTTTTATTATTAGTAGAGATCTTCAAGACTTGTTGGTCTTATAGTAATCTCTAGATCTAGTAGCTTAAGTAATTAAATAAGGTTATTTAAATTACTTTAAAAAACTAAATTAATATAAATTAAAGTTATTCCAGGATTAATTTCCTTTACTAGCCATGTTATAAACTTATAGGCCTAGTTTTTTATGGCTTCCTAAGTTTACTGGATAAAAATAAGCATGTTATATTAAAATTTTTAGTAAGTAATAATTAAAGTAATTAAGGTCTTAGTATTTTTATACTTAATAACCTAAAAAGCATGAAGTTCTTTTAACTGCCTAAGCGCTTTAGTAAAGTATAATATAATTTTTAAGGCCTTATTAAAGGTGGCTTTAATAAAGGGGCAAAATTTAATAAAAAGATTTTTAATAACTAGCTAAAGGCTATATAAATTATAAGGGATATAAAAAACATATTTTATACCTAGCTTTACTATAAAATAATCTTATATAATTATTATAGTATTATAAGTGTTAAAAAATAAAAAATTAATATAAAAAAAGTTAATACTAGCCTTATTCTTAGTAAAGTACTTTTTAATATAATTATATATTTAGTTAAAAACCTAATTTACATCCAGAGCTATATCCCCCGGTTTTTTAAGGTAGTAAAAAAAAAAGTTCTTATAAGTATTAAAATACATAGTTATTATCCGCTATTTATTAACTATAGTTATTTTATTAATAATAATATTAAAATAGCATGTTTTTAAGAGCTTTATAACTATAAGCTTTAAGATTTAAGTATAGCACTAGTTTAAAATTAGGCTAGTAATATTATAATAATCTAAAGCCTTTATATTAAAAAAAAAAAGAAGTTTTTAAAAATAAGGGTTATTAAAAAAAAAAAAGGCCGCGTGTTAATAAAAATAGCTATTTTAATAAGTTAATAAGCTTCTTGCTTAAGATTGCTATTAAAAAAAAAATTAATTAATTAAAAAAAAGGCCTAAAGGTATTAATTTAACTAAGGCAAGGTAGTTAGTGCACTTTTTTATAAGGTAGGTTTTTTATTAAATAAAGTTTTTAGCGCGTGTCCAGGTATAATATTTATATTTAATAATTATAATTTAAAAAAAGATTTTTAAAACGTGTTAAAAAATTTAAAAAAAATTATAAAAATATAAAAATACCTTCCTAATAATAGTAATATATATAAAATTTTTTTTTAGTAAAGGATTTTATAACCCAACTATATTAGTAAAGTTCTTTAATTTTTTAGTGGGGGTAGTAAAATTTTAATATTTAAAAATATATATTTTACTAAACACAAGGTGTGAATTATAAATATAGGCCTTTAGTATTTTTTTTATATAAGTAATTAAGAATTCCTGTATTTAATTAGCTAGCAAAAAAGCTAAGCGCTAAGCTATACTTTTATTAATTAGTTTAAACCCACTTTTATATCACGTGATTTATTACTTTGTTAGTAATAAATAAACCTTGGTTAGCAATTTTGGGTAAGGAATTATTCTTTACGGTAAATTGTACAACCCTAGCTGAGGGGACAACCTCTCCGATAATAATTCTACGGCGTGAAAGTAAGTATAGATCGGTAACCTGTATGTCGACTCTATTTGCATTTACTATCGCTACTGCTATCTCGTCTAGTATTTGGGACTGTGGTCTCTTCGGAGCTGGTCAAGTTTCCTAGCTCTATTTAAAACCAACTCTCTCGTTGCCTAGGCATCTGTGTACACCGCAAGGTGCTTCCCGAGCTTTGCTTTTGATCGGTTAATTTACCCCACGCGCCAAGTCTGATCATGGAAACCGGGACCCTTGGAGAGAAGCCGAGATCCCGAGACGTACGTCGTAAGACCAGATGGCCATGCGAATCGGATGCGCTCCGGGATTGCCTGTACGAGCGTGTAAGCCCCTTTAAATTATCAGATCGTGGGGTGTCAAGAATTCAGTGTCAGAAGACCAAGGGTCTAGGTCACTGGTAGGGATATCGTATTAAATATGCTATTGAGCGATTGTGCAATAGTATGCAATGTAGCGGTTGGAGAACCTAGCCCAGGCGGACTCCAGCTTGACCCTTCTGTCGTGCAGTTGCCCCGACGGCGTTGTTCATGCCGGTATGCTGACTGCTGTCAAGCGCACTCATGGCCTCGCGCTTCTTCTCCTCCTCGATCTTCTTCAGTCGCTTCTCGGTCTTCATCTTGCCGCTGCCCTTTCCGTGGAACTGGTGACTCAGGTGCTTGAACGCCTCTTTCTGATTCATCTGACGACCAAATTCGTCAATGTACTTGAGCTGTACATCGGGTTTGTACTCCTCATTGAACTTCGCTGCCAAATGCCGGGCTTCTTCCTGGTCACGCTTGGTGTTTTCTCGTCGTGCGTACTCTTCTCTTTCGCGTGCGGACATTCGGTCGAGTCTTCCTGAGGCGCGATCCCGCTCACGTTGCTGGCGCGCACGGCGTTCAGCTTCAGTTTCGAGGCGACTCTTCTCTGAAAGGAAACGGTTGCGGTCGCGGAGAAGAGCGTTGGATTCCGCAGCGTCTGTTGACTTCACTAGACCACGCTTCTTGAGCATACCCAACGTAGCACCCAGACCTTGCGACAGCGTAGCTTCCTCCTCTAGGCCAGTGCCAGTGATGGCCGCTTCAGCTTGTGACTCTTCGCGCTTGATGCGCTCTTGAAGATCATCCTCGTCCTCGATATCGTTGTAAGATCTGTCCATATCTACATCCCCGCCTTCAATTTGAGGCCTCTCATCGTCCGGCTCCTCGGTCTTCGCACGGGGGCTCTCGCCTGGCGTAGTTGTTCGACGCCTGGGCTCGGGCAGAACAGGTTTCTGTAGATTCGAAACAAACTCAGAAGTCTCATCGATTACTAGCCCGGGCTCTTCTTCCTCGACGTCCATCGGTGTTTGCGATCCCTCCTCTCTGAGCTGCCGTGCGATATCCTCCGGTCGTGATTTTTGCCGCTTCTTGAGCGCAGCTCGTCTTTGCCGAGTCAAGGAAGCCTGCAAATCATCATCATCCACAAATGAGATGTTCTCATCTATTATCTTGCGAGGTGCAGGCGCCTGTGCGCCGTTGACAGTGTCAATATCCATAGACGCGTCATTCGGCGTATCCGCAGATTCTGTGGTTGGAAAAATATCGTCATCGTCGAGAGCCGATCTCTTCTTGGTAGTTTTGGACTTCTTCTTCTTGGGCTTTTTTATTTTGATCTCGCTCACATCCATGTAGTCGGAAACAGGAGTTTCAGCCTCGAAGTCAAGGCTGATGATATTCCGTTTTAGCTTCTCGGAAACCTCTTGTCGCCGCGCCTCTTGTTCCTCCACAGTAGATCCCTTGGCGTCCAGTGTGAACCGTTTTCGTTTCTTGCCATCTATCTCCTCGTCGTATTGGGCCAATATCGTGGCATTCTCTTCAGTCGGATCGTACACCGGCTTCCGCTTCTTCAGCTCTATTCTCTCGGCAGCCTTTTCCCTGTCTCGCAAATCAATATTTTCCAGCTCGTCTCCCTCCTCTTCGTTTTCGTCAATCGTCGTGTCCTTGAGCGTAAGAACGTGGTCCTCCCCTCCACCAAAATCCCCAATCTCATGCCCAACCTTAATACCAGCAAGATCCGAAGCCGTATATTCCGCCACGCGCTGCCGCTCCTCCAGCTCCTCCGCTAGCTTGCGCGCGCGCTCCCTCTCGATCTTCTTCTGTTTCTTCTTTGCCTGTAGTAACCAAGTTTTCGTATCCACATCAGCATCCACGCTCTCGCCTAGTGTTGTCCCTTCCAGCTTGGCATTTCGCTGTGCTAACTCGCGCGCCCGCTTAATGGCTGCGTTTCGTTCTTCCCGCGTTTTCTTTGCTGCGGCTTCATCTTGTAACTTTTGCCAGTTGCCTGACGCTGCCGCCTCTCGAGTCTCGATCGTGCTCGCTGGTTCTTCGTCCGATGAGTCGTCGTTGGATTCCTTGAACGAAGGGCCTGTGGCATCGCCCCCAGGGACCGGTAGAGGCTTCAAGCCCAGAGCCGCGCGAATCTTGTTGTTCTGTTCAATAGAAATAGCGTCCGCCATGCTGCTAATCAAGCGATCTGCAATAGACGATGAGAGCCAAAACTGAACTGGGACTGGAGGGTTGTAGCAATAGTATGTCTGAAAGACTGTCGCCGGCGACAAGCCCGACAAGCAAGTTGCCCGCGCCTTATTACGTAAGGTTCACGTCTCGGTAAGGTTTAGCGCCAAATGATCGGTTAGCGTTGTCTAGCGCTTGTTATAAATTGCCCTGCGTCGCAATTTTTCTGATTCTTTTTTTTTCTCTTTTCTCTTCATGAACAGAACAAACAAAGATCTGTGTCTAGCGATCCTGATCGTGGGCAACTGCGTTTCGGTTGATTGCTGGACAGTTCGACGACCCAAGGAGGCACCCATTTTCTCGTTTGGTGTCCATGTTTTCCGGTCGACAGATCTCAGATTAAATGTTGACATCGGGTGGTTCACTTCGGTCTTGAGCTCCCTCTGGTGAGCTCGGCTGGAGTTCCTGGTGTCGACGGCGTCATATTCCTGTTCCCTTTACCGATCTGGCCGTCGGCCGATGAGGTTAGGGATAAACCATGGCTAGCCAACATTACTTTTCTAGATAGCTATCTTATTTTTAAAATAGTTCGTAGAACCCGAAAGACTGACATCCTAGCATTTGACTAGCAGTCCACGGTCTTCTAAACGCGCCGTTTATCAAGGTGACGAAAAGCAAGGGTATACAAAATTTGGTGCCCCAACTCCAAACACCTAACGTGCTTTGGTGACTAGCCGCGCATTGAAGCAAATGCCCATCATAGCAGCTTCAGATGGCCTGTGACAGTGTCGACCACGCTCTTTGGCCCTAAGATCCCAAGCACTGTCCTGCTGCCACTGGCGATCTGCGTGCGCCCAGCATCCTGGATAACCCGAGCACAAAGCCCAAGGCTGACGGCTTGCGCTTGCAACATTTGCATTTCCTCCTCCGATTTTATTTGCAGCGCAATCTTCGCCTGACCTTGTGACTCCCAACGGCGCAAAATCGTAGAGCTTGACGAATTCGTGACGAGATACTTGTAGCAGGCGAGGGTCGCGTGGGAGCACTGCGCGGCGATTTTGCCTGTAAAGAGAGAAATTAGAATTCGAACTGATACAGTACAAGTAAAACGCGACAGATGAGCAGGAAGAGTCCGTACCCTTCGTCATCCCCAAGTCCGTCCTCACAACGAGCACCAATTTCACCTCTTCTGTATTGTTCTCAAAGTTCGCCAGTTCGCTTCCATCACCTTCCTCTTCGTCGCTCTCCTCAATGTCATCATCTTCGCTATCGTCTTCTTCATCCGAAGAGCTTCTGTGCGGCTTCACATTGTAGCTGTTCGGCCAGCCTTCCTTCTCTTTAGTCGAGAACAGTCCCAGCGACGCTCCCTGGCCGATGAAGTAGCCGGTGATTCCCGCGACGATTGCAGTGGCGACGACGTATGTCGTTGTTGATGGAGCGACGCGGTCAAGATCTGTCATTTTGAAGTCTGAGTGGTATGTGTGGTGTGTTGAAGAGAAGAAACAATTTATTGGATCTTGTGCGGAGGATATGTATTTTGGGGTGGAGTCTTGGTCTATGAGACTATGACGGGTGGCCAAGGGAGCTCTTTCAATCCGTTCACGCATTCACCTAATTTACCCACCATAATATCGAGTTTCTGGTAGGTCTCAACCATCTCTAATTGTAAAAGGGGATATATCCAGAGCTTCAAGACATTTGTGTGACAACATCCCATCGATTCGCATAACATCCAGTACTGAGTACTGTTTACTGGCAAGGTCTAGAACTCAACGGGTTGGGTAAGAGTCCATGGGACCCAACAACAATTCTATGGAGATTGAAACCACAGCCATAGATAATGGAATAAGCCGTTTCTATGTGAATGATGACTCACCTTCCTTGAGGTGTTCTTTCTCTCATTATTGGAACAGCTCACCCACGACTTGTTCAGTGATACTGACTTGTCCAGCGAGAAAGATGCTAGAGATGCTTCCGGTTTGCTGTTGGTTTCCAATAGCGCTAAGGCACCCGTTGAGCGTATCATATATCGATATATATGAAACTACTGGCCGGAGGGTACTTGCTCTTTGCCGCACGATGGATAAACGCCCTGAACTTGCGGCCATGGTTGGGGGCGCCGGGTTGAAGGAGAGCCATCCGACCAGTAGTGACTTCAATTTGTGCCAGGCAGATGATGGAGACGACGACGAAGATAAAGAAGACGATTTGGAAGAAGGGAACAGACTCTTCCATTTGGATGACAATCAACGCAACAATCGGATTGACGAAAGCAAGTTCGAGATCACTGCTAACGATATCGAATGGGACAGTGGTTGTAGAACATTCGACTATGAAGAAATTGAGATGACTGCGGAAGACAGAATCCTGGAGACGCAGAGAAACTGTCTCGAACGGATCCAGAACTCGAACACACATGCGATGAGTTGGGTTCTGCTAATGCAACTATCGAACCTGACGTCCTTCCCGCTCATTGCTTATTACTACGCATTTGGAAGCATGGCCATGCACATTCGCCTCCTGATTCTCGAGGAACTGAACTTTACGATCGGAATCAGATACAAGGGCTACGGGGACCCAATCTGGGATGCAGCTTAGGACTGCTTGTCATCGTACGAGATTTCAGAGCACCATATGCCGCACGACACGGCTGCGATAATCAAGTTCGAAACCTAAACGCATCTACCGGATACCTTGTCGAACATAATGCGTCTGAACTGAAGCAGATGCACGAGCGACACAATGCAGATACACCTGAACACCTCGACGCCCTCTGCGGTCTTGAAGATTACGCTTATATGTGCCCAGAGCAGTATTGCAGTGCTCCTCTAGGATAAATTCGGATCTATGGTGTACTTCGATAAACTCAAAAATCTTTCGGTGCAACTGCAAGTCTTCCTGGGACGTCCCATGCAGGGCCATCAGTTTATAGATGTTCTGCCTCCACAGCTACAGCATCTGACCTGCTGTACCATAACTGTCCCCAGATTATGAACCCGCTTGGAAAGAAAAAGTCTATCTAACTCAGTTTGAGGAACTGGCGGCCGCAGCCGAGCATGATAACCCGAGACTTGCCTCACTGCAGTCAACGGCTAAGTCTCAAACTTTTTGTCGAACACGCGAGTGTGACCACCACGCAAATAAGGACCCTAGCTATGGACCTGGGATACAAGGCCTACCTAGAATCAAGCTTGGCTGTTCCTGAAGCTATCGGTCAAATCGTCTTTTGTTGAATGGCTGATACAGTCCATTTAGTTACGACATAGGTTCAAAGTTCGCACTAGGTGGCGCATGTCAACCCAAGGTATGCCCGTCAACTTGAAGGCAAATAAAAGCACGCTCTATCATTTCTTTTACCCGAGACGTTTCAAGGAAAATCAAAACAATACCACGAGGCCGGAGAAATAAAAATAACCAAAAGCCCCGACATGGTCTGATTATCAGAGCAGAAGGTATGCTAGATTCTAATGTTTACATCCCTCAATAATGGTATTGGAAAACAGAAAACGTTCATCACAGGGCGTTTAACGACGACCAGCAGGAGCTCCTGGGTTGCCAAGTCGACGGCTCCTGGCGTACACGTTAGTGCTATGATGATATTGGACCGATATAGCAGATAAACTCACATCATTGTCCGGCTGGCCATACTGATGACAATCATGAAAAGCCAGCTTGGAACAACTCCAAAGCCGTAGATAACGTAGCCCAGAGGTACAAGAAGGCCGTACTGAGCGAGCCAGCCGTCCGTCGGGTGGAATGCACCATCGTAGGCAGGCTTGTTCTCGTATGTCTTTTCGGAGTGAATCTTGTAGATGGTCTCGGGGGTTACGGTGGTCGAGTTCACGTAGACAATGTGTAGAGGAGTAGAGGGACGCTCCTCGGTGGCTTGAGCTTGGGGAACGTTGAAGTACCAGACGGACGGAGCGCCAGCAGACCAGGCGGAGCAGAGAAGTTGGTTAGATTCACAATCAAGGTAGCCAAGGTTAGGCGAAGTCGGGTCAGCAGCGAAAAGAAGAACAGATTGCTGTCAGAGTGGTAAGCCTTCATTCAATCCAGATAGACACCTCTGCTTCGTTGCAGTGCAGCTGGGCGCACTCACGTTGAATGCCTCCTCGGCTTTGCCGCAACGGCCGAAACAGGTCTTGTTACCGCCGGTGATGAAAACTAGCCAATCCTGTGCATCGGTGGCCGGCTCGAGCAGCGATTGCCAGTTGGTTGCGTTGAAAGGGGTAACGGTCTTTTCTTGGATGACCTTGACGGGGGCCTCAACCACCTTCTCGGCAACGGGAACGACGGGAGTCGCGGTGGGAAGATAGGACTTGGCCTTGTTGAACCAACCCTGGACACGGTCTGCGAGAGGGACCTGCTCCTCGGCCACAGCGAGCGCTGGGAGGAGGGCGAGAAGGGGGACGAAGCGCATGATGGCTGCAATAGGAGACACGTGGTAAGTATAGCTGTCAACCTGGATAACGATTTTTGATGGAAAACAAACCTGGGCTGATACTGTTTGGGTGACAGGCGCACTTTGGAGGATGGATTGATTCAGAGGGCCAAAGTACAGACAGCAGGCAGCTTAGGAACAGCAGGGAAGAGCTGGAGGCGACCAAATGAAGAGGCACGATGGATGGAACGCGACGGGACAGCTGGCCTAAACCCGAAATGGTCGGCCGCGATTCGCACTTGCAGCCGGGGAGCGGGGAACCTGACACCCTCTAAGTTATGGATCCCAACTAGTCTTCCAATGATTCTTGAAGCTTGCTAAGACAAGGTAAAAGGCAAGTTCTTCCTTTTCTTCTAGGATCAATGGCTTCTCAGACACCAACATCGCGTAATCGCCGTGAAACCGCCCCTCAACTTCATCATGCTGTGCCGATTATGTCATCTTGTTTGTTTGCTTTCCGACTGGACATCGAAGTAAGCTCCGATCAAACCGCAACCTCAGGAACTTCTTCAATGACTTGCGTACGATCTCCGAGACTTGAGATTATCATAATATCCTAGACAAGACTAGGCAAGATGTAGAAGGAGTGGGTTTGGCGTATTTGTCCACACGAGCATATTCGCCAGGTCGAAGACTCTGTGAAATTGGTACCTCATCTGGGTTAGGGTATCCGTATCTAGTGAGCTATCTATCGTCTGTTCAGACGTCCAGTTTACCCGGGAACTAGTATCCTGACAGGAACTGGCTGCTCATGACGACCATCCTAGATCTACAGACCCTTGGCGACACCTTCCCAGCTCTGATGGCTCCTTCCCTCGATCGTTGGCACCGCCAACACACACTTTGCGCCTGGAAGTCAGTGGTGACGCAGCATCCACGTTGAAGATATTCTCTTAAACCACTACATTGAAGTTGTACGGCTATCGATTTCCTGATTATCGCTTGATATCACTTCCATACATTTATAATGCGGCGCCGAGAGAATGGTGGTCATGGGCCCCTCTGCGACCTGATGATGCTCGCTTGCAGCGTCGCATGGCTGCCGAACTGCGCCCTTGGAGCTGTGGTGAGGAGAGGTATGAGCTTCGACTTCAGTTCGTACCCTGCCTCAGACAATTGATTAACAATCCTGACCACTCGTTTGTACATGCTCATAGGCGCTAGCCTGGCAAATGTTTCCGTTGCCAACCACAACGCCACTACCACGGCAAACACACCCAACCGCTTCGCGTCTGGTGATTTCCCTGTCTGCACCGACTTAGAGGGACCTTTTGTGCCATTCTGCCTCCCAGAAGATGGCGCGCATGTCCTGGTTGATACAACCTACTACGTGACGTGGAATGCTGATTTCTATCCTCTGAACGCTACCATCACGATCGAGCTGAGATACACCGACTCGCTGGAAGGGTCGTCTGCATTCACTTCTGACAAAACTGATAATAGCTATGGATACATTCCGCTTCATATGAGCAACGAGTGGCTCCAGGGCAAGCAGAACAATACGTTGGCTCTTTACATCATTGAGCTAGATTCTACACTGGACCGAAGAGCAAGTGTCCGCCAGGGCCCGACGATCACACTTAGCCCTAGACCCGTGGAGCACTACAAACCATCCCCGCCACCACGATTCAACAAGCTAGCGTTGTGCATCGGCCTTCCCGTGTCCTTCTTTGTTGTCCTTATCGTTGTAGTGGCCTTGGTCTACTCAATGCGGAAATCCAGGGAATCGATCGTGAAGAGCGGGTTCTGGACTCGAAAAAGGGGTTACGGAATCGGTAAATCCAGATCTCAGCGCCTAAAGAGCGATATAGAGGGCAGCAGTGACTCCGACGGCTCTGCGGCTTCGAAAAGGTACGCAAATGACCTTGAGACAGGGCTACTCGAAGGGACCGGAGCAGAGAGGTACAACCATGTTCGTGAACATAGTGGTAGCTATCCTGGCAGCTACCCATTTAGACGGGACGTGGCAAGGTTGAAGAGTTGGATTGGGTGAGTGAGCACGTAACCATGTACTCTCTGTTGCCATGACATGCTATGATATGAATAGGGCGGGGTTGCTAGTGCCAGTTCGAGTCATTGTTTATCTGGAAACGACCTACAACCATGGAGAGCTTCGATACATTCTTTGAGAGTCAGCACTGTGCGTCAAGAGCGTTCGCACCTCAATTGTGTAGGTAGTTCCTGCGCCAGTATTAGTATACTTATCTTCTGTCTATCCAATTTCGGGAAGTCCAGTTTGCAGGAAGTCCAGTTTGTGTTCGATTATTGTAACCGACATCCTGATACAATCTTGATTCTTCGGACGCCCTCCGGACTTTGATCAGGTAGCCCCGGACCGATTCCCGGGTTGACGGGATGATCTACAGCCTGCACGCTGGAGAGATCAATATGGCCTCCTATTGTCATTGAGACCAGCCAGCTCGGAGAGGAATGTCATTATTACTAGCTCTGCTAACAGCACAATTACTCGGTCCTGGGAGGTGTGACGTAGGCGATCTTGAGCAAGTCACTAGGTCATGCTAATCCTCATACTTCTAAAGAGATTCAACATTTGTAATGCGCAGCACTTGACCACAGCGACATTAATCATAAACAGCTTCAGTCGATGGGACTAGGCAATATATCTTGAGGTTGATTAGCAATCGTGGGGTTTTTAGACACTGATTATTGTTGTAGAAATTGGGTCGCTGGGGCAGGCGTAATAGATCTGGTAAATTGGTTACAGCAGCTTGCCGATGTCGGGCCCTAAGAGAGTGACCGGCAGCTTAAAAGGCACAAGATAATGTACCATTATCGGTTGCTAAATGATATCAGAGAAAACAAAATCGATAATTGCTACTAACAGCACTCATTATCAGTATGGACCTTGTGTGAAGTGGCAGACTCAAAGAAAGTCAGAGTATAGCTCTTCATACCCCAGGTATCCGCTCGTAACTGAGTGACGAGTATAAGCATGTCGCATGCGACACCGAAGGTTCAACCAATTCGGGGTGGCAGGAAGACCGCAAGTACTATAGAGTGCTCGATAAAGCAGTAATCAGCACGAGAACTCAGATTATTAATGGCTGCAAGGCCCAGAAGACCGGGGAAGAGATGGTCTATTTGACCTCGCCTCGAGTTCTGGCGAAGTGACGAACCTTGAAATGCAGGGTTCCCCACAGTGGAAAAATTCCAAGGGCGTGCTCGGCGGGCGAAATTTTTCTTCGTTGCCGCTGCATGGAGGAGTCATCATCACCTGTGCCTTTATTGGAGATCGTCCGCCTTGAATCCCCGCCCACTTTTCTTCCCTCCCAAGCCTATGACTCTTTTCTCTGTTTCTTTTCAACTGCAGAGCATATAAACACCTGGATTTGCCCCTTGACCTGACCGTCAGTATCATCCTCCTCTGCCACCTCTCGCCAACTCGCTCGAATTTAACTTGTCATTCAGTCCAGGTTCTCTCCCATATACATCGCATTGAATCTACCCCCACCATCTTCACACACAATGTGCCCTGGTGCAGACAACGAGCCCAATGGGCAAACAAATGGCGCCAATGGCCAGTCCAACGGTATGACTTTAAACGTGCGCTATCTACAGTATCCCAATGCTGATTTTCCTCAAGGATCCCACCCCGGCTTCACTGCTGTTCAGACCCGCCAAAACCCTCACCCTTCCCGCAACCCCTACGGCCACAACGTCGGCGTTACCGATTTCCTGAGCAATGTCTCCCGCTTCAAGATCATTGAGAGTACTCTGCGTGAGGGCGAGCAGTTCGCCAACGCCTTTTTCGACACCGAGAAGAAGATCGAGATCGCCAAGGCTCTGGACGACTTCGGGGTTGACTACGTGAGTCAAACCGAAAGAGCACACATTCAATTGCAGCCATTACTGACGGTTGCTTGCTGCAGATTGAGCTTACTAGCCCCTGTGCTTCCGAGCAGTCAAGGCTTGACTGCGAAGCCATCTGCAAGCTCGGCTTGAAGGCCAAGGTATGTTTGGACGAGGGCTAGCGTATACATAGTCTAATGAGTCAAAACAGATCCTTACTCACATTCGTTGCCACATGGACGACGCTCGCGTTGCTGTTGAGACCGGTGTTGACGGAGTGTAAGAGCTTCACATCTTTGCTGTCGGATTGGATACTAATCAGGTATACAGTGATGTCGTCATTGGTACTTCCTCTTATCTCCGTGAGCACTCTCACGGCAAGGACATGACCTACATCAAGAACACCGCCATCGAAGTCATCGAATTCGTCAAGTCCAAGGGCATTGAGATCCGATTCTCAAGCGAGGACTCCTTCCGCTCCGACCTCGTCGACCTGCTCTCCATCTACTCCGCCGTCGACCAAGTCGGTGTGAACCGTGTTGGTATTGCTGACACCGTTGGCTGCGCCTCTCCTCGCCAGGTTTACGAGCTCATCCGTGTCCTGAGAGGTGTCGTGAGCTGCGACATCGAGACCCACTTCCACAACGACACTGGATGCGCCATTGCCAACGCCTACTGTGCTCTGGAGGCTGGTGCCACTCACATCGATACCTCTGTTCTCGGTATCGGTGAGCGCAACGGTATCACCCCTCTTGGTGGTCTCATGGCCCGCATGATGGTTGCCGACCCTCAGTATGTCAAGAGCAAGTACAAGCTGGAGAAGCTCAAGGACATTGAGGACCTGGTCGCCGAGGCTGTTGAGGTCAACATTCCCTTCAATAACTACATCACTGGTTTCTGTGCTTTCACTCACAAGGCCGGTATCCATGCCAAGGCTATCCTGAATAACCCCAGCACCTACGAGATCATCAACCCCGCTGATTTCGGCATGTCAAGATACGTGCACTTTGCCTCGCGCCTGACAGGCTGGAACGCTATCAAGTCGCGTGCTCAACAGCTCAATGTTCACATGACTGACGACCAGTACAAGGAGTGCACAGCCAAGATCAAGGCTCTTGCTGACATCAGGCCTATTGCTATCGATGATGCGGACAGCATCATTCGTGCCTACTACCGCAACCTCAGCTCTGGCGAGAACAAGCCCCTTATGGACCTGACCGCTGATGAGCACGCTCAGTTCCTCGCCAAGGAGAAGGAGTTGACGGAGAGTGGTGCCGCCCTCTAAATGGGCGTTCCGTTTCCTACTTACGAAACGATCTATGCATATTTCGCTTTGCGCTGTGAATCATTCCAATTGGAATAAAGTGACCGTGATTTTTTTTAGAGCTTTGATCATATTCCCTGAGCGACTCCTTTTACGAAGTGAGACGTCGATTTTCTTTGTCTTTCATGATTTGGGTGTTATCTATGTCTGGGATATTTCAGTTTATCTTTGGGGTTAAAAGTGTTATTTGTCCCTGGACCAAAAGCAATGGAAGGGTAAGAGTGGACGGTGTTTGCGAGCTATGGTTCCTAAGTGAACCCTGTATATAAACAGGCCTCGGTGTTGAAGTCATATAAATGAGAAGGTCAGAGACAAATAGTACCATTATCATAGACTAGATACTGGAGCTCCATGACACATATAAGCCCCAATGGGCCAATTCCCCTTCCTTCTTGACAGTTGGTGCACCACTTTGCGGAGTTGTAGCCGAAATGTGATGGATCATACCGTAAGCCCCGGGCGACGTCACGGGCTTTCCTAATCTGATGAGCTGGTGGCATGTGGAACCTACAGCCGAGGCAAGTCTCGCGGTACCTCTGGGGTTTCGAGCGACCTAGAGCCCTGCCTTTCTTTTCGAGTTGATAGCTGCACTGTATCCAGTCTAGCAGGAAGCGTTAACTTGGAGAGGACTTGTCCTCCGGTGTGTTTCCCGAACTTGGCCCATCCAATTTCCCTGACCTCCGACATCCGAGTCACTTTCGCTTCACCTATTCCATCATCAGCATATCCTTATAATCGGGGTCGCACTCGCTTTTTTCCTACATTTCGTCCTTGTTGAGTGAGTAGGTGGAATTAACGGGATTACTGGAGGAAGGATGGCATCGTCCGTTGTGCCAGTCGCCTTGCAGAACAAACTGCTTGGCTACGGCAAAGCGCCCGGCGCCCAGCTGGCCCTGAACCTTGATCTGTAAGTAGGGGGACGTCTCGTGCTGTGAAGTGTTGAGTGTAGGTATCTGACAACATTTACGCACCCAGCTTTCGCAATATTGTATTCGTCTTATTCCTATTCCGCTATGTTCGAAAGACGTTTTACTCTTTGCGAGGCTACGGTATCTTCGGCAGCATCCGCAATGTCTACCTGGCGATTCGTTTATTCCTCTTCTCTATCTTTCTGCGCTTCCCCGGAGTTCGTGGACAGGTCGACAAACAAGTTACGACCGCGATTGAGGGTCTTGAATCGAAGCTCGTGGCAAGCGGTCCCGGGGTTACACGATACTTGACTTTGCCAAAGGAAGGATGGACTCCCGAGCAGATTCGTGCCGAGCTTGATAAGCTTGGGAATATGGAGCATACTAGATGGGAGGATGGTCGCGTTAGCGGTGCTGTGTACCATGGTGGAAAAGACCTGCTCAAAATCCAGGCCGAGGCCTTCGAACAATTCGGTGTCGCCAACCCTATCCACCCTGATGTTTTCCCTGGTGTTCGGAAGATGGAAGCCGAAGTTGTTGCGATGGTAAGAGACCCATTTAGAGAGTGGAGGTGCATACAGACAATTAATGAGCACGGTATAGGTCCTCGCAATGTTTCACGGCCCTTCTGATGGTGCTGGAGTAACGACCAGCGGCGGTACTGAATCCATTCTCATGGCTTGTTTGGCCGCACGTAACAAGGCGCGCGCTGAACAAGGCGTGACTGAACCCGAAATGTAAGTTCCCAGAAGCCCTGTGATGGTCTTTTGTTAAACTCTCCGAAGGATTATTCCCGACACTGCCCATGCTGCGTTCATTAAGGCCTCCAGTTACTTTGGTATTAAGCTACACCGCGTTCCATGCTCAGCACCGGAGCACAAGGTAGACATTGCTAAGGTGCGGCGACTGATTAACTCGAACACCGTCCTGCTTGTTGGCTCCGCTCCAAACTTCCCCCACGGTATCGTTGACGACATCCCCGCTCTATCCCGACTTGCCGTCCATTACAAAATCCCTCTTCACGTCGACTGCTGTTTGGGCTCGTTTGTTATTGCACTCTTGAAGAAAGCTGGCTTTCCATCGCCTTATGAAGAAGAGGGCGGCTTCGATTTCCGCCAACCAGGCGTGACCAGCATTAGTGTCGACACCCATAAGTACGGGTTTGCGCCCAAAGGTAATTCGGTCCTTTTGTACCGCAACAAGTCGTACCGCAGCCACCAATACTTCATTTACCCCGACTGGTCTGGCGGTGTCTATGCGTCTCCTTCCGTCGCTGGGTCACGGCCAGGTGCGCTAATCGCGGGCTGCTGGGCTAGTCTCATGAGCGTGGGCGAATCTGGCTATATCAAGAGCTGTCTAGATATTGTCAATGCCGCGAAGAAGTTCGAGTCAGCTATCAACGAGCACGAACGCCTCTCTCCTAGCCTACAGATCGTCGGACAACCTATGGTCAGTGTTATAGCATTCGAGAGCAAGAATGAGGCCATTGACATTTACGACATTGCCGATGACCTGTCGGCGAAGGGCTGGCATTTAAATGCTTTGCAAACTCCACCCGCGATGCATGTCGCTTTCACTATTCCAACCGCTGCTGCTGTTGAAACGCTTATTTCTGACCTAGTCGCGGTTGTCGAGAAGGAATTGGAAAAGGCTGAGGAGCGGAAGCGACAAGGCAAATCGTATGTCGTCAAACGCGGCGACACTTCTGCCCTGTATGGCGTGGCTGGAAGTATGCCGGATAAGAGCATCGTCAGCCGCCTCGCAGAAGGCTTCCTAGACACACTGTACAAAGCTTAGAAGGATCCTTGACGTTTGCTCAAAACGTTGTCTGTTAATATGCATGCTCGAATCAGGGCTTTCTGCAACGCACAGCCCTAATCAGCCCTCAACATAAGGGAACCCGGTGTTTTGGTGTTTGTATTGATATCCCGTAGCCTCATCGGCTTTCCAAGATTATTTTTACCATGCTGTTAGAGAATACCAGTATCCATAATGTTCGAATGTTCAAACCTCCAAAGATCAAAAGATGATAGACATATAGTACAGTGATATAAGTAACATCGCTCAATGCAACCAGAGTAGCCGGCATTAATGTCGCCCTGTCTCATCTCGACCTTCCCTACATGCGACTGGAAACGATCTCCCAGTTGACCAGTATCATCGATGGTCGCAACCCAACTCCGTGGAAACCCGATTGAGAAAAATGATTTATACACGCAAATGAAGAAAAAAGCAGATGAAGTCGCACAACCGTCCATATCACACAAGCCAAAGATGATGCCAGAAGTCCTCTCTACTCGCCCCTCTTCTCAGCCCACTCCATCGCCTGCGTCCTCTCGACATAGTACCCCGGATCAGGCTTGCGCTCCAGGTGGATCTCTTGTTTCGTCAACTTCTTGTCGACCTCCTGCACCTCGACCAGTTCCTTTACTTTCATGATCTGACCGGCTACCGATTGAGAGACGGGGTGGAAGACGGTTCCCATGCGCTTCTTCAGGCCGAGGGCTTTGAGTACGTCTGTTGTCCGGCGCGGCAGACCGATGGCGGAGCGGACGAGGGTGATACGGAAGTAGCTCATTCTGACTGCTTCTTGATTTGAGGCCTATTATTTCTTGATTCAACGAGGAACGGAGCAGTCGTTTGGCAGTTTCAAGCGCGGAGTGGGAAATAGCGGGCTTTGACTGGAAGTGGTGGGTGTGTTCGTGGCAGGCAGGTCACTGGCGGGTGGATGATAGGTACAGGGCGCAATTGGTTTCTGCTCTGTAGGGTTGACAGCAAAGTGAGCTTGTAATATTTGGTATTTCGCCGTTAATCGGTCAAGATAAAGCTAAACTGTTCGCCGGAAATTTTGATTTCCACGATCTATCACGACTCGGGCGGAGAGTCACGTGAAGTGGCATACTGCCGGCCGCAGCTTGCCTGGAGACACGCAGCTCATGCTAACAGCTCTCCATGAGAACAATGATTGATTGGGGCCTTCTACGCTACTGACTGTCTCTACAACCTGCCGGTATAATATCCGACCAAGATGGCACAAGTGGGCGATGCCGACAGAGCGGTGGCTATGCCCCGGTTAGAGGACCTCCTCCGACACCCCGAGGACCTCGACAAGATCAATGGACTGAAAGCCGAATACACTCGAAAGAAAGCAGCAGTCGATGCACAGCTACGTGAAGGCCTCCGGGAACAATTAGCATCTGTACAGAGAAGCCTCAGCGCTCTCACAGAAGGTCAGCGCCAAGTATCGAAGACGAGGGATGAGCTCCAGGGCATCGACAGGCTATGCGCCGAGTCGCAGAACAGCGTGGACGACTTCTCGCGAATCGACCAACTCGCCAAAATCCAGCGCAACTTTGAGGCGACCTTGACTATGAAGAGGGGGTTGGAGAACTTTAGCACTGATTTAGCTGAGATCGAAGAGCTGCTGAGGGAGGATGACGAGGATCTTGAGAACCAGCCCAATCTTCTGCGGGCGCATATGCGGATATCCCGACTGCGGGACTTTCGGGACGAAGCGATGGATCAGGTTCGCCGGGCGCAGGACGCGAGTAACGAGGCTACCCTGGATGAATACTTTGAGGGGCTGGATGCTGTGATTGACTGGTTTGATGATCATCTGGGAACGCTGTGTATGAACCTCATTCCACTGGTGCAGAGTGACAACCCGAGCATGGTGGTTCGACTTGCGGTTGTCGTGATGAACGAGGAGAAGAATGATGAGACGGTTAGGGCTTTACAGGAGGCGCAGAAGGACCACCAAGATTTAGCCGGGCGGTTCAAGTCGATGAACGTTGGCCCTAAGACAGTCAGGGGGTACAAGGAGAAGTTCATACAAGCGATCGAGTTCTATGCTCAAAATCAGTTCGAGGAAACTAAAGCGAATTTCCTGGATGACCCCGACGGCCTGGAGAAAAGTTTCCGATGGTTCTTTAACGATCTATTCGTTGTCCAGCAAGGCATGCAGTCGCTGATGCCAAAGAAGTGGAAGATCTTCAAGACCTACACTGATATCTACCACCGCATGATGCACGATGTTCTTATTGAGTTGATCAACGATCCCGAACTACCAGCTGACAATTTGCTTGCGATCCTCCACTGGAGGGAGAAGTACTACAAAAAGATGAAGAAGCTTGGTTGGCAAGCGTCCGATCTCGAGCTCGATATTCTAGATAATCGCGAACCTGAGCTCATTCGCCAGTGGCAGAATGTCATCATCAACGCGGTCGAAGAATGGATGGATAAAATCTGGGAGACGGACCGAAAGGCACTTACGGAGCGGATACCCGACTCACTTGATACTACAACAGACGGCTGCTTCCGCACCCAAACTCTTCCAGACATGTGGCGGATGCTGCACGAGCAGGTCACCGTGTCCAGTTCTTCGTCGCGCCCTGATCTCCTGGAGGGCATCATGGATGCGATGTTCCGAGCGCTGAAGGCTCGCCAAGCTGCATGGCAGACTCTCCTCGAAGAAGAATGTGCCAAGTACAAGGCTCCTGGTGGCGAGCAACTTGACGGATTGCAAATACTGCAAGACTGGCTGATAGCTGTAGCCAACGATCAGATCGCCTGTATTGACGACAACGACGAAACAGGTCAATATGGACACTTGACGCGGTTCCGACGTGACATCGAACAGTATGTGGACCCGAAATACATGGCGTCCCGTGCAATCCCCGAGCTAGACGCTCTACGAGATGGCTACGTCGATCTGAGCACGTACTGTCTTTCTCAATTTGTGGAGGTTATCTTCGCCGTCGACCTCCGGAGCACGATCCGCGATTTCTTCACCCAGAAATGGTATGGAGATTTCGCCGCGAAGCGAATTACCTCTACATTCGACGATTACATGGCCGATTATTCCCCCGTCCTTCATCCCTCACTCACAGAAATCCTGGTCGAAGAATTATCGGATGAACTCCTAATTCGATACCTTTCATCGGTCCGCAACAAGGGCGTTAAATTCCGCCGACAAACAGACCCCTACACCGACAAATTCAAGGACGATGTCCTCACAATCTTCGCCTTCTTCCAGAAATACCCAGATTCCTTTGCAGGCACAATCAAGCAGAAGTGGCGACTTGTCGACTGGCTGGTCCGGCTTCTTGAGGCTGAGAAAGGCCCGGCTGTGGTCAATGTCTATGAAGATTTCAAGACTGAGTATTGGGACCTGCAGCTCTCATGGGTTGAGACAGTCCTTAGGACGAGGGATGACTTTGAACGGAGCATGATTACTGCTGTCAAGGCTAAGGCGGCTGAGTTGTCTGTTGAACGGGGAATGGAGACGCTTATGAGTAGGATACGCTGATCTTGCTGTGGCTGTGTTTATACGTTGTATCTTTAGCGCGGCGTTTGGAGTTGCATAGCAGGCACTTGGAGATGCCACTGTATAGTTTACGGCCTATCGTCTACCAATTTACTTATATGATACCAATCATGCTGCTACACCAACACCCGACTCACTCCCCCCTGCTATTCCTTGCCCGTCGATCGCTTGAACATCCAAGCTTCTCTCCGCAACGACTGTGTACTTCTCCCCCAGCCTAGCGTTCATCCCGCTCTCATCAGCTGCTGGGACGAGCTTTTTTGCGCCCATTTCGCAAATGCAGACTCCTTCAATAGGGATGTTCTTCGCCCAGACAAACGGGTAACCTGAATTCTCCCCATTATCCGATGCAGGCTGGGTCTCTTCGTTACCTTTCTGCACACCCGCCTCTGAGTATTCCTCTGTTTGGATATCCTCTCTGCTAATGCCACGAACAGTCTCCAAATCAGCATGGGACTGAGATTGGCCAATAACCCCACCACCTGACCGCGGAATTGTCCTAGCACTATCAAGATAGAAGTTCATATAATGTGAGAGGATATCCCGCGCATCGAATGTGTAGCGCTCAGGACGAGTGTTCTTCTTTTGCTTATCTTGGCCGCCGCGAGTGTTCCGCCTCCTTCCCTTAATGTAGATTGTGTTCACGATTGTGGCGTGTAAGAGAAGCCGGCGAGGTTTAAGCTTTACCTCTGTTTTATGATTGGCGGATGTACTAGGCCCAGGGTCCGGATGGTCTTGGGCTGGCTGAGTCTGGTCTTTGTTTTGTGCTCCCGTCTTTTGCTTCTTTTGCTTCTGGTTAGGGTCATCTCTATACTCCCCTTGCAGGAACCCAGCTTCTAGAAACTTGTCCCGTAATGCCTCACAGAACGGGTAGAGACGAGACGTGGGATCAACAGGCGTGGCGTGTAGGACCGTCGCCGCGCGTGCCCGCGGAAGAACATGCATGGATTCCAACGAGATATTGAACGGTTGGGGAGTGCGAGGCTCTCCATGAAAGGGTTCATTTGATAGGGCTGGTTCAAGAGTTTCTCTTGTCAACAAGACAGTATCAGGTGCTGACCCTATCTCTTGCTTGGCATTTTGCTTTGATTCTTGAGGCAGAGGGTCTCTCTTTCCAGGCCAGGTATGTGGTCGCTTCCGCGAAGCATTCTCCTGCGCTTTGCACAATAACGCGACCAGGTCCAAAGAGTGGAAGAGCCGCAGTGCTTCATCAAGGCGCTCAGGGGTAGGGAGACTCATGACTCCCAAAGTGAGGTGGAGTGTGCCAACAGGGCGTATAGCATCTTCCGGAATAAGCGGGCGATGCGGTTGCCGTTGATCGCCTTGTTGCCCTTCGTCTGGAGTTGGGGATATGGTGGATGGAATCGAAGCTTTAAATGTGGCTAGAGAGGACTCTAGCTGGGGGAGGGAGACAGAATTGATGAGAGGTAGACAAAGGAAGTGTGTTAGAGGTGGTCGCTTTGGTTTGGGGTTGTTGGATGGTCTAGAGCTCTTGTGCTGCTTGTTGAGCGTGTCCTCGGCCATGATTGCTGCGGTTCTAGATGACGTGGTGTATGTGCGAAGAATAGGAGGACTTATCAGAGACAGGCGCCTCATTCTTGTATCTCAGGAAGACCGAAGGAGTGAGGTTCTGAGAGCTACTACGGAGTATAGAGCCAAAAGCTTGGCGTGATCGGCAATGATTTAATGCTTTTTTAGTGCGCCGTGATGCCATCGATTGCTTTCTCCGCTTCTCCTCCCCAGCTCTCGGCTCAGCTTAGGCTCTCCATTTGCCCTGCATCTAGACTACAACTACACCAACTAACCAGTCCACCGAATCAATTCATCTCGTTCGCCCACCATGCTCACCCGCCGCACATCCCGCGCCCTTCTCTCTTCCACCCCCTCCAGCCTGGGGCTCCGCAGACTTGCAGTCGCAGGCCCCTCCGCCTCGAACCTTCGCTTCCCAAGCTCAACGAAGTCTATTCCCCAGGGCGCCCCGCGTCGGGGCTTCAATTCAACGCCAGCGATTCGCAAAGGCATTACCCCTGGCTCGTCCGACCCGCCCGCGCCGCACCCAGAGTCCTCCGTGCGAGTCTCGGAGCCCTCGCCGTTATCGAACCACCAGTACCACGAGCACTCTGATCACTACTTGCATGTCGTACAAGCTAAAATCGAGGAGTTGGAGGAGGACAGACCGGATATTGAGACTGACCTTGGCGTGAGTCAACCTTTATGCCTACTTTATCTATCCTGCTGCTTTCGCGCGCTCCTCTTTGTGCTCTTCTGGAGTAGTACGCAATGCAGTGCGATACGCGCAGAAACAGAACCCAATATCACGTAGTGGGAAAAGCGAAAGCTAATTTATTCGAAATAATGACCAGGCCGGCATCCTCCACATCAGCGTTGCCAACGTTGGAACATACGTTCTAAACAAGCAGCCCCCCATCAAGCAATTGTGGCTTAGTTCTCCGGTTTCCGGGCCGAGGCAGTACGACTGGGTTGTGGAGGGCGATCAGATGCACGAGAAGCAGGATACGCGACCATTTGCTAACGGGCAGTGGGTGTGTCTGAGGGATAGTTCGAACCTGACCGAGTTGTTGAACAAGGAGTTGGGATTGGATTTACCTAAAGATATTTACAGCGAGCTTGAGTAAGTGGGCGTGTCTGGTGGTTGCATGATGACATTGGCTCTGTGATTTTACATATCCTGAACGAGTTTATGCCGGGGTGGATGTAGGATAGATTAGGTTAGGACGAGCTTCTGAACAATTTTCCTTGTTTGGCTGCGAGCGGATAAGAGCTATCACTGCGATCCTGACGCATACTCCGTACTGGCCTAGTGCTCCCAAGCTTCATGATGCGTTGAACGATAATCGTGGATTCAACTTTTGACACAGACAGCGGAGACAGCGGCCAAAATCCTCCGAGCAAATCTTTTCCAAACTCATTGTCAAATCGCACGCAGTCCTGAGACGGAACATTCTATGACGAGCCACCAAGAAGATATTGTTTGTCTGCATATCCCATAGTGATAATCGCAACGTTGTGAGCTGGGAACGGCGACTCATTTTGGGCAGGCCATGCCTCTTCGACGGCGGATAACGGCTGGTTGATGCTCGGCCTTGATCACTGTTGAATGTACGCGCAGTTGTCGTAGCCCGCTCATTGATAAAATGATCAGTCCTTCAGCTTTTGAGTTACACCACGGTGTCATCTCATAGTGGGAACAAACGGCCTGGCCCTAACCCGCAGCATAATTGCAGCTCGTCAACATAGAGACAACCGCTGGTATTACCCGGCTTCCTTCTTCCGGTTTCGTGTCTTTTTCTATGCTTTAACCGCGGCGCCTTCCGTCTGCTGCTTTTCTTCCTTAAGGAGATCCGACTGTAACGGTTAGGCTCAACCTCAAGATAAACAAGACATAGGCCTAGAGACATACCTGGTCGAAGATGACCTTGATCATCAGGCTGCAACTAGGACAAACCGCGATTTCCTCGCCGTCTCGAAGGTCATCGATGGCGATCTCGAACCGGTCGCCACACGGACAAGGGTAGTGGTAAATCTGCAGGTTCGGGTCGAAAGTCATGTCTTCAATCTCAATTTCATCGTAAATAGAAAGCGCTTCATCGGCCATTTTGACTTGTAGTTAGTGGTCCTTGTTCTCGGCGGTGTGCAACGGTGACTCAAAAGATGAACCGTTCGCATACTGATGGTCAGAAAACTTTTGGCGGGGCCGCGGGGCGTCACGGTCAGGTGACCGCATCGGCTTTCATGAGGTCGGGGTTTATCCGAGACCTGGGGTATCGGGGTATCGGATATTATCAGCATTACCTCTGTAGCCGCTGAATCTCCGACTCAACTTCTGCAATTTCCCTCATCAAAGATCCGAAACGGCGAGCAGTTTGAGCGACAGGCCTAGAGCTTGCTGGTCCCTTAATATTGCTCGAATCCACGTCCTCGTAAGCTTTCAGCTCGTCTAGAACCGTGTGTCTCCTTTCTTCCAGCCGGGCTCGTGTATCGCGTAAATGCTGGTAATAGCGGGAAAGCGCAGCATTGACTTCGGGCGTGTGGATCGCAGCCAGAGCGTCCAGTCTCATCACCCTATCAACATTTCAGTATTGGCCCGGTCATAGCCATCCTGTGAGCAGCGCCACACATACCGGAGCTTGCCCTCCACTCCATGCGCCACTGTAGCAAGATGTTCCGCCTTAGCCTTCGTCGCTCGAGCCAATGCGCCATGCCTTGTACGTTCCAAGAGAGTCACGGTCCGCTCCAGTATTGCTGCCCGCAAGGCAAGGACCTCCGCCGCCGTTGCCGCCATGCGCGTCCGAGCCGCGGGAAGCTCCGATATCTGTACATGACGAAGAGCCCGCACTTTTTCACCCAGCTGGAGAGCCAAAGAGACCTGTCGTGCGGCCTTTGCGCGGCTTCGAGCTTGAATGTGAGACATCTGGCCTTCTATTGACGCATTCAACAGTGCGGCCCTGTCGCTCGCATTCGCGAGTGATTGAAGGTCATGCAAGACGGATGCGAGGGCTCGTGTAAAGTAGGGAACAATGAGAGGTAATTTGGAATAGAATTGCTCGATGTCCGATGCCAAAAGTGTATCCGAATTAGGTCCGTCGCGAGAGTCGTCGATCAGGTCGAGCTGGTTCGGTGAAGACTCAAGGTAGAAACTGACAACAGCAACGGGCTCACGGCACTGGTCCAAGATAGCTCAGATTAGCATATAATCATCTCAAAGCAACAATGGGGATGTTGGAAGCTCTGCCCACCTTCTCCGGCAATTCATTGTCCGAGTCAAACGCCAGCTGACGCAACGTCTGCTTTTTGATCTGTTTCTTCGTGTTGCGGATCTGGCAATTCCTCAATTCCTACCGATTACGTGTCAAGATTGGTAACTAAGTGTGTCGTTGGGGGTTTGGCGCATGCGGCGAACGTACGTTCAAGGCATCTCTCCTTCCTGGTTGCGCATCAATGGCGCGCGTCGAGCCATCGGGGTTAAGCAAAGTGGTGGTTAGATGCTGGTGTAAGCGTTTGAAATGCGGGTTCTGCTCGAGAATCGTCGGGTCACACGGTGGTATCATATCGGTAGTTGTGGCAATCCATAGGCAGCAGTCCAGGGAATGCCAAAAGCTGACAAGACAGAAGTTGTTTTGGATCGGTGGACGGCGGTGAAGCGTAACATAACCTCAGCGCTAGCTGCACAACCCTACAAAGCTACAATTCAGCCTACAGTTTCAGTTGCTTCTACCCCAGGACTGTCGCATAAAAATACAAGGTTTATTTTGTTGCCTCCATGCCACGTTCTCTCGTGATATCATACATGTCTCAGGCTTTCTTTAACCGCCGAAAGAAAGCAAGCAAAAACAGATTCCCAAGTTGAACCTAGGAGCCCCCGCGCCTTTCGCGAAGACGCAATGGGTATTGATTGCGACGGAGACAACAACCGGCAGGTACGAAAGAGATCCTGTCAAACACCATTCTGCATGGAAGTATCGTGAGAGCGAATCCTGGAAAAGGACGAAAGAGTCCGAGCAAACCTTCCACCAACGCGCTGAAAAAGTGAACGCTTATGTACAAGAAATTTCAACGCGCGATATGTGAATCAAATCTTGAGTCGTAAGAAAGGGAAGACGGGTGGATGAGCTGGGAAAAGTCGAGTCGAAACGGCTGGTACTATGCCGGCAAAGGCCGAGCAACCGGCCAAAGGTGATGGATGGGGAAGGTGAAACGGCAAGAAGCGCAGAGGCTCGGAGCGCAGAAGGCTCGGGGAGAACCAGTATGGAGAGATAGTGATTCAGGTTACTGCACGAAGTATACACTGCAGGCTGTGTAACAAGCCATTGGAAGATTACTCTTCCTCGCTTTCTTCAGAGTCATCTTCAGAATCACCACTACTGTCATTGGCCTCGACCGAAGGAACTGGTTCAGGAGAGCGACCGCCCCCTCCGCCTTGGAAGCGAGAAAGGTTGCTTTCGAGCATGTTGATCTGGGCTTCCTGTTCGTACTTGCTCATGGGCTTGTTCTTCTTCGGTTTCGGTGGCGCGGCGTTGGGGGCAACTGGAGACGAGGCGTCATCGTCATCAACAACGTGGGGCACGTTCTTCTTCACGAATTTGAGAAGCATCCAAAGAACATCATTGGGAAGTTCATCGATGTCGAGTTCAATTTCAGTTTCTTGTGTGCCCTTGTAGAATTGTCAGTCCATGTACTACAACGAGAAACTAGCATCACGGAGATAGCATACTTTGAGAGACGGAACATTAGTCTGGATAATCTTTAGCGCTTCCTGCATCTTCTTGTCTGGAAGGCTGCTGATTCCGTTCGAGATAATCTGTTTATCGTGGTAGGAAACGTAGCGTGCTTTCTCAGGCTTTGCCGATTTCGCGCCACCTTTCTTGTCTTTCTTGCCAGTGCCCGTAGGCCCAATCTTCTTACTGTCCTTCTTCTTCGATTTCGTCTTTTTGGGCGGGGTTTTCTTTTTCTTCTGGGTCATCGCCTCCAGCTGTTGAGACATGTCGGCGATCTGCTGTTTCAGCCTATTGATCGCTTCTTCTTCCTCATCGTCACTGCCTTCCTCGTCATCATCACTCTCTTCAGAGGACGATGCTGCACTATGTTGCTCGGGAGGAGGTTCGTGAGCTGCTAAATAACTTTCCTTCTGTGACCACTTAACATTGAATACCTCCTCGAATTTTTCACCAGCCTGATATGTGGGATCGCCCTTGAGGTTAAACTTAAAGCAATTTTTGACGATCTGACGCATGTCCAGCTCAAACTCTTTGGCGTTCTCATATTGACCGGCGTTCAGTTTATTGGTGACAGTTGAAAGATCCATCGGCTTTTTGATAATGCTGTGGTACGTAGGAATGTTCAAGGCGACTGGATCAACGGGATAATAGAAAGGATATGCATATGAGTAGTGTTTGGATTTTTGCAGTTCATCGAGGACTTCTCGACAAAACTTGAGCTCCCACTGGAATTTCTTCTTCTTCGGCTTTGTTGAGTAAGGAAGATCGCGCTTGGGAGGGTGAATGGATCGCTTTGGGCGGCCGTCATGATTCGTGGAGTCTCGCCGAATAAGAGGCAGGCCCTCAGGTCCCAGTGCGAACGTTGTAGCCTGGGGCGATCCACCTGCTGGACGTGCTATGTTTGGCCCAAGTGACGGTCGCGCGTCTCGACGAGCGGTAGAAGTCTTGGAGGACGCGACCTTCTTATGCTTTTTATCATCCACTTCGTCAGCTTTGGGTAGGTTCAACATCTGCTTCTCGAAAAAAGATTTGAGCCTTGTCCCTTCAACAGAGACGACATGTTCGGAGCCATTGAAGACAAGCGCGTTCCGAACCATAAGCTCGAAATCACTCATGACGCGCTGCGGTGATGAGTACTGATTATCTTTTAGTTTTCGCTCGATGGTACCGAGATCCATGGGCTCCTTGATGATATCGAAATAGGTCGGTATAGCCATTTTGATGGGATCGACAGGCTCTTTATAGAATCGCGAGTCCTGCATGCGCTTTAGGCTCTGAATGGCTTTCAGAATGAACTTGTGTTGTGGCTTAGTAAGAGGCGTCTCGCCATTATGCATCGATCCTCCTGCGGCAGGGGTCGGTAGTTCCGTAGGTTTGAACGCGGTCAGTCCTTGGGTATCGATCTTCGCACGCTTAGCCAAAGGCTCGTCGTCCGGTTCAATCTCGCGCTCCCTCGAAAGCTTCGACGGTGAAGCCGGTGCATCCCGCATCTCCTGGTCAATGGCTGCTGAAGGTTGTACACTTGATGCAGCTGCGGTAGCGTCTGCGGTAGAAGGCTTGTCGGGCGGCGCACCGCTGTGGGGATGGTGAGGAAGCTCGGTTTTCACAGCAGCATTGCTCTGTGGTGATTGCGCACCGCCTGGTGTAGCAGAAAGTCCCTGTGGTACACTTTGCGACATTGGCGCTCCAGATGGACCATTGCTGCCTGTGTCCGTGCCGTTGGGCGGCTGTTTCGGTGTGTTGTCGGCAGAGGTAGTCTTGTCGTCTACCACAGGGCTCGCACGAACAGGCTCATTGTGCGAAGTGTTGGTTGCTGAAGTTGAAGGCGCGGGTGATTTGGGAGGTGAAGCGGTAGTGGCTGCGACAACGCCATTCTGTTGGGCAGGGGTATGGCCATTTATAGTAGCACCCTTCGCATCCTTCTCAATTATCTCCGCGCCGTTGGTAGACGTGATCGGGGCGGAATCTGTTACGGAAGGCTGAACACTGGAATCAAGTCAACACACGCCCAAGCAGGAAGAGCGGGAACACATACCCTGCGCGACCAACGTCAGATGAGGAATCTCCATTTGGCGACGGCGGCAGTCGAGGCTTTTCCTCTTTCAAGATAGAGGGTGCCTCAGGAGGCGGCGTCGCCATCAGGTTGTGGGTATGATCCAGGCCCTCCTGTCGCAAGAGAGCGCAATACGAAAATCTAACGGCGGCGAGGCGTGTAGCAAAAGCCGAGCCCAGCTATCGGGAATGGTTTAGAAAACGACAATAACAGATATCAACTGGATAGGTAAAGCTGCGCGCTACCAGACTAACTGTATCGATTCGAAGCAGTGGCGAAAGAACACCGTATTAGATGACAGAAGACGCCAGGAGAATCGCTGACCTGGCAGTCACAGAGGTAGCAACGCGACGGAGTGAGAGGGGAAGATACAGGGACAAAACGGATGAGATTGAGGAGAGATGATCGCAAGCCGGGAGTGGAGAATGCGACGAATTTATCTTGCCAAGCGGCGCGGTCACGTGGACAGAATGTATGACTCAGCGGGACCAAAGAGGGAAGGTGCAAGTGAGGTCACGATAAGAGTTGGAAGGAACAGCCGACGATTTCACGTGCCACAGGTGAGGCAGTGAGCAGCAGGTGCTGTGATTAGGATAAAGAAAACTGAGATCAGGCACCCAAGTTTCTTTTACTCCTCCCCTAGACGTAGAAAAGGAAATCGGGGAATGTTTTGCCAGTGTGGCTGATGAATATTTGCGACGCGAAAGAGGACGCGCTAAGTTCCGAGAGCTTGAGCGTAGGGAGAATCAAGAAGGCGGTGTGGCGAATCCCTGGAGGAGACAGGGTTGAAAAAAGGGCGGTCAGGGGGAAAAGACGGGTAAAAAGGAAATTCGCAGTCAAGCTCCAGAAACAGAGACTGAGAAAATCAGCCTGGGAGCGGATTCCCTTAAGTACGACGGCGCGTCGCGAACATTAAAAACCCCATCCGAGACGCTAACCCTGTTGATTCTAGCTCAGGCCATTCAGCCGCTTCTGATTGGCTCCGGGATGACGCGTTCTGTAGGTTGCTATTTATTATTGGCTGCGGCCTACCTTTCTAGTGGACCCTTCGTACCAGATTCCCCTTTGTCGGAAACGCTTGGAAAACACGCAAAAAAAAAAGGGACAACTCCTGTCCAAGACAAAATAACATCATCACTAGAAGCTTCGCCATACATCCGACCATAAAAACCCAACTAGCTGTAACTGTGGATGTGAATACTTGATCAAGTGCACCACTCATGATACCGAAAGGAAGTGAGATCGAAATGACCGACCCAAATATGTTAGGCAGTGGTGGTGGGATTGCATAGCAGCCATCTTGTGTTTGGCTGCGAAGGCCGGGCATGAGCCTTGAGGATTGTTACCTGCTCTGGCGGTAAGGTATGCATGTGTTGCTGCTGATCCGCTGACTCCATAGCCCCAAGGGTTCAGCCCTGAGCCCTCCCTTGCGTCGGATACGGCCTAGCGGGTAGCACTGGTCAAAGTGAAGTCCATATTCCGTGGCTGGTAATGAGTTGTGACTCTATGAGCCATAACATGACCCCGCTGCCAACTGGATGCTGAGCAAGCATTGAGTGGGCGAATCATTTCAGATGCAGGTTGAATAGTTGCATGGTTGTTCAGCATTCAGATTGCACCGCATCTCAACAAAGCTGTAAAACTGGAGTGGCAGGACAGCATGGATAGCAAAGCCGTGGTGTCAATATCCAACCGTATTTGTTAGACAATAATGTAGACTGTGTGGTCAGCAACTTCGCGTAGCAGATCTGGCAGCAGCGGACTGCCATGGACGCTGGGGTTATCTTGCAAAAACAGGATATCGCAGATGATGAGGCCAGAAGAGTTGAGGTGCCAAGCATTCACCGGGTGTTTCTGCGAATCCTTGCTTCTTCGGATAGTCGCATCTAAAGCGCATTTCGGCCAGCAGTACGGAGTACACTGCTGTGTGCTTAGAAGAAACGCTGGACATGTCGCATTAAAAGACTGATCGATGAATGGGACTTCGGGATGGAGATGATGGAAGAGATGATTAGATAAGACAGCTCTAGTCCCGGCCAGACTAACCCCAAAAGGGCCAAGCGCATGAAGCGACCAGGCTCTACAGAACTTTTTTTCTTCCTTGCTGTAAGAGAGAAGACCGATTGCCAGCACCCAGCAACCAGGTGTCGCTCCTAGTCGAAGCTCGGCTGGAACCTCTGCTTTACTGTCTGGTGTCCCCCGACAGTTTGTTTCTTCTGTATTTTCAAGTTCATTGCACATAGACTCGACTGAAAATGGGCAAGAAATCGTCTCAAAAGCCGGCCTCCAAGACCTCCTCCGCGGCGGCTCTCTCAGTCGCCGACGCTACAAACACAGGGAACAAGTCTTCGATTCTGAAAGCGGCATTTGCTCCGTCCGACTATCAATTGGCGTTATTCGCATCTGTTATCCAGGGTCTTGAGGGTCAGAATCTCCGCATTCACGATACAAATACCGGCCGGTTGCAGTGTGAGCATGTCTTGGGCCCAAAGGAACTTGTCACGTCGTTGGACTGGGGTCATTATGGTGGACGACGGGACCAGTCAAAGAAGAAGAGAAAGCGCGCTTCCGATGTCAATGGAACAGCCGACCTCGACCAAGGCGACGTAGTTGTCGCCTTCGGTACGAACACCTCCGACATCCGCATGTACTCGCCTGCTGAAGATAGGATTGTCGGAACTCTTGCGGGTGGACATACAGGCGGCGTCAAGGACTTCAAATTTACGGCAGACAAGCCTCATGAGGGTTGGAGCATCGGTGGGGACAACAAGCTGGTCCAGTGGGATCTTGTTACCGGCCAAAGGACAAAGTAAGTGATCTTGATCTGGGAGATATTCTATCAGACTAACTGAAATTTCAGGGTAATTAGCCTTTCGACCACCTCAGCGTTCAGCACACTTTCCCGCCCGCTCGCCTTGAACCCGCCCGTCATCTGCGCATCTCAGACACCCCACATTGTCAACCTCGAGGAAGACTCGACAATCACATTCCCTGCAATGCGAAACTCAATACAAACTATCATCACTTCCTCGACAAGCTCCGTCTCTGATGGGTTGTTCCTGGCGTCGGACAATGACCGCTACATCAACGTCTTCGACCCTAAGGACGGGCAACTTTCCATGAACCTTGTGGCCGAGAGAGAAGTAAACTCGCTGTCCCTATATTCCAAACACGGTGTGGACTCGAAATTAGCGCTGGAGAAGCAGGTTCTCGCAGCTGTTACTCAGGATGGTACAATCGAACTCTTTGCGCGACCATTCGTGCGGCCGCGGGGCTTAGAAGGAACCAAGAGCTCCAGCTTGAAGGCGCGATCTATGCAGATGACCAGACGAGCGGAGGCCTCGCTCAGGATAACCAAGGCCTCCGGTTCGGATGATCTAGTTCCCGTTGTTGCGATGTCGTTCCAGGGCCCCGAGCTCCTTGTTGCGTGGGCGCATGGAGGTATTGTTCCTCTGTTCGAACGGGTGAAGTGGCTCAACGAGGAAACCGAAGAGCTAGCATTTACCGGCGTCAAGACTATTGCCAAGACGAAGACTAGCTCCATACTACAATCGGCGACAACGAACGGAATCAAGAACGCAAACGAGAGCCACGTAAACGAGAAGAGGATAGTCGTTGAGCAAGGCGATTTTGCGGATGATGACATCGATATGGAAGATTCCAGGCAGGATCCGGTTTCTGAAGAGGACAGCGACGTAGACTCAGATGACGACGCCGAACAGAAACCACAAAAGAAGGACGGGGCGCCAGGCCAGGGAGAAGCTGAGAGCGATGTGGAAATGCAGAACGCTGCAGCATCGGGAGCGGAGGACGAGGACGAAGATGATGAGGAAGAGGCAGGTGCTGAGCCATCCTTTGGAGAACTCATGAGGGCCCATGCTGCCGAACAAATCGATGTTGAAGCCGAACTTGAAGATGATGTTCACACCCGTTCTCTCATCCCCGGAAAGCCGATCACGACGGTTCAGCAAATCCCTTCTGGAGTCTCCCTATCCACAGTTCTCTCACAATCGCTCAAGACAAACGACAATGACATGCTCGAGGCATGCTTCCACACGGGCGATTCCGGTACCATCCGCACCACCATTCAACGTCTCGACTCTCCTCTGGCGGCAACCCTCCTCCAGAGACTGGCCGAGCGACTGTCCGCCCGCCCCGGCCGATACGGTCACCTGCTCGTCTGGGTCCAGTGGACATGCATCGCCCACGGAGGAGCCCTGGCGGGTAACAAGGATCTCCTCAAGCAAATGTCCACTCTCTTCAAGGTGATGGACCAGCGCTCCTCAACCCTCTCTTCTCTCCTACTTCTCAAGGGCAAGCTCGACATGCTAGACGCCCAACTCGGCCTCCGCCAATCTCTCCGCGAGAACGTAGACCACATGGACAGCGAAGACGAGGAGAACGTCATCTACGTTGAAGGCTACGACGATGAGGAAGACGAGGATAGCGACGCCGAGGCAATCAAGACCATCGACACGCCGCGCACAAAGGCCATCCGGGATCACACCGACATCTCGATGATTGACGAAGACGAAGATGCAGGCAGCGAAGACGACGAGGAGGACGACGAAGAAGACGACGAAGAAGGCCCCAGTGCCATCCTCGATGTGGAAGCCGAAGAGTCAGCCGGCTCCTCGGACGCCGAGGAGTCCCTTGACGAGGACGAGGACGAGGATGAAGACGATGACGCCGACAGCACCGGTTCGATTGCGAACTTCATCGCGGATACAGAGGATGACGACTCAGAGGCAGAGGCTCTTTCGCGGCCTCCACCGTCAAAGAAGGCCAGGATAAGCCAGGGAGGCGGGAAAGGGAAGAAACAGGCCGGGTCGGGAAGGAAATAGACTTACTTTTCATACCTAGATTTATACCCTGTTCTTTTTTTTTCTTGCACACAGACAGCACTTTGGATTTGTTATTGGCTTTTCTCTTCTGTACCTTCTTTCTCTCTCTCGGATGTGCACACAAAAAAAGTATAGGGATAATTTCTGGTTCTTGTTCTTCTTCCCTTTGTTCCCGTCCGGCTCTTCTATATTTTGATTATGCTTAGTAGGGGTGAGAGACAGGCATCTCTATCACACGGCTATTCTGAGCTCGTGTGTCTAGCTTGCATCCTTGCATCCTTGCATCTATTGAGCTGGTTTTGTACTTGTACAGCATGAATCAATTCATGTTTTATCACAAGGAGTGTGGGTTTATCTGAAGCGCAAGTTGTGATGTATCAGTGATCTCACCCTCTGAGTTAGGTCACAAATGAAAGATAGACGTGGGTCAGTAAGGATACTCTGACCATCTGACATAATTCCTCCTTGACGATGAATCAAATAAGAATAGTTTCAGCAGCAAGCTTGCAGACTTCTGCCATCTTCAAGTTTGCCCTAACGAATAATCTCGCGCCCTGGATTCTCCAACCCTTCAAGTCCCTCAAGTATCTCACTCCCTCCATAGGGACCGGAAGTCGAGGATTTATGCTTCGTCGATCCACTCCATACTTCATGGAACTTGACGCTCTGATCACTGGACGCTACAATGATACAGCCTTCCTCCACTGTGCGTGAGCACCAAAGGCCGCCTTCCTTGGCTCTGGGACGCACAACCACACGTCCCATCAGACGTCGAGTCACGCCAGTTCGGTCTTCCCGCGTTAGATTATCCTGGGCTTGCGGGTTTGAAATCGAAGACTCTTCTGGTATATCTAAGCCGTCGACGATATATGTGGGAGGTCGTCCGGGGTAGCTAACAGCGCAAAGTGCACGTCCGCAATCGACAACAGTATCATTGGCAGGCCTATCCCAGCTGGTACCATGAGGTCCCCAGGGAATTGCTGCAATTTGCTCGCAGCTGGGCCACGCAAAGATGGCAATGCGAAACGGGTGTTCCGGTTGCGCGAATCCGAACGTGGCTACTAGCTCTCTTCTTGTCTTGCTCCAAATCAGACTAGTGACTTGAGCGTACACGTTGATGGTCGCCAGGCATGCACCAGAAGGAGTGTGAAAAAAGTGAATAGCACGGTCGTTGGAGCCTCCTCCAGTAGCTAGTAAAGATGGCTGCCAAGGAGCAAATGCAATAGCCTTGACGGCCGCAGCATGGATCAACTTATGCTTTTGACGATTTGACGGGACAAATACAGTTCTATCACCACCCGAAACAACTGATCCAGAATGAGTCAGTACTGAAGGGAGAGAAGATGACAAAGACCTCGTGCGAGAAGTGGTCCATGTTGGAAGCAGATTGCTCAACAAATTGCGCTGGTTGAAGAGCCGCCGGCTAGCATTTGCAGCAAAACAAGTAAACGAATTGGGGCAGCTCATGCCTTCAGGATGGCAATTTTGATGTGGCAAGCACGATCTAGAAGAAACTCCAAGTTCGCGTGCCGGAATAATGTCCGAGAGTTCAAAGAGTAGACAGGCATTATCGTTGCCGCCAGTCGCCAGATAGGCTCCGTCCGGTGACCATGCAATGCCGCATATTTGCTGCGTATGAGCTGATATTTTAGCGAGCAAGGTGACTCTGCCATGCCAGCCAAAACGATCTCTTGCTTCTTCATTTGGCCATTCTACCGAATAGTACCAAATATTACCGAGATCGTCACCCACCGCTAGATCCTCTGCATCCACTTCGGTGTCCTCAAACCTTTCTGAGACCCTTTTCGATTTTGTTTGTTTGAACGCAACGCATGTAATGGTGCTCGAATGGCTGATCTCGAAGCGCACATCGGAGTCGAAAGTGCTCCACAGGCTCAACATGCCCGACTTTCTACCCACAGCCAAGATGCTTTTACCACCATTCTCGGAAGAAAATGATAGCGATGTCACGTAATTCGACGAGTCGTGTTCCCCTAGGGGCGGGTGCTGCACGCCGAAGGCCTCTGACCATAGATAAACGCGGTGCCCAAGCCCAACAGCAAGGGTGCCAGCAATGCTGGAATATGCCAATGTTGAACAGTAGAAGTCGTCACGCAACAAAGGAGCATCAAGGGTTCGGAAAGGGAGGCTCGGGACTATAGTATTTTTGCCTTTCCTCAAATTGGCTTCCCCTATTGCTCGGTTTGTAGGTCAGTTTCGTCCATGCTTCTGGTAAAGGAAGGATGGAATCTGAGGATCCAGTGTGAAAACCCCATTGACAGTAGTCTTACTAATGCGAAATGTAAATCTTCTGGTGGTTATATGCTTGAATAGATATCGGGTACCCGTCTATAAAGACACAACATGCTGTCTAATAGGCTCCCGGGAGAGAAAAGGAGATGAAAAGCGCAGGGAAACAACCACCTCATCTATTCTTTCCGGAAAAGCAACCGTTCTAAAACTTACATTGACCGCGTTCTACCCTCCTCCAGGCGTTGTCTTTCCACACCAGTGGCGAGAGTCGTTCGAATGCCGGAGATGAAGGACTTGGCAGAGGGTCAGATATAGACAAGAGGCTGCTGTTGCTAAGGACTTTCGACGCAGTATCAATATCCAATGCAAGAGCAATCCTAGACTCGTATGTCACGCGATCCTCTGTTGAAGAACGAGTTTGCGGTAGGAACTTGGCTGCATACATGGGAGCCGTGGTTCCACTCGCAAGTATGCCTCTAGGACCATCCGGTGAGACTGTTGACCGTCTACCTAACGCGGCCGACGTTCCACCAACAGCCCAGATTGCTCCGTTGCTTACTCGTCTGATACCATCCCTAGTCCCGGTTGAGACTGTCCTTCCGGAAACGGCTGAGTCGTTCACAAGATGAGGTCCAAAGTGAGGACTGAAAACACGACCAGATCTTGTTGTGCTCTTTGATCTCCGGACCTTTTTAGGTGTGAACGGATCGTCCCCAGGTGAGCGGCGACGGAAAAGCTTCTCTTCGGGTGACAGTTCTTGAGGATCCTTTCCCACTCTATATGGCGAAGATGAGGCTTCCACTGGTTCCCGTGACGGGATGAACCTGTCCGGAGAAGCTGGACTCTTCGAGTCTCGTCGTGTGCCTGCAGGTCGTCGGACGGCTCTCACTCTCCCTCGGCCTCGATTAGTAGAAATCTGTTGTCTGAAAAGGTCAGGATCGAGCGTAGATGGACCGATGAGATATTCGCAGTCTTCCAATCCCACTCCCTCCGAGGTGGCAGTTGAGCCAACCGATGTTGTTGAGCCGTGCTCTGTAGGATCCGACATTGGGCTTGAGATATCCGGTGAGGCGAAACGTTCGATAATGTATCCGATATAGAAGGTATTAACGCATTGTCAATAAGGTCGACCCCAGTTTCAAGCCGTAGTCCAGCGAATGACACACCCAAGTGGAATAATAGGTGTTGAATCAGATGAAGGCAGTAGTTATGTACCTGAAGTCAACAATATATCCAAGCGAACGGACCGGGTCAATAAGTTGAATAGAGTCACCTGCCGCCAAATATAAAACTATCGACCCACCAAGGACATGCGAGACCTCAAGACTGCTGAAGATAGAGTGATGAGAGAGAAAAAGAGTTGCCAATTCCACGGTTGAGTGGCAGTTGCTCGTATGGAGAGCCAGCACGTGATCCGCTCGATCAGGAAGCTGCCTACTTTGCCCGGAGCCAGCTTCTTCCTGTCGCTTTTCAGCATCAACGCCTCCTGACACTGCTCGGACCAAAGTTGGATACGCAGAAGTGCAAAGCGCGACCGTCCGCATACAAGGAAGTAGCCCGTGGTCAATATGGCGAGTGTAATGGTCCCTACTCAAGTGGGCAGAGCCATGGTTAACGGTCGTTCGGCAGCATGGTGTCCCCCGCCACAGCTCACTAGAGGCAACCGGTGAAGCTCGTCAGCAGGAGCTCCACAAAATCAAGTCATACCGTGAATTAGAGCATGTCGTGAGAGAGGAGGTAGTTCAAAATGTCAATGACGCCGGTGTGAGGCACAGCCCGCTAACCAAGCGGAGCAGATCGCGGTTCGCCAATATACGCCGGAGACCTTACAGAAGCTATCCGAATTGCTCAAAAAGAATCCGGAGTACTACACCATGTGGAATTATCGACGCCGAGTGCTTCAGCATGAGTTTTCACAAGCAGTTTCCGAGGATTCATCGGAGCCCGATATGGGCCGAATCACGACTCTAATCCAAACGGATTTGCAATTCCTGATCCCCCTCCTGCGTAGCTTTCCCAAATGCTATTGGATCTGGAACTACCGGCTGTGGCTTCTCGAAGAAGCCAAGCGTCTTCTTCCCAGAACCGTCGCCCGTAAAGTATGGCAGCAGGAACTCGCCCTGGTAGGCAAGATGCTCAGCTTGGACAGCCGCAACTTTCATGGTTGGGGCTATCGACGCTTCGTGGTAGAAACCCTGGAAAGTCTTTCTGCTGATGAAGAGAACGAAAGAAGCCTGGCGGAGACGGAGTTTGACTATGCAAAGAAGATGATCGGCACCAACCTCTCCAACTTCTCCGCCTGGCATTACCGTACTAAACTTATCCAGCGTTTATTGAGCGAGAAGTCGGCGAGTGACGAAGAACGAAAACAGATGCTTGACAATGGTATGTAACGCCCTTTCGTGCGGATTGAAAAAGCAAAAAAAAGGGTTAGGTGAGAATAGCGGTTAATGTGCGTTGCTTTTGACAGAGCTGGAACTTATCCATCGCGCCTTGTGCGATCCGTATGATCAGTCATTATGGTTCTACCACCAGAACCTGATGTGTACCTTTGACCCAAGCAAATCAGGTCAGACGATGGCACCGAATTTGACCAGAACAGAGCGGCTAGGCTACATCCATCGGGAGATCGAGGAAATCCAGGAGATGTTGGATGGGGCCGAAGACTGCAAGTATCTGTACCAGGCGCTTATAGACTGCACCCTACTGGCCGCGAGGGTGGAACAGAGAACGCTGGATGGAGAGCAAAAGACGCAGGTATCGGCCTGGTTGTCCGAGCTGAAGAAGCTGGATCCTCTGCGAGCAGGACGGTGGCTAGAGTTGGAACAGTCGCTCTGCAGCTGAGCTAAGAGTTCCTCCCTTGCCTCTATGAGTGGGATGAGAAGTGTTAGTGGACTCGTCAGAGCGCGCTTCCATGCCATAATAATCTTATATACTTTCTCCGTGATCTGGCTGAGAACAAGGAAGGCTGGATAAAAGCTTGTTTGAACCGAGATCAGGGTGCGTTGGTTCCCCTGGTGCTCGCGCGGGTATGCGAGTGTGCTCCATCCAGGACCAGGGATGCATGGGGTGCAGGCAGTGCTGACCAGGCCGATTTGCGATCCTGGTGTCTGCGAACGATGCCAGCCATACTAATGTGCATCTATGATTGCATTTGTATATAGGACATAGCACAGGACAGAAGAGACTAGAGCAACGCCAAGCTTTCCCCAGCTGTGCTAGTAAGGCTAATCGGCCTCAGGAGCACCACCTGGTATTCTTCTTCCACCAGTTCCCTTCTTCTGCATTGCTTATTGCTCATTTTTGTCTGTTTCGGAATACCTGCTTCTTTTTTCGCGTTAAATAATTCAACTAGCGGCTGGAATTCCGTTCCACCTCAGCTCTGCCCTCCTCATTCCACCCACCCGCCCCTCAGGTCGCTTCTTTCCCTCTCCTACTCTCTGCTCGGCTTCCTTAGAAACACCTGCTATGGAATAATCATTCCAAAAAGCGTCGTCTGTTCTCGCGTCTCGCGCGCTACCCTCTTGTTGAACCCAGTTGAAATCGGAATCACGATTGCATTCAGCCCCTGACCCTGGTGGTCAACACTCAACATGTCTTCCGGCCTAGATAACAAAGACTATGAAGGGGTACGTGTGTTATTTTTGCCTTCGGTATACCGTCAGAAAAGACTCACCAATTCTATCTTGCCCAGGATTCATTCCATGACTCCTCGGAAGTCCCGAATGCCAATAATAACCTCACCCTCTCGATCCCCCAGAGCGCTTCCACTCGATCGTTAACCGATAGCCCCCCGAGTGGTACTGCCACAACGCCGCAGTTCACGGACGCCCCTCAGATCCCACGAACCCCGGATGAGGATCACAAGACTGAAGACGAGTTCCACGAGGCCGGCACAGACGAACAGTCTGAAGCAGAGGCAACTCCTCGCAAACAGAAGCTACAAAAGTCTCCATTGTTGACAGCGCATCGGCTCTCCACCTCGTCTCTTGACGAGGTGAACTTGACTGGCACTCAGAACCCAGATGGTCCTCTTGACATGTCTGCACCAAACCAGGAGGCCGGCATAGGATCTCCGCCCGCATTACCTTCCCGAGACTCCACATCAACGCAGAGCTCTCTTCTACAAGGGTTTTCCGGCAACCTCCCCTCCGTGCCATGGGCCCCTCCACCGCAAAACAAGAATCAACCCCCCGCGGCACCTCCGCCGCCTCCAACTAGAAGAATTACAAGCCCCTTTGCCTGGCTTTCTCGGGCTTCAACGGGAAGCAAGGACGCTGTGCAAACTGGACGACGGAACACTGCTGCTTCCATCTCGACGATCGGTAGCAATCCTGAAATTGCGGGCCGATTGCAGGATGCAGAACCGGACGGCTCGAGTGTGGGCTCTAGAAAACCACAGCGAAATAGCTTAAAGGACCAGTTCAAACTGCTTAGGATGCGCGAGGAAGGACATGGTCCAGAGATTGACGAGGCAAGTGTTGCGTCCGGGCGAACATCGGGACGCGCGAGCGTCAGCCACTCAGTCACGAGCCCTCCTAGTATTCCGGAGGAAGGAGAGAATGATGCCACGGCTGCGCTTCCAGCAGCTTCGCCCTTAACACCGCCGACCTCAACTGTCAACCCGAATCTTCCGCCAGGGACTGTTTCGGGGGTTTCAGCATCCGCGAGTGATGCCGCTGCGCCTGTGGACTGGGAATTATGGCAGCAACTCGTAAATGATGGGCCTCAGGTTCTGAAAGGCAGAAACTCAGAGGAGCTGAATGGTGCTATCAAACGTGGAATCCCGCAGACCATTCGAGGCGTCATCTGGCAGATTCTGGCTGACAGTAGAAACCTGGAACTAGAAGAGGTTTATAGGGAGCTTGTTGCACGAGGTACGGACAAGGAAAAGCCGCGGGCAAATGGCTTGACCAACGGAAGCGTAGAGAAAGACTCAACAGCATCTTCGCGTTCATCTATTCGTTCAGAGCGATCTCTTTCTGCGGCCCCTTCGAACCATAGTCCTTCTATTAGCCCTTCGCAGGAACAGGACCCTGAGAAGCTCGCCAAAGAGCAGGCTGCGCATGAAACGGCTAGAAAGCAGAAGGCGAAGGAGGAAGCGGCGGCGCTTCAGAAACTTGAGAAGACCATTCGACGTGACTTGGGAGCACGGACGAGCTACTCGCGTTACTTTGTCTCCCAGGGTAATCAGGAGGGACTTTTTGGTCTATGCAAGGCCTATGCTCTATACGACGAGGCTGTGGGATATGCTCAAGGGATGAACTTCATTGTCATGCCGCTGTTGTTCAATGTGAGTACTTTGACACTGTGTCCTTTACTTAATTATTCGTGTTTCCGGTTAACTGATATGATTATGCAGATGGACGAGGCCGAGGCCTTTACCCTAATGGTCAAGCTCATGAACCAATACGGTCTGCGGGAAATGTTCATTCAGGATATGCCTGGTTTACACCGCAGCTTATACGTCTTTGAACGACTGCTTGAGGATCTTGAGCCCGCCCTTTATTGCCATTTAAGGCGGCGAGGAGTCCACCCCCAACTCTACGCTACTCAATGGTTTTTGACCTTGTTTGCTTACCGATTCCCGTTGCAACTTGTGCTTCGAATTTACGATCTCATCCTTGAAGAAGGATTGGAGAGTACTATCTTGAAGTTTTCACTTGCGATTATGCGGCGCAACGCAGACGCTCTTCTGGCGATGAAGGACATGACACCATTGACGACATTTTTGAAGGATCGGTTGTTCGATGTATATATCGATAAGCAGCCCACCCCATCGTCTATCCTCGAGTCTGGGTTCTTTGGGTCATCAGGTGCTGCCGACAAGGAGATTTACCGTGCCGACATCATGGTCCATGATGCTTGTGATATCCTTCTAGACCAAGCGACTATAAGCGCGTACACTGCTGAATGGGAAGAGAAGGAGCGCGCCGAGAGAGAGCGTGAAGCCGAATTGAGCCAGCTGAGGCATACCGTCTCTGTGCAGAGTGCTCGCATCCGTGCGTTGGAGGAGCAGAACGAAGCATCGGATAAGGAACATGTTCAGCTTGCTTCAGAGGTTGTCCACCTGAAGGTCGAAAACGAGGAGCTTTCGGACCTGAATGATGCACTGAAAATGCAGGTAAAAGAACTCAAGATTGTGGTGGATAAACAGCCCGCGGAAGTCGAACAGAAACTTCAGACGGAAATGGACCGCATCATGCAACGTAATCTCGAGGTACAAAATGAGAACCGCGCCATGGTGGAACAAATGGCCGAGATGGAAAAGGAGCTTGTGACGGCTAAGCTCAGTTACGCGGAGGTAAGAACACATTCGCGACCCCGGTTTTCGAAAGCCTGTACTAATTTGAGGCTCTAGATACACGAGCAATACGAAGCTCAAAAGCAGAAGTGGAACGACATTCGCAAGGCTCTTGATTAGCATCATGCATTCTCTACAATTTGCTTCTACGAACTTTGGAACCCGCCGATACATCACTTGGCCCGCAGCGCCTCTACCTTTTTCTAATGTACATTCACCTTGCTGATCAGGATATTGATCTATGGTACTCCTGGATGAGACCTAGACGTTACTGTATCATGTTGATGTTTTATATCCTATTTGATCGCGCATATGGCAACGGTCCCAGCCTAGCGACGACCCAGCGTGTCATGAATGCCATGTATTTTTCCTCTCAAGTTTGGATTTATCCCATTCCCCCTCCCCCAACGAGCGGGTTCAGAAGGAATACGCAGTGACGGTCACTGTATATCACGAATAGACTTGCTATATCATACCAATCAGCCATTGACAAGAACCACTCCCTCAATATCATGTACAACGTCGCAAGGCGAATTACTAAGTTAAGTTCAAAGCACACTCTCAAAATATGTCGTCAGAACATCCTCCCTCACCGGCGCCGCAACCGCCTTCAACGCCTTGTGCGCCCCACACTCCGTATCATAGTACTTCATATCCTCCAGCGACGCAAATGTAGTCTTGACCGAGAGATTGTAGCCCTTGTTCCGCGGGTCCGGGTAGGACACTCCGGCTGCCGCGGCGACGATATATGGCTTGCCATCCTATCAGACCCGGTTGGTTTAGTGATCTGACTTGATAGCTTGGCGGCGAGGAGATAGGGAAGGTGCTCACCTTAACAGCCGTCTTCGCAAGGATCTTATACTGCTCCAGCACGCGGTCCCGGGCAGCTTCGTCGGGGATGTTGAAGAGGGTGATGCGCTCGATGGGGGCCATTGTTGCGGTGCGGGGTAGTGGAGCTGGGGTTGATGATGTCTTTCGATGTTGAGAGTGGGCTAGCCTTGGAGGGGACACTGCGGTTCTGATGTGAGATGTGAAGGCAGAGGAGGAAATGTAGAGGCATGTACGCAGCCGGATGTGATGGCGAGGGGCAGCTTTATAGGAAGCCAGGAGTTTATCCGCAGTTGGCCTTGTGCGGGGTAGAGGAGATATGGCGTACATAGGTAGTCCGTAGTAGTATCACTGTATCACGAATTTCATTATTAATGTGGATTCATTGGGACACTACTCAATGGTCGTGCTCTATGACTGTTTGGAATTCTTCCGATGTCCCCTCGGAACGGCTATTGTCGGATATTGCATGCCCACTAAATTCAATTGGATGTAGAGGGATCAGTTGTATATAGGCACGAGCCTTCTATCTTGTATAGTGTTCTGTTAGAGATTTGCCCAGCTAGACGCAAAGATGAATGTTATGCATCATTATTTGGGACGTTGATGAACGATGTTGTTATTCTTCGAGTGCGGAATAATCCCAGACATCGGCTTTATTCCGCCACGGGTACTTGTATACGGTGCTCGGCCCGCGCGGACTCCCGACATCAGCCTCACTGAAGAAACAAATATCTGAATGCGAGCCTTCACGCTCGGTCCTTGAGAGGAACTGCTATTGGCCTATTATACTTAGTTGAAGATTTTTAGTTGTGTCGTAGGTTCGCTCGTCTCTCTTTGACTGTTGAGACCGGGTATACCATGGTTTCCCGAACTCGTGGTACGGAGGAAGGTTGTCTGTCCACCGGGCGGTGCCTGGCCATGGCACCTTGTTGCAATTCCTGGCATGATCCCGGGTGCATGCAGAGCCTTACGGAGCTTGAGCTCATGCCTTGTTGCGAGCCAAGTCACCTCGGAAGCCTTGCTTTGACTGACCCGACAGCACAGTTCATGAACTCGTTGTATAGTCCCCGTTGACTAACCAAGACATCATGCGAAACCCTTGTTCCCAGCTTGGTATTGTATTATCTCGCCACTAGCGGCAATCAAGCATCATTCACCGGCTCAGGCCGATTCTTGAACATGAGCTTATACTTCACGATCTCAACGATCTCCAGCTGCTCCCCAGCACCATTCTCTCCGTCCGTCTGTCGGCGCTGAATAATCGCAAGTGGTTTGGGCAGCTTCTTAACTTCTCCCGTCATTCTCTGGTACCTCCCAACATAGAGATAAGCTCTCTTCATCCAGCTCGTGTCGTCTTTCACGTTTTGTGGCGAGTAGTCCGGAAACATGAGCTTGCCGATTGGCGTTTCGTATGTGAGGGAGGGATTGTCAGAATTGATGGTTTCATTGTCGGGTTCGGACGTTTCCTGAGAAGGGAGGTTTATAGTGCCTTGGAGTTCGAGAAGCGCGAGACCAGAGGGGGTTTGGAGGAGTTGAGGGAGCGGATTGTGAGTGCCGTCGCGTGATGACGCGCGAGGATAGAGGGGGACTGATGGCATTATTTTTGTAAAAAATGTGGCTGTTTGGACCAAATATGACTTTGACGCGACTCGCTGTAGAAACTTGAAGTTGGGCAGCTGTTCTGAAAGCAAGTTGGAGTTGGAAAGAAAGAGGAAGGTCGAGTCGCGAAATGGATTCTTAGCGCGGGTCTCCACAAACTAATTAAAGCTGGGGTTTCGGCGATCAGCACCAAGTATGCATGTACCCCAGCTACGGAAAGAGACAAAATAATGTAGGATCTCTACTTGGCTACGAGCATACATAGACGAGGAACATGTAGAATATGGCGTTGCAGGTGTTTTGTGTTTCGCTATAGCAAAAGCAGAACTACTATTGTCAGCCTAGGCGTATATTAGCCTGAAGCCGCACCAACCAGGTTTCTGCCATTCTCAGCACATTCCTAAAACTTGTATACATATCCAGCCGTAAGCCCGCCTTCTGCTTCTGGAATGAGCAAGACGTTGTGCCGGGGTTTGCTGTAGAACTCCCATCAGTTCATTTACTGGATTAGGCAGTGATGCATGTTGCGCACAAATCTGCCTTTGACTGAGATCGACGGCATTCGAGAATGCATTGGATAGATGGAGGACTGACAAGCTGAATGGTCTTACCATTCCTTGTGTACCACGTCCCTTGTGACCTCTCGGTGGCTCATCATTTGGCATGACTTTGGATCGAGACAAAATTGCCAGGAGTAAGAGCAGTGACGAGGGCGCAATATCAGTGCAATGGTTCAGATTGAGACATACAACATAGGTGTAGACGCAAGCTATGGAGCGCTGCTCTTACGATAGCACGCATCCTCGAGGTTATCAAGTCCCCGGATGGCCTCGCTAACGACCTCCTCATCGGTTGCCCCCACGGAGCCGTGCATCTTCCCGTATCGCAGATCACTCAAGTCACCAACGGTAGTATTGAGCTCGGACAGGAGGCTGGCCGCCTCTCCGTCCACCCCGGCTACTTCACGCTCGATATCAGCGCAGGCTGCCTCCATTGCCGACAGAAGGCTTGAGACCGTGTGATGCTCGGCAGAGGAAGCCGACGTAGAGCCAAATAGTTGAACATCCATGTCCATTTCTCGTTGATCGTTTGAGCTAGAGCCATCAACACCGGTTTTTGCAATAGACTTCCGGAGTTCTGCTTTCTGACTATCCCCTTGACGGACTTCTTTGTCAATATTTTCATTGACTATGTCCATATCTTGTTCTCGGAGCTGCTGTAGCTCACGGTACAGAACCCTGATATGCGGATGAGACCGCAGACGCTTAGGAAATAGCTCTGTAAACTGTCGCAATGACATGACCTGTGGTAAAGAGGCCGCAGACAGCAAAAAATTGCTGAGGATGGAGGTCTCTGACGGCGCCATGACTCAGACTACTCTCAGTGTGTCCTTAGGTGCACAATGACAATGCAGCAGAAGGGGCTGTGGATGGGTGGCTGGGAACCAAGAGAGCTGCTCGGGGACGATGAAAGAAAGGGCTAACACAAGTGAAGAGACAGTCTCAACACAGGACTAGTGTTAGATTACTTCCCGGATAAATTGACTTTGAAAAGGGGGAATGGCGATGTTGGTGGTCGCAGGAGAGATGTTCCGTGGTCAGGCCCGCAGAGTTCGCGATTTTCCCTTTTTGAGAGGCACGCGTAAAGTAGTTCTTCCGCTTCCTCTACTCTCTCTCCCTGTCACTTCGCTCCCTATATCTTGCCAAACACACATACCAAAAGAACTGCCTGTCTTACTTGTATCTTGACCTACCTTGGCTGTTCCTGATTATTGTCGCAGCAAATTGAGTCTTGTTTGTCGACCCAGGTCGAGTCTACACCGACGCCTACCAGGCTATCAGACATCAGGGTTGAAGACTCACCCTTCGTGGAACAAATCCAGGCCCTTACCTCTTGGACTCGTCGTGTTGTTTTAACAGACGGACTGATTACGTGCTTTTGTGATACGCGCACGCTCTCTGCTGCATTTTTGGTGTGATCCAGTGCACCGGACCAGGGTCATATCTCCCCGGAACTGGGCAATCAAGTGGCTACCATCGATTCGATTGAGCCCCAGTAGCCTTGCTGACTTCCGTCACATCTCTGTGCTGTCAAGCTGGGATCCTGCATCCGCAACTGATTACGCAGCCGGCTTTTGATTCTGAAGCCACCAAACTCTCAACTCTCAAGAATCTGCCTGAAGCCTTATCGCCCGCAATATGGCACCAGCAAGCCAGACTACCTACCAGAAGGACGAGAGAGTACTCTGTTTTCATCATGAGATTCTTTACGAGGCGAAAATCCTCGATCTTCGACACACGGATGCAGATGATCGAAAGAGCCCGTACGAGTATCTAGTCCATTACAAAGGCTGGAAGAACACGTACGTATGCCCTATCTCCTAGGTTTCTTGACTGGGTGCTCTGAATTTCAGCGTGCTTGGCAAGATATGGTTGTGATGTCTCGCCACAAGGGAGGAAGAATCGGGTTCCAACACCCCCTGACTTTTCTCGCGTGGCAGCTCGCACCTTGGTGGGGAAAATGCCAGCGCGTCCTCCATGAATTTTGATGTACGAATACTTATTTCTACGTGAAACAGGTGGGATGATTGGGTACCCCAGGATCGCCTGCGCAAATTTACGGAGGAGAATAGAGAGTTGGCGACTACCCTTCGTCGTGAAGCTGAGGCTGCGCTTCGCCAGAAGACCACGAAACCCTCTGTCAAGAAGAGGGGAGGCTCCGACCGCAGTTCCGCCCGGGGTAGCGAGGAGAGACAAACATCTGTTCCTGGCCGAGGGACGAAACGGGCTAGAGATGTCGATGTTGAAAAGGTTTGTTCACCTGCAAAGGATGCCGCTAAGTGAGGGGGCGTGAGGCCACCGGTATCGCGCCGGCTATATGTTTTACGTATGCTGACTATCTCCTGCCTAGGAGGAAAATTTCTATACTCGGCCATCAGTCAGAATTGTGATGCCCGACAATCTCAAATCGCTCCTTGTCGATGATTGGGAAAATGTCACTAAGAACCAGCAAGTGGTGGCGTTGCCAGCCAAGAGCTCGGTTAATCAGATCTTGGACGACTATCTCAAGGAGGAGAAGCCCAAGCGCACTGGCACATCCGACTCGGATGTGCTGGAAGAAGTAATCATGGGCGTGCGCGATTATTTCGACAAGTCTCTGGATAAGATTCTTCTTTACAGGTTTGAACGGGAGCAGTATCGCGTCCTTCGCAAAAGATGGGAATCTGAAACTGCAGACAAAGGGCCCCTTGACATCTACGGTGCAGAACACTTGACACGACTTTTTGGTATGGCTCAGAAATTCGTTCCTAGAAGCAATGCTAACCTGTATTCATAGCCACGATGCCGGAGCTCATTGCGCAAACAAATATGGACCTTCAGTCCACAAATAGACTCCGCGAGGAGCTTTCGAAATTTACGATCTGGCTGAGCAAGAATTCTGATAACTATTTTGCAACACGTTACATGACCGCAAGCAATGAGTACATTGAGAAATCTCGCGGCGTTCCCAACCCAACTCCTGGGACTGCTACCTCGCGCCTTGTCTGAGCAGAGTTATTATAAGCCTGGCTCCAGGCTCGCGGAGGACTTCGTGGCCATGTATTCCAGCCTCATTCAATCCTTTTCTTCATTCTTACGCATCTTTTTCTGCTATATTCGTCAGCTTCCGCAACAAATGGGCGGGACAAAAATTTCTCGCTTTTTGCACGCATTACTGGGATCAACCGGCTATATTGTATGTATCATTATCTTATTAGATCAGCGAATTCAGGATATGGGAATGCGAACTTTCAATCTACGGGCGACGGGAGCTCTCAGCAAATTGGAGAAATGAAGAAGCTAAAAGGAATATTCACATTTTCTGATCTGGTTTAATCCAACTGGGATCATCAGGGCATATACAGCTAGACAACTACCTAGTAAACCTAACATCTGACGGCTCTCCTCCGTCTCAAAAAGCCTGTCAACCATATATGAGAAAATGGTGAAGAAGGTTGAGAGAAGGTGACGGTCAGACAATGCCTATCTCTTGAAGAGCACCAAGATGGAGGATAACTGTACTACGCCACCAGCTGGGTAGCATCATCAACCGCACACCGCGCAGCCCGCTTCAAATCTGGCTTCCAGTCCGTCTCGCGGTATCTCGTCCACGCGCTCAAGCCCTCAGGAGGCTGGATGCTCAGCGTATCATAACCCTGCTTTATGATACGATGAACCTCGCGTGGACTCAAATTCTTCTTTTGAGCGGCCGGGATTGGTACAGGGCTTTGGCTCTGATCACCGTCGGTCTTCGTCGTGGCTTCCTCTGTCTCAGTCCCCGTGACTGCACCTGTGCCTGGGTTAAAGAGGAGCGCATAGAAATGCGTGGAGACGGAGATGAGTGTCTCGACAGCCGCGACGTGGATGTCCTTATTTGCATCGGCTTTGGAGAGCGAGGAGGAACTTGGGGAGGTCTTAAGGGAGTAAACATCGCGGAATTTGGCGATGATGGGCCCTGTCTCAACGAGTTTGTAGAAGAGGTCATCGTAAGAGGTTGGATCGGGAAGGAAGGTGTCGCCCGTGGAGACACAGAAGGCGACTAGGTCTACCAGGGATGTTGTTAGGGTTGTTATGTGTGGGCTGGTGGCCAGGTCGGAGACATAGGTTGTTAGAAAGCGCATGAGGGAGAGCAGAGTGCGCCAGAGCTCGGACCAGTGGTAGGCAAGGCGGATTCTATTCATGGAGAGGTAGGTGAGGATGCGGAGGAGGATTGCGATTGTGTGGCTGAGCAAAGTGTTAGATGCATGCACATAATGGGATGGCGGATTTTGATAAAGGCATACCTGTATAACTGGACATCAAGACGACGTCGGAGATTGTGTGAGATAGCATCGATTAAGACGTCAAAGATAACGGTCGCCAAAACTCTGTCCCCAGTTACAAGGGGAAGATAGGGCTGCCTTTGCCTACAAAGGCGGACTTTCCGCTTACTCTCCTCGCTGCAAAGCAGTTTGCACGATGTCGAGTCCTCTGAGAGAATACGCAGAGTAAAAAGGCTGAGTTCGGCGTAGTGACCAACTCTCGGAGAGCGGTATGCGTGATGCAGAAGATAAGATGTCATAGAGAGGAAGCTCGAGAACGGGGACTCTTCATTATCCTTGTCGGAAGCGGAATTGATCAAGTGGTAACCAAAGAGCTTATTCGCGTTGGTGAAATCGTAGGTTGCTAGCAGAATGGCTGCTTGCTGCGCGGGCCTGTTCTCGTTAGCAAGGATGCAGTATAGCGCAAGCTTTGGTAGGACATACAAGGCTGCGAACATCTCCTTTGCCTCCTCGGGCGAGGGGGGAGTAGGTTTCTCCTTCCTACCTGGAGAAAGCACGCCCAGTCCGAAATACATCAGAGTCCCCATCAGGGTCCAGCCCTCGGGAGAATCGTCCTGTACCGCCACATAGCCGTTCCTCAAGGCGCCGCACGAGAGGCCGACACCTTTCACAATCTTCTGAATGCTTGTTTCGTTCACAAAGTCATCGAGTCGTAGTTGGTATGGATTCTGGAACTCAAATTTGTTGTAGTTGGCAAGTAACCCCAGCAATAGGAAAGGCTCGAAAACTTGCATCGGTGACTCCGATTCATGCACAAGCTTGGGGTAGCTCAGTCAGCCTGTACACCGTTTAAAGTAGAGGGTCAATCAAAGTGCATCGGAGGACCAACTTTCATGATTGAAGGGAACAAATCGCGATGAGTAAAGTACGATACGAGGCTCGTCTTATAAGCTCCACTCGTCATAGCAATAGCCGTCCTGATGGCCTTGAACCGGATGTCATCTTAGTATGAGTTAGCTTGCAGCCAATAGGATAGGTGTTGAGGTTTGCTCACTGTTGCTTCCGCTGCGGATGACGCTATCCAAGACCGCGACGAAATTGGATATGACCTGATCCACTCTGTCGAGACCTGCCAGAATAGTGATGACGTCGGAGCTTGGGTTCGTGTACTTCTTTTTCAGAATACAAGCTAAGAAGACCGTCAAGGTCTACGTCCTCCTTAGAAACCGAGATGAAATCTTCCTCATTTGGGCTCGCTTACCTCCAGAGCATAAGCGTTTACAGGACTGGGCCCTGAAGCAGCCTCCCGGATTGCACGAGCAAAGAGTTGCTGGGTGTGAGACTGAAGGTTGAGCGTTTCATCTGGACTAAGAGCCTCGAGGATGGAATTCAGCAGGGCCCGGTCAGGCGGCAGCAGGAAGAGCTCCCTCCAAAAACCTTCTGAAGGTTCAGCATAATCTGAGCTCTAGAGAGTAATTAGCAGATATCCTTATTAGCCGATTCGGTGGCGGATAGGTCGGTACTTGAAATAAGTTCTCATAGAGCTGGACAACTTTAGGCTTAAAATAGTCGGGTCTACTTTGCTGCGTTAAGGGGGATTCCATAATGGTAGACATGGTCCACGGCCGGCATTGCAGGAAGGAAGCGACGATAATGAGCAGTAGAAACAGCACCGAGGAACCAAAGAATTACCCTGTCTTTGACTCCATTCGACTCTATTCAAGTTGCTGGCAGATAACCACCGCCGTACAAGTCGTCAGGAACGGCCACATGTGACATGGCTTGACCCAGCCTTACGTGTGGCTAGTTACGTGTGGCTTGAGTCTGGCCCATGCGGCCATGCCCCAATGTATTAGTCATAGAAGTCACTTGACGTGGGTATAAATTTGATGCCTTAAGGCACCAAAGCATTATTAATCCTCTTCAGACGCAAGACTCGCAGAGGCGCAGAGGGCTCTAAAGAACGCCCTGTAAGAAGGGGTCAATAAAAGGATCAAGTCTCACCTGGTTCCGAGTGTCATGATTATAAAGTTGATTGTCATCGGTCCAATTGTCAGGAGACAGAGCGGAGAGTGGTGCCATACTGTGTAGAAACACCTTGATGGTGATTGGTGCACCCGGGTACTCTGCTTCTGGCTGCCCCGTTTTAACCGATTCCGCCGCCAGCTGCTGGGAACTTTTCCGCCTCCAAAATACAACGAACTGCTCCGAGTCATCTCCTCTTACATCAACCCGTCACATAGAGCGCATGAACGCCTGATAGACACGCCGTTTCTCACAGCATAGAACCATCTCGCACATTGCATTCCATTTTACACACAATGTCGCTCTGCAGACCCACGATGCAATCCCCAGTGACATCATCCGCCTTCCTTCGCTGCGTGAAGCAGCCTTCCAGCATGCGCCTGGCGCCGAATTACCGTCTCTTCTCTTCATATGGAAACGCTCACCGGTCATCGAAGCGCGACATGCAGACAGCTACGGCATACCGACCTCATACTCTACCTTCTCACTTCCCGATTCCACCAAGCCCCGGGCCAAAAGATTCGTCTGTTGCCGCTGATTTCCTGTTTCCTCGCGAACCTGCGCAGCGCCGCCCAGAAACACAAACCGCCGAGCCAAAGACCAATTCCAGTCAAGTAGAGACCCAAAAGTCGAAGCCCACTGAATCCACACCCGCCACTGCGAAGCCCACCGAGAAACCTCGCAGGAAGCTCCGTCCTCGCAAGGCGGCCATGAAACTGACGCCTATTGCCATTGAACAACTTCGAAGATTGTTATCACAGCCTGAGCCGAAGTTAATCCGAGTTGGCGTCAAGAACCGCGGTTGTTCCGGTCTTGCCTATCACCTGGAGTACGTGGAGAAGCCGGGCACATTTGATGAAGTTGTCGAGCAAGATGGAGTTAAGGTCTTGATCGACAGTAAAGCCCTGTTCAGCATCATCGGTAGTGAGATGGACTGGCAAGAGGATAAGCTTAGCGCGAGATTTGTGTTCCGCAACCCTAACATCAGTGAGTAGCCCCGGTTGATGTTTGCTTGGCTTCTATGCTAATTCATCATACAGAGGAAGAATGTGGCTGTGGTGAATCCTTCATGGTTTAGCCCTCTTACATTGCACAAACAATCTTCTTGATCAAATATTACAACGTGTTACTTCCGGGTTCGTGTTTTGGTGCATTGAACGGCGTTTCTTTGGATAATTGCTTAGGACTATTGCTTTGATGAATGATTCCCGGGATACCAATCCCAACCCATGTACAATACATTAGGCCCGGTTTGGGCCTCTCCGTGAAGATGTGGTCTACCGCATGTTCACCACCAACCGCGTTCATTGCTATAGAACTAATATACAACCCTAAAATATATATGAAGTGGTTAGATCAGCGCTTTGTGATGCACAAAGCAATGCTCTGGTGCCCCGATTCCTTCTGTATCACCCTTCTAGTTCATGACGGACTCCTAGTTACTTATGCATAGGCGGTGGAAATGCCGAGGTCCAACACAGATTGCGACAATCCGTAGATGAGTACAGTAATCAAGAGACATTGCCTCCGTGGACGACGATTAGATTATAATCAGTTTAACAATATCCACTGCATATATCAGTGGCTCCTAAGGTCATCGAAAACTGCCTCTTTGTTGCATCTCTTTCGTCTGATCATGTCCAGTTTCATGACATCACGTGGCGCTGTTATCATTGTCAAGGCAACCTCACCGCACCCCATTATTCTTTAGTCCGAACATAATCATAAGATGAGCGCTGCCCTTGACCACTCAATAGTACAGAAATCACGATCAAGAAGCAATGTCCAGCTCACCAAACATATTCGTCCCCAACCCTCCGGGGCCAGAGAACAAGCCTCTCTTCCTCACAGTCCGCTTCTCCGCATCGATACCGGATCTCCGCCTTGATATCGACTTCCCCGAAACCACCACAGCCGCAGGACTCAAGCAAGCAATCCGCGCCCGTCTCCCGTCAAGTCTATCCTCTCACCGCCTTCGTCTGATCTACGCCGGTCGTGGTCTCGAAGACACAACCCCGCTCGCCGTATCTCTGAAATTACCACCTCCACCACATAGATTCTCAAAGTCCCTATCAGCCCCAGATATCGATGCTGCGGAGGGTACAGCCGCTAAACCGGACAAGGGCAAAGCGCCCGTCCGCGAACCACCACGGCTCTACGTTCACTGCTCAATTGGTGATATCGTCTTGAGCGCCGCAGACCTCGAAGCTGAAGCTGCAGCTGTTTCAACGCTTCAAAAGGACGATCATGACGCTCACGAGTCCAGCGGCGATAGAACCAACAAGGAAAACTCCCAACAACAGACTCGCCATGGCCAAGCCTCTTTTTCAACGATACCCGCGCCCCGTGGATTCGACCGACTACTCTCAACTGGGTTCACGGCGGCCGAAGTCACAGCCCTTCGGTCTCAGTTCATGGCTACTCTGTCTGTCTCCCGTACTCTGGATACGATGCCCAGCGGAGCAGAGCTTCGCGAGCTCGAAGACAGATGGTTGGACGAAGGGTCGTCCGCAATGGCGGTAGGCGGAGCTGGTGCGGGCGGGGAAGGTGTTTCCTTTACTGATGATGATGGTGGCTTTGGGTCGAACTCGAGAGGGGCTATTGACGACATGCTTTGGGGAGCGGTGATGGGGTTCTTTTGGCCTGTTGGCTGTGCGATGTGGTTGCGCAGGGAGGAGGGCGTTTGGAGCTGGCGGAATGGGTTGGCGGTGTTTGTAGGTGTTGTGGTGAACATTGCATTCGGAGCGATGCGCATTATGGGCTGATCTACTGGCCTGCTGGGATCCAGGCTTTTATGATGGCATTTTAGAGGTTTTTACGTTTTCTATGATTGGATGACTGCTGATGCCTATGATACCCTTTTTATGTTGCATATGCCATACGGTTAAAGAAAAGAAATGAATGATTTTGCTCGGTATATCAATGATTAAAACAGGTTGATTATCATGAACAGTTGGTGCTATCATACAACGTTCCGCGCTTGCCGTAAGAAGAAAGTTAACATGCTCCAATGAGTCAGATCCAAAGCCCGCTCGAACCCGATGTCTAACTGAACTTGCTGTAGATAACAGCAAAAATCAAAAGAATCAAAACGGTAATAATAGCAATAGTGATTAACCGATTCGTAGCCATCCTGCACGAGAGAGATTAGCTTGGTGCCAACAGCCAGTATTGGAGTCGATGGACTAGAAGGGAAAAAACATAAGGGTGACAGTACCTACGAGCCATTCCCTTTAGGGTTTTGATACTCTTGTCTACGTTACTCTCGCTCTGTCCCAGCATTCCGTGAGTATGCGTAATAGTCTCCCGCTGCTGATGCAAGTCGGCCAGAACATTAGCGCCGATCCCCTCAGTCTCCAAGGCAATCCGCTGGCTCTCTTGCAGCCGGGCAGAGCTCCGTTCCAAGCGTTCCGTTCCAGACAGAAGCTGCTGTCTTTGCTCTAAATGTTCATCTTGTGGGTCGTCGGTGTAGCGATCACCAAAAAGCGCCTTGCGGTCATCGGATAGAGACTTAAGTTTGCGTTTCGCCTCGTCAACATCGGAGGAATAGTTGCGAAACCGAGTATTGACTTTCGATCTTGCTGCACTAGGGATGTTCTGCTTCTCCAGGCGCATCTGATCCAACTGCGGGGAAGTTAGCTCACATGCCACCTTGCTTTGTATGACACTGAGATTGTGTCCGACTCACCAACTCTGTCGCTTCCTCTAGTGCGCGCTCCGCTTGTCGGATGGTAGAGTTGCGTTGCTCCCCGCTCAGCTCCGCAATTTGGTCGAGCTTCTGGTTTAGGTCTGCTTGGACGAGGTTAAGCTCCGTCTCATAGCTGCTGAACATCTCAGAGCCAGCATCGGTATCAAGAGGATTAGACATGACGATCTACTTGTGGGATCGGGTTGTATGGGCAGCGATATCGCAAGTCTGTTGCTGGAACTCGATTAAATTGACTTCGGGGATGTCGATAAGAGGGCGGGAGGCTGGTACCGGTAACCGTCTAGGATATGGGCCGGTGGACGGTGGGTGCCCAAATGAACGACTCGAAGACAAGGCAAAATGTAACTGGGACGCTCAGGATGAGAAGGGAGTATCGGATATTCACAAACAATCGATATGACTTGAGGAGACGACAATGATGATGATTGATGTAGCCTATGGATTGCATTATTGAAGACTGGCACGTGATCTATTGTCAACTCCGCCGAGACGTTTCTGTATCCGGAAGCTTCCTCCACTCCCCGGGGCCCATTGTTTGGACCTTTGCCATTGCTGTTGCTTTCAGCTCCCAAGTATACGAAATTTCTTACTCACTTGGTGAGACAACTTCTTTCTTATCATCAAGAATGATGATGGCTGAAGTGCTGTATAGAGCACTGAATCATCATAAGCATTAACCGACGCCTCCAACCCAATAATTGCCCCCACGGGTACAGTATTTGTACAAGCTGCAGGGTCTGGCGGTTTGTGGCACGTTCCTTTAAGCCACTAGCATCTACGGAGTACATCAATGCATTCTGGCCAGGGCCGGGCTTTAACCGGTAGATACTCCGCAATAGAACAGACCTATTTTCGTCCGGCCTGCCCGTCATCTGATACGATCAGCCTCGCTCTAAGGCTGCATACTTCGGCAGTGTGCGTCCGTGCAGCTAAGCGTGACGCAGCTGGATGTTTATGACCTGCGGGATTTGCTCAACTACCTCTCGGTGTATTTTTCTTATGGTATCCCGTCATATTTGATCTTGATCTGGGCCTCTTTCTGCCCATGTCATCCAGCATTCCGGGTGGGCAGAAGCTGAGGCTTCGACTGATGTGGACCGACTCTGACCCCGGCCCCTAAGAGTCCCAAGTGCTCAAGATCAATATTGCTGTCTGACTACTCACTTGCTTGGTTATTTTGATTTGCGATCTAAGTATCATTGCTCATGGGGTTCTCCAAGCCTCGAAAGGTCGCTGTTATCGGTGGCGGCCTCACTGGGGTCGCCTCTTTCTGGGCTCTACAAGGGTCGAGTCTCGAAGTTCACTTGTTCGAAGCCTCTCCAGAACTAGGCGGGCATATCAAAACCCTTGTGCTCGAGAACAGCGGCAACCAAATCCATGTTGACACGGAGTTGCCAACATTCAACCCTAATGCTTGTCGTCAGTACCTGTCCTTCAAGTTTGTTTCTACGGCTGACCCTCCTACTCAGCCAACCTGACCTCGCTACTTCGGTATCTGGGTATTCCCACCACGGCAGTTCCATTTTCTTTTGGCGTTCTAGACGATACATCCGTCTTCAAGTGGCATATTAGTCTGCTGAAAAGTATTTTTCGGTGCCCTCAAATCCTCTGCAAACTAGAGACCTACCGGCTATTGCTCGACGCCTTCAGCCTAAGGTGCCTCGGGGCCGATGTGCTCACTGAAACAAGGTCTAAGGGTGCAGAAACTCAGATATCGACCGAGAGGTATCTTCTGGAGAAGGGATACTCTAACAGCTTTCGGGACAGATACCTTACTCCTTTGCTGTCTACCTTGTGGAGGACGAATGCGGGAAGGTTTCTCCCAAGTCTACCCGTTAGGGCACTCGTCCATGCCTTGTGTGAACATCAGCTCCTCTCCGCATGTGAAGCTTTGCCAAAATGGCGGCGTATCGACCCCGGGGTGAGATATCTTATCGATGTCTTGGCTAGGGATTTCCCTCCTGGAAAGCTGCATCTCCAGACAAAGGTCGACGAGATTGCCCGACGGTCCAAATCACAATATGACCTTGTGACATCCGACGGACGATATTCGCATTTCGACCATATCATACTCGCGGTGGATGGCCCTGAAATTCTTCGGCTGCTAGGCTCGACCGTAACTGAAGAGGAGAGCATTGTTCTCCAATCCTTAGGAGTGACCAGGAATATTGCAGTCCTCCATTCAGATTCTCGTGTAAGCAAATCAACCATTTATTATCTGACCCATTCTGCTCCTCGCCTACGTGCATGCTTCCACTGAACCTTGGTTTATAGACATCTAGCCATCAGGTTGCGCCGGGTTATAATTTCATCATGGCGTCCAACAACCCAGGGCGACGGGACCCCGTTCCCCCTAAGTCCTGCTTGAGATACGATGTTAATGTACTTCAAGACATTCCTGTATCACGTTTCGGCGAGGTCTTCATCACCTTAAATTCACTTTCACCACCACATCCCAGCCTCGTTCAGGGAATATGGGAATTCACCGAACCCGAACCCTCAGCAGAATCACTTGACGCACAGTCACGCCTGGCATTGATACAAAACACACGAGGTCTAAGCTACGGCTTCTGCTGGACAGGCCGTGGTCTATTAGAAGACTCGATTACCTCCGGCCTGAAGATGGCTGTAGAGGACCTCGGGGCGACGGTTCCTTTCGATGTGGCATTCCATCCTCAGTCGTTGGACTCAACAGATTTTTTGTATAAACGCTCGGGGCTTCGATACAACGTGTTTAAGACTGTCTTGGAGGCAATTCGCACCATGGTTCTTGTGTTAGAGATTATTCTGCTGTTATTGGGTCGCATACACACCCCTGGATCCAGAGTAAGGTCTCGCCTTAGTCTTTCCAGAAAAAGCAGGACCTGAGCCGCCCATTCATTCTAGGAATGGACGATTCTGGAGGAATAACTCGCTATATGTGCTGAGCACTGGAAGCATCTAATCAGAAAGCATTTGACACGATATCTTGGCATCAACATTATTTATTTTTCATGAAAAAGCCGAAATTTCGCCTTTTCAGTGCATGGAACCCAAAGCGATAGAACATGGTATACATAGTATTATTCAATAACTTAACCGTCTGCTTCTAGCCTTTTGCGCCACCCTATCCTGTTTGCTGTCAAATGTAAGACACGCCCAGCCATTCAACGTTAGACCCTCTCATTGCAGCATCAAATAAGGAATTTCTCGCTATCTTGGTTCACAATCGCTGCACTTCGCTTGGAATCAAGGAAGAGGTCTTCACATTCCGCAACGTCCGCCTCCTCGATTCCTCCCGGCCGCCCATTGACCCGAGCAAGGATGCTAGCCGGTGTCAGAAGTTGTAGGGCATACCGGAGGCTGACCTTGCTACCGTGCTCGGCAACCTTGTCTAGAGCGGGGTCGGTGATGTTGAGGCCTTCTGTCTTCGCGCGGAGACGAATGATGGTCTTGATTTCGTCGGGAGAGTAGGGGTGGGTCGGAATAATGAGGAGACGGGCAAGAAGATCGGGAGGGATACCGTGAGCGGCAGAGACGTCGTCGGTGCCGCGGATGACGGTGTGGCCGCGATTTGAGGCGAGAATGACAATTGGCGATATCGAGGATTCAAGGGCGCGGTTGAGATATGTGAAGCATTCAATATCAAGCATGTGGACCTATAAGTTATATTTGGATTAGGAAACCTGTGAAAATCTAGAAACGGGGAAGTATAAGTACGGACCTCATCGATGAAGAGAACACCAGGAACAAGCTCTGCAACTCCTTGGTCAATGTAGCGGTTCACTACCTTATTGATCTCTTGTCGCAGCTTGTCTGTGATCTCAGTCTTCTTGGGCTTCATGAGTTGTCCCATCATACTCATAACATCTTGACCACCCTGCGGCCGGGCGTTGGCGATATCCAAGTCATGTAGTGTCACGTCTTGTACGATTTCCTTCTTCTTGTGGACCTCGCCCTTCGGAACTGGGACGTATTCTTCGGCCTCGAGATCGAACTCGGTCGCATAGGCGTCAGATCGCCCCACTCGCTTGCAAGCTCCCGTGTTCGCTTCAATGTAGATGACATCTCCGACTGTGACACGCTCTTTCTGGATCGCTTCGTAGATGCTGGGGTCTAAGCGTAGCTTCTTTGTGCCTTTTGCAGACTTCAACCCGATGATCAGATGGCTGATTGTGCGGCCATATCCTCCCAGTGGATTCTCGGCCTCTTGGGGTGTGAGTTCTGTGACTTCTCCTTCGTAGACTTCCTTCGTTTCCCGTACACGGAGACCTGCAAGATATATTAGCGCTTCGGGCTTATCTTAATTGTCCGTCCGACGGATTCATACCAATAGCTCTCCGAAAGTTTTCCATAAGCGCCTCGGTTTTCTTCACCTCTGCGGAGTATATCTCACTGCCGACGATCGGGCAGAAAGGGACCTTCGTCCCAAGCTCCTGAGACACGGCGAGAGCAAGAGCAGTCTTTCCAGTTCCCGGGCCACCAGCAAGCAAAACAGCCCGGCCGGCCATCTTCTTCGCCTTGATCAAGTCCACCACAACACCGGATGCCTGTTCGCGAGATTGAATTAGTCGACCTGTGCATCTATGCGGCTCTCGAATAGAGCTCTAAATGACTTCAAATTGGAAGGGGATCGCGTCGCGCACCTCTCGAGCAGCCGCCTGTCCTACCCATCCATCGCTGGAGACTTCTGCGGTTCCATCTGGACGTAGACCGAGGCCCTTGATATGCGTGTGGGCAGCTGTTCTGTTGTCGCGCGAATTGCCCTTGACTTCACTGATCTGGACCATGGCGAAGGTGGGATGCGACCTCGATTGACAACCACACGGAGATACAGAGGAAAGTAGAAAGTAGACACCAATTCGATGAGACTGAGCCTAGCGAAACAAGAAGAAGGAATGAAACTGTTGATTGAGGAGTCTAGAATACAGCTGTTGCGGAAATCCGTTCATTATTGCCCAAGGCGGTCAGCAACTCCAAATTCTTCCAGCGGCGTCTCCAGCCTCACCACTGGCGCTACTCCGTGCTCCCCTGTCCAGTCGCAGCGCCTCTGAACCTCAATTCAGAACCCACTGGCAGGCCTGCCGACCTATTCCATCATGTCTTTTCCTTCCTCCCTCTCGGCTGCTTTCCGGAGCTTGTCTTTGACAGCTTCAAAACGATTGTTCTCGACGACACGACCGGCCCAGAAACTCCCGAAACTACCGGACTACATCCCGCCTTATCCTTATAGCCCTAATTACATGTACCGTCAGTCGAACACGGGTCTCTATGGCGGTGCGACAATTCAATTTGGAAACAAAATCTCCCAAGGCAGAAACGAAGGGAAGACGCGGCGATTCTGGAAACCCAACGTGCGACGAAAGAAGATCTGGAGTGAGGCGCTGCAAGAACACCTCTTCATCAAGGTCACAAAGAAGGCTCTGCGAACAATCAGAAAGGCGGGAGGTCTTGATCAGTACTTGCTGGACGATCGGCCCGCGCGAATCAAGGAGCTGGGTCTTTTCGGGTGGAAGCTCCGATGGCAAGTGATGCAGACGGACAAGATTCAAGAACAGTTCAAGAAGGAGCGAAAGCATTTGGGGCTGCCAGAGCCACCGTCTTTTGAGGAGTGGCTGAAACAGAAGGAGGGTGAAGTTAAGGCATCAGTGGAGGAACATACCAACATCGCCGAACTCACGAAGCCGACCTACAACGAAAAGAACTATTAGCGGCAATACTCAGAACCACTCTTGCGCAAATGGCCGTTGGGTGTTTGTATTATATGATGATTGCTGGACATTACTCCCGAATGTATGGGACTTCAGAATCCGTCAAAGGGTTTCGCGCGACTCCTCAATTTTCTTGCCTTTTTGCTGTATTTATACTCTACAGGGTCATATTTTCTTTGCCAATGCAGCTGAGACTTCACAATTTGCATATACAAAGGCTTTCTTTCCAGCTTCATTCCTCAAATATCGGGGGTTTTCCAGTCTTCGGTCCAACGATGATCCCGGTCCCTGGCCTTGTTTTCCGCATGCGGTAGTACCATGTATGAGCTTCGTCGTTTCAACCTCAACTTCCACTTCTTCTCAACTCGTTGGTTGGAGATGAACATGAGGATGTAATGACTGTTCAACGAATTGACCAACATGCAATTCGCTGTGCCTCCTAGAAAGGGCCCTAGCCCTCCGCCCTATGCTCGCGCCTCACTCCTCACCTTCCACCGTCGCAAACAGCTCAAAGCGACCGCCATTTTGACCTTGGCCCTTCTCGCCGTCTTCTTTCTCTTGTCGCAGCTCTTCCGTAACAGGGCCGGGAACTCAGCAGCTCCAATTGGTACTTCGGGTGTCGTTATCGTGACTCTCCTCGACCGAGCATCGTACAGCGACTCTTATCTACAGAAGATCATCAAGAACAGGGAAGACTACGCGGAGCGACATGGTACGTCCTCACCATAGGTTTTGTCTGAAATCATTTAGTAACCGTTTGCGCAGGCTATACAAATTTCTTCGCCAATCTTTCCGACTACGACTCATACATAGGCAATTCCCCCCGGAGCTGGGGTATAGTCCCCGCAGTCCGCCATGCAATGGCGTCGCATCCCTCCGCAACCTACTTCTTCCACCTTGACGCGCATGCTCTATTCATGAACCCGAATGAATCACTCGAGGCTCGTCTCCTGAACAAGCACCGACTTGAATCTTTAATGCGCCGGGATGTCCCCGTCGTGCCTCCAGACAGCATTATCAAGACATTCTCTCACCTTCGCTCCGAGGACATTGACCTGATCGCCACGAATGACGCAGAAGACCTGGCCACGGGCAGCTTTGTGATTAGACAGGGGGACTTTGCTCGCTTCTTCCTCGATACGTGGTTTGACCCTCTGTATAGGAGTTATAACTTTGCGAAGGCGGAGACTCACAGCTTGGTATAATTTTTCTATTTATCCCGCATGATCTACTTGCTCTCTAGATGCGCCAGTTTGGCTAACCGTGTACGCGACTGCGCGTCAAACAGGAACATATCGTTCAATGGCATCCAACTGTTCTGGCTCGATTAGCACTAGTGCCTCAGCGAGTTATCAACTCCTATAGCAAGGACTCCACTCACGCTGCGGTGGATGGCACATACAAGGATGGGGACTTGATCATTCGATTCTTCGAATGCGACACTGATCCCAAACGGAGTTGCGAGAAGGAGATGGGTCCTTATTATAGTTTGTGGGCGAAGAAGCTGAAGATCGAATGATGACTACCGTTGGACAAAAGATGGGCTTCCTTTCATGGTGCCGATAATCAGCATGCTGGCATCTACTCATGTGCATGTTTAGCGTTCAACGTTTTCCATTCTCATAGGCGGCTTCTATTAACCAGTACTGATTTACTTCATTATGATTAGCGGTGAGATGCCTTTCGATAGCAAATATTATAATACCAGTACCTCACTTTCGCAATGCTCGGACCTCTATTAGCGGCAGACCTGCGCCATGTCATCATCTGTAGGGGGAAACCGCCATCACATGAGCGCTGTGTGTCCCGCATGTTCTTCAACTGCTGGGAGTAACGCGTCCACTGTAGGACCTAAAATCCTGATTCCCAGTAAGGCTATCCCTAGACCAGACCAGGAATCATGACGTATCTCTTGCGCTTGTACTTGTCGCCAAACTCCTTGCGGTAGCGACGCTCCTTCTTCTTGGCCCACAAAGCCATCGGCGCAGCGGCGACAGCAATGAAGAATAGGACGCTCCAGTTCAGCCCACTGACAAGGTAAACGCCAACCCAAGAGACAACCTCAAAGAAGTAGTTGGGGCAGGTCACAGCGCCGAATCCAAATCCGCGAGGAATGCCCCGTTCAGTGGAGCCTGGGCGGCGGAGATCACGCAGCACCAGGTGAGTGTTGAAGTTCGCCAACTCTCCGAACACGTAGAGGCCGAGACCGGTGTACACAAGGGCCGGGCTGGCGCGCGCCGTTGCTGCAGCTGAATCAGGCCGGAAGACCCAGTAGGCGATGTTGCAGCCGGCTAGGATCCAATAGTGACCGCTGTTCTTGACGATGTTGCGCGCCGGCATCGTGGCATTGCTGAATCGGTGAACGAAGACGGTTTCATACTCGCGCTTTAGGAAGTGGAGGAACAGTAGTGCGCATACAAGACGCTGGATGTCAGTTGGCTCTGGAATTTTGTCGAAATTATAGTAGAGGTACGGGCGGAGCGGGTAGAGGAAAAGAGCTGGGATCAGGAGTGGGCCGAGATATTCGATGATGAACACAGTGCGCCAGCTGATCTGGGGACCTAGACACAATAAATGAGCATACGCTACACATGAATGCCACAGTACATGTACGAAGCATACCCAGGTCCTTCACATGGAGGACTGTCTTCTCATTCAGTCCATTCTGCTCAATAGTGCTGTCCTTGGAATTTGGAACCAAGGCCCGGTCGGCAGCTTTAGTGATTCGCAGACGATGAATGGAGTAACCGGAAGCTTTGGCTAGTTGTTCATAGAGCTTCTGGGTTGGCTCATCCGGAGAAAGCTGAACCTCCTTGGGGAGCTTCCTGATGGGTTTCCCTATGTCATCAGATCAGTATGTTGCTCGCTAGCTTCAAGTGATGTGGGCATAACTCACCCCGTGACTGAACAGCCACGGTGACAGTTGAGGGAGCCATTGGAGTTTAGATTGCAATTGGATCAAGCAACAGGGTTGACTCGGTGAGACTGCCACGAATCAATTGGCCTTAAACTCAGCGAGGAAGGACAGAAGATGGCAGGGAGGCACGGAAAAAGCCAAGGCCCCAACAGATTGTCCTGGAGCTAACCTCGGCCATCTATCACGTGGCGTCGATCATATCATCCATCGGGCGAGGACGAACAACTCAACAGATTCAGCAAACATTCAATTCGAAATTGGTCCTTGGTTTTGCAGGAGAAAATACGGAGGACAACTGCAAACTGACGTCCAGCGTTAACCTTGTATTCAGCTGAAGTCTCACAGCCAACGAGACGCCAATCGACTCTACTCGGGCCCATTATCGCTATTTGGCTTAGCACAATGTGTACGGATTACGGAGTATGTATGTACGGCGGCCCCGATGCTCAGCTCTGGCCCCTGCGTTCCTGAGTACACTACCGGTCCCTAACTACGGGGCGTCCCTCAGCCCCCAGACTAGCGTTTAGCCCAGTCTCTGCGCGCTTTCGCAATAATGAAGGCCCATAGCTTCATCGCATCAATAATGGGTAAAGGGATACTGGGAAACGTTCTCATCCATGGGAAACATATTGAATTTCACCTTCGGCAGCTGACAATTTCCGTCACATCTCATCGTTGATGCAACGTCGAGCAAAAGCGTTTTCGATTCCCGACTGTCAGGCGCAGCCATTTGCCAGTTGCTGATCGCTTGAGTTTGCCGCAAATCAACCACGCGGTCCACGCCGGCTTGAGGCGGGCCAGACAGAGGGCTGCTCAATCTCTCAAGGTGCTACTACTAGACAACCTAGTCTCTTGGTCTTATCTCATCCTCCTATGATGTTGCACGACAGCAGCCTCGATCAATGAATCCACTCGGCACAGAGGCTAAGCCGCTAAGGCCGGGCATGTTCGTGTCCAGCCTGGCTTGTGTCAGGCTACAACCACAGGCCCGGATCGCGACTGGATCTCGACTAGATTCTGCACATGGCGACGAATTGAATACCTCGAAATGTCAGCTTGCGCAGCAATACTAGTCAGTAGTGACTCAGTGGGGCGTTCTTGACTGAAGTGGCTGGCTAGCTGCGCTGCGCTGCGATGCACTGCAGCGATACACCCCTGTTCTGGAGCCCATTCTCTTTCGCCCAATTCCTCCACTCATTTGGAATCCTCATATTAATACCGCTGTCAGTATCAACTGACATGGTGGCTTGTACACCTAGGTACTATCAGCCGCACTGGTGGGCCCCATTTCTCGAACAATGTCATTCGAGCCATCGCTCAAAATCTTCCGTATAAATGAGGCATCCCCCATAGCTATCTCCCAAAGCTTTTTACTCCTTCCCAAACCCTATCTCGACTATCTTTCATTGTATTCCCCTCCTTGTTAGTGTCTATAATACACATATTTGTGCCCTGTGCTTGAGGCGCTTCTCTCCTTTGGTTCTCACGTCATAAGCACTTCTTTGCCAGTGCTCAATCAAGGTATGCATCAACCTTCCACAGAAAAACCTAGTGATCAACAGCTCCTATCCTAGTGCCGAGAGCGTAGCTGACGTTGCACTTGCAGGCTATAGCATTCACTCCACCTGTTCGACTTTATATATACTACCTTTCAAGTACCGAACTCATAATGGGTGAAACCAGAGAGGCAACTATTCTCAATGGCCTGGGTAATGCCATTTCCCAAGTAGAAAACGTTGTTGCCGCATCGCTACGGCCTTTGCCCACGGCAACAGGAGATGGGACCTACATTGCCGAATCCACTCAAACAGGCTTGGTTAAGGATCTAAGCCACGTTGACCTCGGGGATGTCCGCACACTTGCCGATGTAATCAAAAGCGCAGCCACAGGAGATCCGGTAAATGACAAGCAATATATCATGGAGAGGGTAATCCAGGTCAGTTTTCATCGTGGCGACTGAGATGTGCAAATTCAGTAGCTGACCAGTAAATAGCTTGCTGCTGGTTTGCCATCAACGTCCCGCAATGCTGCAGAGCTAACAAAGTCGTTCCTGAACATGCTGTGGAATGATCTGGAACATCCACCAGTTTCGTAAGGAGCCAGGATTCTATCTACAAGCTGTTTTGAAATGTCTAACAGGCAACCAGTTATCTTGGATCTGAATCCATGTACCGCAAAGCTGATGGCTCCGGAAATGTAAAATGGCCCCGTTCATACCATTCACACCTATTGTGCTAATTCAACATAGAATCGATTCTGGCCTTTTCTTGGGGCTGCCGGTAGCGCCTATGCAAGATCGGTGCGGCCGAAGACGGTGCAATCTCCATCCTTGCCAGATCCCGAAACGCTTTTCGACTGCCTGCTCCGCCGGAGAGAATACAAAGAGCACCCTAATAAGATATCGAGCGTTCTTTTCTACCTCGCTTCAATTATCATCCACGGTAAGACCATGCCAACAATCTAATGGCAATCCGATTACTAACGGCCATCAAGACCTTTTCCAGACCGACCCTAATGATGATTCTGTGACCAAGACATCATCTTACCTGGACCTTTCACCTTTGTACGGCAACAATCAAGACGAGCAAAATCTTGTCCGCACGTTCAAGGATGGGAAGCTAAAGCCAGACTGCTTTTCTACTAAACGTGTGTTGGGCTTCCCTCCTGGAGTGGGAGTCCTTCTTATCATGTTCAACCGCTTCCACAACTATGTTGTTGAGCAGCTTGCGGCGATCAACGAAGGTGGCCGGTTTACCAAGCCTGACGAGTCCAATGTGAAAGAGTACGCTAAATACGATATGGATCTCTTCCAGACCGGACGATTGGTGACATGCGGTTTATATGCAAATATCATACTGAAGGACTATGTCCGAACGATTTTGAATATAAACCGGACAGACAGCACATGGAGTTTGGACCCGCGGATGGAGATGAAAGATGGCCTTTTGGGTGAGGCAGCAGCGATGGCAACCGGAAACCAAGTCTCAGCTGAATTCAACGTCGTATACCGTTGGCACGCTTGCATCTCGAAGCGAGATGAGAAATGGACTGAGGACTTTCATCGCGAGATCATGCCTGGGGTGGATCCAAACTCTCTGTCGATGAAAGACTTTGTTGCTGGCCTAGGACGGTGGCAGGCAGGACTTCCACAAGAGCCGCTTGATCGCCCATTCTCTGGTTTGCAGCGTGGGCCGGACGGGACATTCGACGACGACGACCTGGTTGATCTTTTCGAAAAGAGTGTTGAAGACTGCGCAGGAGCTTTTGGCGCGTCTCATGTTCCTGCCATCTTCAAGAGCATTGAAGCTCTTGGTATAATGCAGGCCCGGAGGTGGAACTTGGGAACCCTCAATGAGTTCCGACAATATTTCAACTTGGCGCCCCATAAGACTTTCGAAGATATCAATTCCGATCCGTACATTGCCGATCAGCTCAGACGGCTGTATGATCACCCTGATCTTGTGGAAATATACCCAGGTGTCATTGTGGAAGATGCCAAAGACGCCATGGTGCCAGGAAGCGGCCTTTGCACGAATTTCACCATTTCTAGGGCTATTCTTTCAGATGCGGTGGCATTGGTTCGTGGTGACCGCTTTTACACAGTCGACTACACTCCAAAGCACCTCACCAATTGGGCGTATAGCGAGATTCAGCCGAACACTTCAGTCGACCAAGGCCAGGTCTTCCATAAATTGGTTCTTCGCGCTTTCCCAAACCATTTCGCTGGAAACTCAATCTACGCTCATTTCCCTCTAGTCGTTCCCTCAGAGAATGAGAAAATATTGAAGAGCATTGGGGTTGCGGAGAAGTATAACTGGGACAAACCCAGTCGTATCTCTCATCCGACTTTTATCAGCTCTCATGCCGCTTGCATGTCCATTCTCAACGATCAAAAGGTGTTCAAAGTGGCTTGGGGTAAAAAGATCGAGTTCCTCATGCATCGTGACAAGCACCCCTACGGAATGAACTTCATGCTGTCAGGGGACCGTGCACCCAACGCTGCGTCGCGCAAAATGATGGGATCTGCGTTGTATCGTGATGAGTGGGAGACCGAAGTCAAAAAGTTCTACGAACATATAACTCTGAAGCTTTTGCATAAGAATTCCTACAAGCTTGCTGGTGTCAACCAAGTCGACATCGTTCGAGATGTGGCAAACCTCGCTCAAGTCCACTTCTGCTCTACCGTCTTCTCATTGCCATTGAAAACAGAGTCTAACCCCAGGGGTGTCTTTGCTGAGTCGGAACTGTACAAGATAATGGCTGCTGTCTTTACAGCCATCTTCTATGATGTGGACGTCGGAAAGTCGTTCGAGCTAAATCAAGCTGCTCGGGCCGTGACACAACAGCTAGGCGAGCTAACCATGGCCAATGTTGAGATTATTGCCAGGACTGGCTTCATCGCCAACTTGGTGAACCGTCTTCACCGGCGTGACGTCCTTAGCGAGTATGGCGTACATATGATTCAGCATCTACTGGATAGCGGTCTTCCACCTACGGAGATTGTATGGACCCATATCCTTCCCACCGCTGGTGGAATGGTGGCAAACCAAGCACAGCTTTTCTCGCAGTGCCTGGACTATTATCTCTCGGAAGAGGGCTCTGTGCATCTTCCTGAGATCAACCGACTGGCCAAGGAAAATACCCCAGAAGCTGATGACCTACTTACACGGTAGTAAGTAACTTTTTGTAACTTTTAATCACGTACATACTTACCACAACAGTTTCATGGAGGGCGCTCGCCTACGATCATCTGTTGCCCTGCCTCGGGTGGCTGTGCAACCCACGGTGGTTGAGGATAACGGTGAAAAGCTCGCCATCAAGGCTGGCCAGGCCGTTATGTGTAACTTGGTAAGTCAAGCATACCCCACCGCGGGACTGAGACTTCTTGATCCCGTTGCTGACGATGCCAGGTTTCTGCGTGCATGGATCCTGCTGCCTTCCAGGATCCAGAGAAGGTCAAACTTGACCGTGATATGAACTTATATGCCCACTTTGGCTTCGGCGCCCACAAGTGTCTGGGCATAGACCTATGCAAAGCAGGGCTGAGTACGATGCTCAAAGTAATTGGGCGCTTGGACAACCTCCGTCGCGCTCCTGGAACTCAGGGACAGCTGAAGAAGCTGTCTGGGCCTGGCGGGATCGCTAAATACATGACGGCGGATCAAAGCGGCTTTTCCCCGTTCCCGTCAACTATGAAGATTCGATGGGACGGCGAACTGCCTCAACTGGAGGAGGAGTAGGTAGATGACAATGTGTTATATAAAATTAAGTTGTAAGTAGCTTAATATCTATCGCTTTGTACACTATGACGAAGATATCTATGCATGATACAGCTGTTGTTTGCTGTGTACATCTAGTAGTTTCGTGTAGGTGGAGATATATAATAGCGGGTAGGGCTGAATCTCGTTTCAGTTCAGGGCTAGGTTATGGTTCTCTCAGCCAAGGATGTCCCAGTTTTAATAAAGATTGGAAGATCATCATACATATAAGACAAATGGACTTCTCGTGTATCCGTATGCTGATATCGCATCTATGTGTCATCGCTGACATAGCCTCGGATTACCTGGATGAGGGGCACGAAATCGTCATACAAGCATTCGAACTGGCAAGTCAGGTCAAGATAGGTTTTCTTGTGGTCCGGCAATTAAGCAGATGAGCAAAATAGATAATAACAAGCCATCTTAGAGCCTCAAGAACAAGAACCAACGAAGAGCCGGGCATTGTTCGCGGAAAGCGCCAGGCACGGTAACAGCCGTTACGATAGCCCGTATTACCTAGCGCTCGAAGGCGGGAGGCGGCGGGCTCGACTTCAAGCTCCATCACCAACATCATCGCATCCCTTCTGCTTGTCGCTCTCACATCTCCCCCACCTCTCCTCATCACTTCTCTAATTCCCTCTCTCTCTCTCTCTCTCTCTCTTCACTCGACATACTACTGTAATTCTTCTTAGGGGTCACCTAGCCTTTTCCGCTCGAGCGCTATTCCAGGGTTGACGACTGCACCGTTTTCCTTGCTGTTCTGCCAGCGGACTAGTAACCAACTCAGACGTATTCACTCCGCCATCTTCCCCATTTCTAAGGACACCCAGTCACTACCGGGTCGAGTTCTCCTCCTCCTTCACTCCTTCACTTTAGGGACGGTCATCGAAGCGAAGCGAACCATCCTTCCCCGTTTTCTTCACTACCTTGCTTCGGTCAAGGAAAGTCTCCGAAAGAGGAAGAAAAAAACGTCATCCATAAAAGATTCTCGCACACCTCCCCTCAACACCGCATTTTCCACGAGTTTCATCTTACAACCATCCTCTCTAGGAGGCGCTCTCCTGGACCTTTTGAAGTCTCCTGATGATTGCCTAATTGTCGAACCCTATTCAGCATGGGGAGAATCAAGAAGGTTGCGGCACAAAAGCACGAGGCTACTTTGGTAAGTCTAACTTCCAGACACATTTTGCGTTACTCCTTTTTGCAGGATGGCTGACCTGAAACTCTTTCCTCACAGTCTCCCTACCTTGCGGAATTCGTAGCTCGTGCGATTACAGTTCCCGTTCCAGAGCTGCCTTCCCACCTTCGCTCATTTGCTCGAGTTTGGCCATTCCCAAGAGGTGACCTGTATCACTGGATCAATGTCTTGAATCGCTTTGACGAAATTCTGGCCTCAGTCATTGATAAATACAGTCTCGGCAATGGCCCTCAAACCGCGCCCTTTAGCCGACAATACCTCGCGCATTGCTATACAAGTGAAGACCCTAAGTTAGACGTACGGGACGCTGAGACCAAGCTTGCGGCTTTAGAGTACAGTGCAGAGGGAGATAGAGAGCTTCTGGAAGCCATAATTGACTTCTCTAGGCTACTCTTGGAGAAATGTGGCAACCGCAGCTTGTACAATAGCAGTGAACGCCTAGGCGAGTTACTCAACACGACGTCGCTGAGCCTTTTACAGTCTACACTTCGGTTGTCTCTCTCTTTGGCACAAAGGTACCATTCGCGGCACCGGGGCGGCTCCCACCTTCAACACAGTTTGCTGGCAACGCATTACAACATCGACCTCGAGAAACTGCAAAAAATCGCGGCGCCTTTCTCCCGCCCTGCTCTGACCGGACGACCAGGGCTCTCGCCACCGGGTATCAAGAGCAAGGACAAAGCGCGTCAGACCAAACACAATGCCAATGACTTAACGTCCCTCACGCGGGAGGACGATAGCTGGGATGATTGGGGTCATGTGCACCTCCTCTATTACCCGTCGGGATCTGTCGAACAAGCGACAGCAAACGCAGAAAACGGACCGGGTGGCTCTCACGCGCACGTTCCTACGACCCCCACGCCTTTGCGCCGAAGTCATACTACCGGCTCTACTCCGCGGATTGGCCGCATCTCTTCGACTGAGGACTCACCGGTATCAGTTGTCAACACACCCGCTGGCAAACCCGAAGAAAATATGCCTGGTGGAAAAACGCTGGATATTCCGAACTCGATAGTTTCCTCGGCATCACCCGAAGAAGTTTTCTCAATGCATTCTAAAGAATTGCCGGACGATTCGAAGTACGAATTACTGAATAAGATCCGCAATGCGAAGGGGCTTGCCACCTCTCAGTCAACGAGAGAACAGATACTCGCCATAAGAATCCTCGCAATCACGAATCTGGCGTACATCTATCCAGAACCGCTCTTTCAACAAAAGATCCTCCAATTCGATATGGAGCACCCAAAACGTCTTCAACTCGCCTATCAACTGGGAGAGTTGGTCCATCTTGGGGCTAGTGGAGATCTCCCTGTCTCCCGGACTGTGCAAACATTGTCCATCCAGGCTCTCGATGCGCTAGCAAAGCACAAAGCGCGAGCCATTGACGTCTGTGCTGCGCTTAGCGTCAATGTGAATCACGGTGTTCTTATGTTCTTGACCCGAAAAGCTGTCAACGAACTGAGTGTGGAGGGCGATGAAAGTGATGAAAGTGGCCAAGACGAATGGCGGGATGCTCTACTCGCTTTACTGCGTACTCTTCCAGGCTCAAGCACTAGGACCCCGGAGACCCTTGTAGCTGCTGGATTGATCCCTATGTTTGTGGATGTTCTCAATCTTCGCACTGATAAGGCTCGTCGTGTTTATTCCCGCGTCATGGAATTTCTCGACAGTTTTGTGATTGCGGTCCGGGACGCCTTTGGAATACTTACCAACGCCAAGGGATTTGATGCGCTTTCAGACTTGATTGATTATGAGGCCAAATCTTCTTTCGACAATGTATCTCGGGGAGCGGGAATTCCAGACCACTATAAGACATCGTCAATCGATTACCAAATCCCCTATTTCCAACAGCAGACTCTACGCTGGCTGTTTCGGTTCGTCAATCACATAATGCAACACAGTGGCGGTGGATTTGATCGAGTCCTTCGGAACTTGATTGATTCCCCGCAGTTGCTTACCTCTCTGCGCCTTGTCATTGAAAATGCGCATATATTTGGCTCCCATGTGTGGAGTAGCGCCGTCAACATTCTCAGCAGTTTCATTCATAACGAACCAACTAGCTACCAGGTCATTGCAGAGGCTGGGTTGAGTAAGAGTTTTCTGGAAGCCATTACGCTCTCAAACGTCAGCGCTCCAAAAACCTCACCAGGTGAGGGCGAGTCTGTGGAGCCGTATACCGCCGAAACACAGGGCCTACCTACGGTGTCATCGAGCTTGCCCACTGGCCTCTCGGATGAGCACAAGCAGAAACCCCGGGATTACGTTGTCGCGAGAACAAAAGATGCTCGCTTAGCTCCTGGCATCATGCCCGCTACTGAAGCTCTCTCTTGTATTCCTTCAGCATTTGGAGCCATCTGTCTGAATGGCTCGGGCTTGGAACTATTCCAATCATCGCATGCCCTGGAAAGCTATTTTGAGATATTCGAGAATCCTACGCATGTGAAGTGCCTCATTAAGGACGATACGAATCTGGTTCGCTCGCTGGGAAGTACTTTCGATGAACTAGTTCGTCATCACCCGCGCTTGAAATCTTCAATCATGACAGCAATCATGGTGATGGTTGCCCGGGTCGGATTTCTGTGTAGAACCAAGGCTTGGTCACATGGTATGGGCGCGAAGTTGTGGAAAGAGGACTCACAAGGCAAGCCTATAATCTCAGGGGAACCTTGGCAGCTACTGAAAGCAATTGGTCTTGATGGCTCTGTGCATGAAAGCTCTGATGACATGCAGGTTTACGGTGTTTCTAGCATAAATACTGATGCAAAACTCCCAAACGGAGGCAAGCTAAGCATCGGGAATCTGAGCGGGCTTCTTCCGCCTTTAGACGCCCAAGTTGAGCCCAAGGATGAGGACACGGATGGACTGACGACAACTGACTATCTCTTCGCCATGTTGCGGTTTTTGGGGGCGTTCTTCGAGAACCAGTCCAACTGCACTTATTTCATTGAATCTGGAGGCGTGGAATTCATTCTGGATCTTGCTACTTTGCAGAGCCTTCCCTTTGATTTCCATAATTCCGAAGCAAATCAGGAGCTAACAGTTCTGGTCCATATGCTCGTTGAAACCAAACCCCATCTAGTTGTACCGTCGCTTATCTGTCGTGCCGAACGAATTGTTGACATGCTGAGTGATTTCTGGCAATCATCGGAAGAGCAAGGATTCTTCTCCTCCTTGGTCCAACCAGGAAAGGAAGGTCATGGAAAAGCCCCCAGCTCGGTTGACGAACCATCTAAGACCTCGAGAGATAACGGAACTTTCTTCGCGAAACATATGGCATCAGCGCTCATACTTGTCGACCTCCTCCGCGAAGCATTTTCTTTGCCTCTCTATCAATCCAGACCTAGTCAGCAGACCTCGGTCTTTGCTCAAGTCAACCTAGCCGACCGTTATAGCGCTCTGGTCAGGAAGCTTGGCAGCTTGCATGCGGCTTGCGTATGGGAGGAGATCCTGCTTGAGAAGCATATTCCGGACACTTGGGACCAAGCGACAAGAGTCCAGCCACCCCCGTCTGATAGACCTGCAGAAAACTCGGGACGCTTGGAACGAACTACCTCCGATTTCCTCACGAATGTGGCTCGTCAAGATGTGCCAACCGGTAGCAACTCTCCTAACCCGCAAACACCCCAGCCGCCTAGTGACGTCCCACCGAAACCTACCGAAGCCGGCGCAGCTTTCAAGAATGTGCAGGTGCTTCGGTATCTGCTAAGCTCGCTACCCTCTTCAATTACCGGATTCTTCCGTAACCTAGGACTTGGCTTGATTGGAAAGAGGCGAATCGAAGCATATCAGAAGCAGAATGCCACTACGGTGGCCGAGGTTATCGCAGGAGCCGTACTTGCACAACTGCAGTTTAAGGCTGCCAATTCAAGTGGTAATCAAAAGCTCAGATTCGCATACCTCATTGTCATCCTGTCGTCGTTTTCTCACCTGCTATTCGAAGGTAAGTTTCGGTTCCCGCCATGGTTCCCTTACTCCCATTCTGACCAATCTTTATAGCTGTACCCGACCGTCATCACTCCTATTACCTTACGCTTGTCCTGTTTGCCTTCAAGAAGAGCAACGGACTGGAGGTTCTAAAGGATGTCTGTGATCTGTTCGTGCGTGAAGTCAAGGCTCTTACGCCACCCGAGTCTGTCCCTGATTCCGAAACCGATGTGTCTGCGAGGTTGACGTCCGCCTATGGCGGCATCAAAATAATCCTAAGTTTTTTTGCTGAGCTAGCCTCCGGCAAGAGCATTATGGAATCAACCCAAACACAGGCCATGACCAGTGAACGCGATCGTGGGCGCCCTGACTATTTTCATGCCGGTCAATTTCTGGTGGACCTTCGAATGCAAATCCTACCTATGGCGCGCGATTTGTGGAACTCGGATTTTGCGACTCAATCTACGAGCTCCGTTGTCAAATGCCTCGTTGATATCTTGCGTTCGTCTCTGGACGGTGAATATGAAACAGGTGCAGCTCGGCGATCTGACTCCCAACCGATGCTGGCGGATGTGCAACGGAAGCGTTTCCCCATTCATAAGGACCGTGTAAAGACTTTACAGGACAAGGGTTTCGATAGCCAGCTAGTCCAGGAAGCTCTCTTTCGTTGCAACAACTCTCTCCCAGCCGCCGAGGAGTATTGCAGAGCACGGGGGTATCTTAGAGCGCCCGAGCTTATACCGCCAGAAGCGAATGAGCTCGAACCAGCCCGCTCTGCTGCTGAAGGACTCGAGGACTCGGCTGGCGGTGATGCTGCGCCTTTTGATGGCACTACATTCTTCGATCAATCACTCTCCATGCTTCTTGCCCAGGCGCACGGACGTTCAGAGGACGGTCATCGGGACACGAATCCGGAGGATTTCACAAGAGCTTTGACGCAGATGCTGACCTCAGCGTCTGGAGATGACATTGGCCCAGCCAGCAATCAGCCAGAGCCTAGCAATGCTCGCGCGAGCAATTCGGCTGAATCAGCGGAACAGCGCCTTGACCAGCAACCCACGAAGCGACGCGAGTTAGCCACCGTCGAGGATTTGGATGCTGAAAGGGAAAAGGTTCGGTCAAATCTGATTGAGCGATGCTTGGACGTTCTAAATGAACACCATGATGTCTCCTTTGAGTTGTCCGATCTGATCGGCTCTGCTATCAAGAAGCATCGGGATCCGGAAAGCTTTAGAAGAGAGGTTGGAGAACTTCTGGTCCAATCGTTGGTCTCGTTGCAGATGGAGGACTTCCAAGCCGCAGGCAAGAAAGTCGCTGCTTATGCTCATCTTCTAGCATTGGTGGTTCAGGACAAGGAGATGTACAACGCTACGTTAGACGAGCTCAAGGAGTGTTTCACAACGTTCCTTCAATTCATCGCCGTTCCTTCGCAGAAAACTCCGGACGAATCATTTCCGTGGGTGGGACACGTATTGCTCGTTCTCGAAAAACTTCTATCTGATGACGCTCAACCGCCTCAAATTAACTGGACCTTACCTGATAACGCTGATCCCGGTTCGAGGGAAGATGGACCGGCTCAGTTGCAGGCGCCTCTCATACCCCACGACGAGAAAATGCATTTGTTCGAAGTCTTGATCGAAGTGCTTCCCAGGGTTGGGAAGGACGATACTCTTGCTCTGTCGATCTGTCGAATCCTTGTGATACTCACCAGAATTCGCAATATTGCCGTCCGACTTGGCGAAAAGCGGAATCTACAACGCCTGTTCGTCATGGTTAAGCAGCTTTCCAGCTCCACAAATGAGAAACTTCAAGGCGCTTTCATGCTGATTTTGAGGCATATCATCGAAGACGAAGATACTATCCGGCAAATCATGCGGAGTGAGATTGTCGCCAATTTTGAGTCGAAGTCACATTCCCGGCCAATCGATACCACAGGTTACGTCAGACAAATGTACCATCTAGTACTCAGATCCCCGGAAATCTTCGTTGAAGTTTCGAACGAAAAGCTCAAGCTTTTGCGTTACGATAGCCGGCAACGTCCTCAGCACCTCGCGTTGAAGTCTGAGAAAAATACTGGTGCGGACGCGAAGTCCAGTCAAAGCACTGGTGACAAGAAGTCTGACAAAGCCCAAGACGACAGAGAGAAGGGGAAGGCCAACGAGCTGAAAACGCCCGTCGTGGAGAGGCCGGATGGAGTCATTCACTATCTTCTTTCTGAACTCTTATCTTATAAAGATGTCGATGACAAGGAGCCACCAGCGGACAACCCAGAGAGCCCCGTCCTTGAGCGATCGGAAACTCCGACTCAAACTGATGTTGAAATGTCGACTGACGAGCCAGCCCCTTCCGTCTCAAGTACCGAAGCCCAAGGTTCACGGAATTCAAAGAAATCAGAAAAGCCTCCCTTTCAAGCAGACGATCACCCAATCTACATCTATCGATGCTTCTTGCTTCAGTGCTTGACGGAGCTGCTTTCGTCATACAATCAAACCAAGGTCGAATTCATTAATTTCTCCCGCAAGGCGGACCCTCTGGTAACCACGCCATCCAAGCCCCGCTCCGGAATTTTGAACTATCTTCTCAATGCTCTCGTGCCCGTTGGCACAATGGAACATGATGAATCTGTCGCCTTCAAGAAGCGCAGTAACACCTCGGCCTGGACGATGCGTGTCCTGGTCGCATTGTGTACTAGAACAGGAGAGTTCGGGGGTCATGGGAGGCGGCGCAACGATCAGAGTCCTAATGAAGAGGACGAACCTGACCTGGCTTTCGTACGGAGGTTTGTTTTAGAACACGCCCTGAAAGCCTACAAGGAAGCCAACGCGTCCAACGAGCCTCTGGATGCCAAATACTCTCGCTTGATGTCTCTTGCGGACCTATTCGACAAGATGCTTAGCGGCTATGCGTTCGTCTCGGGTGACACAGCGTTCCCTTCGTCCACAAGGAAACTTGCGAAAACTATGTTCGAAAAGCATTTTATCCCCGCTCTGACGGCATCTGTTGCTGAAATCGATCTGAACTTCCCGTCCTCTAAGCGGGTCATCAAGTACATTTTACGCCCTCTGAATAAGCTTACGCAGACCGCTGTGCTCCTGAGCGAGACGTCAGACATTTCGAACATGGCAGGAACGGAAGATGACGAAATATCTTCCGCTACTTCTGTGTCCGACGACATGGAAGACGAGCGTGAGGAGACACCCGATCTGTTCCGCCACTCTACCCTAGGCATGTTGGAACCTCGCCACGACGAAGAAGTAACCAGTTCCGAGGAGTCAGAAGAAGAAGACGATGAGATGTACGATGATGAATATCCTGACGAAATGGACTACGAAGAAGAGATGGCGGAGGATGATGGGGAAGTGGTCAGTGATGAAGAAGATGAAATTGAAGGCGTCGGACCCATTGAAGGTCTCCCCGGCGATCACGGCATGGACATCGAAGTTGTAATCGATGATGAGGACGACGAGGACGATGAGGATGACGATGAAGAAGATGATGAGGACGATGACCATTCCGACATCGACGATGATGAGATCCTGGCGGGAGAGATTACAGGTGACAGAGACAATGAGAGCCTTGATGAGGGTGACGGGGACGAATGGGAAAGCGAAGAAATGTCGGAGGACGATGATGAAGCTGACATCATGAACCAGCTGGAGGACGAACTCGCAGATATTAGACACACAGACCGAAGTCATGATGGAGGCCGGCTAGATGATATCTTCCGTGCTTTAAATGAGGCCGCGGGTGGTGTTGAAGATCTCCAAGCGGACAGCTTGGGAGATCTTCATGACGACATTGTTGATGACGAGTTGAACGAAGACGATGGTTCGTTATCCCCTTTCCCCACAGGTTCACGTTCACTGCTAACATGCACTTCAGAAGACGAAGAAATTGATGAGTTGGAAGAAGAGCTTGATGACGCCGATGAAGACCAAGGCTCCTATCACGGATTTGATGATGACGATGACCTTGTTGATTCTTGGGGATGGGACGGCGACGAGCCGCCACTGCCGCGTGGTCATCATCACCACCGTTTCCGTGGTGGCTCCAACCCCGCATGGGCTGCGGTCACTGGCATGTTGCCAAGTCGTCATGGCATCGTTCCGATTCCATCGTACCGTTTGCAACGGACCCAGGTCCCGCCACGTGGCAACGACGATGGAACAAACCCTCTGCTGGTGCGAACCGATCGTGGCCTAGACGCACCTGGACAACGTCGTGGGGCCACTAACGAGGCTTTCACAGACTGGGTGCATGGTATGGGGCCAGTATCAACAGGGCGCCTGCAGCCTATGGACAGCCCGGTTACCTTCATGAATGCCATCATGCAGGCCATTGGCCAAGGCGGTCCGGGGCTTGGAGTCTTCCATCGCCAAGATGGCATCCACGTTCATGTTGATAGGAGCGCTATGTTCTCGAATCGCATTCAGGATATCTTTGGGCTGGGTAGACCTCAGGCCCCTCCAGCACGGTCTCGAGACGACCCTTCTCAGGCAGTAAGCTTTGCTTTAGCAACAACTCGAAGCCGCTGGCAGGAAGAAGCCCGTATCTTGTTCAGCAGCACATATGTTGAGAAAACCCAGCGTGTTGTCAACTCACTCTTGAAGGTCCTCGTTCCTCCGGCCATTGAAGAGACCAAACGGCAGGAGGAGGAACGAATGCGCGTCGCCCAGGAAGAGGAAGAGAAAGAACGAAAGCGAAAGGAAGAAGAGGAAAAGGAACGTAAACAAAAAGAGGAGGAGGAAAATGCTCGCCAGCAGGAGGAAAGGGAACGAGAAGAAGCAGAACGCGAGGCGTCAGATGCAGCCCCCGCTTCAGAACCCATGGACGATGTGCAGCAAACTGATGCTACTGCCGAGGCTAGCATCGCCGTGCCGCAAGCCCAAGCTGAAGCAGGCCCGGCCGAACCTCCTCGCCGAGTGTGGACAACAGTACGAGGCAGCCGTGTTGAAATCAGCAATTTAGCAATCGACCAAGAATATCTTGAAGCTCTCCCCGAGGAACTACGAGAAGAAGTGATATTGCAGCAATTGGCTGAACAGCGCTCTCAAGCTGCGGCGGCCGGTGAGGAGCCCAGTGAAATCAACACCGAATTTCTTGAGGCATTGCCTCCAGAGATCCGGGATGAGCTCCTCCAACAAGAAGCCGCCGACCGTCGTCGTCGGGAGCGCGAAAACGCTCGTAGGCAAGGAGGGACAGCAGGCCCCGCCGCTGTCCCGGTTCATGCTGAAGAGATGGACCCAGCCAGTTTTCTCGCTACTCTTGATCCGACGTTACGTTCCGCCGTCCTTGCTGAACAGCCTGAAGAGTTACTCGCAAGCCTCGGTCCTGAATTCGTTACAGAAGCCCGTGCTCTTTCAGGAGGAAGGTCGAGGCTCACCCAGTTCGGCGATATCCCACGAATTGATCATCGCCAGCGAACAGAACAAGCTGATGATCAAGAGCCCAAGAAACAGCAACGCCGCCAGATTGTACAAATGTTGGATAAAGCTGGGGTTGCCACACTGCTTCGCTTGATGTTTATGCCTCTCCAAGGCAACGCTCGTCACCAGCTGAACGATATCCTCCACAATGTATGTGAAAACCGTCAGAATCGGATTGAAGTGATTAGTCTTCTTCTTTCCGTACTACAAGATGGAAGCATTGATGTCTCTGCGATCGAACGCAGTTTCGCCCAACTGTCTCTGCGAGCGAAGACTCCTTCTGTTCCGAAAACCCCACAGTCTGTCAAGCGAAGCCTAGGTTTCCAATCATCAAATGTCAGCAACGAGGTAACTCCGATTATGGTGGTGCAGCAGTGCCTTGGAGCACTTTCATATTTGTCTCAATACAATCCTCATATTGCCTGGTTCTTCCTAACTGAGCACGACCCGGCTTCTGCTCTCAAGCTGAAGGCTTTCCGCAAGGGCAAAGGCAAGGAGAACAAAGCCAACAAGTTTGCACTGAACGCCCTGCTTTCGCTGCTGGATCGAAAGTTGATACTCGAGAGCCCTAATTGTATGGAGCAACTCTCGAGCTTATTGGCAAGCATCACCCAACCCCTCACTCTACTCCTTCGCCGAGAAAAAGAAAAACAAGCGGAGGAAGAGAAGGATAAGCAGCCTGAGCAAGATAAGGGTGAGCAGCCAGCAGAGCTTCAGCAGCCAGCAGAGACCAGCGAGACGACAGCAGCTGTTGGCTCTACGGTGGATACGAATATGACCGATGCCCCCCCGGATACCCAAGGCGGAGACTCGCAGGATGGCGTGACATCAGCAGAAACTCAAGGTGAGAATGCAATGGACGTCAAGACGGAAGCCGCAAAAAACGAAGACGAAAAACCAAAGAGAAGGACTATCGAGCCCCCAGTTATCCCAGAGTCCAATTTGAAGCTAGTGGTTCATGTTCTTGCGGCTCGCGAATGCAATGGCAAGATCTTCCGAGACGCTCTTTCCACCATCAACAACCTTTCAGCTGTCCCTGGTGCTCGAGACACTATTGGCAATGAGCTTGTCAGCCAGGCCCAGGGTTTGAGCACCACGATCTTACTTGACCTAGATGAACTGATAAATCATGTGCACGAAGCCAAGAACGGCACAGATATGCAAGGCCTGGCACTTGCGAAATTCTCTCCAGCCAGCTCTGATCAGGTCAAGCTACTTCGTGTTTTGACAGCCCTTGATTATTTGTTCGATCCCAGCCGCGCCGATAAGTCTAAAGCGAATGACACTGAGAGCTCAGCAACAGATGTTCTACAGACGTTATACGAATGCTCAACATTTGGACCCCTATGGACGAGGCTCAGTGAATGTTTGACGCTTATCCGACAGAAGGAGAATATGATGAATGTCGCAACAATTCTTCTGCCCCTAGTTGAAGCTTTAATGGTTGTTTGCAAGAATACCACACTCAAGGATACTTCTCTTGCCCGTAACAGCCGAGAGCTCTCCGTCTCAAGCGGCTCGGGTGACACAGGGTTGAGTATGGAGAGCTTATTCTTCAAATTCACGGAAGAACACCGCAAGATCTTGAACGAATTGGTCCGACAAAACCCACGCCTGATGAGTGGTACTTTCTCCCTACTGGTCAAGAACCCAAAGGTGCTAGAGTTCGACAACAAGCGCAACTACTTCACTCGCAGAGTGCACTCACGCGGAGCCGAACCTCGCCACCCTCACCCACCGCTTCAGCTGGGTGTGCGGAGAGATCAGGTATTCCTGGACTCCTTCCGGGCCTTGTACTTCAAAACCGCCGATGAGCTCAAATACGGTAAACTCAATGTGCGCTTCCACGGGGAAGAGGGTGTTGATGCGGGTGGTGTGACAAGAGAATGGTTCCAAGTTCTCGCCCGCGGCATGTTCAACCCAGATTACGCGCTCTTCATTCCTGTTGCTGCCGACAGGACCACCTTCCACCCTAACCGCCTCAGTGGCGTGAATCCTGAGCATTTGATGTTCTTCAAGTTCATTGGGCGTATCATTGGCAAGGCTCTATACGAGGGGCGTGTACTTGATTGCCATTTCAGTCGTGCAGTCTACAAGTGCATCCTAAGCCGCAACGTGTCAATCAAGGACATGGAGACTCTCGATCTGGATTACTATAAGTCTCTTCTTTGGATGCTCGAGAATGACATCACAGACATCATTACTGAGACCTTCGCTGTGGAGACAGATGACTTTGGGGAGAAGCAGACCATTGACCTGATTGAAAACGGGCGAAATATCCCCGTGACACAGGAGAACAAGGAAGAGTACGTTCAAAAAGTGGTTGATTATCGTCTGGTAGCGTCCGTTCGAGAACAGCTGGACAACTTCCTCAAAGGCTTCCACGAGATCATTCCCCCCGAGTTGATTTCCATCTTCAATGAACAGGAGCTGGAGCTACTCATTTCAGGTCTTCCCGAAATCGATGTGGATGACTGGAAGGCAAACACCGAATACCACAACTATTCAGCCTCGTCCCCTCAGATCCAATGGTTCTGGCGCGCTGTTCGCTCATTTGATAAAGAAGAACGGGCAAAGTTGCTACAGTTCGTTACTGGTACGAGCAAAGTGCCTCTCAACGGCTTCAAGGAGCTGGAGGGTATGAATGGTGTGAGCCGATTCAACATCCATCGCGACTATGGCAACAAAGACCGTTTGCCAAGCTCTCATACATGCTTTAACCGTAAGTTTTACTCCCCTGTCTTCGTTGCAGTACATCACCTAATCTTTCCATACAGAGCTTGATCTTCCCGAATATGATAGCTACGAGACTCTACGGCAGCGTTTGTACATCGCAATGACCACTGGTAGTGAATATTTCGGGTTCGCATAAGTCGGTGGCCGTCTGCTACTATCCTCGCAGGTTCTTTTAATTTTCTCCTTGTAATGCCTAAGCATTTCACGGCGTTTTGACACATGTGTCTTTCTTTTCCCTTTTGTTTTCCATGTATTTATGTACTCAATTCGCTTATTGGCTAGAGCAGGCGTACCTGAAATGCTCCAAAGGAATCAGTCGAAGTGCAGGTCGACTGACCGGGATATGAGCTCTAGGGTCCCTGCCTATATCATGTAATTCAGCCAATTCATTTTCTGGAATCAAAAGCGCAATCTTCTATTGTAGTACAACGCCGTAGAACCCGTGCTCGTAGCCATCTCCGTCATCATCTCGTGGACACCTTGATGCCTTAGGGTGGGGTCTTCAGGAGCGTCTCAGCGTGCAGCAAAAAAAGTCAGGTGCCGACGGCGGGGAAATCTTTGGTTTTTCGGAGGTCCATCCATCTCTCCGCTTGCTCGACTCTGCATGGCTATATCCAGCTCATTTTGGCTGATTTAGTATATATCATATCATACAGCTGCCTCGACTAGTATTTCCGTCGAACGCGTCTTCTTCGGCTTTCCTCCCTCCCACTCTCCGCTCATCACCCTACTCAGTCACGCCCATAATGGCGACGAATTCTATCAAGCTTTTGACTGGCAACAGTCACCCAGAGCTGGCCAATCTAGTTGCAGACAGGTGTGTCCGAGGCCTCTACATCTTCTACTATCAGCGTCCACTAATTGCATCAATTGCTCGGCAGGCTAGGCATCGAATTGACCAAGATCATGGTCCTACAATACTCGAACCAGGAAACGAGCGTAACGATTGGAGAGAGTGTCCGAGATGAGGACGGTATGAGCCCCTTACCGGCTCTCCCCTTGTTCTGAGGCTTTTTTTGGGGCAATTGAAAGTTGACTGGCGTCCTTGTCCGTCGGCTATAGTATTCATCCTGCAATCCACCCGGCCGAACGATATCAACGACGGATTGATGGAGTTGCTTATTATGATCAATGCCTGCAAGACTGCTTCCGCGCGACGTATCACCGCTGTGATCCCGAATTTCCCCTACGCCCGCCAGGACAAGAAGGACAAGAGCCGTGCACCGATTACAGCTAAGCTCATGGCGAACATGCTGCAAACAGCCGGCTGCAACCACGTCATCACCATGGACCTTCACGCCAGTCAGATCCAGGGCTTCTTCAACGTCCCCGTCGACAACCTATATGCTGAGCCCAGTATGCTCAAGTGGATTCGGGAGAACCTTGACGTTAGCAACTGTGTGATCGTGAGTCCCGATGCCGGTGGTGCTAAGCGGTAAGTGGATACCATGTTTCAGCTTAAGCTTAACCCAAGGATAAGATGTTAACTTTTTGGCTCTAGGGCTACTGCTATTGCCGATCGATTAGACCTCCAGTTCGCCTTGATTCACAAGGAGCGCCCTCGTCCGAACGAAGTTTCGCGAATGGTCCTTGTCGGCAGCGTGAAGGACAAGGTTGCTATCATAGTTGATGATATGGCCGATACCTGTGGAACCCTCGTCAAGGCCGCCGACACAGTGATGCAGCACGGTGCAAAGGAAGTCAACGCCATTGTGGTGCACGGTATCCTTTCCGGCAAGGCCATCGATAATGTGAACAACAGCTGCCTGAAGCGTATCGTTGTGACCAACACTGTCCCTCACAAGGAGAAGAAGGAGGCCTGCGACAAGATCGAGACCATTGACATTAGCCCTACGCTTGCTGAGGCTTGCCGGCGAACTCACAACGGCGAGTCCGTTAGTTTCCTGTTCTCCCACACGGTTGCCTAGGACTTTCGTCATCTCGGATAGTGCAAGGTCTTTTGTGAGGATTCTATGGGAGACTGTGGCCTTGCCTTTTTGTTCTTTTGCTTTGATATGATATGATACAACTGCGAGTAATGAAGCATGAACCAGAAACAAAACTTTTTAGAGGATCCCGTTGATCAGGTCGAAAAGTTGACGGCGCTATTGGTCTTTCCATTTCATTCTATTTCCAAATAGGTTACGAGCTTATGCATCTTTGTATATACCTTTCATGCTGTCGGAGTTCTTGTTTTTGGATGAGCTTGTTACATCTAGAAGGTGTCCCAACATACAATGTCAGACGTACTCTGATTGCTCTGGTTATTTGTGTTTTGTGTTCATCATGACTCTGCCCTTGGGATAACGTGAGCATTGTCAGGCATTCTGATTTTCTATTTTTCAAGGCACTGAAGCCATTAGGACTGTGGCATCTACCACGGTTTAGTAGGGCTTTGTTGGCTAAGGCTTGTGATATCTTAGGCCAGTGCCCAAAGCATCAAAAGACTAAAAATAAACATTGGGCCACGCTTTGACTTTTCCTCTGCCGACGTCCAGAAAGACTGGATGTTGATTCAGCTTGCGCAGTTGAGGACCAAGGGCTGGATGGTTTCGGGACTTGCATCCATCCAAAGCGGGGTGGCCGGCCGGGACATTATAGTGTGGAATGTGGAACCAACAATAAATCATGAAAAGCGTTTTGATTTTTTAATCCACAGTCCAGCATGAGGAAAACAAAAGAGAAAAAAGAAGAGATCCGTGATAGATCGGCACAGCACGACTTGCTTCGTTCGCTTCCCTTCTTCTCTTCCCCGAGGTTCGGAGGCAGAACCACTCTTCCTCCCAAAAGAGTGTACTCCTTCTCTAGCTTCAGTTTAGTTCAGCTCAGTTCAATCCGACACGCTACCCTGATAGTTCTCTTTTACAGGATGATGAAAAGATGCAGATGCAGATGCAGGTGGGGAAGAGGTAGGTATGACCGTCGATGTCTTGAGATTTCTTAATCCTTTTTTGAACATTTCCTTTCCTTTCCCTAGCCATAACAGAGAGACGTACGTAACCCGACCATTAGAAACCCCTCGGAGAAAGAAAGAATAGAAACCAAAACACCCCTCTACTTCCTCATGGAAGACGCCCGTCGCTTGCGGAGCTCGTCCTTCTTGGCCTTCTCCTCGTGGACGCGGGTGGCGAGGAGCTTGGCGTAGTCGTTGCTGTATATCCGTTAGTTCCCACCTCCGATGCTTGTGCCAATATTTCCGGGAAGACTTACGCAGCCTCGCGAGCAGCCTCAGAGCGGCGGCGCTTGAGAGCAATCCTGTGACGCTTGCGCTGGAGACGCTGGGGAGTAACCAGACGCTGGATCTTGGGGGCCTTGGTGTAGTCCTTCTTGCCCTCCTTGGTGACAGTGCGGCGGATGACGAACTTGCGGACGTCGTCCTTCTTGTCAAGACCGAAGAAGCTGCGGATCTTGGTGGCGCGCTTGGGGCCGAGACGCTTGGGAACGACGGTGTCGGTGAGACCGGGGAGCTCACCCTCACCCTGCTTGACAATGCTGAGGGCGAGGACGGCAAGGTCCAGACCGGTGATGGCACCACGGACGGACTTGCGCTTGCGCTCACCCGTGCGGCGGGGGCGGTAGCAGCTGTGGCCGTCGGCGAGGAGGAGACGGGTACGGGTGGGGAGGAGAACTGTAGGGAAGGTGTGAGTTTCTCTGTCTGGGCGTGTAGTCGGCTTGTTTTGGGCGGCGATTCGTTACATACCACCCTGCTTCATGGGGAAACCTGCGAACCAAATATGTTAGCATTAGATTCCATCGTCGACCCCGACAACAATTTCCACGCATGACATGTGCAATGATCCGGTATCGCATCCATATTCCACATTCAAAAGCCGAGGTTGTTGCCGAGTACCGAAAATCGAGATAGTCCAGTCGTACCTTGCTTGTCGTTACCACCAGTGATCTTGAAGAGGTAACCCTTGAATTCGTCACCGAGAGAGTCGCCGGGAATCTAATAACCAGAAAGATGCCGCAATCAGCCACCAATTCTCATTTCATTCATCGTGCGTGTTCATGTTCCTTTTGTGCGTTCTTCGCGGAGGACGGATTTGTGCTTTGCTTCGGGGATGGATTGGACTCGACTGACTTCGGTGCCCATGCGCTTCTCCATGAAAGGGCGAAGCTTGCGCTCATCGTCGATTTCGACGATCTTCTGCGACCCATTGGCCGGGTAGGAAATGTTGAGCTTCATCTTGACGTTGATGCGCGGTCAAGACGGAGGGCGCGGGATTGTCGACGGTCGAAGTGGTGCGTTCGGTCGTTCAAGCGAAAGACAAGTGTGGATTTTTGTGTCTATTTCCTTTTGGTGTAGCGAGAATTCGGTCTGTGGGTGGCTGACTCAGCGACTAGCCCAGAAGGGCTAGCGCCTCGGTAGGGCTCTTAGTCACGGCGGTAGACACCTGACCCTTCAGGCGGTCGAAAAACTATATTCAGTCAGGCATCGATTCGATTCGTCTAACTGGAATCGATCTTGGGAGGAGTTGTTCTAGTCAAGTTCTGCATGTTCTACATTGCAGTAGAGCATAGATTACTACGAACTGGTCTTCTAGACTTGCCCAGCAGAAGTTCCTAACACAGTTTCCAGCTCTTGCGCAGCGTACGTAGTCTGGGTGACGCAATCCACCAGAGTTCCTCCAGTCTCCGGTCTCCAGACGGAGAAAGTCCATGATAGTTACCGTTAGCCTTACAACTGACAGGACCTCTCCCCTTTTCCTCTCTCTTTTCTCCTCCTGCCCCTGAGACATGTATATATCCACTTCTTCTTGCTATCGTTAGAGTATTCTATCGCTCGCTTCTCTTTAATCGCTCTTTTCTTCTTCTCCCTCGCCTTGCTGCTTCTCATAAACTCCGCCCGCCAGTTCTCACGCGACACTGGATACCCACCCCGGGCCATCTCCGGCTCTCGACTACTCAGCGTCCTTTCAACTTTTCTCCCCAAAACCCGACTTCCCGGAATCACCTGGCCCCAAACTTCGGCTTTTGCTCCGTCGCCTGATATCAAATTGGTGATTCGAGATTCAAAATTGCAGGACAAAGAACGCTCGCCGATCCCTGTTACTTCACTTTCTAGGCGCCGAGCCTGGCTATCGCGGAATTCGGGATAGCCGTTTCTTCCTATACAGCTTTGTCTCTGGAAGACACGCCCGAAAATGAGGCTTGCTAGCAAGTTTCACATAGTCTGTGCCTTTGCGGTGTTCAGCATTCTGCTTTCAGCCTTGTTCCTCGGTTCCCAGCATTTCTACTACCGCAAGGTCGGCGCGGCGGACCAGCCAACTGTGGAGTTCCAGGCACCGGCCTCACCTGACCGCAGGCTAGTTGTGTTTGGTGATACCTGGAGCGATAATAATGCCAAAGAGATCCAGGGTGGGAAAGTCTGGACCGACTGGCTTTGCTCTTCTGTAAGTCATGACTCCAGCCGGGTGAATCGGACCTACCAAGTCATAGCTAATTGGACGACATTTTAGTTCTCGTGTCATCACGAGAACCTTGCGCAAACTGCCAAGTCTCTGAAGGGGACCTATATTGGGTCTGTCGTTGATAATGAGGAGCTTGCGGGCACCTTTCTCAACTTGTACAAGTCCCCGTTGTCTGACTTCAAGGCCCAGGTCAAACAGTGGGTGGGCACTGAGACAAAGGCTATTCAGCAGCTCGACGAGGCGGTGATCCATGATCGCCGCAATCGCACCATCGTGGTAGTCTCTTTTGGGGTCTGGGACTTGTGGAATATGATAGAGAAGGACTACGAGACAGCCACCAAGTCTGTTGATCACATCGTTGAGGTCATCATGGAACAATTGGAAGTACTGTCTCAGAATTGGGGCAACGACGACCTCAAAATCATCCTGACACTGGTTCCCGATGTGACCTTCCTTCCCGCCTTCCGCCCACACGGGGATCAGAATGTTTCCACCTACAAAGAGACAGTCAAGCTTGTTTCTCACTGGAACAGCAAACTACGAGGCGCAGCGGAGCAATGGGGGAGGGGGGCCATTTATCTTTTCGATACAGAGTCGTTTGTCACCGATCTTATCCGAGATCGCCAGCTTTTTGTTGCGGGTGTTGAAGAATCCAACGGGCTGGGAAAGAACCAAGACCCCGGCTGGGAGAATGTTGAGGACGCCTGTGTGGAAAGCAGTCAACAGTGGGTGGTGACATCAGAGAACAAGCGCTGCGACCATCCGGACAAGTACCTTTTCTGGTAAGGCTGAAGCATTATTAGTGTCCTTTGTGCTTCGGGAAGCTCAACTAACATGGATGGTAGGAATGATATGCATCTTGGCCCTTCTGCACACCGATTGATGGGCACAGAAGTGTACCATGGAATCGAGGAGATGTGGCTCCGGTAGCCCAGAATGCAGATCGTTTAATGAAAGGCTAGTGTTTCTCAAATTGTACATGGACCGATCACGTCGAAATCCGATCCATGGGAAGGGTACAACTACAAGCACGTTCCTGCAGAGAGCTAGGTAAAGATAACGGCCGGTTCCCGAGACGACTCAGAAGCGAGCGAACGGACAAGGACGGAGAGCTGCGTCTCCGGCTGGCTGGCTCGCTCAGCCGCTCAGACGCCGGTTCCAATCGCTGCTACTAGTGGGTAGTAAGTCTTAGACACCGTGTTCACCCAGAAAGTTGGAAGTAGACACCAGAATGACGACCAGCGGCAAGGGTGGACGGCGAGACGCGGGCTTGACAGGGTAGTATGCTTCCAGAAGCGAGCGAGAGGCCTGAGAAAGGGGTCAAAGGAAGAAAGAAACGTGGTTGTTGTAACGCGATGATGAAAGCAGTAGTTGTCGGTGGATCGGAATGGGCTGAGGCCGGTAGGAATGCAAACTTCAACTTCCACCAGAACAGAATTTCAAATTTCGAAGATCGCATCTGGTAAAATCAATGCGAAATCTGGCAAAAGCCGGGGCCTCCATGACTCTCCTTAGGGCGGGTGGGGTGGGATCTGCCTGGAGTTCTTTGTTCTCTTATTCTTTGCTTTTTTCTTTGTCTTTCGGAGATCTGTTGGTGATGGCGTGGATGGTGGTTGGCGGAGGCATAATGGGCAGCACGAGTGGCCGCTTGGAACGGCGCTACTACTCGGTAGCAATCACTGGCTGAGCGTCACACCAGGACCGAAGCTATTCTGTGCTGGTGTGCCGCCATTGGGTGGTAACCCCCTGCAGCGCCGCATGCGGGAAGAACAAAGAACTGCCCCAGGGAACAATAATCGCACTTCCTATCTAGCCTACTATCCCACGATCCTTCCAGCCTGTTTGGGCACTGCTACCCTGCCTACAGAGTTGCCCTCAGTCAGTTCTTGGTCCATTCGGTTCCTGGCCCATCTGGCCCATCTTCATGCCAGTTTGCAGACAATCAAAATGTTTCATTCCCTGTTTGGAGGGCGACTGCCAGAGTGGAACGCCAGAGACAAAGAAGCAACAAGCAGGGTCAGCGCGAGGCTAAAGAGGCTAACTCCAGGCAAGGTCGGCCTTTAAGAGAACAAAGGACTTGAGAATCCAATCCCAGTTTAGGAGGCACAAAAAGGAAATCGCGAATCAGATTAATGGTCTGGTCATTTTATTATTTTTATCTTATTTACTATTGTGGCCATTCAAGCACGAGGCTGCAGTCATCGCCCAAGGCCTTATACATATCGGCTTTCTTTCTTCTTTCTTCTCCTCCCTCCTCTTGCTGCTTGTTCCTTTCTTTCTGACTTCCTTGCCCCATCGTTTCTTTCATCACTCTGCTCTGTCTCGTGCATTCGCCTCCGCCTCTCTGCTCACTGGCTTTTGTATTAATTAAATGTCTTACGATCGAGTTCTCCCAAAGCCTCCTGCTTTGCATCATGATTCTTCTCTATCAAGACCGACCAGCAACCTTCTCGAACACAAGATAATGAACAACGATTCAACCATGGCTGACCATCGACCTCCCTCGTACCGCTACTCTGAGAGCTTGCCAAAGGTCGATCTCTTGTCTCTTCATCGCTCTAGGGTTAGCGTGGACAAGGGTTCACCCGGTCCCTCAGCTGCCCTCGAAGCTCCCAAGCCAGGATCAGCCCTTCCCACAAGAACCATTCCAATGAGAGAACGGCCATCTATTGCAGCAGATCGCTCGGCATCTTCCAGTCCGGTGAAGTCAACAGCTCAGGGTCCAAGAGATTCTGTCACCCAGTTCTGTCTCTGCCAGCCAGATCCTAAAATCCCTCGACCTCGCAATGGTATGTCAATAATCATCTCTTCCAGCGTCACACAATAAAACAGATGCAAGCAGCTGCTAACTATCGTTCACTACAGCTTTCATTCTCTATCGTCAGCACTACCAAGGAGCAGTGGTAGCTCAGAACCCGGGCTTGGCTAACCCGGACATCTCCAAAATCATTGGCGAGCAATGGAGAAAGCTTCCGCAGGCGACCAAGGACGAATGGAAGGCTCTAGCAGAAGTAAGTCATTCTGACAAGGCTCTAATCCCGCGCTGTTGCTCAAGCCGCTAACGTGGTATCAGGAAGAGAAAGCACGGCATCAGCAACAGTACCCCGAGTACCGATACCAACCCCGTCGATATGGTCGCGATGGGACTGCAAGAAGTTTGAGCTCGGGGCTGGGACATAATCCCCCAGGTTCTACCATCTGCAACAGGTGTGGAGGCCGGATCATGAACCCACCCGCATCCCCAGACGCTGGATTTTCTGGCGGCTCTGTGAGCAGCGGAAGGTCTTCATATGCGGAACAAGGTTCCGGTCGAAACTACAGTGTGGACCAAGGACCAAGAGGCATGAAACATGGAAGCCAAGGCCATCCAGAGCACCGTCTCTCCCGAGCACGTCAATGGGAAGAGAGCGGGTCAATGTCTCCGGACTCAAAGCGACGCCGAACAAACCCCAACCCCCATGTGCCATTCAGGGCGGAGTTCCACCGCGACAAGAGCCCGCCAAACTCACCATACTCGGTACAGCCTGGTGCCGGTCGCACAGAGAGCATGAGCGGCCCTCGGAGCCTCGGCCACGGTCATGCAATGCAAGCCCCTCGGGGTCTTCGTCCAGTAAAGGAGCACCCACAACCGGATCCCAGCCTGACTCTCCCACCGCTGAAAACCCAACCCTCGCTATCGGCAGGCATGACACCCATCACTCCATTCGCGCAGGACGGCTTCCATAAGGATAAAGGATCAGCTGTGATGAGTATTCCATTTCTGAACAAGATCAAGCTGCTGGCGAAGATATCACCTCAGCTCCCATTGTCTTTCCGCGACGGCGACTCCAGGCGTCGCGGCCCCGTCATCGCTGTCGATGGACAAGATACAGCATTGGTGAAGAATGTTACCGAATACCTCAGCAATGCCTTGTCAAAGGAAGGCAAATTCCAGGTCCGCGTCTTTGATGGCCCGGAGATCTCAGAGCCAAAGCAAAAACGCGAAGGCAGCACCGAGCCCGGGGAGATGTGCGACAAGCAGGTTGAGTACTGGGGCTGCATCTCCAAATGGCATCAGGTCTCTGAAAAGGTCAAAAGTTTTGTCAAGTCAGAACCACCACGCCGTTCCATAGACCCCGGATCAGGTGAAGAAGGGTCCCCTCGTATCTCGCCAAAAACCGCCAATCCCGACAAGGCCACTGCTGAAGCAAACATAAGCTCCCCGCCCGCCTCTAGTGATAATGGGTCAGAGGCTGCATCGTCTCCTCCCGAGACTGCGTCAACCCCCAATCCCACCTCCAACTCCCTCCGGGTAGCTATAGTTCCGCGGTATCAGCTTACAACAGCCGACGCATATGCATGCATGGCCCCCATATCTGACCATTACAACGTCGCCGACCATTGGCAGTGGATGGCATCTCTGTGGCGCGGGGCCGTGGGCCCTGACATCACAGTATACGTCCGCGAATGCGACGTACAGGAGCTGAGGCAGGTTGGAAACCCCGTCGAGATCCGTCTGCAGGACGCGAAGACGGTTGTCGTGCGGAGAGCCTCAAACGCCCCGGGCCCGAAGGAGCTAGAAGAGAAGGTTCTAAAGCGGTTAGGTTTTGAGATTGAAGATTACCTTACGCAGTAATTGTAGCTTTTGTTATTCCCGAATGTTTCATTCTCATTGTCGGTCGGTTTAGCATAATGGTGGGACAACTGGGAGGTTATCTGTTTGTGACCTGCACTTACTTGGGGTGGACTATTGGACGTTTTCTGGATTCATTTGCGGAATGGATGGTGTTTGTTGGTTTAGTAGTTATTTCAGAGTAATAAAAGTGCTCTAATTGGTTTCTCAAGGTCTTCTTACTCTATACGCAAATGCACAATAGTACACTTATATATAGTTCATATCGCCTTGTATCAATGCAAGTGGATACAGGTCTTCCTGGAAAGGATCCAGATGATTCGCGAAGCTGCACAAGCAATATATTGTGTTTTAAGTTCAATGTTTCAGGCTTTCTAACATTACAGTCCTTACCGCTGTTGGTAACATGTGTTGATTTAGAGACAGACTTGATCAATACCAAGCAAATATGGCAAGGTCTATTCACCTCTACCAGCAGCTAACACTACTGCGTACGCTTTTGCTGCAGAACTCTGAGGAGCCCTGTCCGTCCCGCTCCAGATGCAATGCCCATCGGTCAGCAGTTCTATCTTAGACACCCAATCCCATAACTGTGCTTCTCTGATCTGCACGTACATCAACATAGGTAATACCGGAGTACTGGTAAGCGTGCTGAAAACCTGCTCGGATGGATATGGCAGCTTTGTCGTACCCAGGATACCTGGCTTGGGGCCGGACATCTCAATGCGTGCGATTCAAGTGGGTTGTTCGTTAGGGGCCGAAGGCTGAGGTTCTGGCCTGGACAGCAGCGCAGTTACGGGCTTCAGCCTCTGGCTTATGGCAACAATAACTATGGCAGGCCAGTAATGCCAGCATCATATATACCGTACAATATTTCCTGAAAACGATGAGGATAGCCTTTTTGCTGACTACCTAGTGATAAAGTTGATGGAGCTGGAGAGAGTTGAGGCTCTTCTGTTGACATGAACAGAGGCAGACGCAAGGGATATAAACGGTCCGGGTCCGCAGGGAGCCGCTGTCAGCCTGTCATAACCCCATCTTTAAACTACCCCAGAGCATGAGCACCATTTGTACCTGGTTTTAGGGCCAACGCAATAATGAGAGAGGCACCTAGAGTGGACGATGGGCTAGGCTACCCTGCAGAGTTGATTTTGAAAAATGCCAAGAACCTCATGGCAGCTGCGATGAGAGGCACGTGACAAAAAGACCCACTCTTTCGTATCAGGGAAAGCGTAGGCGGCAGTTCCATGAAAAATAGCCCCAGGAACATATCAAGCCTTAATCTCTCCCCTCTCTTCACCTATCTATTCTTATTTATAATGCAGAGATACGGGCCCGAGGGCTCATTTAGACATGGGACTAGGACATAGTCAGGAGAAAGTGTGCTCTGGCTTCCCACTTCTTGTCTCAGATGAATATTTTTATCCTCAGGTGTGTTACTGTCTTCATTCACTCAGATCCAAACGAGCCAGATCATTGCAACCAGGCCATGTAAAATCTTTCCGAGGCTATGGACTCACTTCTTTATGAAGGGAAGTAACACAGCTCCTAGTGAGCCTTTTCAAGGACCCTTCTCCATAATGGTTCCTCCACACTTCATGGAGTCATCGTCTCCGCCCAACACTTCTGCGGATAGTGTTGGCGTGAAGTTCACATCTGCAACTTCATCCACTCCCGAGTCTTTGATAGGTACTCCGAAGACCGAGATGGCGCTTTTGCTCGAGAACTTGGACTCGTTTATTGCTGTGGGTGTTTTAGAGCAGGGTGATCCTGGATTTCCTGCTGCCGAACTCGCTACCTTGGAAAAGCACAAATGGATACGAACCACCGTTCACGAAGGCCAACACGACCTCCAAACTCGCTATGTTCGTGTCTATGTTTTGCCTGATGATGTTGGGCGGAAGTTTATACCGCGCTCCAGCGCCCCACTTAGAAGAGCGCTGAAAGCCGTCATGTTGAGAGTGGATCCTTCGGCTAAGGCTTGGACTGGGGAAGGACGATCTGGTGAAAAGATAGTGGACCTCTCTTCTGTGAGTGCCGATGACGAGTCTCTATGGTATATCTTCAATACTCTTCAGGATCCCAGCCCTGATGTGGAGACGATCCGGGACCCATATGCCAAGCAAGCCATGCAGGATATACTATCAATCTCCGCTCTTGACCAGGCCGACGATGAGGAAGGCCAGATGTATACCGGCGTTCTTGGACTCAAAACATCACTATATCCTTACCAGCGACGTTCTGCTGCTACCATGATCCAGCGAGAAGTACAACCTCATCAGATGTTGGATCCGCGCCTTCAGTCATGTACAAGTCCAACTGGCCGGGAATACTACTACGACAGGGAGAAAGGCAAGATCGTGCGGGAGAGAACACTGTATTCGGAGGCTTGTGGGGGAATACTTGCGGAAACCATGGGTTGCGGCAAGACTTTGATTTCTCTGACTGTGATTCTAGCTACCCGTGGCCACTTTCCGCAGATACCTCTCGAACATCAATCTATACGGATTCCCAAGAGACCTCGAACCGGTAGCCTTCTGGACATGGCGGCGGCGACCGCAGGTCGGTTGTCTTTACCCTGGAAAGCCCATTTTGATCATTTTAGCCAAACGGGAGAAGTTTACGATCGGTGTATCAAGGCTTGCGAGGCCAACCGTGGCTCATATATCATTCGTCCGCCTGCAGGGAGATACTCTGGTCGCACGCCTGTGGAATACCCTCGCCTCCATCTTTGCTCTGGGACTCTAATCATCGTACCACCTAATCTGCTCGACCATTGGGTGAGCGAAATTGCCACACATACTGAGGGTCTGAAGGTTCTCACGTTGCGGAGCGGCGCAGACCTGACGCCGCCTCCTGAGGATCTCTTCCCCTATGACATTGTCCTTTACTCGAGAACTCGATTTGAGAAAGAGGCGGAGGACTCTAGCGAAAAGGGCCGAAACCAGCCTTCCCCGTTGACAAAGCTTCATTGGCTTAGGGTTATTGTTGATGAAGGACACAACGTCGCCGGCCACGGACACAAGACGACCATGTCGCATCTTCTCGATCAGATTCGCGTGGAGAGACGTTGGGTCGTGTCTGGTACTCCGTCTAACGGACTGTATGGGGTTGAAGTCAGTCTGGCTTCCCAGGAAACACACACGACCGATACAGATTTGACCGAGGCAACCACTGCTGTGCTTCGCGGAAGGAAGAAGACTGGAAAGGGTGTGGATAGCGAACTAAAGGATATTGACAAGCTGCGTCTAATCGTCGTTCACTTCTTGGGTCTCAAGCCCTGGTCTAATTCGAGGAGTGACGACCCTGCTGACTGGACAACGTACATGAAGCCCGTGGGACCAGACGGGAGGCGGCGAAAGGCGCCATCTCTTCGCGCAACCTTACAAGGCCTGGTTGTGCGCCATCAGTTGGACGTCATTCACCGTGAAATTCCTCTGCCCCGGCTGCATAATAAGGTGGTCCATCTTGAGCCGACATTCTACGATAAACTGAGTCTGAACTTGTTCATCTTCATTCTTGCCGTTAACGCGGTCACATCGGAGCGACAAGACATAGATTATATGTTCCATCAACGCAATAGAAAGCATCTTGGCCGCGTCATCAGCAATTTGCGACAAGCTGGGTTTTGGTGGGCAGGAACCGACTTCGAGTTACAAGCAACGGTCGAAGTCGCTACTAATTACCTTGAGAAGAACCGGAACACAATGACCGAAGCCGACATCGCACTACTCACACAAGGAGTAAAGATAGCTCGAACAGCGCTTGATTCTGGCAGCTGGAATGGCTTCAAGAACATGCATGAACTGGGGGTCTTTGTCGCCGGTTTTCCGTCGGAGGCCCGAGGCTTTTGGGCATTAGATCCCGTTCAATTCCAGCGCGAGCCTCTCTTGCTTGGGATATCACAAGCTCGTCTCGCCCAGCAGTTTGTAACGAAGCATCTCCGAGCGTCCGATCCAGCTGAAGGATTATCAGGCGCTGGCATCAAGATCCGAAGGGAATTGTCTCGACGCGAAGGATTTGACGCCTCCACTGCTGCCCCCCAAAAAACCACACCAGAGAGTCCGGTGAAGCGCAAAGCGAAAGAGACCTTCCTGAAGGGTCTATACGCGGAGTTGCCATCTGACTCGCCGCTCACACAAACCAAGCTAATCGCCACTGCGTCAGCCAAACTAACGTATCTGCTGGACCAGGTTCAAGAGCACCAGAAGGCTGAGAAAATCATCATCTTTTACGACAACAACAACTCTGCATACTGGATCGCCGAAGGCCTCGAACTCTTGGGGATCGACTTCCGGATTTACGCCAACACCTTGAAGCCATCGCTTCGTGAGGAATATCTAACCCTGTTCCGCGAATCAGAACAAGTTCGTGTGCTTCTCATGGATCTCCGCCAGGCCTCGCATGGTCTGCACATCGCACACGCCTCGCGAGTCTATATAGTCAATCCTATATGGCAGCCAAACGTCGAGTCCCAGGCCATCAAGCGTGCCCATCGCATTGGACAAACCCGTCCAGTATTTGTCGAAACCCTCGTCCTCCGCGACACCCTCGAGGATAAGATCCTCCAGCGCCGAAAAGCCATGGCTGAGACCGAGATTCAAAGTGATCTTCTCGACGATTATACCATGAGCTCGATCATCCAGCAGGAGCCTTTCATTCCCATGCCCTGCTGCGAAGACTACACGTCCCTTGCTTTCCTCCGCCACCCCGCCGGTTTCTTCGACAGACACCGTTTACCAATCCCAGATAGCGCCGAACTAGTTCCGGGTCCGGCGACGGAAGCGGAAGTGGAAGTCGAAAAATACAAGCTCCCCATAACGCCGGTGAAGCGCAGGCACAGTACCACCAAAACTTCACCTGGCAATAAGGGTGTTGCAATTCTGGAACCGGATATTCTGTCACCCTCGTCAAAGAGACGGCGGACGTCACCACGTCCACAGTTTCTCGATCCGAATGGGATAATCATGGAATCGCCGAGTCCGGGAAGGAGCATTTCTCCTGCCTACGTTACCTTGTTCAACTTGACTCCGAGTCCGTAGTCTAGATTGGGCATGTTGTACCTGATTTGGTGATGTGCTGTTAGTATCTATCCGTTTCATTTTTTCGGATACCCTAAGATCAATGAACGATGTATTTTCTGGGCTTATTCATCTTTGAGGCTCATGTAGTTAGGGGTTTTGAAGTATTATAGTCTGGCTCGCCCTTCAAATCTGCCGGGCAAGCGCCTCATAATCAACCATCTGAAAGCCCCCTGTCCTCCTCTGGACCTCGGGATAGTGTCAAACTTACCTAATCCGGAAGCCCACCTTTATCACATGACATCACACTTATCCACAATCCCCACAATTCCAAGTACCATCATTCTTCTTCCCAGGATCTGTCAGAGTAGATGCTTGGTACCTTCGCAGATACCTTGGCTCCTGAGCGAAAGAGGAAAAGAGAGGACAATGCCAACGTCCATAATCGGCCTCTCGGGCCCCTCCTCCAGCGGGAAAACAACCCTCGCCCGCCTCCTGCAGCGCATCTTCTCCAACCAGCCACAAGACCAACCACAAACAGGGAAACAGATATCGACGTTCATAATCCACGAAGATGACTTCTATCAACCTGACGACAGGTATGTCCTGTCACCTTACCCGCCGCCCCTCTTATCTTTCTGATTTTATGAACGAGATGACACACCCATTCCCCTTCTCGGACAAGGATTCCGCTAAGAGAAACACCCCAGGATCCCCTACACCACGACCAAATCCGGCGAGCGCATCCAAGACTGGGACTGCCTGGGCGCCCTGGACATCAACTTCCTGACCGCGGCGCTCCGCTACGTGCACGAGCACGGCCACCTCCCGCCCCGCCTGCGCTCAAAGGAGGATCTGAATGATGTTTCGCCGGGGTCAGGGGTTGAGGATACCCTGGTCGACGAGTTGAGGAAGACCGTCTCGGCGCGGATGCATAAGATCCTGTCCTCGTCGACAACGGGGGAGGAAAAATTGACGCTAGCGCTGCTGGAGGGCTTCCTACTCTATGCGCCACCCGAGAAGGAGAAAGGGGGGTGCGGGCATGGGCTCCGTGGGGTCCACGATCAGATCGACCTGCCGATGTTTCTGGCTGCGCCGTATGGCCTGGTGAAGGAGAGGAGGGAGAAGAGGAGCGGGTATGTGACTATTGGGCCTGCGCCGACGACGGAGTTGCCGCAGCGGTCGTCATCCGCTTTGGAGGCAGAGGAGGGAGGGGTGGATTTGGAGGCAGAGGATGATCGGCCGCCGCAGAATTTCTGGACGGATCCGCCGGGTTATGTGGATGACGTTGTCTGGCCGCGGTATGTGAGGGACCATGCGTGGCTGTTGCTCCCTGAGGATGGCGGAGCAGACTTGTCTACTGAGGACGAGGACGATTTGATCAAAAGAGCCGGGCAGGGCGTGAAGCTGAGGACGGATGCTGGCGTTACTGTTGCTCCTGGTCAAGGAGACCTTCCGATGGCGGACCTGCTAAAGTGGGCTGTTGAAGAGGTTTTGAAACACGTAGGACAAAGCACAGAGCTCTGAATATAGTGATTTGATGCTTTGTGCCTCGACCTACTTATGCTTAAACATTATATCGATGCAACAGTTAGAACAACATCTAAACAGGTCCCGTCCAACCAAGCCAATAATCGACTCTGTCCCTGAAAGAGACTAGAGTCTTTGTGTGCTCCTCAGCTTCCGCCTCAGCTTCCGCCTCAGTCTCCACCTCAAATCTCTGCTCATCCTGCTCTTCGTCGTTCACGAGCACCTCAGCCTCTTCGATATGCTCATCACTGGCCACAAGATTGTCCATATCCAGCGTGTTCAGATCGGGTGATGGATCTTGGTCGCTAGCATCTTCTCCCTCGTCCTCAGATAATGTCTCCCAAGGATAGACTAACGATATCTGCTTTGTCTGCTCGGGAATTTGCCGAGATGTCTGCATCCAGGACAAGGAATCCCCCAAACTGAGATTGGAGAGCGCGAAAAAACCAGATCGTAAGAAAGCAAGGCAAAGTAAACCTATCAGGAGTTGTTTCAAGGAGTAGCCTAGGTCCGGGCTAAGCTGACTTCTGATTGATTGTCCGATATGGGATAGACCTGCTAATGGACCTTGTTGCGACGGGTCACTTTCCGATTCCTCACTCGAATCATCAGAGACTAGTCCAAAGTCCTCATTTCTTCGAGCGATTTCGTCGTCATTATCACAAGTAACTTGTGTGGCCTCAACTCCAGAACTCAAGTACGTCGGCTCGTTAAGCACCTCCAATAACTCATATCGCAGGGTGTGCTGGTTGAGCTGATGAGATGTTGAGGAAGCCGGGTATATACGTGGAGACCAATACGCCGCCCTTCGGCCGGGAAACTCCAGTGCCCATCTCAAATAGATCTTGTCGATATCTTTTAATGAGCAGATCACCCGGATACGGGAGACTCCAATCTTCGTCCCCTTGCGGGCGTTGATACAGATCGTCTTCATATCTCCTTTCTGGGAAGTCACGTCACAATAGAAGAAACCGCTTGGGCCACCATCCACATGCAGAGGAACGATGCAGGTCTCGCTCCATAGACAGCGATTAGATAGCTTTATGGAGCACGCAGCATGACATCTCATTTGTATAAATGATTGCTCACTCTGGCCACTTGCGGCTGCGGTACTGACTATGTTGTGAGAAATGATCTCCTGTTCCACAGTAAAGTCACTGATCTCGCCGCAGGATTTCCTGCTGCATCGGCGAAGGGGAATCACGAGATTACCGGTATTTGCAAACTCCGCGATGAGGCAATTTTCCACGATAGTTGCTCTATTGACATTCGTGGTCCGGATTTCCAGGCCGTGGCGAGCAGGCATGAGGAACAGGAGGACTCCAATCCTGTCGCCCCGTGTCCTAGGAATTCCTGGGATGACCAAATCGCTCCATTCGTGATCCTTTGGTTTTCGTATAGAGAGGGCTGCTGTTATGGTGACTTTGAATGTTGCTGGATGTACTCGCTCAGAATTTCTGAGGATAACCAATCCATTCACAATATCGACCTCTGGTTCATTGGAGAGTTTGGGCTGTTCGACGTGATAACTCCCCTGATCGTGGTGGAACTTCTCGAGATTTCCTGGTATATAGCGCAATTTCGTCTCGCCACGGATGGCACTAGACCTGGCGCTCATCCGCTCAAAAGCAGCTCCCAGCTGTTTGGTTGGAGAAGGTGACGACAGGTGGCCATCGGAACGTTCGGTGGCAGTTGTCGCATCAATGGGTATCTGGAAACGGACCCGAGTTTCCTTGATTGATTTGGCCTTGGGGCTATCGGCCGTGGGTGGGCGCTCTCCTAGGGCACCTCTATTTGTAAGATGGAATCCCACCGCGGTGTTAGCGAATCTTGTCACTGCCAGACTCTCCGAGGATTCTGGATGGACGTTTGAAGCTGGCTTAGGAATGAAACTGGGGTTCGCATCCTGGTCGCCTTTGGAGAGAGACTTTTCTGGCGACTTCAACTTTCCCTTGACTGACGCTCCGGCAATGGTGGATTTATTGGGGCTCCTGGGGCTGGCGTTTTCATTGGCAATGATCAAGCCTGGTATTTTCGTTGGTCCTGACTTTCTTGGGCTTGGTTTCTTTGGGCTCCTGGGAGATGCTATTTCTCTGCGAGTGAGATCGGGGGAGTCCAATAGCGAGCTTTCCGTAGCCCTATCACCTGGACTTGCTGGTTCGACCCGACTCACTTGTCGAACTTTGCGGTTGCTGATATCCTTCAGTACTCCGCTGCCCGCGTTTTCCATCTCGGATCCAGAGTCCGGGAGCTCAGCGTCAGCGGCGCTTCTCTTTCGCGACCTGGTGAAGCTCTCGGCGTCGGAGTCGAGTGAAGTAGACCGAGGTCTCGCAGTTGGAATGAAAGCTATAGAGCTTTCCAGTGTATCCCCAGGATCATGGGTCTTCAAGTCGTTTTGGGTGCTTTCGCTAGCCGCAGGTACCTTGTCGTTTCCCCCGAATGTCGGTTCAGATTTTGGTACGTGAGTTGGAGAATCATCAAACAGCTCAACATCACGCCTTACGTCGCGCGCGAGAGGAGAGAATCCAAACAGAGGGCTTTCCGGGGCGTCTGTGTCGTCCTGATTATTCGTATCATCTTCGGTCTGCGGCAGGCGTTCTAGAAAGGATTCTTCAAAGGTTATGCCTCGTCGGCATAAACTCAATAGCTGTAGCTGCGTGTTGGGAACACATTTGACCTAGGTCGAACCACGTTCAGTATGGGGATGCGGTGCAAAGAAGAACGTAAAGTATTTACCTCGAGGGAAATTCTGGTATTTGATACTTCTTCATATTCTCCGCTCCATGTGCAACGTATCTCCAGATTGTCGTACTCGGGCACAGCGACGGATGGCTGACTGCGATTTCTCTGATATGTGGTCATGGCCATGGTTTATGAACGTGGATTCGATGGGTATAATATGTAACGAAAACCTCCAAGGGGAATAAAGAATGGAAAGAGATGAGAGGGGTGTTTGTTTATGGCTGAAAGTAATGCAGAGCAAGTGTTGAGCAGGCTACTTGCTTAATCCCCTCAAAACAGAAAGAGCCAACACCTACACTGTGGACCGTCAGAGCTTGCCTCTCCCCTGGCAACAACCATTCACACTGAGCATCTTAATAGTCAAGAAGGGCTCGAGTCAGCAAGAAAACCAGTCCATTGCTTTCTAGTAGCAAATAACACTGTAGCAATAAGGATATGTACAAGGAATTGAATGATTACCTTTTCCCATAAAACCCAGTAAAATAGAAGCAAACCGATAAAGAAACAAGCATCCAGCCCTGTTGATTGCACGGTTCCCCTTTTATTCCCACTGGCGCCGTGTATCCCGTAAAGCACATTTGCTACCGTAGAAGCAAAGAAACCCATGACACCCCATCCAGCAGTCTATTTGAAAAAACACAAGGGAGCAAAACGGAAAAGCCAGTGTAAACGCGATAACAATAAGGCAATGACGAGAATCAGGAGGAGCAGTTGCTCCTCAAGCCAGGATCCTCACCGAGGTGTTCCATTCGCTGAGCCTGGGTGCTCAAACCCTGTGTGACCTGGCGCGACGCCATATCGTTCAGCCTCGCTTGTTCCGAGGGGTTGAGAAGGAAGTATAGGTGTGGCTTGCGGCGACTGTTCATAATAACTTCGTGTTGTGCCATTCGTGGCCTGGGGATAATTGCGACTCTGTTGCAAAGGTGGAAGAACTGCATTACTGGCGGAATACTGGGGTCGAGGTGGATAGGCGGCTTGCATCATCGCTCGAGCCGAATCTGGTGTCTGCCCAAAAATATATGGCCAGTCAGCGCCTAGTACGAAATAAGCGGGCTGGAAGAGTTCATACAGGTGTACCCGGTGGATTCACCATCCCCAGCGATTGCATTGTTGCCTGTTGACTGGTCCGACTTTGAGCGGCAGGATCCTGCATCTGAGGCACCTGAGCAGACGGGGGGATCCCGTACGACATCTGAACAAAGAGTAAGTACATTACTGCCACTTCTCCCCACCCTTGGAACCGCTCTCGCTCTTGGGTTCGAGATGATCCTCATTGGCAGGCCACCAATAATTCTGAGGTTGACGAACCGCATAATCAGGAACACCAGCGTGTCCTGATGGGTATCCCATCATAGGCGCCGGATAGCCGCCTGATTGGCCATACATGGCCGCAGTCTGGGGGTATGCCTCCATCTGACGCATGCGCCCGTCTGCATCGTACATGCCTCTAGTGCCATAGTCCACTGATGTGCGCTGGCGCTTTACGGGCGCGTAGTATCCACCATAGTCCCGACTCGCGGACTGGTATGGGGGCGCAGGATAGCCACTTCCAGGGATCTGCATCGACGCTCGTTCAGGAGACCGCGGAGGGATACTCTGGGCATAATCTTCTGGCCGTGGTGCTGACCTCTTTCTACACAAATCTGTTAGCGCAACTCACAAATCAAGCCATTTGCCATCTTCCACTCACATTAACGTTCGTGGCTCCTTGCGAATCCTGAGCTTCACCCCTTGGTCTGCGAAAGATCTGGAAAGAAAGGTTGATTCGGCCATTCCCGGGAAGCTCTTTGGCGGCGAGACTTCGCTGCGTTAGCCCAGGTAATTTTACGACCTTGACTTGAAACTTACCAGTAAATCGCTCCGAAATGATGGACTTCAGAAATACAACATCTGTCCTAATCAGGCAAATGCCCTATTAGCTCTTGCTCTCCCTTCGCTGTTTAACGCAGAAGACAACCGGGGCTTAAGCTCGACTCACTTTCGCATTTCAAAGAGCGAGAACTTCAACCGAAACTCTCCTTCAATCTTGATGGACAAGTCGCCCCACACGAAGAACCCGCCGTCTAGATCGAAGTCAGTCCGTCACCTTTCGCCTGCTGCGGGATCGCATCCTTACCTGTGTTGTCCACATCCTTCAACCGGTGCAGCGACGAAACCAATGTCCCAGTCATCGCAGTCGACGGTGGAACGGGAGCTGGCGCATCTTCCTGAGCATCGTAAAGGCTGCAGGACATGAAGAAATAGGGGCTCTGCAGATAATGCCTGACGGCGCAATGCGGTCAATCAACAGCTCGCTCGCAGCAAGCAAAGAGATCCTGTCACTCACTGGGCCAAATAGGTCCCTTCCTCCCTCACCCGAATCTGTACAATGGGCGGCGGGTCAACAGGCTTGCGCTCTGCAGAGTAGCACCGGGCCCCAGATTAGCTCTTGCTGTTGTTTAAATGCGCGCAACCGCGCTTGAGAACGTTCTCGCGTACCTTTCTCCTTCCCACCGGCCACGCGCGCCCGATTCGGGTTTTGGCGGACTATCAGTTCGAAGTCATCACTGCAGGCAAAGGTTGTCAGTGCTAGCCATTCCAGAAAACCGAGCAAGGCTATCAACGCTCTGTTTGACGCTGAAGACGCACCTAGTAGAAGGGCGGGGAAGGGAGGGATCCGGGTAGTTCGCCGCACTCATCAAGGCGAGCTCTATGAGAAGGATTGGCGAGAGAGCCAAAGGTTCGGGATAGCGGGATACCCGTCAGTAAGAGAACCGTGAACCAGAACTGAAGTGAACCGAGGCTCAGTTGGAGAGGGTAGGTAGTAGGATGAAGAGTAAGACAAAGATAGGGTCGGCGCAGGATCGCAGAAGAGTGGAAGAGAAAGAAGGGAAGCGAATCTCTGGGACCCAACAGAAGAGCTCGGTCGTCAAGCTGTCGAAACGATGCTGGTAGTGGGGGAGGGAAATTGTTGTGAAGATGGCACAACGGTAGTATGACTGCCGGGACCAAAGGCCAGCCCAGGCGGAAAGCAACAGCTCGAGTGGAGCAACGATAAAAAATTGCAGAGTGCAGCGGCCGGAACAAGAGAGTGTTTGGTGAAGGTTGAGATACCGGAGGTAGATGTACCGCAAGCGGGCGGTTGGTGGTGTCGTCAGAACGCAAGCGGCACTTTGCACAGACTGACCCGAAGATGCAGGCACTCAGAGGCTCCGGTTCCAACCAAACTTTAAGGTGCAAGAATTATTTCACCACCACTTTTAATGTTCGGCTTCAGCTTCGCGCTACCTTCGTACTCGTCCTCCTCTGCCTTTTTTTGATTTTCCTGCTGGTCCCTTTTGGGATTTTGTCTGCTTTTATTTTCCTTCTTCCTCGTGATTAAGTAACTTTTTTTTCTTTCTCTTTGTTACTTGCAAGGAAGGGCACTTTGTCACGTAGCAGGCCTTTGCGATTTTTCCAGAGGCTAAGAAGGAGCGACAAAATCGTCACTGGAGTATCCCCGACCGTGTATCTCGGGCTACCCAATGGCAATGCAAATTCAGACGCGGCAAAAAGGTTGGAGATGAGGTAAAGGAACCACAGATTCAGCAGCAGACAGGAGTTTCAAAAGGCAAAGCAGTCATAGGCAGACGAGCAACGGTGGCGGAAGTCACGGCCACGCGGTTGATGAGACAGTAGCTGAACGATGGGTCTGAAGTCGCCTCCGGATACCTGGATACCTGGCGCACAGAACAAAACCCACGGTTAGGAAAAAGTCATAACACTCATCGAATGGCAGACACGATAAAATAATAAGAAGCAGGCAATGACGGCGGTGCAGAAAGGTTTCCGGCTCGGGTTTTACTAAGATCAGACGACAGCGAGCCAGGCAGATAATTCGGAGTGGAGCTTGTACCAATATTAATGCCGTGGTTAGGTATAGACAGGCTCGACCGAACAGCCGACAGAACCAGACTCTGCGCGTGAAAACGCTGCTGTCTTATCGCCAGAAGTCGCCAGAGTCGTCAGGCCAACCACGGTTGGGCACACGGGCTAAAGTGAGTCTCAAGTCTGGCGATCCGAGACGAGCCGTTGTACCATGAAGGTGATGCGCACATTGGCAGGTCCCAGCAGATCAGGACTCAGGAGGGGATGCCGGCAAAATTAAGTCAGATTTCAGTTCGGCGACCTGCGCAAGCCTGAAAGTCTACCTTGCCTAGGCAGATCGTCTGACGACCGATCGAGTTAAGCACGAAATCCACTGCGTTTGCGGGCAAACCACGACTCGCTTCCCCGACCACTCCCCAGTCCACCGACGTAACGGCTAGCCTGTGTCCGTGGACGATGGAGCCGGCTATGCAGGTGATCAGACCCGTAACTGTCCGCCAACGCAGGGTCTCCGATTCTCCCAGCTCTCCCGTGACTGCGGGTGTCGTGGTGTTTTGCGTGTGCGGATCTAGCATTCCAGTCAACCCAGATTTCAAATTCCATGCCCAGTAGAAAGTAGAGGATCAAGTGCCGTAGCCGCGCTAGTCCGGTCATATGTACGTACCTAAACTTTGATTGTACTTCATGCGTTAGCGGCGAGCATCCGTTGATATCTCCTTTCTTCCGATACTCGTCTTCTGCTTGTCAGAGCGAGGTCTCCTGAACGCCTAAACCATGATTAGCGACCACCCGAGTCTCCTAGAAGGGCTTTGCTAGCTTTTGATTTATCCCAATCAGGAAAAATACGAACCTTAATAGCCTTTTCCCAGCGTCAGACAAAGAAAGTTCGCCCAAGGGCGCGGGGGAGCTCGGAGTTCAAACGCGGTCCACAGAGCAACTGTCGGAGTCTTATAAAGCGCCAGTCACGTTCTTGCTATTCTCGCTTTGATCGTTCCAGCGGCGAAGTGTCTTTGGAGAGGCCGCAAGCTTCCTCGAAAGAGCGCTCAGATCGCCTCGCTTCCTTCCTGTTCCCCTTCCTCGTCGGGCGTATCTCCTTCGTTGCGAAACCCGCCGCGAATGCCTGATTGCAGCTTCGAACGATGCTGATGCTTTGTCGTTAGATGAGACGCAAGCTCCAAATGCCGTTGTGATGTTGAAGTCTTCATTAGCGATAGCTCCGACACGAGGAAAGCCCATCACCAGGCGATGCGAAACCCCCAAGAAACCACGGCGAGGGAGAGGACGAGATGATAATATATATATAAAAGAGTATGATGGGTGCTCAGAGCCAGCACTAAGCGAAAAGGAGGATGTTGGTTTAGGAGTGGGCTCTTTCCAACGTGCAGTTGTGCTGCAAGAGTCGCTCATAATCCTGCTGGCTGCGTATCCCGGATCTAGTGCGGTAGATGCATCACATCGCCTACTGCCTTAACACACAGGTCGCAGAGATCTGCCGCCCAGTGTGCCCGCTTGAGATTAGAAAAGATCGATGCGAGCAGTTGATTCGACCTGCGCTCTCCAGTCGGTTCGTACCGTCGGCACCGACCGGTCAAGTCGAGTGATAATGCGGCGAGGAGACAGGGATGCGAGCTCTTGTTCAGGATGGATCATCAATGCAGTAACTCGCTCCCTGGCCTAGACAGGAACGCAAGAAATGAGAGCTAACTAACCTTACTCCGTATTTAGGTTGGTGTTGGGCTACGCCGCCTCGCATCCGGCATCCAAGGGTCAGCGACGGATCTGGGGAAGAGCGCGCGCGGCTGAGCTTGGAAGATTACACAGTTGTGTCCCGGAGCCAAGCTGCCAATGATGTCTGACGTATACTGGGTGTACGAATCCTGGGTTCTAACAGATGCAGCCGCATAATAAGGCTTTCGACAGTTTTCTTTCTCCGCGTCACTGCGTCCGAGTTGCGAATCGGGCGAGCTGTTGACGGCTGGACTGGCCTATACCGTTAAACGCTGCTCGATCATAAGCCAACATACCGGACACTCTTACCCTAGGTCGCAAATAACCATCGCGAACAGGGTCGCGATCGGGGATAACAGGAGAAGCACCATCATCAGGTGGATGTGACGATGTCACGATGGCCATGCAAGGGTATAGCGGACCAATAAGACCGGTCCGGGTCTTTGCCTGCAGTGGTGCGAACTTGAACCTCCAAATCCCATTTTACCCCTCCTTGAACTGGAATCTCCCGTCCTCACAAACACCGAGAAAAGAAACCGGGGTAGAACTCGGAATAACGTCGGATGTGATCAGTCGAAATGCAGAAAGGCTTCATCCCTGGCCATGGCTTGTGGCTGTCAGCGCTACCGATCGCCGGTGTACCTGCGGAAGGGCCCGATCGATGCCGTCGGGGGAATGGTGACTTTCAGGGTTTTCATAAGGGTTGGGTATGAACTGCAGAGCTCTGTCACCACGCAGATATTGCGCGCAGCCCACAAGCATGGCATACGAAGTAAGCTGATGGAGACCGAGAGTGTCTTGGATGCTGGTCAGTGTCGTGCGTGGAGTAATGCAACGAGGTTTCAGGCGAAAAGCGCAAGGGAAAAAGAAACAAAAGAGCAGAAAGAGGGCGAGAACCGCAGAGAACCATTGTTTGTTGATCGACAGCCGCCAGCGTGGTTCATAAGGAGAACACTGCGCAGTGTGCAGCCCACACTGCTGTCAGGATCAAGCTAAATTGGGCCAGGCCGCCGACAGATGTGTGGGTTCGTCAGAAGAATCAGGCCCTCACGCAACAGCTGTCGGGCGAGCCGGTACAACAGCGGGGCTGGGATAGGTCATTCATGGTTGCTTTTGCAACGTAAATAAAGTGTCCAAACTAACAGTTGGCAGCACATGCCAGAGGGCTTTCGCTTCAAAGTGACCCAGGACCCAGTGGTGGGAAAGCATACAACACAGCGAAGACTCTTCCACCGCAGCTGAGCGTGGGTGCGGGTCAAGGAAATGCACGATGAATTGTTTGCGGGACTAGCGGTTGCCTTTCCCCATTACCAGCAGACAGGGCAGGGCCCTGGCCCCTAGCAAACAAAGTCGAAACTCGACACCTGGAAGCCAGGTTATAATAATACCCTTCAGATGTAGCGATCTGCGAGCATCCCCATCCGAACCGGAGTTGAAAAGGCGCTTATTTTACGCTCCCGTTATGCTTATTCTGGGTCTCGGGTCGTTCCAAACTCTACCAGGGTTTCAAGTAGACCTGTTTCCCCGCCCGAGGGCCTCATCGCCGATAACTACTCCGGAGTATGTACCCGGGCACAAATCAAGAAAAATCTACTCCGTAGACAGATCATATTCCCTATAAAACAACCTTGAGTAGCTTGCAAGGAACTCCCTGGGCAAAGTCGGTCGTGAATCGGCATGTGCTTTGACAACAGCTACCTAGGCGCATGGTCCGTGACCTTGTAGTATATGGAGGCCACCCCAAATCTCACCATAATGGATTCATATTGGAAACACGGCAACCTTTATGTATGTGCATACTGGAGTGAGGAGGGACCAAGGTGTCAGCGGTGATACTGATACCGTAACCGAAGCCCTCTTTATGCATTCGAAGACCCCTGATCCCTGATCCCTGATCCAGCGCCCAGCAGACCCATGTACAATTGTACATTAACCACAACTATTATCGGCTTCATGCGAAGAGCCAATGGAACAATCCCACTGAGCAAATAGCTCACCCTTTCTCTTTGTATGTTAATGTGAGCAGCCAGCTCTATTCGTCCTTGCGCGAAGGATCATCGCCCTGCAGCGCCTCCATGCAGAACCTCGATGAGCAGACAAAGAGAGGACCTAATAGGTAGCCCTTCCGAGAAGTGGCTTCCCACCGCATACGGCTAAAGATGCATTCCTGGATTCCGTGCTGCGACATGATTTGAGTTTCGGCTTTACCCTCGCTTTCAACTGCAAGGTACTTTTGCCTGCAGCTGGGCCGAGGCCGGGCCGGGGCTTGGACCCGTACTCCAAAGCCCGTTGTACTCCATACGCCTATGTATGTATGGATAGCATGCCGGAGGCTGACAGTGACTAGGGCTTTTGAGAACGAGATAAAGTGATAGATCGATTTCGCCGAATGAGAGGTCTGCTATTGGTTATTTCCAGGGTAAGTTATCCCGTGGGATGAGGTGGTGCTCCTGGTCGGGTTCTATTATTCTACTGGGAATTCTCTTGCTCTACCCTCATCTATATGCGGCAATTGGGTAGGTACGGTAGTTAGGCTGAAATGATATAGATAATACAAGGCGATCCGTACTGACTACTTTGACACCGCAGATATCATCACGTTGACAACTTACCAATAACAGAAACGCAATTCTGCAAGGGTTCTTGCAGTCACAGTACTGTCGGTCAACACCTGGGCAGCGTCCGTACAGTCTCTAGGCAGAACCCTTGGTCTTGACTCTGTATTGCACCAGGTGAGCGATGGTTGGAAAGAAGAATTAACGCTTCATTTGGTATAAATGGATATATATACTGCGCGCGCTTCCAAACAGCAAAAATACAATAAATCACAGTCAACGGCTATGCTGATTGCTGACAGCGGGATCCTTCGTCCTCTTTGGTGCAGTGCTCACTCCTAGAGGGATGCGGAGGAAGATCTGCATGAGCAGCGTCGCAGCGACGCCTACATTAAGACTGTCGACTCGAGCCGGATCAGCAGTAGTTCCCAAACCAGAAACAAACCTGGCGCCGGGGATGGTGACGACGGCATCGGCATGCGCCTTCACGTGTCGGCTGAGTCCAGCTCCTTCGTTGCCCATCATGATGACGCTCGGTGAGCTCCCTATGAGGCCGGCAGGGTGTTCTTCACCAGTCGCAGCTGTCGGGCTTGGAGGTTGAATTGAGCCAGGCTCAAGATAGGTAGCACCTGTTTCGAGAGCATCGGCAGCATAGAATCGCCACCCGTTGGCCTGGGACTGTTTGATAAAGTCCACCTCGTTCTCAACGTTGAGAAGGGTCATGTTCTCGGCGGCGCCGGCGGAGGCCTTGACCGTAATCGAGGAGAGTGGCGCCGAGTTCCGGCCGGCGAAGACAATGGCGTCAACCCCTAAGTAGTAGGCTGAGCGGATGATAGCTCCAAGGTTTCCTTGGTCAACGATGCCATTGCACAGCACGACCACGGGGTATCGTCTGTGCTGCTGAGTGTATAAAGGATTGATAGGGATGCAGTCGCCTGTCCCATTGACCTCCGCTTCTTCGGCCGTTTGTGGCGCAAGTTCCACTCGGAATTCGTCGTCCTGTAGTTGGACGGGTCTCAGAGCTTTGATGGGTATCCGGGGCAGCGGAGACACTTCGAGGATGACGCCGTTATGGGGTCGTCCTGCGCTCATCTTATCTAATATTCGGTCCCATTCCGCAAAGACCAACTTGACTCTGATGTTCATTGACAGAGCGAGTTTTCGCAATACTATCTTATCAGGGCGCAACTCCTCCTCGTTAGAGCCCTGGTACAGGTAGAGCTTGTACACCTTGCGCTTCTTGCAACGCAGCGCAGCTTCGACGGCGGTTGTACCATAGAGAAATTCGGATGCAGGAGTAGTGTAGGGGATCTCCTGCGGCGGCCGAACATGTTCCTTCACTCGTTCTGGCCTTGTCTCTGTAGACTTATGGTGTTCGACCCGACGCAAGCGCCGCTTTCTTTCATCTTCAGGTGTTAGGACATAATCTGGAGACGAGTTATTGCTCTTTACTTGCGGGGCACTGCGATATCGTTGGTGTTCACGAGGCAATGCCATGAAGCTCCCAGTCCGAATGAACTCGGTTTCATCGAACTCGACCCTCGGCGGATGTCGAGACATAAATTGCTGCTCCTTAGTCCCAGGACGACCGTGACTGTTGTTGAACGACTTCGCAGACTGCTCGCGAGAACGACCACGGCTGCTGTTGAATGAATTCGGAGACTGCTCGCGAGAACGACCACGGCTGCTGTTGGATGAAGTCGCAGACTGCTCGCGAGAACGACCACGGCTGCTATTGAATGAAGTCGCAAACTGCTCGCGAGAACGACCACGGCTTTTGTTAGATGAAGTCGCAGATTGCTCGCGAGAACGAATGCGGCTGTTGTTAGACGGATTCGAAGACTGCCCTACATCCTGCGATTTGCGGATCCCGTGATTGATGGCTCCTGTGAGTGAGGCGTATCTGACTGAATTCCGCAGAGCTACCGAGGTAGGCGATATCCGCAGCGAGGAATTGAGTGTCCTCAACGGGCATTTAAGGGACATTGTGGCCTCTTTGCTCCTCCAGAAACTCCGCAGTCTGAAACTTTCATCGCCTATATTTTTTTGGCTATCTCCGATAAGATAACAGCTCGCAATATCGTTGATCCGCTCCACTTTATCGCGCCTCGACGCGATCATCGAAATTACGCGGAATTCACAGGTAGGGGACCTGAGGGATATTGGAAAAGCGAGATCTGGCGACGCTCTGAGGCTGGGAGGTTGTCACTCATTATTGTTCTTTACCTCATTCTCTTTACATATGCAATTCCTTGGTCCCCGACACACTCGCGCTTTCGATCTTGTTCCCCGCCTCAGTCTTCATTCAATCCCGCCTGATCTGATGAGTAGTAACAGCCTACTCTAAGTGAAAAAAAAAAATGGAGAACTTCGGGTTTTCCACCATAAACCGGGGCTGGGGGAATATTTTTGGCTCCGATTCCAAGAAAGAGAAAGATGACCTCCAACCCACTGGGCCGCGAATGACTGCTGTGGAAGTTCCGATCCTCCACAACTTAGAAGAGTATGAGTGGCTCCACGGTCATTTCACTGTTCGGTACATTATCCAGGAGGTGTCATCGGAGGATAGCTACGAGCCTTCTTACCTTGTCAAGCTAGAAAGCCGTGAGACCGAAGTGGTATGTACCCAAACTCCCCTTTCAGCGGTGTTCCCAACTCATACCGCGCTTTCTACTCAGATATCCTCCTCGCGCCTACAAGAGCTTGAAAATGGCCCAGAAGCGCTTGAGACTTTCCAGAACTCGCGCGTTCGGTACCGTGCACCTACCAGTGAGTCTGAGTCCGAAAGCGAAGAAGAGGAGGACGTGGAAAGCAGCCCCTCCGAGCCCGAATCCGAGGAAATCAGGCCGTCACGCCGGGCAAAGAAGACCAAGTTCACAGAGTTCTTCGGTGTTATTAGCAGCGATGATGACGAAAAGCCAAAAAAGTCAGATTCGAGTGACGATGAGGTTGTTGTGCCTAGGTCGAGGCGCAGTGGGCTGAGAAAGCGACCAAAGTACACCAGTCTCCTAGAGAGCGATTCCGATACAAATGCACGCTTGGGAACAAGGACGTCAACCCGGCCTCGCAAAGCTTTGAGGCGCAATCTTCGTGAGATGTATGAGGATGACATTTCCGAATATGAAGCCGTGCTGTCGAAGCATCAGAAATACGTCGGCGCCAAAGAGAAGTTCGAGAAGATCCCATCAACTGACCCCTTTCGAAGCCGTCACCGAGACACCTGCGAAGTCTGCTCCGTTAAGGGCGATCTGCCTGACAAGGGACCACTGGTTTTCTGTCAGGGTTGCACTGATGCCTATCACCAGGCTTGCTTAGGCCCACGGACAGCGCGCGAACATCTTGTTACGAAAGTTGCAAGCGATAAATTCATTCTCCAGTGCCGTCGCTGTCTAGGGTCCGCACATTCGAAGGAACCCAAATTTCCCCATCAAGGAAAATGTGCTGGGTGCAACAAGAGAGGGAAAATGTCAGAACCACTAAGACAACGCTTAACATCCAAACAAGAACAGCAGCTAAGGCAGGAGAACGGAGGTGAAGATCCCATCACAGCAGTTGGATCGTACCTCATCAACAACCCGGAAAACTTGCTTTTCCGTTGCAAAGCCTGCCATAGATCTTTCCACTTCGACCATCTTCCCGGTTCAGGCATATCCTCCAAATGGCAATGCCATGACTGTAATTCGTTGCCCGGGGAGGTAAATGCCATGGTCGCCTGGCGGCCAACAAGTACCGCCTCCAAGACATCGCCAAAGACATCTGAACTGGATAAGGAGTACCTCATAAAATGGAAAGGGAAGTCTTACGCACACTGCACTTGGATGCCCGGCAGCTGGGTTTGGGGCTATATCAATCCAATGATGCGACGCGCGTTCTTAAGATCAGACAAAAGCCAGCTTCCGCGGATGACCACAGAGGAGGCCATTCCGGACGAATACCTGCGTGTCGATATCGTTTTTGATGTAAAGTTCTCCGATGATGACCTTCACATGTACGGTGAGGATTATGACGAGGATCTTGAGCGCGTGGACAATGTTTCCCAAGCCTATGTGAAGTTCAAAGGATTACCCTACGAGGACGCGGTGTGGGAAGCGCCACCAGACCGTAGCAACACTGAAGCTTGGAACGATTTCGAAGCTGCATATGCAGACTGGGCTAAAAAGCCATTCATTAGCACGCCAAATCAGAGCTCGCTACAGAAGCATCTTGCCAATGTCAGGAAGCAAAAGTTCAAGTCAAAGGATGCCCAGCCTAAGAACATGACTGGCGGAGAAATCATGGACTACCAGCGAGACGGTTTGAACTGGCTTTACTTCAGATGGTTCAAACAGCAAAACGCCATCCTTGCTGACGAGATGGGTCTTGGTAAGACCATTCAAGTAATTGGCTTGCTAGCTACACTCGTGCAAGATCATAAGTGCTGGCCGTTCCTCATAGTTGTACCGAACTCAACATGCCCGAATTGGAGAAAGGAACTTAAGACCTGGGTCCCTTCTCTCCGTTCAGTCACCTACTATGGCTCATCTTTGGCGCGCAAGCTTGCACAAGAACACGAAATGTTCATCAGGGGTGACCGTGACCTCAAATGTCATGTTGTCATAACCTCGTATGAGACCATGGTGGACGATTCTTCTCGAAAGATCTTATCGAGAGTACCTTGGGCCGGACTCATTGTCGACGAAGGACAACGACTAAAATCCGACAAAAGCCAAATCTATGAGGGATTATCCAAGATGAAGTTCCCCTTCAAGGTACTGATGACTGGTACTCCTTTGCAAAACAACACAAAGGAACTTTTTAACCTTCTGCAATTCTGTGATCGGTCTAAAAATGCAGAAGAATTGGAGGAGAAATATGGGACGTTGTCAAAGGAGAATATTCCAGAACTTCATGAATTGATCAGACCGTTCTTCCTCCGCCGTACCAAGGCCCAAGTCCTTACTTTTCTTCCTCCGATTGCTCAGATCATTGTTCCCGCCACCATGTCGGTTCTCCAGAAGAAGCTTTACAAGTCTATCCTTGCAAAGAATACTCAGCTTATCCAAGCTATCTTCCAAAGGACTGATGAGGAGGATCAGCCCTTGAAACAAACCGAGCGCCACAACCTGAACAATATACTGATGCAGCTGCGGAAGTGCTTGTGTCACCCTTTCATTTACAGCAAAGCGATTGAAGAGCGAACCGATGACCCTGACGTAGCCCATCGCAACCTTGTGGATGCTGCCGGGAAACTTCAATTGCTGGAGCTAATGTTACCGAAGCTTCAATCTCGCGGTCATCGAGTCCTGATTTTCAGTCAGTTCCTTGAAAATCTGGATGTCATGGAAGACTTTCTTGATGGGTTAGGTCTTCCGCATCGTCGTCTTGACGGTAGAATGACTTCGCTTGAGAAACAGAAGATGATTGACGACTACAATGCCGAAAACTCTCCATACTTCGCCTTTCTTCTTTCGACCAGGTCTGGCGGTGTGGGTATCAACCTTGCTACTGCAGACACAGTCATCATCATGGACCCCGACTTCAACCCTCATCAAGACATGCAGGCATTATCGCGTGCCCATCGTATTGGGCAAAAGAATAAAGTTCTCGTGTTCCAGCTTATGGTACGAGGGAGCGTTGAGGAAAAGATTATGCAGATTGGCAAGAAGAAGATGGTGCTCGATCACGTTCTTATTGATCGAATGGCTGCGGAAGATGATGATGGCAAGGACCTGGAGTCCATTCTTCGTCACGGAGCCAAAGCATTGTTTGATGATGATGACTCTGGAGATGTTGTTTACACGTCCGAATCGGTGGACAAGCTTCTCGATCGCAGCCAAGCGGAGCAGGCCAGGACTCCAGATGCGAATGCTTCTGCTTCTGAATTTAGCTATGCTCGAGTTTGGGCGAACGATGGCCTGGAAGATCAGCTCAACGTCACCGAAGACGATCCAACGATGAACAATCATACTTGGGAGAAAATCCTTCAAGAGCGTGAACGGGCTGCAGCCGACGAAGCAAGAAAGAAGGCAGAAATCCTTGGTCGCGGTAAAAGGAAGCGTGTCAACGTTGACTACTCGGCCGCTGATGCCGATCCGTCACCTGCCAAACAGCGTGCGAGCCGAGATGCTGAGAGCGATGCTGAATTCCGTGCAGATGAAGCCGAAGCGGCGTCCGATTACAGCATGGAAGATGCTGTTAGTGACTATGAAATCGCTGCTATCAGACCCAAAGGTAATTAGTATTCCAGTTGGCCCGATCCAGAAAGCTAATTCTAGTTGCAGTTCAAAGTTTCGAGCGAGTTATACCTCCTCCGCAGCTCGTCCAACCTCCACAACCCGCCCAACCCACCCAAACAAAGCCCAATGGTGTGGGGATGGATGGCCATGTGGATCTAAAGGCGAATGATTGCTATGTCTGCGGCCGGACGCATCCAGTCGGTTCTTGTCCACTGAAAGTTGCTGGGGTTGAGCATTGCGGTCTCTGTGGGCTTGCTCATTATGGACAGGCTCGCACTTGCCCGCATTTGAGATCTGACGTTCAGGTGTCAAGGATGGTAGAGGCCCTGAAGCAGAGCAACGAAGACCGACATCTCATTGCTCTCGCCAAGAAGTATGTCTATGGTATCAAGGGTGACCTCGCACAGCGTGAGAGGAGAAAGACCGGGAAGATTCCTGCGCGATCTTACGGAGGCACTGCCACAGCTTCGCCAAACGCAGCGACAGCTTCGACCTCAACAGCTCCTCAGTCGGCTAGTGTCCCTCCCGCTAGACAGCCGGTTATAGACCTTACGGGGTATCCCAACGGGCATAGCAATGGGCAACCGGCTTCATCAGGCCCTGGCGGTTCCGGCGGCTCCGGCGGCTCAAACGACATCGAGATGTACAGCGCTTTGAGTAATTACCTATCGGGGAGGAAGTGATTTTCCTATACTGTGGAGGGAATCTCGGCAAATTATTAGCGGATGGCGTTTGAAAGAGGATGTTGGGCAGAAATGCCCTTATTGCACGTGTATAATACCATTGCATTGATCAATAAAAGAAAAAAATTCTCAAGAAAAGACAATCCCAGAGTGATGGGGTTGACGGTTGTGGTCACATGGGCCAAGATATATCTTGGAGTTTCCTTCGACAATTGCTTGAGGAGCCCCTCAACAACGACCATTCGTCACATTGAATCAGACAGCATTCCTGGACCTCGTTTGATCGCGCCACCTACAATTTAGTGACCCATGAATGCCAAGGGATGGCGTTTGAAGAAGCGCAAGATCTCGAATCCAACCGTGCCGCAGACAGGGTAAAAAGCTTCATTACATTCACGTTATCACGAGTACGTACTGCTTCATGATCGTTGCGGAAAGGCCACGAGTATACTGTTACAGCTCTGACGATTCTTCCCAGGAGATTTTGCGGGCTGTGCTACCTCAAGGTCCGCCAGGACCAGCAGCACTCGATCGAGAAGCGAACAAGCGCCTCGCCCGACAGTCAAGCAGGGATAAACTCTGAATGGGGCTCGAAGCTTCGCTTTCCAGAAAATGGATAACCACGCCGGACAAAAGAAAACAACCAGGGAAACGGCGGCTAGAACATTGAAAGGGGAAAAGCAAGACCTGCAGCCAGCCGGGGAGATGGTTGTACTGGCCAACTAATCAACCCATCAACAAACAGTGGCAGCGTTAAGTGGATCAATCTCTTTTGTTATCTTTTTTTGGGAGTACTTTCTGCCTCTTGTTACCCTTCGCTGTTTGACTTCCCAGTGCTGAAATACTGTGGTTGTTCGTGGGTTGTCTTGTAAATTGCTTTCTTTTTGCGCTTCAATCCCACTGTATAAATCCTCTTGTACAGAGGATGATTGCTAAAACCCCTGTTTCTGATATATATTCCTCTTCTTCGCTCCAGACCGCTGCTCATGCGCAGAAAAAGCGAAAGATAGAAACTCCCCGCGTACCTTGTGTTGGTCTTCCACCAGGGACTGTGAATGTCAACCCTCTCATGCGCTCATTTCCTCACTGCCCTGCTTTGGTGAATTTCATATATTTGGTTGAGCGAATCACACCTGGTCTCAGAGTCATATCCTTCACTCTGTCCTTCATTCACCTACTGCCTTTTCAATTGCCCCTCTTTCTCCCTCCTCGCCGCCACCGCTCCTAGTACTTATACCGGCCAAATCCCCCACGTACTGACCAACACTGACACACTTCCACATCCCTTTTCCGCAAAATTCCTCTGATCCAACGATCGTTCGATGTGCTACAACATGTCTTCCTCGTTGCGTCCCGAGTTCTTCGTTCATCGCTCGGATGGCAGTATCACTCCTCTCATCGCGGTCGATGAGCTCCCCACCAACATCACCATCCACGGTGCCCCTCGCGTGTTGTCTCCAGACCAAACAAATGGAATGCTAAGCCTGGGCTTCCTGAAGACGCGCGGTCATTTCTATCAGGTTGAAGGCGCTGTGTCTGCGAATGCTTTACTTCAGCAGAACACTTCTCAGACGACCAATCCCTCGACTGCTGGGGCTTTGGTCCTCAACAATGGCGGAAATGCCGGTGCTGGAAACCATCAACGTGTAGGTATTAGTATTATCTTGCTCGGGCATAGCCTTTAGAGAGCTATTATGCTAACTGCCCCATGGAAGCCTCACAATCGCAACAACAACAACAACAAAGAGTTTTGCTCTTACTGGGTCCGTCATGGTGAATGTGATTACCAGCAGCAAGGTAAGAGCGAAGTATCCTTGTGCAATGCGTAGCGGCTAACCTTGGTTTTCCTAGGATGTCTTTACAAGCATGAGATACCTCTTGACCGTGCTGGGCTGGAAAAACTCGGTCTACGTGACATTCCCCGCTGGTATCGTGAGAAGTACGGCATCCCAAGCCTGCAGAACGGACATGGACATCCGCGCCCCCATACTGCAAACAATCATGAGGTGGCTGTTAGATCAAATCATTTCCCTCCCCAGCTGGGAATCAACGGAGCGGGAGAGCGTTCCAACTTCGATGGAAATGCAAACCAGATATCTCCAGCCTATTTACCCCAGCAACAGCAGCATCAGCAAACGGCCCTCCTCCCACCACCTCCATTTAATCCTTTAGCCTCGTCCACCGCTCCGTTTACCCCAGGACAGGCTCCACGAAGCTCCTCTGGTCAGTTTCACACTGGCACTATGAAGCAGGACCTGATCTCCTTTGATCAAACAGATTTCTTGTCCGGGAACGCCTCGCCCTACCGTCCGTCGTCGAAGGAAACCGGTTTTGTTCAGGCATCTGCGAAGACTCAGCACGAGGAAGTACGTCTGAACTATCACGGCCTCACATTGAATACCACTGCTGCAAACGCAGACTATCTCCCGGGTCATTTTGACTCCCCCGTGAACTCAACCGGCTTCAAGGCCTCGACGCGCTCTCGCCGTCTGTACGAGGCGCCCGAATGTGGCGCACCCAAGCTAGCTGAAGCGACTACCTTGCACGCGTATCATAACCAGGCCACAGCCTCGTCGAACGGCACCTCACCGGCCTCCAAGACCACCGGCTCTGTGCTCCCCAGCCCCGTGACAGACGTCCGTCGCGGAAGCACCAACTCAAACCCATCCACTCGTGGTCCATCCCCAAACGGCCCGTCTCCTGGCACTAGCCCTGGCTTTTTCCGCGGCCGAGGACGGAATCCTCGAGGTCATGGCAAGGTGTATGGTGCTGTCGGCGCGAAGAAAACCAATGGCAAACAGTCTGCTGATTCCTCCGAGGAAGACTTGTACTTTCACGGCAAGAAGTAATCGACGCTTTTACCGGTCCACTAAGCCACCTCCAACTCGATAGATTGTTTTCCGAAGCGAGCGTTTTGTCTGTTTTCTTCCCTGGTCTACCAACATCAGGGCAAGATATATCCTCCTATGATATCATACGATCCGCTATGATGGTGGCCACTTCTCGTTTTAAATATACCTGCTGCACCCCGGAGGCATGCACGTATGTTGTATTGTATACGACTTGATGAAGTGAAGTGAATATGTGGACTGGTTTCGAGAGAGACGAGGTTAGACGAGCATCCATTGTCTGACCTCAGAGGTCTCTGCTCTGATCACGATCTGAAACCATCGATGGACGTTCTTGGGATATATGAAACAACTGCCGATTTACTTTGCAGGTAGCCGGCGGTGGTTGGATATCTCCGTTCGACATCTACTTGTTCCGATCTTCCCATTTTATTTACTGTTTTTTTTTTCGTCTTTTTCTTCTTCCCAATTTCCTTCCTTTTCCTTTGTCTGTTCTCTCTATGCTGTTTCAACCAACCTGTACTATATGATCTCCCTTCTTTCTACATGTATTTCGTTCGTTCCGCATATTGTACCAAATAACAGCGGACGAAGATAGGAAACATAGAAAACCAGAGGGGGATAGGGCGCCTGGCGTTCTTAGGCACGGGTTTTAACACAATAAATGCGATTGATTTCACATACAAAAGAGCACCTACCGAGTAACAGAGCCAAACTAACCGAGTCCCAAATAACAGCTTCTACTGTATTATGACCCAAGATGGGGTATGTGGGAAGAAGATATAGGGTAATAATAGTATAGTACATTGACATGAAAATAAAAGGTCTAAACGACCCTGCGCCATCCTCGAGCAAAGATACAAAGATTGTACAACATCCTCGACCACGTCTCGTGGCCGAATCCATAACCCTCCTAGCGTAGCCTTTGCTTAGCCTGAGCTCCGAACCTCATAGCAACCTTCTCACGTTCTGCAGCCGCATGGGCCTTCAGAGCGGGATTCAGAGCGGGGATAACCTTAACTGCCTCCGCAATGACCGAGTTACCGTCCACAACGCCCGATTTCTGCATCGCAAGGCGCTTCCGCTCAGCCCGGGTAGCCTCCAGCTGCTGCTTGCGCTCCTCTGTCACGATCCATTCCTGCGGGAACTGCAGCGTCTTCTTTGGTTTGTGGTGGCGGAGGTCGAGGGGTACGTCGGCGAATGAGTCACCCTCCTTAGCTTCCTTAAGAAGTGTGCCGATGAGGTCGCCTAGGTAGCGCTTGTTCTGGGCGCGGGTGTCGAATTTCTCGCAGGACATGCGGATAATATCTGTCTGTGGATTGTACCGGGGGCCGGCTATTTTGAGGAGTGTTTGGCGCTGGGCCTCGGTGAGGTACTTGGGGACGAGATCGCTGCTGGCGAGTTCAACAACGACTTTGGTTTCGGCTGGGTGGGATTCGCCCATGTATGTGGTGTAGCGGAAGCGGAGGATGTGGGTTTCGGGGGGAAGGGTGAAGGGTTTGGCCAGTTCTAAAGACTGTTAGTTTGGTCGTCGGATCACGTAGACGCATTTGAGGTGTCGGGATGCTTACTGCTTAGGTGTGGCATGTCCCATGCGGTGATCCGCGCGTATTCTCTTACTTCACGATGTAATTCGACCTCCGCATGCGCCATGGACGTGATATCGTCGTTATGGAAATCATCCTCGTCCTCCACAATGCCAAACTCATCATCTTCGTTCCTTGCCCAGAATCCTCGGGGCTTTCCAAGAGGTTCCGCGTACCTCAGAGGAATTTGTCGGTCAAGACTGGCTACCTGTTTGTCGATCTCTTCCCACATCGCCTTTCGCGCTTTGATGTCGTTGAATTGCTCGACGGCTTTGCGCTGCTCCTCGTCGAATTCCTTGCGCTCTTCCGGAGACAACAGATCATAGTACTGACGCTCCTCCGGGGACAATAAGTCTGGCGAGTACTCCGGCGCCTTCGGCAGGTCTTCGGGGCGAGGGTCCTTCGGCTGCACCGGGTCTGGGGGGTCTTCGGGGAGGAATGTCGAGGGCGAGGCAGAGAAAGGACGGCGTTGAATGGCGATTGGGCATCTTTGGGCCAGCGTCCGGGCGGAGCGGCCCAGATACCTTGCTAATAGGACCATTGTGCGGGGAAATGCTGTTTTCTGGCTGGTCTGGAGAGATTTCGGTGGTTGTTTTTTTGCGGATGTTGAACAGGGCTTGGCGGCGCTAGACTGCATCGAGCAGTCCTGTGACGGAGCCTCGGTGGTTATTCTCCCTCACCTTCATATGCTCTTTCTTTACTAGAATCGCTATGGACAGAAGAATGCAGTACAACGCAGCCACCTGCTTAACAAAATTTCTGCGAATTTCCTAAACCCTTCATACCAACTTGCGTGATGAGTGGTGTGAACTAACATGGAGAACATCAATCCGTCAACCCCTCAACCCATCATGTCGGAAGAAGCTAGAAAACTGTGTTTCGTGACTGTTGGAGCCACTGCCTCCTTCCATCTTCTTCTGAAGTCTATCTTGAATCCTATTTTTCTTGAAGCTCTGAATCAGCGCGGCTATACGGATCTTCTTATCCAGTATGGCAAGGACGGAGAGCAGCTATTTGATGAGTTCAGCGCAAAGTACCCTCCCGGTGATCCCAACCGTCATGGCATCATTGTTCACGGTTTCGACTTCAATCCAGCCGGTCTGGACAATGAAATACGTCTAGCCAAAGCCAAGCCATCTGAAAACCGAAGCAGCGGACTGGTAATTAGCCACGCAGGTAACTACAACCTCATCTCTCGGACGCTCAGGGAACTGACAGACGATTAAAGGTTCCGGCAGTATTTTATCAGCCTTGAGATTTGGTGTCCCGCTGGTCGTGGTGCCTAATCCTACACTCCAGGACAATCACCAGGCAGAGCTCGCTGAAGTACTTCAAGACGAAGGCTACGCGATATGGAGTGATCACCGGTATGATACTCCTGTTTCTGACCCCTTTCCTGATGGTGGCTGATTCTCTGCAGTGAGGTATCCGCTGCACTCGAACGTGCCGAGGCTCTGCGCACCAAGATGCTCACTTGGCCGCCGGTTCATGGTATGCGTGAGCTACAGCCCCAGAACCTTGAGGGCGTTGTCTCGGAGGAGATGGGCTACTTGGATTAAGACTTGGCTCTGATAGTTAACTGGCGCCGAAGTTATTCTTACTTTCTGGGACTAGAATTTGACAGAGTCACTCGTGGACTATGTGGTGTGCAGATAGAGAGGACTCGACCTAGAAGATAGAAGTGCCTGTACTTATACTCCTGAGTGGTCCGAGCTTCTTTGCGGCGGGCCATCCCAATTTGGTTGGTTTGCAGCCAACGCGCGAGAAAGCCTCCTGTTCTTCAACTTCACATAGTCATTCCAATTCTACTCTTTTCTTTTCTTTCCCAACCCATCTCAACAATTGAGGTGTAATTTCTTGTTTTCCCTACGTGTTCCCAATCAACAGCTCCTAGGCCGTGGGGCCGCCGCCTCACAAACAAAGCCGCACTCCTCCCAAAACACCTCCCCGATCTCTCATAACGAACTTATTACACACCCAGATCCCCGCAATGACTGAGGCCACGCTTCACAACGCCCCTATCGTCATCGACAATGGCAGCGGCACTATTCGCGCCGGGTTTGCTGGCGAGGAAATCCCGTCATGTTACTTCCCATCGTTTGTCGGTCGGCCCAAACATCCCCGGGTCATGGCCGGCGGTCTAGAAGGAGACGTCTTCATCGGACAACGAGCCCAGGAACTGCGGGGTCTGATGAAGATCCGATATCCTTTAGAACATGGTATTGTGACAGATTGGGACGACATGGAGAAAATCTGGCACTACGTGTACGAGAACGAGCTCAAGACGCTGCCGGAAGAGCACCCGGTCCTCCTTACCGAACCACCACTCAATCCGCGCAAGAACCGTGATATAGCTGCTCAGATTATGTTTGAGACATTCAATGTACCCGCGCTCTATACATCTATTCAGGCCGTGCTGTCGCTTTATGCTTCCGGACGGACGACCGGCGTTGTTCTGGATTCAGGGGATGGGGTTTCTCATGCGGTCCCGGTGTTTGAGGGTTTTGCGATCCCAAACAGTATTCGGAGGATTGATGTTGCCGGACGAGATGTGACGGAACAGTTACAACTTCTGCTTCGGAAGACCGGGAACGTGCTGCATACCAGCGCCGAAAAGGAGGTGGTCCGGATGATCAAGGAGAAGGTCTGCTATGTCTCCTTGGATCCGAAGCGCGAGGAGAAGGAATGGATGAACACCTACAAGTCGGAATCGAAGCAGGCGGACTATGTCCTGCCGGATGGACATAAGATCAAGGTATGTTTCCGCTGGAGCCAGCAAGTGGACATATAAGCTAACCACGGGCTGTAGATCGGACAGGAACGTTTCCGTGCTCCTGAGATTCTCTTCGACCCGGAACTCATTGGCCTCGAGTACCCCGGTGTGCACCAGATCGTCCAAGATGCTATTATCCGCACAGATCTTGACCTGCGCAAGTCTCTTTACCTTAACATTGTTCTCTCCGGTGGATCAACACTCTGCAGGAATTTCCCCGACCGATTAATGCGCGAGATCAAGCGATTGGCTGTCGAGGACATGAAAATCCGTATATCTGCGCCCGCTGAGCGAAAGTACACTACCTGGATTGGTGGAGGTATTCTTGCTGGGCTGAGCACGTTCCGAAAGGTAACTCTTTCGTTCATATATTGAAGCTTTCTACTAACAATCTGTAGATGTGGGTTAGCGCAGACGAGTGGCACGAGGACCCTGAGATCATTCACCGAAAGTTCGCTTAAGACTTGATAGTCTGGACGGCTCAGCATGCCTGAAGCCCGGCCGCACCCAGCGCCCGCGGGGCCGAAGCTGTACCATCGGATGCACAAGAGAAAACGAGCGCTGTCTTTTAGCTTGAAGACCGATTTATTTTGCTTTATCCGGCAGACGGAATATAGCCGCGTTTGATACCCCGTCTCTTTTCCAAGGTCTTGTTAATCATATCAACCCTTACTTTACGCCATCGATCGCATCTCCCTCATCTCCTCATTACGAACGAGCATCTGTTCTTGCGAACCGGCTGCGCCTGTAAGTGACAGCTAATGTTAATGCAACGCACCTGCACATTGTCTGTCGGCTCATATCCATACTGCAATCCAACCTGCTTCCGCTGCTTTGGTCTAGGGGCCAAAGTAAACGGTTTCATCCTGTCGCTTGCGCAGGCCGTTGAAATTTGAGGCGGGACATACCTATTCATCATTCGTCTTCTCCTATTCTTCATGCTTAGCATCCGTGTTATCTACGTCCTTGTGTAATCCGCAGAAGCGGGGCACGGAGATAGACCTACTCGCGCACTTAGACTTAGGAGTCTTTAGGTAAATAATGGAATCTGACTTGGAATAGATGTCTTTGAGGAGGACGTTATTGTCAGGTTCGCCGAATTTGTCTTGCTACATGGTTCATTAAGAAACATGCTACTTACATTCCCCAGTCCCTTCCGCATGGCTGCTTCGAGCGCTCGCTACTGTAACAACCCGGCTACCCAGCTATCCATAGCTTGTATCGCCATACCGTCTAGGCCGTCGCATAGTAAGCTAGGTCAGTAAAATGCCCCTCCGGACGTGTTCCAACACCAACACTCGACCTCAATGTCGGGGTTCAGCGGGCTGGGATAAGAAGTTAGGGTTAGACATGGATCGGTTAGGTACCGACCTCTAAGGCTGACTTGACCACAGTAGTCACTAGTGACGTTGACGTTGGGCACATCAGATGAAATCAGATCGCTCGCCACGCGGGTACCTGATCGCGAACTGGAGATTGACGGTGTACTCGTACGCAGTATGCCTTTGCGCGACAATGTCTACGTACACGTTCTACTGCGTGTGTGTCCAGAAATAGCAGAAAGGAGTGGCGCGGACTTCTGGGCAAGATACGGTAGGCAGATGCGATTTTCTGCCGCTGTTGTCTCTTTTTCTTTTTCGAGGCTGTGATGAACTTGCCTAGGGCCCAGGGCCCAGGTGAGGCGTGATCATCGGTATACCCGAGGACACGCTGGTGGCGTCATTAATGATCGACATGCCCGACATGAGTCAACGCCTCAACGGAACATCGCACATCGGATGTTCCTGACCATCATGAGGCAAAAACATTGATGTTACTTTATATAGAAAGATCTACGAGAAAAAGTCTCATACGCAATACGCAAGGAAGGTTTTGGGTGTTGTTTGCTTTTTTTTGTGATTAGAGTATGCTAGATGGAAGTACATAGAGGCTGAAGAGCTCCAAGATGCAAGCAAGCAGGCAAACAAGCATGCAAATGCCGACTCCGTCGTGCTGGGGGTAGTAATGATAATCAAGAACAATACTCCCAGACAAGGGAATAACCCAAGGGTAGTGAAAACCAACAGAAGGGTATAAAAGTGTCCGGAGACTGGGGTATCATAGATATTTTTTTTTGAAAAAGAAGTTGTTTATTTGGTTCAAGGCGGGCGGGTAGAAGGAATGTCGGTTCGGGAGTAAGGTAAGAAAGAAAGGTCGATGAACGGGGAACGAAGCGAAAGCGAAGGATTAAAGGCGTAGAACCGAGGTCGAAGATGGAAGAATGGAGATTGAGATGAGAGAGGATTGACAGAGGAAAGATTCGAAGAAATGAAGAAATCAGGAACTTTTTGGGGGTCGTGAATCATCGTGATCGTGAGTGTTGAAGCCAAACGCCGCTAGATGCGTTGTGACAGGAAGCCAGGCGCTGGAAGAAACCAAGCAAGGAAGACAGGAATGTTGAAGTCGATGTAGAAGTCGATGTCTATGCCATGCCCTTAATCTTCTCCCAGCCCTTTTCAAGGCCGCGGCGGGCCATCTCGCGCGCGCGGTCACTTGTCGAGGAGAGATTGCTCTTGGCCGATGTATTGCTGGTTGAAGAGAACTTGCGGCTCAGGGTGCTCTCGTTGTCGTTCTCGCGGTGGATCATGTTGCCTGCGCCGCCGCGGCCAACATGGTAAACAGGCGCGGCGCGGCGCATCTCGCGTTCCAGCTCCTCGTCGAAGCTAAAGATGGCACGCTCGCTGCTGCGGTGGACATTGCCGGCGCCGCCGCGGCCGGATGTGAATGTTGAGGGGACATGGGAGTCCAATCGAGTGAGGGATGCTGGGCCCGTGGCGGTTCGAGAAGGTGTAGTCTTGGTGTTCTTCAGGTTGATGACATTGCCGGCGCCTCCGCGAGCCGTATGTAGAGCTGGACGGCCGCTGTGAGGGACTGATGGGTGCGGCTCGACGACGTGGTAGTTGACGGGCATGGTGTATGGATGCTGCTGCTAACGATGCAGGAACGCAGAAGTCAACTCGAAAAGGATGACAGACGACAGATGACGCTGACAGACGAGGGAGAAAAGTCTTTTATTTGTGTGAGTCTTGCGATCTTTGGGAAGTGAACCAGAGAATTGGGCGGGGACAGGAGCTCTATATAGGACTGGGTCCAGCAGAGCTGTTCCGGGGAAAGCATGGAAACAAGGGCACGCAATTCCGCACGCCGCATGATGAGTGGCAGTCGGTCGTCAGAGTGACCCGTTGCCAGCGACTCAGCGACCGCAACAGACCGAATCCAGGCACACCGCGAGGTCACACGCTGAGTCCGCAGTGGAGAGGCCCTGCCCATCGTCAATGCGCTTAGCAAATTTCGATGCGATGGATCTGGCTGGAATCCAGGAACTGCTGTTTCCACGCACCCCCTGAAAGCAGCGACCAGTAACCGCTGCTCATGTGATGCTGCCGGGGCCCGTGATTGGCCTTTAGTCCCTCAACTGGCCCGCCGGCCGTGTGCGCCGACCGCTTCTTTCATGCTTCCCTGGCCCTGCTCGGTTTCTGTTACGTTTCGCCACGGCGCGTCTGACGAGCCCTGGCTGAATGCGGTTTTGTGAGGGTAATGGAAATCCCTCCTTGGTCCCCTGGTGTCTGGTGATTTCTAGGCGTCTCGCTATTGACACACTACAGGGTAATAGGCACACGTTGGCCAAGGGGTGCTCCTGGCACGACCACAGCCTTCGACTCCTTTCTTGTACTCCGTACGGAGCCCGGAGTATCTCAAGTCTATGGGCATCGTTGTTGTAGACTACGGAGTACAGGAAAAGATCTGGCGCTTACAACCGCAGCCGCCGGGCGGCAGAATCCAGGAAAATGACTCGACAGGGGAAAATTTCTGAACCCCGCATGATCCGGTGAGAACTCATGCTGTCAAGATTCAAGCACAATTGCATCATCGATGTTTCTATTTTTTCAGAGTACGGAGTATCGCCATCTGGCGCCATCAGCTGAGGGAATTTCGAGAAGTTGGGCGTTGCGACGTTCGAGTAGCATTCCACGAGGCAAGGCGCGATGGCGCTGCTGCTGCTTGGCAGGAGATCATTATGAACAGATTCTCACCATTCGCTTGGCATGAACACGTTGATCCCCCCTTCTGCCTGCTACTAGTTGTTACTGGGGTGGTTATACACTGTACAGGCAAGTATGTCGGGAGGAGGCATACACCTGCATATATCTCAAGTAATGGCTACAACTTGCCAGGGTTACGATGCTTCAATCCTGTCAGTGTCGAAGTATATGAGGCATATTGCGCAAGCCGCAGGGATAATTACCCCAGATCTGCTGCAGGGCTGGACTCTAGCCTGCTTACCAAAGAGGAAGCTGCGTCCAAGTTGGCGGATAGAAGTGGGTTTGGCTGAAAAATCTGCAGCTCCACTTCACACCTTGGGGACCGCGTCTTGCCGTCTTCCAAGTTGAAACTTGACAACTGTTCAGAGTCAGGATAGACGGCTGAACTTTGCAAGTCATGCGGTGAGGATGGTTTGAGGCTGGAAGGGTGCCGTGACTTGGAGAGACTCCTGAGCCTGCTTGACCATATTAATATTCTGCAGGTGCCTAGATTCAAATTGCCTCAAGATCCTTCCCCGGATTTCAACCCCAGAGCGGCAGGTCACACGGCATGACGTATCAGAATCCCAATCCTTCCTTTTTTCCTTTCTTTCCACCTCGGCTTTGACGCTGGAGCGTCACCTGATGGATGTTTTGACAGACTACTAGACTACTACTACCGCAGATTCCTGCTAACGGACTACCCCTCACTTCTCCATCTGTCGCTGTCGAAAGAATTGATCTCCTCACGGCGTTGGCCACTAAGGGGCTGACCCTGATCCCATGTGGTTCGTCTGGGGTTCAACATTATCTCGCTCTCTATGGAGTATGGAGTCTATGGAGCCACGAGGATATACTCCGTATACGATGCTACCGTCGTAGCATCATGATGCTCAGCCGTCTGGATCAATACATCGAATCAGTGTCAACAACTTATGTAAATGGACTCCGGGCCAAGTCTTGAGAACAACAAATAAGTTGGAGTACCTGTAAGCCGTACATTACCCCAGGATCGCCAAGCACAGTCAAAAATTGCGGGCATAGTGCGGGGATGCATCTGCGCAGGTCAGCAACATAACCAACGGCTCTGTTGCCCTCGCATAATATTTGGTTGACCAGAGGATTGCCCACTGGACTGCTCATCATCAAATCCCTGGGCTGCATAGTGCATACAGTGGACATCGGCAGGTGCAAGAGCAAAAATGCTTGTACATCATCCCTCTAAATCAATGTCAAAGACTAACAAGTGGCCTATGATAAAAGCGCCGCAGACTTGATTCTTTCAATTCCCTATGCAAGCTACTCCAAGTATCGCTATAATTTCAGTACGGGATGTCAAGCACAATAAGCTACTGTTCTTAGTTTATGTCTCGGAAGCCGGAACAATGTGAATGAGATGAAAACTTCTGAGGGCTTGGGTTATGCAAGATGTTTGGCACCGGTCTCAGTTTCAGAGTCCCTTATTTTGTTGTCACTGAGACACTGAATTCAGAATTTCAGATGTACTGGTTGATGCCTTAGAGCCTGAGGCTTTAAAGCACTATACTGCCCAGTTTGACCGCCTTCAGATAGCATCGCGAATATCTTCATCGACATCTCCACATGCGAGGCCCGCCACCGCCAGACAGTCAGGAACGCCTTAGCTCTCGCAGAACTGAAAACTGAGGGTGCGTCTCGCAACTTGACTAACTTCTATTTATTTTGAGCTTTGTTACTTCAAGACCACGAGTGCAACGCCGGCGCTCCAATAATCAAGATGCCGAAATATAGGTGATCCCTTCCCCTACCACATCGGTTTCCAGCTAACCTTCGAGGCACTCTTCTGTAGGTTTTCCCGCGAATTCTTTATCTTCATGGAACGAAATCTCGCGACGCGATTCTCCATCAAATTCCATCCGGAGCCTGCCGCAAGTCCATTGACTAACCGCCTGCTCGATTCATAGGCGACTACTGCGATGTATACCTAACACACGACTCGATGAGCGTGCGCAAGGCACACAACTCCGGACGAAACCATCTCAGAAACGTCGTCGAATACTATCAGCGTACGCGCACCCATCATATGTCCGTGGTATCTCACAAGCAAGCTCACAATCGCAATTGCAGAAATCGGACAGGAAAAGGCACAATCAGTCATCGACTCCATCACGTCTTCATACGCTGCTGAGGGACAGGCTGTTCCAAACCCCGCCATGGTTCCGCCAGGTGCTTACCCGCCTCCGTTTGGATTCCCAGGTACGTACTCGGGAGCTTTCACGCTTACAAGTCAAGGACGAGAGCTAAGCTAACCACACAAAAGGCCAATTCCCCCCTCCTCCATTCGGTATCCCTCCTCCCGGCCCAGGCGGCGCCGCCATGCCACCACGTACGTCTTCTTTCCCTCTCGCTCCCAAACAAGTCACTAACCAAACCAGCCCCCGGAGCACGAGGTCTCCCCTTCCCCCCTCCCTTCCCGCCAACGTCCGGCCCCATGGGCGCACCTCCCGGAGCAGGCCCCGCCGGCCTTCCACCCCTCCCCAACATGCCAAACATGCCTCCGAACATGGCCGCGCTCCCAGGTTCTGCACCGCCCCCCGGCCAGTTCCCTCCCCCGCCAGGCGGCTTCCCCGTCCCGCCTCCAAACTTCCAGGGCGGATTCCCTCCCATGCCTGGTGCGCCTGGTCCGGGACCTGCAGGATTCAGCCCCAGCCCTGGACTGTCCGGGCCACCTGGTGGTGGTCCCGGAGCCGATGGGCCAGGAGGATTTGCGCCCCCGCCTGGGATGGGACCCGGTGGGTTCTCGGGACCGCCGCCGGGTATGGGCGATAGGCGATGATTATTGTGGTTCTTGTCTGTCAACATTGCTCTTTGTGATTTACGAGGGTTTCTTATCCTCTCTCGCCTTCATTTCTTCATCTCCGGCGTATGTGGTGTTCGTTGTGGTTATTTACTGCGTTTGTAAAGACTTGAAAAGCTGGTAACGACGTTCGAGGTGGACATTGCATAATAGTAGATACTTAGTTGAATCTAACAAAAAATACTCAGAATTGGGACTTCACTACCAAACAACTCGCCTGATATTATATATCAATATTTAGTAGCTGCAATGGCACGAAAGGACATTTAAATGCTTGCTTGTCTCCGGAGTAATACGGCTGATATTTATTAGGGCTATTTCAACACATGCGGGCCAATCACAGCCAAATATATATATTCTGAGACGAAATTTGAAAAAGAGTCCAAGTGCAAGCATGACCCAAATTCCACATTTCTCACCCCATTAATACTACCTTACAAAGCTCTAGAACAAGCGAGGAAATTGGAAGATTTCAGCTAACGTCGGATTGACGCAGCAGTAATAGCATTATGGTACCTTAAGTTTTCCATAACTAGAACAAAAACAGAAGGGCACATTGGATAAACCCCTACCAAAAAGAAGCGCACAAAGACCGCAAACCCAAGTCCTGATCTCCAGATCCAATGCTATAGAACGCCGAGTGTAAGTAGAACGGATGATGAAAAAGGTAAAGAAATCCTGGGTGGGGTAAAGAGGGAGAGAGAGGTGGTGAGAGGAAAGGAAAAGAGAGTCCAGTTTATCACGGTATACGCAAGTTGGGCAGAGTCAAATAGAAAACAGGAAAATAAAAAAGCGGCACTGTGCAAGTACCGACGAATATAGAATGAATAAAGCACGGGTCGAGCGGTCAGTCCCTTCCCGTACTCGGCCATAACTTCATCTCTTTAATCAAAGCTAATAAAGCAATCGTTTGAAAGCGGGAAAAAGAAGAAAAGCGATAAAACTCTTTTAGTGGTCATAACCCGCTCCTCTTTGCCATGGGCTTTGGTTGTTCTGTGCTCGATATGGTGACGAGGTAAAGCTTCGAGGAATCGGCGACTGTGACCTTTGGATGTTATCAACGCTACCAGGTCCTCGCGGGCTGGAGTTGTCGCTGGGGAACAATGGTAGCGACGGGTCAACAGGAGAATGAGGAGCTGGATTTGGCATTCCCGGCGGATTGGGCTCAAGGTTTTGACGGCTAACGCTGGCGCCATTGCCGCTGGAAAACGAGCCACTCTCATCGTCGAAAGGATTGGCCTTGTAAGGGGTTGTCTTCATGTCGCCTCGAGCGGTGGCACCCAATGCATCCAGTTCGGTGGTAAGTTGGGTCTGTGATTTGATGAAGGAGCCACGGTCATCCCTCATGGGTTGGTAGCGCGTGTCAGGGTTCTTGGAGGCAAATGCATAGATTGACCCAACAATCACCAAAATCAGAAGAACCAACGCAGCGACCGCATTGATGACGAAGAAGACAACTCCCATGACTCCGGTCACTAGGCCTGGTTGATTGAAGACATCGGAGAAGAAAAGGAGGAAGATGGCGTTCAGGAACTGGACCGCAGCGATGGAGATATTATAGATGTTAGTCTTTTTGTCCATCCAAGGCCGCAAAACGCTGACTGCAATCAAGAACGCCGCCTCGAGAATAACATAGGCGACGGTTTGCACCACAGGGGCCGGCTGACTGAGACCAATGAACATGCTCTTAACAAAGAGATAGCCCAGGACGGGGATAACAAAGTAGTAGGCCGTTGCTCGATATTGCACATAGAGGAATCCCCACTTGTTCAAGCAAGTCGGGTCGGAGTAAAGGATATACGCCGGGTTTTTGTGTAGTGCGATCGACCGCTTCGCCAAGCTGATCACCTTGAATGAGGCCCAGCCCAAGGCCGCGAAGAGTGAGATGAGCATGATCACAGCCAGTACTATTTCAGCTGGCGAATCGTTTCGAGTGAATTCCCACAAGCAAAGAACACACATCTGAGGGAAACCAATCAAAGTCAATCTGAACAAGATACCACGGGTGACAACCCTCCATCCGTTGCGGAAGTCCTGGAACTTATCGCTCTTCATCCTTCCATGTTTAGCAAGAAGCTCGCACGCTCCTTTGAAGGCGACGACGAGGAGCATCACTAAAGCCACGAAGACAACGAAGAAAATGAAACCAGTCAAAAAGATGTTCGTCTCCTCAATACCAGCAATGAACCCAACACGCTCAATTCCACGGACTTCAACGGTCTCGGAAGTGGCTTTCTCACTCTCAGCACCAGCCCGTTTGACCAGAGCTCCCACAGATCTTGGGACTAATCCTGCAGCGGCATCGAAAGCACGTTTCTTAAGGGGCTGAACGGAGACGGTCGAAAGTTCCGAAAGGAGCGTCGCAGCAGTGCCTCCTGTCGATCGCTGGTACCACGTACAGATGTCCTGGAGGAAGCCGATACGAATGATACCCATACTCCATTGGAAGTTCTGAGTCCATGATTCAACAATGGGCGGCATGTGAATAGAAGTCATACCAATCATTGCTTGAGACTGGTAGAACGAGAAAAGAGAGAGAGCATTAGCCGCAACGTGGGCGGCAGTGTTCGAATGCCCAAGACCGGATGTGATGGCAGACGCAGTCAAGCCCAGACCGGCAATGATGGCGGTAGCCCACCCCACGCCTTTTTGATAGACGGTTTTACCATTCGAAAGACTAGCCTCGAGGCAAGCAATGCTCTCGTGTGTGGTGGTTGAATTGATGTAAACGCGAACAGAGGCGTCGAGATCTGGGACCGTATACGCAATACCTGTAAGAAAAAAGAATAGTCAGTACAGTTTCTTGTGGTAGTTTACAATTCGGAAAGCGTACCCGGAATTTGGTTTGCGACATCATCTCCAATAGTAATGGGAGTGTCGCGAATATTCATGGGACCAGTGTTCATGGGACAAAGGCCTTCAAGGTCCATATCACAAGGGTTGAATGTTTGCTTCACGGCCTGATAACCGTAGGCATCGAGGATGATTGTGGCCTCGACATAACCGGAAATGGAGGAGACTCCATCGAAGCCGATTAGAAGCGAATTATTATTGGGGGTATATCTGACGTGGAAATAGGTGGCCGTAAAGTTCGAGCTATCTTGACACAAAGTGAGGGCCTTAGACTCGATGAGCCTCTCAGCGGCTACCACAGGCGTATGTAGGAGGGTGACCAGAAAGCAGAGTAAAACTGATATTGACCGCATTTTGACAGATTTACGTCCCACCGGCGCTCTGGATCGCGAACGGGGTTAAGACTAATAAGAGGAGGGCCTGTCGTAAGAAGGAGAAGCGGAGGTGGTATTGCAGTTGAGGAGCAACGCTTGGCGACGCCGGATGCGGAAGGGTTTGAAGACCAGCAGCTCTGGTGTGGATAGAAGTGACGTGGTCACGGTTGATGCGGCGGAGAGGATGCTCGAGCTTGTAAAGTGCGTATTTGGGTGTTGGAGAAAATAGTGATTAATGTAAACCGTTGTTGCGTGTTCACAGCGTCATGGATCGTCGATGGGAAAGGAGCGAGGCACCGGGAAGGTGAAGTGGATCAAGTATAAAGGTGGAAGGAACAACGAAGGTTCGAAAGAATTGAAGAGTACGGAGTATCGAGGAGAGAGCGAAAGTCGAGAGGTTGGAACAGTGAGATAGCGAGCGTGGCGGCGACACCCAGTATTGCCGAGAAGGAGGTTGGTTTGGATGGGATGATGAGCGTCTCCTAGCCGGGTCACTTCAAAATCGACGAACGCACAGGCGCAGGCGTGAGATCGAAGATGGGGGAGAAGAACGAGGGGAGAAAAAAGAACCGGGATAAAAGAGGGGGCAAAGAAACGAAAGAGATGACGGAGGATTGGAATGCGAGTCCCGGCCTGGCAGAGACGGTTCTTCAGGGGATCTCGTCGCGGTTGGAGGAGAGACAGACGGTCGGAATGCACTTCAGAAGGGAGTCAAGGGACTCTCGCAGGAATGCAGAACGGGGAGGCCTGACTCAGCACGGGACCAGGCGGCGGAAGTGCGGGCGACCAATAGAGGCCTGGCTGCGTTCTATTCTTGGGGCGGACGGTCTGAGTCTCGACTGACTCGAGTGCAGGGAACCAAGGACAAGGTGCTGCACTCACAGATCACAGAGGTTCTTTGACTCTGGACTGATTGTTGTTGACTCAAAGTAGAGTTTCAAGTTTGTCACAGCTTTCTCTGCCCGTCAGTTCTCTGGCATCGTTAAAAGACAATGAATAGCGCACGCGCGTCCTCACTCCTCAGGGGATCGTAGTTCCAGGCCCAATTATGGATGATTGCTAGACGCTTAATCCACTGGCTCAGCCTCTGATTTGTGCCCACTGATAGTCGACGAGGGTTTCTTCATAATCACTAACGTAACGGCCAAGCAATTGTCAAGCGACTCTGCTGCTGATGCCATCGAGATGATGAACTCCTGCCAAGGTTGCTCTCCAGGACCTCTCAACGCCGCCCCATGGTTATTGTTTCTGCCTATTTACTGGGTGGCCATGTTTCAAGGCTATCAATGAATGGAAATTAGATCAGAAAGGGCTAATGGTATTTGCAACTGAGACATTGTCTTAACCGCCATTAAAGTGTTGGGTTCCCTGCAGCTCTCATCCAGCCTCAAGAACTCTTTCAAGCGCCTGCCAGATCAAATCTCACATTCTGAAGGTGAATATTTGCTTAATCCACCAACCCTCGCAAGAACGCACCCAATCAAAAAGAAACTCGTCTACCTCGTCCCTTTTTTGCAGTGTCTTAGCGCCGAGCCTGCTGAGGGGATTATTTGTTCGCCCCCGTTGCACAGCCCCCTCCTTAAGAAACGAGTACGAACAATTGTCAGAGAATGGGTTCTTGCTACTTTAACAATTTAATTACCCACGCTGAGATTCAAAGAACAGGCCGGTTTGCTTCTTTGAGGCGCCACCGGGACCCTTTTTGAGTCCTTGTCTCAGATTCATAAATCGGTCAATATCAAATGCTCTGCCAGCAATGTCCCTAATGAGCGCGTCATATGCCTCTTTGGCACTTTGCATGTGGAGCTGAATGTGACAGCTGATACTGCCGATGGGTGCATCTGACATGGATTGAGGTCTCCAAGGGCCCGAATTAACCCTCAACACATCATCATGTCTTGCTTAACGGCACTGTGACCTTGGCCTTCCATGTTACCAGGCAGACGGAGTTGATGCACGAATGCTTTCGCTGCCCAGGTCTCTAACATCTGGCCGCAGACGCAAAATAATCGAAGACAGAGCAATGCGGCACCAGCCGGAGCATTCTAGATCGAGCAGCTCAGCGAGCGATGCTTCTGCCATTTACTTTTGTGCTATGATCGCATCAAATACCGCCGTATCCGGAGGCTTGGAAGATTAGTGGACTGTTATTTCACCGTCTACTTTCCCCTCGAGATCTAGGCGAGTCGGCAGTCGCTTTTGAACCAGAGCATATAGTCTCGTTTAATAGGACTTATGCGGCCTTTCGCCCCAGAGAATGAAGCTACTTTACCCGCGGTGATGGTGTCGGCAAGATGAAGACTGTAGACGCACTCTTCGGCGTCGACATCATTGAACCAGTCAGTGGAAATGACGTAGAACGTGCATTTGCATACTTGTTCCGGGGTAAAGTTAAACAGCGCCCGATTATTGCCCGCATTTCGAGCACAATCCATGCTAATCCTGTCACAGGTTCTACTTTCGGCCTCTTCATTTAACATTACCAGGCAGGTCTTGTTGCGCTTTTCCCTTCCCAACGCATCCCCAGCCATCCTCCGCTAGAAACGGAACGGCGAAGATCTCAGTGGGGCTGATGTTAGGAGATTTGGATCGACACGGGTTTTGAGACGTGCGCAGATCCGTCTTTGAATCTGTAAGCGGGAATTACAGCAAGTTCCTTAAGAGGTCTGCGAGTGCGGAGGGACTTCGTTACACAATTGTCCATCGTGTGTCCCCGAGGTGATCAGAGTTACTGGTGGACTAAGCACGTCAGAACAGGGCGAAGCTACGGATCGGCGAAGTCGTCGCGTTCTTCCCACGCAGATCGAATGTGTTGGCCAACGAGCACGTTTCGCGGTTGCGCATGTCAACGACAGTTGGTCCCGGACACCTGGAACCCCACCATTCGCGATTACAATTCAGCCTCGCGCCATCTGTTCCGGAGTAGTTGATGACAGCCGCGAAGCATACTATTCAAGCGTCTAGGATAGAAGAACCGCAAGCGGAACCGGTTCACTCCGTCCAAGGCTATCCAAGCGTGGTTTTTCGACATCCGCGCAGCCAGTCGAGAGGGTTAAGGAAGAAACTCGTTACAAAGCACGTATATCGCACAGACGGAAATAGGTGAGTAGCACATATTGCCAGCCGGGAGTCCATCATAATATGAGCTGTCGAAGCATCAGCTGCTCAGAGTCACTGTCTGTGTAAGCCCTGTGCTTGCTTGAGCCGCCGTTGGGCACTTGGAGACAATCTCACGATAGCCCTTCTTCGATACTTCAATGGGGACATGATCGTTAGTAACCCTCAGACTCTGTCATGGCGAACTTCAATGACACCCCAAGGGAGCTTATTGCTGATGATGGCCTGCCTATCTATCCTGACAAAGCCTGGGGATTCATGGATGTATTCAAGTAGGCCGTGCTGTCGTGAGGTAGGTACGTTCTCCCGGTAGAAATACTGGAAGATTATGCTTGACAAATCATTTCCCGTTAGTCTATCACTTACTTAACCACTATCTGGGCACGCTTGAAGAGTTTCCTGCTAGGTACTAGATATACAAAACATTTTGTCTAGTGCATTCGCTTATTCGAGGGTGCTAAAAACACAGCCAGAGAATCTTACCTTTGCCCTTTTATGTAACTAAGTACTACAGGTCATATCCCCCTTAAGAAATAATAATTTTTCGTGGGCTTTGTACTTTGTAGCTTTGACAATTTGATCTCCATACCCTAAGTCTCCATTTGATGCCTGAATATGCCTTGACGATTGCATGTCCTATCTTATCATCACGTGATGCGGAGACGGAGAAAAAAAAAGAAAAGCCTTAGCAAAAAATTCGAGCTTTCCGCAGCCAAACGAATTCGCCCCAACCCGAGTTTCAAGGAAGACTTTGAGTCTTTACGGACACGATGCCGGCCGCAGTTGACACCGCAAAAACTATTTCGAAGAAGCGCAAGAGAAAGCACGGTGGAAGCGCTCGCGAAGCGACCGATAACGGAGATGTTCCCTCTCCTGCACCCGAGACCAAGACCGAGGTCGCGACCAAGTCGACCAAGGACAAGGACATCAAGCTTGCTAAGAAGATCGTGAAGGAGGAGGCGCAAAAGAAGCGGAAAGTGAACCATTCTTCTGGTGACGAAGACAGCGGGAGTGAAGAAGAGCAAGAGGAGGAGATGGAGGAGGCTACTGCTGAGGAGAAGGATGAGGAGGAGGAAAAGGAGTCTGGGGATGATAATGTGCCCGATCTTCCTTCTGTCGATGCTGTTAGCCTGCCACAGCCTGATGGGGGCCCCAAAAAGTTCACTGAGTTGAACCTGTCGGAGAAGACACTCCAGGGTATTAAAGAGATGGGATTCGAGACGATGACAGAGATCCAACAGCGGACGATTCCTCCGCTCCTTGCCGGTCGTGATGTTCTTGGTGCTGCGAAGACGGGCTCCGGAAAGACACTTGCGTTTTTGATCCCTGCCATCGAGATGCTCAGTGCGCTGCGATTCAAGCCTAGGAACGGTAGGTTGCGGTTCTCGCCTTGATGGCATTGCTTGCTCTAATTTGATTCTTTTACAAGGTACCGGTGTTCTTGTCGTTTCCCCGACGCGCGAGCTGGCGCTGCAGATTTTTGGTGTGGCGAGGGAACTCCTCACGGCGCACAGCCAGACATATGGTATTGTTATCGGTGGCGCGAACCGACGAGCAGAGGCGGAGAAGCTTACAAAGGGTGTCAACCTGCTCATTGCGACACCCGGTCGTTTGCTCGATCACCTGCAAAACACCCCCGGCTTTGTGTTCAAGAATTTGAAGACCCTGGTCATCGACGAAGCGGACCGAATCCTGGAAGTCGGTTTCGAAGATGAAATGCGCCAGATCATCAAGATCCTGCCCAACGAGGACAGACAGACCATGCTGTTTTCCGCCACCCAGACCACGAAAGTCGAGGATTTGGCGCGGATATCGCTCCGACCGGGACCCCTGTACATCAACGTCGACCACAGGAAGGAGCACAGCACAGTGGCGGGATTAGAACAGGGATACGTTATCTGCGAGGCTGACAAGCGGTTTTTGCTACTCTTCTCCTTCCTCAAGCGCAACCTCAAGAAGAAGATCATTGTCTTCTTCTCCAGCTGCAACTGCGTGAAATACCACGCCGAACTTCTCAACTACATCGACCTTCCAGTCCTGGATTTGCACGGAAAGCAGAAACAGCAAAAGCGAACCAACACTTTCTTCGAGTTTTGCAATGCTAAACAAGGAGTCTTGATCTGCACAGATGTTGCCGCGCGAGGTCTCGATGTATGTCTCTTTCCTTCTCAGAATATCCCAGTACTCTAACATTTCTTAGATTCCCGCTGTGGACTGGATCATCCAGTTTGATCCCCCAGATGACACGCGTGACTACATTCACCGTGTCGGACGTACCGCCCGTGGAGCCAACGGCAAGGGCCGTAGTTTGATGTTCCTGCAGCCGTCCGAAGTTGGGTTCCTGAAGTACCTCAAGGAAGCTCGAGTACCTGTCGTAGAGTTCGACTTCCCCGCCAAGAAGATCGTCAACGTCCAGTCCCAGCTCGAGAAGCTGATCAGCCAAAACTACTATCTCAACAAGGTGAGTTCCACACTATAATACTAATTTCAATTGCAAGTCATATATACTGACGGCCTTCCTAGTCTGCCAAAGAAGGCTACCGCTCCTACCTCCAGGCCTACGCCTCCCACTCACTGCGTTCTGTCTTCGACGTCCACAAGCTCGATCTCGTCAAGGTGGCAAAGGGCTTTGGTTTCCAAGCGCCACCACGTATTGACATCCAGCTTGGGTCTAGTCTGAGCCGGGACAAAAAGCAGCAGCAGCAGGGACGACGCAGCTACGGTAGTCAGCCAAAGGGGGGGCTGAAGTTTAAGAGGAAGCACGAGGATGATTAATTTTGTTATACCTAGGTATGCTTTGTGATTAGCATAAGGTTCGGAGTTATTTGATTGTGCTGTACATGATAGCCTATGGATTCATATATCATTCAAAAGTTTTAATTGTCCAAAGAATCCTCTTCAATTCCGTCATCCGTAGAGTGTATCGTATCCAGGGCCCAGGTACAATGCTGTGGCAATTGTAAATCGAATTATTGTTCCACTATGAAACGAGAAAGCGAAACATGGCTGCGCATGCAAGGGCGTTGAAGGGAGAAGCTTATCTGGTTATCACGGCATGAAGAGATCCGATCCGCCCTTCATTCCAGGCGATAACTTAAATCAAACCTAGACTTCTAGAAAATGAAATCCCAGGAGCCATGAGGTCACCGAAACAAAGTGCGGAACCAGGGGTTCAAGGCTGGTTCCACGGTTTCCACGGTTCTTCCGGTTGGACCATGGGTTTTCTACAAGAACTCAACTGTCAACAGACGCCGAACCCAGTTGTCAAAAACAAAGTGGCTGGAGACTTTTGTATACCAAGTGGAGAGATCTGGCCGCGGGTGGCTGGAGACCGCCTCCTTCTCTCCGTCCGCTCCCCGTCCCTGGCTGCGGGGCAAAAATCTCAAAGTCGACTGAGCTCAAGGTTAGTTTAGGTTCCCACTGCATTATTCCGTGTGATATCGCGGCAGCGCCAGCAGCAGCAGCCCAGCACCGTAGCCAGGAATATCCCTACCCAATCACCAGCCTCAAGTGGCAGAGATAGATGCCCGGGATGTGATGTGATGGATGGCTGTTGATGAGTTGGCAGCAGGATCGCCAATCGATGGTTGTCCCGGGAAACCCGCGGTGAACAGGCTACGTCTGATGCAGTTTAGACTCCAGGCTCGATGCCCGTGCCGGCATGGTCATCCATGCTCATGCTCATGTAGTCTAGGGGGATGTGAGGACCGGGAACGGGTGTACATGTGCGACTTCGATGTCTTGGGTCGTTTGTCCCATTCTGAAGAGACGGACTCTGATATTCTGCAGGATAGAGATCTCGGTGCTGGTCTCGGGTAGTACGATTGCGGGATCGGGAGGCGTGGGATCTAAGCTACGGAGTAAGGCTAAGAGCTACCCAAGAGATGTGCTGGTTGGCAAATGCCTATGTGCCAGTCTAGATGCTGGCCCTGGAGGAGGTAAATGCCCGTTCTCCTTACATCACCGGTAGATTTGCAAATCGGCTGGCGAGAGCCCGATCGTTGCAAGCACTGAGTAACAACGTGCTCACGAGCAGAGGTCGAGCTGAGCTAGTCCATGAAGAGAGGATGTCTCTAATATACTGCTCTCAACCTAATACCTGACGTCCGGAGTAGATGGAGATGTGTCGGTGGCACTGCCAAAGTCGATTAGAGGCTACTATCTACCCACGTAAGAAGCATGGAAGGGCCGCCTTGCGTGGAGATGGTCTCCAATTGAGCATCCTGGAGCTGGCACCGTTGCTGTTATGATCCAGAAGAAGGCCGTGTGTATCTATTCCCTTAATGCTTCTTCTATATATGAAAAGACGGTACAGTCGGAGTGCCGATTCTAACGGGGCCTGTGTTTGCTTCCGCAAAGAAGAAAATCTTGAACCTCCGGTCAATCAGGATTGGAGCTCTGCTAGAGATTAATTTCTTTCCTTGCCATTTGCCAACCAGCGCGTATCGCTCGACTGTGTTCGCCCGGTCGAACGACTTTTTGCGCCTCCCAGCCTTCTCATTTTCTTGCCCGCTCGATTCCTTTTCTCTTCTCCCCCGTCTCCATCATTCCTAACCTCGCTCGCGATTTATTTGCTTTCAGCCTCTAATTCCTCCCCCTGGCAATTACGGAGTATACTTTATTTTGTCCTGTGCAGCATTTCGTCTGCCTGGCTGTTGTTGGCTGAATTCAGCCACCGTCCGACGTCCAGCAAGCCTCAATTGACCTCGTCCATCATCCACCGTCCACCACCCACCATTACCGTCAGCATCGTCCCTCCTGTGAAAGTATCGATCAGCTGCTGCTTCTCCTCCATTCTATCCCTTCCCTCATTAACTCGCCTGCACTGGTACGCTTGATTCTCTTTCCTTCTTCTTTACACCTGACAGCCTCAGCCTCACATTCCTTACCTCCCCACTCCCCGCCTGCCATCTCTCCGTTCGCGCCCTGACCAACCCTTATTTTGAAGACTACACATCGATCCATCCGATCTGTGTTAACACTTCACATGTTAACATCGGGGCTCAGGTCAACCCCATACTTCCCTGTCCCTGTTCCTTGCCCCTGCCCGATCCCAATTTCTTTTGCCCAACTGCTGCATATTCTACCCCCTCACTTGGGATGAGAGGAGAGAGCCTTAGGGGTCCGGATAAGGGATAAGGTCGACAGGCTTTGAACTGTTGGGCTGCCTGAAGAAGGAGATATACAAAAGAACAGCTCTCCTACCCTTCCCTCCGTCATGGGCGTCACCACCCGCAGACCGCTTCTACCAGCCCCTACAGAATCCATTGTCGACAGCTTTGGAAGCAGCGTCACAGGCACAGATCTGGGAACTGACATCTCTCGCCGCACAGACAAGACATCGTACTCGATTCCCGACGACGGGAGTCCCGTCACAATTCCCACCCGTCGGAAGCACCGCTCCCGCGGTGAGGACTCCACCAAACTGTCGCGCTCGTCGCATCACTCCCAGACCTCCCTGCTCATCGAGTATTTCGAGGGCGGGAAGGGTTCTGGGGGCTCTGGCGGTGCGATAGTCTCCCGTCCCAGTGTCCGCGTCCGCGTCACTCCTTCGTCCGGGAAAAAGTCCAAGGAGCCGAGCGTGCACATCACTGACTCTGCTGGAAATCGGAGGCCGTCTTATTCGCGACGCATCTCCCTTGGATCTCCGTCGAAGTCAAAGTCGGGTGGCGATGACCTGAGTTACTCTTCTTCCGCGGACGAAAACCAGACACCCGGCCCCGTGGAGATTGAGCTTCTGAATCGCGATCAAGGTAGTGAGCTCTCCACCTTGTCGCGCGACCGCAGATACCTGCCGACCTCCGAGATCTCCTCGATGCCTGCGGATAGCATGCTCGAAGCTCCATCATCTGATTCACGACAGAAACATAGCCAAAGCCCAGAGCTCGAGGAATCCGATCCCAAAGATTATCTCAAAACGCCAACTCGACAGAGAAGCCGCAGTCTGAGTACGGAGAGAATCGCCCAACGTGCTGCGGAGAAGGTCAGCAATTACTCCCGTGACGCTTCGAGTAAACGCCGAGCAGGTAAAAGCCGCGGAATCGCCACCGACTACCAAGAAGTTGAAGCCAAACCTCCACGGCATCGAGGCTACACCAAGGAAGACGATATGGCGAGTCCCGAGTCGAGCTTGCTCAGTGCTTCCGCTGTTTCTTCACATCGGCGCTCAGGGGATCAATACTCTTTTCGCTCCAACACATCCAAGTCGTCTCTGAACAACCCAAAGCTTCTCGAAACCGTGGAAGATGCCATCCGAAGGTTAATCCTACCAGAGCTGAAGGAGCTCAAGAAGGACCAGAAGGTTATTACCAACACATCCAAATTTGAGCGCGACATAAGTTCTTCCTATTCTCCAGCAAGCTCTGAATCCCGCGACGGCCTTGTAAGACGACTTTCTAAGCATGCAAGTGCTCCGAATGTGCGGAAGCCCAAGGTAATCCTCAACCGCGACAGCCGGGATGAAGGCATTGTTCTTGCCGATGATTCTGTTTCGTCTCATAAAGAGCGCAGAGCAAGCCGTGATAGTGCGATGACTTCGGAATCGGGTTACATCAAAGGTTTCCGACCTGAGCTGTCAGAACAAGACATGGTGCGTCGACAAAAAAGCAAAGGGCTACGCGATGCCGAAAAAGCTGGGATTGTCGGTAGCCGTTTAACCTCCAACAACCTCAAGCATCACGACTCGAACTCAAGCCTTGGCAAGTCCAAATCGCCAACAGATAGCGAGCCCAAAAACATCAACGAGACCGAACTGGTGTTTCAGAAGCACAATGTCGCTCAGATGCCGTTCCGCAGTGCTCTTGAATCGGAGATGACTAGGGCTTCCATTCTCTCGGACCAAACAGCCGAACCCGAGTCTCGAGACTCGCGGTATGATCTAGGACTCAAGCATAGCAACATGTCTAGCCACAACTTGTCAATTCACAGCGCCTCAGATCATGGTCGCGAATGGAGCCATTCGCCGTCTGCCGAAGCTGCTGGTGCCATTGCGGCGGCGGCGGCGGCTAATTTGCTGGACACCCACTCTGGCTCTCGTGAACTCAATTACGGCAGCAGACGTGGCCTCAGTCCGATACAAAGCGTGGCTAGCAACCAGAGCGAATCCCATGTTAGGCGTGGCTCAACACAGCATTTTCCGCAGGAGTACTCCGGAGACGAAAGAGAAATGGAGCCGAAACTTTCGATCGAATCGCTCTCTTCTGCTCCTAGTACGAACCTTGCAAGATCGAAACGAGAAGGAATCACTGCTGAAAGCCAGGACGAGATCTCACGATACCAAAGCCAAACTGGCCCAGATCTTGGTTACGAGGAATCATCTGTACTTTCTAGCCAGGCGCTGAAAGACAACCCCTGGCATGAAGAATCAGAAAACGGAACCTACCGCCACTCGCTGACGGAAACTGCAAGCATCGACCCCAAGCACATGACCAACTATGCAGACGGTAGCGAAAGTGATTTCATCGAAAAGGCGAACCAAGGTCGCCCGGTCGCCGAAGGTGCCGGTGTGAACCCTCGGTTTGTTCACCCTGCGGCCGTTGAGTCGGCTGTTGCTTCAGTCCTGGACCCTTCGATTCTGGACACAAAGTCTAACCAATCTGGTGGAAGCCACTCACAGTCCAACACTTTTGTGCAGGGGGAAACTGGCAGTACGAGATCTTTTGGTCAGCTAAACCAGTCATCTCCAACTTCTCGCCAGGGAAGCCCTCTCAAGCAGCAACACAATGTTTCTTCAAGCCCTGACGCAACCTCTTTCCCAAGGCGAATGGGCGTCACGTCCCCGCCTCAGAGCGTTACACAATCCATAGACGACCTAACCGAGCCTGTGGAATTACACCCTGATGAGCATGGCGACAGTTTTCTACCACATGACCGTGAACTAAGCCCGGAAACAGAATCCGAAATCAACACGAACCCGTCGATTATCCAGGGTCCCGCAGCAGGTGTTGGCCATGACAGTACCTGGCCCTACAACACATCATCAGGAAAGAGCGGCCACTCACCTCTTCTCGACAACGTTGCTACTGCTGCTGCCGCAGGCGGTGGTCTCGGCTTGGCTTCCTCCAGACAGGAATATGGTCATGACTACTATCCCGAAGATGATTATGCCGATGCCTACCAGGACCAGCAGTACGCAAATGAACCAGCTTTTGGAACGCCTCCTGGTGCCAAGGACGAAGGCTACGTATCGGCCGCTAACCCTATCTCCCCAAGCCCTCAACCCGGAACGAAGGGACTCGGCGGGATTGATACCAATGGGCTTAGCCTTTTCGACAGCCCTGGGGATGACCCATTTGAACCATCACACCAACGGCACTTCAGCGGCTACTCTCATGGAGTTGGGTCGCCTTTGTATGATAGCGCGACAGGGCGGGGTATTGAGCGAATCCAGTCCAAGGATATCGTTGCACTCATGGATCATGTAAGTTCCTATCCTTCCTTCTTATCAAGAGCTTTTTCTAACCTTGGCAGCTCACGGTTCGCGACGCTCAGCGTAATGCTCGAGACACGGAGATCCTTGTGACTCTGGTTAGAAGTGCTGCTGAGATGCGCAATTCTTTCGAGGAGATGAAGAAATTCATCGCCCAGCAAGATGGGATGCTGCTAGATCTCAACGAGCGACAACATGAGCGCACGTACAAAGCCATCGGCGGGCCGCGCCCGCTACCAGGTAGTGGCAGTAGAACACGTCAGGCTTCTGTGGACGATGGGGAAGATTCGCCAGCGAAACGTAAGAACCTATTCAAGCGTGCGCTGAAGGGCTTGAGTCTCAAGTCTGGCAATGACCTGTCAAGAATTGAGGATATGTTGGAACAACTTCTTGACGACATGGAAGCTCTGCGGTCCAGTCAAAATGACATGATGCGAAGCCGAGGCCCACCCAGTGCTGACCTTGATGGCTACGAACCTGAGGGCCTCGCGGGAACATCTTCTCAAGGAGACAACTCTGGCTTCCTTTCCAACTCATCTCGGGCTGTTCCCGAACCACGTGGAACAGGGTTGCGGAGAGATACCGAAAACCGTGTTAGCACTGTTCCAGAAGCCGATGAGGATGAGCTTGACGAGCGTGGCGAGTTCCTGAGCCCGCAGCTACCATTGCAAGAGAATGTGGAACCCCAACGGGAGAGAGCCGGGTCTGCACCCGTTTCGACACCTCCGCGTGGAGCAGTTGCCTCAGGGGCTCTCAGTAACAGCAACGAGACGACACCAAAGGGAAATGACAAAGCGCGAAAACACAAGTCAAGCAGCTCGTCTTTCTTCCCCAAGATCTCCCGCTGGTCAAGGACCACGGCGTCCTCCATGGGAGACAACATCCGCAATAGCATGCAAACTGGCCGGAAAGAGCGCGTATCTTTCGACACTTCCCGTTCTGGGTCCGACCTGGCGCATGGGCCTTACAAGGCGGCTGACTACTACGATCCTCAAGGTGACGATAGGCTCCGCTCAAACTACACACTCAACGATGAAGGATCGCCGCAGCAGGAAAACCGGCCTCCCTCGCCCTTGGTGCCGTCTCAAGTCTCCGAGGCTCCCAAATATCGAGCGCACCGGGACAGTCTGGACATGCAACACCCCCAACCCCGCCAGGGCCCTACTGGTCGCTATCAGTCCCAGTTAGAGTCACAGGCGCAGATCTATGGGGTATCTGGCAACCACTCAGGCCAGTGGGGCTCAAACCCTAGTTTCTCAGCTATCAATGGGAACCGACGGTCCAGTGGCGGAAGCCGCCTCTCTCCCATATCTGATGCAGGCTACTCAGAAGCTAGCGGACGTTCCTCACGCCAAGGACCTCCGCGGCCACCAAAAATCAAGGACGAAGGACCACTCTTCCCCGAAAGGCCACCTAAGATTAAGGAAGGCGAGGAGCAGTCGTATGCGGACCGCGTTGTGTCACGGGTAAGCTTTTTAACCTTGTTCTCTACGAATATTGCTAACTAGTAACCGTACAGAGCTCTGCGATGCAGTCTCCTGGACGCAGCACGCCGCCAGCCCGCAAGCCGACTGGACCTCGTCCTTTGAATTCCAACAGCCAATACAACAGCCCTAACAGGAGAAGGCGAAACTACCGCGACAGCCCTGAACATGTTGATGACGAGCACGACTACTAATAGGTACGCGAGTTTGACACTCGTGCACACCTCTAATTTTATGACACGACTTCATGATCAGTATCTTTTTCTTGGTTCTTTTCTATCATGACTGGCGTCTTGCATATTGCCAAAATATTCCCCTTCATATACTACATTTGCCGACAACGGCGGTTGTGGAGGATGTACTTTTTCACTTCCCTCAATGATGTACCTACCTAGCGATTCCCTTCTGCTGCATATCCTGTTGCGGTCATGTGTGTAATGAAAAGCCTGCACGAACATATTGAATTCGCCCAGTGCATTTTCTCTCGAATACTTTGAGTCTGTAGTCCTTATTGAGTTTATTATTCTGCTATCCCATGCCCCCACTCTTGTCCGTTGATGCGGGGTAACCTGATGCACTGCGGGGATACGATCCCTCCATCTTTGACAGCTTATCTTAGCTTCATCTCAGTTATATCAGCCCTCCCTTCAACCAACTCCAAACTTCTCCTCTACCTACAATCGTCGCCCGAAATGTCAGAATTGGACCCCCTCGACCTCCTCATCTGCTCCACTTGCGGCACTCAATATCCTACAGCGTCAGCTCTTCCCTCATGCAAGATCTGCGACGACCCGCGCCAATATGTTCCCCCAACAGGGTTTGTATACACCAACCTACATCCTAGCACCTCAGCCACCCGATTAGCCTGAGTATTGATATTCTGCTAGTCAATCCTGGACAACACTCCGCAAACTCCAGACCTCAACAGACCCGAGTTACAAAAACATCTTCACGCCTGATCCTCTCCACGGCGAGAGCCTGATATCCATTCACACTGAGCCGAAGCAGGCAATCGGGCAGCGTGCATACCTGTGTCGGACGAATACAGGATCTGACAAGCCCTTCAACGTCCTCTGGGACTGCATAGCATACATCGATGAAGAAACCATAAAACGAATTAACGGACTCGGCGGCATCGACGCAATAGTCATCTCCCATCCGCACTACTACACAACGCACCTTCTCTGGGCTAAGGTCTTCAAATGTCCCGTTTACCTGTCGGCTGAGGATGAGGAGTGGGCTGTTATGAAGGGCGAGGGGCAGGTCTTTTTCCTTGGGAGCGCCCTGTCTCTTGCAGCACCGGGAATCAATGAGGGCGATGATGGAAAGGCGGATATTGTTGTTATTAAGACGGGAGGACACTTTCCGGGGAGTACAGTGCTTTGGTGGAGATCGTTGAAGACATTGTTGATTGCGGATACGATTGCGGTTGTGCCAAGTGGGAGGTATTGGGTCGATCGGCCGGCTGGAACGGCGTCCTTTACGTTTATGTGGTCTTACCCAAATATGGTATGTCTCATCTGGCTCGGGCTTGGGGCGGATTTTGGCTGACTTGGTAGATTCCGCTCTCTGCGAATGATGTGCATGGTATTTGGAAGGCTATCAAGCATACGGATTTTGAAATAGCCCGCGGCGCGTTTATTGGAATGGAGACGGACACAGACAGCAAGAAGCGCCTATTGGACAGTGCTCAGATCTTTGTCAAGGCAATGGGCTACCCTGACCATGCTATTCATCAGGAAGAATGTCATTGATGCAGCGTGCTAAAGTGGTGTACAGAATGAAGTGATTGAATAAGCATGAGTCACTGGTAATGATGATCCAAGCGCAACAGGTTACAAGTCAGAAAATGGGCGTACAGAGGTCCTTATTGAAGGAATGCGCGCATGGTGCTTTGCAGTGGCCAGCGCACTATATTCCAACCCTTCGCTAATCGGAAACTCCCCTGGGAAACTGTCTGCAGATTTCCGCTGCTGTTCGTTAGGGTGCTCGTTGAGCTCGAGCGCAGACCGATCAAGTCGAGGGGTCTCTGCGACCAGAGAATCAATTGAATAGGGATGGTTGATAATGCTGAACTGCGGTTGCCTCTCCGCGATTATTTTGGTGTATTGAGCCGCCGATACAATCTTGCATAGTCGCGGGATCGACGTGACCGAGTTCACATTGCTCACAGATAAACTTCTCCCCAGGGACGAGTAAGACGAATTGGTGTCTGGTGGAGCTGACGAAGAGAGAGAACTGGGTGCTCTCCTTGTTTCCTCGCTCAGGATGTCCTCTAGCCTGGCTCGAACATTCTCATCCACCACCGGGAGTGGGTCTTCACTGATCAGAGTGTTGAGCTTCGGTGTGCTCGCAGTCGAAGCGGTTGATACGGTAGAAGCGATTGACTCTGCCGATGAAGACTCACGCAGGTATCCTTCGTCCTCCTTTTGTGAGCCCTGCTCCGCAATCGTGAGCTCCTCTATCATGTCAGACGGGGAAAGGACTCGCCGAGGCACGACCCGGGGCGATGTTCGCGCCGGCGCCTCCATCTCAATCTGCGATGCAATCTCGCTAACATTCTTTTCAAAGTCATCTTTCGTCATGGATTCAACAATGCGAGAAATGCGCTGTTCTCTGCGATCTATGGCACGACGAAGAGAGGAGTCTGGGTCGGAGATTGATACTGGATTGGTCCTTGTGAAACGAAGGATAGACGTCGTCGTCTGCAGGAGTCGGAGCTCGACGACTGCTCTCATAAGGGAAAAGGTGCTTCCAACATTGACATTTCGAACGGCGGCCTGCTCATCTTGGCTTTCGAGGTCGTCGATGTTATGTTGATCGGGGTCCCGCTCAGAGAGTAGACCTGAGCTTGGGTGAGAGAAGCTGGTCATCGTCAGGAAATATGCTATGAAGAAGGCCATGAGGACAGCCCATCCTGGGAGATGAAGATGTAAACAGGAATTGGAAGGAGGAAACTTCTCGCGTTGCTGGATGATAAGCTGGGAAGTAGCGGCGCACTAGCACCTACCGTTTCAAGAATTGACAAATCTCTACATACGTAGTTCAGATACTCGTGTCTGTGAAGATGAATGCAAGGCCGGCCGTAACGAGTCAAAATAGAGAAGTCAATGGAGGATGCATGCTGTCTCGGATAGTCCCATACTATCTCCACCACATCTCCCCACCACCTCCAACCTTCATGATCATCATCTCCTCCTTCATCCACCACCATTTCTTCCTCCTCGTCAATCTCGCTAAACTTCCGCGGCCATTTCCTGTTTTCTTCCGAGGATCCGTACAGCATGTCCTCTGTCGAAAACTACAGTCCCCGCCAAAGACGGTTCGCCCCTCTCAACCCATCTTCCAGCGAACCCTCCAACGCTCCTCAACTGAAGGGAATTGTATTCGATGTTGACGGCACATTATGGTGCGTCTTTCCAGTACCCCAAAGAATCCAATTAACTCAATAGTCTCCCTCAAAACTACATGTTTGGCGAAATGCGGTATGCACCAATCATGCCGAGACGAAGTTTCATTCAACTGACATCAATTTAACCTCATCAGCGAAGCCTTGGGAATTAACAAATCAGTCGACATCCTGCATCATATCCGTAGCCTCCCTACACCCGAGGCACAGCTCGAGGCGAGCAGTAAGATCAAGGCTATTGAGCGTGAGGCAATGCAGCACCAAGAGCCGCAGCCTGGACTTGTAGAGTTGATGGAGTATCTACGGGATAGGGAGGTTAAGAGGGCTTTGTGTACGAGGAATTTTGAGTATGGTTGATTTTTTCCCTTCGCATTACACATTCTGGATGGAACAAGTTCTGGCATTGAGCTGAAGTTAACTGTATGGCCAGAATGCCCGTCACGAACCTACTTCAGAACCACCTCCCGAAGCATGTCTTCGTGCCTATTATCACCAGGGAGACACCTGGTTTGCTGCCGAAGCCTGACCCGGCAGGAATCTTGCATATTGCAAACGAATGGGGCCTGACAAATGGTGGTGAAAATCTAATCATGGTACTACTCTCCTGACCTCTTACCAAATTCTTGGTCTTGATCTTCATATAGTCGAGGCGGAGGCTGATCGTACTGCGCTAGGTCGGTGATAGCATCGACGATATGACAGCCGGCCACAAGGCGGGCGCTGCAACAGTGCTGCTGCTCAACGATCATAATGCCCACCTTAAGGAGCATATCCACACAGACCTGGTCATTGAAAAGCTTCATGAGCTCATCGACGTACTGGAAAATGGTTTCGTCGGGAACAAGACCCGCATGGAGCTCCCTTCCTGACCACCGCCAGCCAGTCCAAGCATAACGTTGACAAACAAGTCCTCAATGCACTGCTGTTGAGGATATTCGTATGATACAGGCGAGTTTAGATATTGTGCAGCATAAAGCTTTTGCGGATCTTGAATATCGTGATCTAGACATAACGCCCTGATGTAACTTAACCAACCGCCAATAGTCCGAATAAATTCTACAGACGCCATATAGCAATGCAATGATCACACCGACCTGCGGCTCATTAGTAACATCAGAATTGCAAACCATCAAAGGCGGTATTTATCCCAGGCCTTCTTGGCCGCACTCGGCATGGGACGGTACGCATCTCCACCTCCGCCTCCTCGTCCTCCCCGGCCACCACCTCTACCATTACCTCTTCCGCCACGAGACGGCCCAGACGGCCCGGGAGGGCGACCCTGGCCTCGCGGAGGCGATCTAGGTGGCTGCTGTCCACCCCTCCCTCTCCCACGACTTGGCCTCCTATCCCGACCAGGAGACATGGAGCGCTGTCGAGAATTATAGCCACCTCTGTGGTAGTCTTCACGGTCGCGATAGTCTCTCGACGGCGGCGGCGGCGGACCACCATTGCTCTTATTCCCACCAATCCGGATGTTGATATTCCCCCTGTTGGCGTTCCGGTTACCACCGGGGCCGCCTCTTCTCCCGGGCCCACCACGCGGCATGGACATGGAAATCATGTCGTCGCTATCAGGCGACGGGGAACGAACGAAGTGATCTGCGCGACCTCTGATCTTCAAGCCACCGCCGCGTTGGCCACTAGACGGACCAATCGGCGCGCCGCCACGCCTGGGTTTCACAACAGAGTTGATATTCGTGATCAAATTCGGGTCGATCCCGCGGACTGTGAAGGATGACGAAAGGAAAGGGCGGGTAAGAGAGGGACAGTCGCCTATTAAATGGCGATTACTTGTGCAGTGGGCGCAGGAGATGGATACCACGGCCGGTGCGGCCGTTGTATCTTGATTTGGCATCTTCCATAGAAAGTCGCAGTCGAATTCGAGATGGGCAGAGGATCCGCATAGATCGCAGGGGATTTCGGACGCTGAGCTCTTCAGGGACGAGGGACATTGTTTTGCGTCGTGGCCTCGTTCGCGGCAGCGCTGGCACCGGCGGAAGTTGGGACAGAGGCTGCTTTGGTGTTTGTTCCACGCACCGCAGTGGACGCACTATTGTGTTGTTAGAGGGCAGTTCGTTTCAAGGGTTATATCGGACGGAACGTACCTCCTTGGCAGGACAGACCTCAGCGAGGTGGCCCTCCCGCATGCATTCCATGCACATAATCGGCAGCTGCAGATTGATATCGTTGATATCACGGTTGTAGAACACAATCTTGGCTTGTAATTCCATATCCTCGCGGTTCAGATCTGCAAGGATAGAGGGCGTGGCGGGGTATTTTCGCGCAAATTGAAGAAGCGCACTCTCCTTTGACTCCGCGTTGGTTGTAGAATCGCCATTTATCCCGTTCGTGTTTGAGTAGTCCAAGATGCCAGCCGTGGCTGGTGTCTGTGATGTCGATAGAGATTCAGGATCGTATCCGTCGGCCTCGCTCTCGCTGTCGTCATCTGAAATGTGGATAACGTCGTGTTGGCTGCGATCCTGGCCCCGCGAGCCAATATTCAACATGATGGAATCATCGGCTTCTGAATCTAGGGACTCGGAGTCGTCTGACTGAGAGTCCGCAGAAACTTCTTGAGCCTCGTTGACCTCGCCCTCCTCCATCTGGGTGTCATTGTCCCCGTTTGCCGCCGTCTCAATCTCTCCTTCTTCTACCATATCCTTTCCATCCCGGCGCGGCGATGCAGATGAACTTCGACTCCGCCAATACGCCCCATTCACAGCCTCGAATTTTTTCGCCGCCGCAGACTCTGAGTCCGTGTTTCCATTCGCGTTCGCCTTGGCAGCTTGTTTCGCCCGCAATGACGTCCTTATCACGCTCTTGCCCGTTTTATTCCAGTTGGGCGCCGGCGCACTCAATCCTCCATCTCGTCTATCAGACGCCGGCTCTTTGTCGTCCTCGCTCTCGCTCTCGCTCCCAGACGAAGACTCCGAACCAGACGAGGATGTACTATCGGTCTCCGGATCAACCTCTAACCCAGTTGCGCTGAATTTCGCGCCGTTCGGGACAAAGTCCTGTACATCGGCATCTTGTTTGCCGCGACCGCGTCGTCGTCGCTTGCTAGGCGGTTCGCGCGAGGTGTGTCGAGAGGAATGGTTGCTGATGCTTGCGCTTGCGGTTCCGCGGTTGCGCTGGGCGGCCAAAGAGGCCGTTCTTGAGTCTTCTTCGTCGCTCGGTACGTCCGACATTTCTGGAGGATGATGTGGATGTGAGGGAGCTCCGAAATGGAGGAAGTAATTTATTGATACCTTTGATGGTGGGTCCTTGGGTGGACAAATGAGAGAATGAAAATTTACGGAAGGGCGGGGGAACCAAGTGTGCCGGATTTTACGCAGTGAAAGAATTGTTCTGTCATTGTTGTTGAATGGGATAAACTCCGTAGATATTAGTATGCATGCTGATATTCGCCGCCGAGAACATATACAACTGAAATCGCTAATAAGCAAATGCTAACAGGGTATCGTGTCTAAATACGACGATAGCAATCAACGGCGCCGAACAACTCCTACTACCCTTAAAAATCCCTGGTCGACTTCTACCCTCCAGCCTTCACGCGCCAACATCTTCGCGACAGCTGGGCCAAGGCGTGAAGTACCATCGTGACTGTGGCGTCCCAAGCCGGTGATGATGCGGTAGCCTCCTCGAGCAGCCTCACCCTCGCTTCCTCTCATATACTTGGTATCCCCAAGCGAGTCCCACCAGCTTGCGACGTGCTCGCTGGCTATGCGGACGGCATCCTGGACAGAGACTCCGTGCAAATCAAGCTCGTTCCATGACGATTGCTGGCCGACGAGGGCATCGGCTCTAGCAGCGTTGTCCCTCTTGGCGCGCTCAAGATGCCCACGGCCAACATCCGAGTAGTAAGCGGCAACTTGTCTCATGTTTTTATCGGACTTCCCGCGTCTGTATGCTGCCGAAGCCTTTGTGAGCGCCTCTGATGCGGCAAAAGAGTGGTATCCTGCCGAAGCCGTCGCCTCCTCGTAAGACCTTGTTGCAGCAGTCCGACGCTTGGGGGCTTCTTCTTCGACATCAGGTGGAGGCGGGGAAGTGGTGAATTTGATCAACTCAGTGGCTGCTCGCGATGCTGGGTTTGTCATGTATGCTTTTGCCAATTCGTGAGCGGCCGAGATTGAATTCCTCGTGATTCCAAGTAAACCGGCAAGAAGCTCTGGTGCAATGTCTGGGAAATCCTGCGTCAATTCGTCGACTTGTGTGACCATGACCGGATCTTCACTGATACTTGTTTTGTCCTTTGGAGCATGCGCATTCGCAAGAGATCGAATGGTAGAAGGCAAAGAGGCTCCATTTGCGTGATACGTCGACGTGACTGTTTCCTTTTTGAGAATAGGGAAGGTCCGTTCACATATAAAGTCGACATCCTTTTGAGCAGCCTCCCATTTGTTGAGAGCGTTGTTCGATTCTTGCAAAGCAGATTCGCTGTCATAGCTGACATGGGACCCGGAATCCTGATTTTTTCCGTTCTTATTCTTTCCTTTGCGCTTGCGACTCTTCGTCTTGCCAGCGTCTTCATTCTCAAAACCGTTAACTCCCTTGGGTACCGCATCTGGCGCCTCGTCTTTCAGGAACGAAAGGTTGAGTAGTTCATCCATAGACCGGTCAACGTCCCCGTGCAACTTCCTCAGGGTATACTGGATCGTGAAACGATCGGTGTTCGGAAACATCTCGCTCAGATAGACTATCTTATCTTCCTCGGAATCACCAGTCAGCGAAATTGCCCCTTCCGCACCTATAGTGTATGACGCTCCTGACGAACATCCGGACCGGCTCCTGTCGCTCAGGCTGAGAGACGAGAATTCGCTTGTCGCATCGGTCCCCCGGGATGGATTAGTGCTGGTATCAGCCTGAGATACCAACTCCGAGTCTATTCCGCTGCTCGAATTCAGCCCGCTTGTCCCCGACGGATCGAACGGTAGGTCATCCTGTTCCCAGGCCGAGAGCGCAAGGGCCTCAAGGGTATCGCGAAGTTGCTGAAGCTGCACGGAGTCCCCGAGGTCATAGTCTAGAGCCAACGCCGTGATTAACGCAGCATCGAGAGGCGGGCAATAACTTTTCTCCAACTCCTAAAGTATCACAGGCTCTAGGTTAGTTGATCCGGTTAAGCAAGCGAGGCAGCCTTTGAGAAGGGGTGAAGGGCCAGACTGACTTTCAACGCGGCTTCATTGTTCTCACCCATCATCTAAATCGCACAAAATCCAACGTAAATGTAGTGCAGTTTTCCTGTGCATGCCTCTGTTTGAAAGATCTGGAGAGTGTGTTGTTTGTCAATCAAAGTGGGGTGGAGAGAATGCCGAGATCTCAAATGACGCCGTGTGGATGACATAAGAATGCCTGCACTACAATCATGACCTCTTAACATCAAACAACCCATGAACATTCCATTGACTGGTCTTGTTTCAAATGAAACTAACTACAGAAAAACCTTCAAGGCCCACAAAGATCACGCTCTTCAACGTTGCTGCGCAGCCCGGCGATGCCAAGCCCAGATAAATCCCCGAGAGTTACCACAGTAGCAGGTATAAATGCTCCGGGAATCCGACTCCGTGAAGACATTCGCATATACTCAGTGTCGTCACGAGCAATCTGGCTTTGAGCGGTGCAATTCAAGTTGCCAAAGCTTCGCCGTATCATTCCTCCAACCCGCTCTCCTCCTCTCCCAGCACCTCATCTGCCGTTCTCGGGCCCTGAAAGTCGCCGTCCTGCTCATCGGCACCGGACAGCTGCCAAGGAAGCCCAGACGGGCCTTCGCCGTCCTCAGAGACACTGCCTGAAGGAGACTCTCCCCCCCAGGTACCGCCGCCTGCAGATGGAGGCCTTGGGAAGATCGGAGGAAAGCCGTTCTCGTCGTCGGGCGCGCCTGGAAAAGGAAGGCCTGGAAAAGGAAGGCTCGGGAAAGGAAGGCTCGGGAAAGGCAGTGCTGGCTCTGGTCCCGGCTCGAGGCCTTCGCCAGGGAATGGGAATGGCCACAGCCGCTTATCCCGCTGCTGGTGGGCTGGAGCCGCAAGGGTAGCGCCGCACAGGCCGATAAGAATAGTCGCAAGTTGGAGCCTCATGTTGACGTACCGAGGCTGAATAACTCTCACTAGGATGGTGGAGCTTGAGGTTGAAAGATGCTTATGAACTGATTGGAGCAGGCAAGGCAAATACTGATGATCAAAGCGATGTGTTTACGGGGGAGATGCCCCGGCCTTTTATACATCTTGGGGTGTCTTTTGGGACGTCTTCCATGAATGACTTATACTACTCTTGGCTCACCCTAGGAAAGACAATCGATACAGTCCATGCCGTGCTTCACGATTCTGCGCATATGCACCCGGTATGGATGACATCTAACAAGGTTGTTGGGGCATCCATGCTGGTTACGGGCCCTGAACGCTGCTCCAGACCGTCAAAGACCATAGCCTCCGCGCGAGTATTCCCTCGGGGCCACATACGCCACCCTATGAGCAGCATGCAACCAGTGCTGCGGTAACACTCTGGGGTCAGGCCCTGGCAGCGGTATCTGGTCAGTGTTTGCTGCGGGCGAAGATCTGAGGCCGATGCGGTACATTTCTCCGACCGCTATTTACATTTCCGATAAGCAGTGTTAAAATATGTAACATCATCGGTAGAAGCTTGTGCTTCTAACCCAACACCTCCGGTTGTTAGCAAGCTTGCGCTCATCAAAATGGCACTGTTAAACGTCTCGCAATTCGGAGAAATTGTGCCATATTTGCACATTGAACTCCTTGTCGGTCTTACCAGCACAAATTTGGCAGTCTGCTGAGGACTCAATGTTTTCAGGCTTATCACTACCACTCGAACGGTCCTATATCCCAACTAGAGCATGCACTTTGCGAGGTTGAAAGGCCATGGCTATAGCCCGCGGTGCATTGTCCAAATCCTACACTTTATGCCTGCGTAAATTTATCTTTCAATTCAACGACAGATTTTCTCGAGTCCACGCGTGACAACGCTGGGTTGTACTGCAACATATAGAGCATTGTACTCGGAGACATTGCGTGAAGTCGTACTCTTGCAATATGAGTCCGGTATATGGGTATGTCAGTACGAAAACAGCGGTATACTCCGTCATACACAAGTTAAGCCCGTCCAGGCTCCTTTTCCTGCGGCGTCGTCTTCAACCATTTCTCCGTGCAAAGCTTTCTGCTCGCTTCACGAAGTCTAAGACTGGATCGTTCAATGTCGCCGAGCATTCTCAAGTTCAATTGATGGCATTCGATACCTCCTAAGAAAGACGCGGTGTAGGGGACACGTACTTCGTGTACGTTGTTATCACAGGCAAAGCATGTTGGATCTCCAAGCGGATACTCAGAAGGTGATCTGAGCCAGTGGTTATCGTCGAAGAGAATTTGCCTTAGCTTCTTTGTGGTTGCCTATATCAAGAATGTGACTCAATCATCGTGGTGCGTTTTGTCCGAGACAACTGCCCGACGCATTGAGGAGTGACTCTGCCGACATCTGTGAGATAGTCCTCTGACTAGGTGCCATTGCGAGCTGATGGGATGTTGCCTGGGCATCACATCTGTGATCTGACCTATCCGGCATCTAACGCCTGCAGCCCACATGAGACGTCCAACTGCAGCTGCGAACCGTCAATAGCGCCTGCAGAGGCTTTTCGCTATCACTGCGAGCTGATATCTCACCTGACAGAATTTGATCTTTTGTTAGTATCCCACTGACACCGACTACTGCCAGCATAATCGCCTCTGCTCTCTGAAGAAAAGATAGCTGTTCGGGCGTTGCAGTGACAACCAATATTCCCTTTTTCTGACTTACGAATCAGATGTATCCGATGTCAGATGTCTTGGCTATCTTCGCAAATAGCTCTTCTGGCAGTTTAGGGCAAGAAAAACGGTCGGCTATGTGAGGTCGGTTTGTATAGCCCCGGAACCCCTAGCTTGATGAGAAACTCTCTCTATGTGGCGATGCGGTGTGAAGTACTCTATATAAGTCCGTCAATCCCTCTTAATAAATCCACTATTCTCTGTATCATTCCAATTCTTCCGTTGATCATCTTCTCTAAACTTCCAAACCTCTCTATCAGCACAATGCAGCTCATCAGCTCGCTCTCCCTCTTTCTCGCCTTTGCGATTTCCGCACTGGGTCAGTTCATCCTCTCAAACCCACGTACCATACTAACATGCAAAAGCCTTGACTATCACCTCACCCAGCACAACCAACCAAAAGGTCGACTTCAGCAAGCCATTCACCATCAAATGGGGCTCAGTGCCGTAAATACCCATCTATCCTAGCAAGCATCTTGAACTTCAAATAAACTAACCCTTTCATAAATGTGCAGCTCTGACCCCGAGCAATTCACCATCACCCTCGTCAACATGGACGGCCACAATGTTAACAAAGACCTGGCGGTTGATGTCGACGCGTCCAAGGAAGAGTACCGTGTTGAGAAGGTCGCGGATATCCCTCTCGCGTATGTTATTCCTTGCCCCCTTCTAAGCAAAACCCCAAGTCTTTGCTTGAAGGGCAAAGAAGTATCTGCACGGCACACTAACAGAATGAACTAGAAACAACTACCAAATCAACTTCCGCTCCACCGAGAAGGACAGCACGGGTATTCTGGCTCAGAGTCCCAGGTTCAATGTGACCAAGGTCGCGGACGACGAGGATGGTTAGTATCCTATCCTTTGGCTGTTCCTTGCTTCTTACCTTCTCTCTCCTCAATCGAGGCATCATCTGCCTACATTTGGTCGTGCGACTCTCTAACTAAATCACAGACACAGAAACTACTACTACCGCCACCGCCACTGCCACTAGAACGCAGTCCCAGACTGCTGCCACGGAGACAGACGACACCAACGGAGCCGCCCATGTGAAGGGCGTTTATGTCGGGCCCGCTGCTGTGGCGGGTGTGATGGCCTTGGTTGTGATGGCTCTGTAAACCTCTCGTCAGAGTTAGGGTTAGGTGAGGGCAGCAGCCAAGCCTAACCCAAGGCGCGAGGTAGGGGTCGATCTGGACTTCGTCGATGATATGATGCGATGTGATTTGATGGATGAATGAATGCGGATATGGTTATGGACATTGGTACGTAATAATCGCTTAGGAGTTAGGACTAGATTGACTTGTGATATTCGGTATAATTAAAGTTGGTGCTCTTGGTACGTCTCTTAGCCTGTGCTGGGCAATAATAGTCTTCAACTATCGTGACTAAGGCAGTCAAAAAGACTCTGTTCTCATTGCAGTCCAATTCTATCCATTGTGTAGACCAAATAATAAGAAAAGTAATGAAAATCTGGAAGTCGATGGCACAAGAACAATGAACCAACAAGTGATAGACAAGGAATTTTGTAGGAGAAAACCGCCGAAAGATGGAGGGCCCAAGAAGGTTGGGAGACATTTCGAATATGTACTCAGTCGATCACCCTTTTCCAAGGGAAAGAGTAAAGAAATGCGAAGAGAAAATAGATATATGTATAAAAACCGATGGGGTATTGGACAAGAAGAGAAGAAAAGAAATGGAACATGTATGAGACCAGGAATGGCTGTCACCATACTTGGCGGATGGCAGCCCAAACAGAAGCATAGAGATAGAAATAGATACCCGTGCAAGGTTTGCGAAAGAGCCATAGGAACGAGGCAGGCCATAATAAAATCAGGTAGATAAGAAGACGACGATGTCTACCTGCAACTTGGAGGGGAGTGTCACCAGACATTTCGCGACGCTCAAAGACAGACAAGACAGGTCATCACCGAGGGCATGGAAACTTCGTGATTGATAAGTGAGAGAAATGAAGACCAAGATGACGTGTCAAGAAAAAAAAGAATGAATAAAAATGGTTTTATGATAATGTATTATCAGGCTTCAACTTTCTTACGTCGGATGAAGAACCGGCGAGCAAAGCTTGTGTCCTTTGACGGCGGCTGAGGGCGAGTGGGCGAGGGAGGCCCTGTATTGCGCAGAAAGTCCGCCAGTGCGCCGGTATCTGTCTGCCGCTCCGAGACAGACGGCAAGCCATACATGGCGTCTGTGTTGCGCTCTGATTTGACCGTGTAATTAGACGGTCTCCTTGAGTACTGATCGGACTGTTGGCGTAGAGAGGCCTGAGAAGACTTGGTAGACGGCCCCTTTGAAATGGGAGCCTTCTCAGACGAGGCGTTGCGGAGTAAGCGAGCCTTCATCGAGGATGAACCGCCGGTTGGCGTTTTGGTCCGCGGGGTAATCGGTTGGGTCTGAGTTTCAGGGGGAGGGGGCACATTGCGAAGGAAGTCTATCAAGCTTTCCTCGTCACGCTTTGGCTTTGTCGGGTTCTTCTTCTCCTCTTCCTCTTCCAACATCGCCTCAAGCTCCTCATCGTCCCAATCTAGGGCATAGGGGTCTGGCACTCGGCGCTGAACTCGTTTAGGCATGTCTTCAACTTCAGAAGACCTCGAAGGCGGTTTCGTCGGCCCTGCCTTGGACTTGGAGCTTGATTTATTGATCAAGTCCGTGCGGGAGCCCACGGAGACCTGGGACCTGGTTGTTGTCGATTCACCTTGGGTGCTGGAGATTGATGGAGTCGCAGCTTGCTCATACGCAAGGTCGTCCGAGTCCATGGTGGTACGGAATGGCGCGACAGTGCGTGGAATGCGACGTGCTCCAACAGTGGGTGGACCTTCACGGATGAAGTCGATCAAATCCGATGTAGAGTTTGCCTCAGCCTTGGGAAGTGCGGTAGACCTGGCTTGCGCTCGCGGTCCGCGAATGGAGCCCGACATTGCACTCTCAGCCCGAGAAGATTTCCTTGACAGTTGCGCATCGGAAGACTGACGACTAACTGATTTGGTGAGGATTGGGGGACTGGCGGGGCCCGAGTTTCGAATGAATTGTGCAAGATCGGAGCATGATTCATAGTTGGGTCGAGCATCGCGAGCTTGTCCTACTTTGGGCCTTTGTGGCGTAGCTGCACGAGGTACTTGGATTGGAGCAGGCCTAGGTTTCTCAGAAGCTCTGGGTTTGGGTGAGGGTTGGCTTCTGGGTGATATCTTTGGTCGACTAGCGTCCGAATCGGCAGTAGTTGATCGCTGGACTTTGGGGAACTATGAAAGTCAGTATGAGCTGGAAACACTAAAATGGCGGTAACATACATCCATCTCCCTCACACTTCTAGGTGTAAGAGTGAAGTGGAGCGTCTCATCACTGCGAATAAGTTCTTCCAAGCCAGCTTTCTCTCCAGTAGATGTGCTTCCTTCCGAATCACGCCGCGTGTTAAGCTCCTCTGAACGGTTCACGATACCTTTCAGCTTCTGCGACGTCGTAGAACCGGCAGTCATTGGGCGCTTCTCCCGGCCACTGCTGAAGCTGCCGGATCGACGGGGTTTAGCGACAATTGAAGGATGAGGCGATGATGTTGCGGAAGTTGAGGGTCGTGCTGGGATACGCTGCACAGCCGCACGCTCTGTTACCGAGCTTGAGACTGATGATGTTGCGGAGCGCTGGCTACCACTTGTTAGGTTAAGGGCGCTGGGACGTTGTTGAGTTCGTGAGCAGCTAGAGCGTCCGCTATCACTAGAGTTGGACGCAGGCCTCGACCCACGAACGCTGTCGAAAGAAGGGCGAATTTCACGAGCCGGGGTGGGAGGTAGGCTCGCACTTGGTTCTGCTGAAGAAGTACTAAGGCTGACAGGATGCATGAGAGCGGGTACTCCTTCACTTTGCTTTTCGGGCGAACTTTCAATGCCACTGGTTGATACAGGGGCAAACTGTCGTTCTCCCTTACGCGTAACATCCCTGCTCAACTTCTGCTTTGGTCGCTGTACAGAGGTTGACTTTTCGACTGCCCCTTGACCTTCAATGGCTCCGCCAGTTTTTTCAACGGGATGCCTTGAAGCTTCGGTGGCGTTGACTGGACTAGTCACATTCTCACCGGGGAGGGTGATAGTTTCTTGGGCAACGCTCTCTGATCGACGGCTGTCAGACGTATCCGACGGTTCCGATTTGTGTTCTGGCTGAGTCCCAATCTTGCGATGTTTGTTACCTTCTTCCACATTTTCTGTCTCCTCTCGCTCTTCTTGTTCATACATGGTCTCAAGGCGTCTTCGCTCTTCAGAAGCTGCTGGGGATGGTCTACGAGGAACAGGATAGGCCGGATCAACTGCTGGTGGAGCTTCAGAGGGGTATGTCGGACTTGGGAGAGATCGAGATCTTGAATGGCGGGAGAGCGGAGGAGCACTGCGAGCGGAAAGGGGGGTAATAGGCGAATTATTATGTGAGGATGGCGATTTCGGTGATTGCAAAGTAAGAACCATAAGGCTTTGTGGGCGTACTTTGTGCGCGACAACAGCTTGCATAGTCCGGATTTCGCCGGTGTCAAATTCTAGAGAATCCTCATTCTCAATTTCCTGGATATCGTTTCTGCCCATGGGTAGAGGAATGGATACTGGGTCAACTTCAGGCTGAGTTTCAGGCTGAGACTCAGAATGAGGGTCCTCGAGAGGAGGCGAAAGGGGCGATAGAGAATCATCGGCAATAGAGAAGCTGCTCTTCCTGCTATGCATACCAATAGCAATGGTGCCACGTCGTCGTAGAGAGTCGCGGGATGCTAATCGAGACAGGTTAGGTGTACGAGTACGCTTCCTCCATGTTCGCCAGAGGCGTCCGAGTGTCGGATTCAATGCCAGTTTCTCCACATCGAGCTCCTCCACTACCAGCCGGTTCATGCTTCCTCTTTCTTTCGTGTCATCTTCAACCACGAGATTGGTTGAGAGTCGAGACCTAGCTGTTTCGCCAGCGATCACGAGAGCCTGCTCTCCAATGTGCTCAATGATTGAAGTTAGGAAGATGGCGGCAGCAGGCGTGATGTTGCCGATGTGATTGGTGAATCGTCGGGGTGCACCTTCCTCATCGACTAGACCTTCCTGGGCGATATATTCTTCCTCATCGTCCTCCTCCAAGTCGCCGAGGCGTGTGTACACCATGCAGCGCAGCCGGGTCAATTTCCAGGTACGAATGAGATCAAATTCGCCTTCCGGGTCCTGTCCACCTCGAAACTCGCTGTCACTCTCATCTCCAAGGTACTCGCCCAATTCCTCTTCAGCAACGGAAACGACCAGATTCGCCAGTCGTGGTTTCAGTACGTCTGCAACAGCAGGTCGAATTGACGCTAGCTGCGTCGACTTTGCAGCTGCTAAAATGTTGAGAAGGAGGTGATCGAGGAACCCATTGAGGGCGGACAAAGCTTCGGGAGTGACGAAAGCGCCGGAATCGTCGTCGTCGTCCGCTACAAAATCGGCAGCGTTGAACTCCTGATCTGAGGTGATAATTTGACAGGCTGAAGCCGGTGCGATGAAAGACGGAGGCGGGTTCACGGATGGAGGGGCAAGGTGGATGAGGGAAAGTTGCGAATCACTGGAGATACTGGCGCTGCGGGAACGAGACCGCGAGCGTGATAATGAGAGCGTCGTGCCAAAGTCGGGCTCTGGCCCTCTGATGTGCTGCATTTTTGGTTTGCAGTCAAGAAGCGGGGAGGAGGGTAGAGAATGGCAAGTCGGATACTAGGAGTGGTGATTCTCTTTGAGAAAGTTAGTCGAATCCAAGACACATCAGACGTAAGAAATCTGCGTCAGCCTGCACTTCTAGCGATTTCACCCCGGCAGGGCTGCTCTCTCTGCTGAGTCTTCAGGCGGTGCCGCTGTATGGTTTGTCTGAGGCGAATGGGGCCGGACACTTTTCCACATCCCTGGCCTGCAGCCTGAACTTTGTGATATTTTTACTTTTTTGGTTCAACGGCCTGGCAGGCTGGCAGCCCTGGAGACAGAAAAAGAAAGAAGGCAAGAAAGGTGCAGGATAAGCGTGAGATGCGGAGTTGAGGGGGCTGCTCCTAGAACATACCCTGTGTGACAGATCAATCTAACAGCAGCGACCGTGGTTCATTTCGTCCGAGGAAGTGTCGGGCAGACGGGAGGGAACGAGGGTGGTATGAATGAAGAGAAAAGAATGGATGGATAGATGGATATGAAGAGAGCGAGGAATTGAATTGTGAGAGCTTGGGGGAGAAGAGAAAAGAGATTCAGGAGTGGTCAAGCTGTGTCAAACCATCGCCAACTGAATTTCTCCCAGTCGGACCTTGGAAACATTAAGGTACCCGCATCTCGACCACACTAAAAGTAGTCTTGCAGAATCAGGAGACGGTGGAGCAGCCCATGGCGTATCCAGCCCGAGAGCCCGCAAATCATAAATGATAGGATGCCGTCGGCAGTGGGCCTCTTTTCTGATGTCCCTGACTGACTCCGCGAGAAGCAGAGCCACGAGCATCCTAGAGAGCACGAGGGCGCGGAGCATTTGCTACGAATCCTACGATCGTCGCGTTCAGCCATCGAGCTGTCGGCGATTAGCGGGCAAGCACTCATAGTCTCGTTCTTATTCCATGGTTCTGGTCATGTCGATGATTCCAATAGTCTGGCAGCTTCCCGTGCTAGTCCAACCTGTTGGTTCCTGTTCTCCCGTCTCGCGGGGACCGGCTGGCGCTGCATCGAATTGATAACAAGGATGCAGACCCCCGACTGATCGCCGACCCTCCTGGTTCCACTGCCCTTCCATTGCGATTGGGGCTATTCGCAATGCACTTTACCCTTTCAGGCAGGCAAAGGAATGTGCAAAGAACTTTCGACCCTCGGAAAGGGGCAGTTTTGGCCCGAAGTCTGGAGAAGGACGACTTTGACATCTCACCGTTGACACAACATGCATATACTATTTGCTTTTGCCCTGGTCATGATCCGAACTGGCTTGACTCCAAAAATTCGAATGCAAGACTTAATGTCCGTGACCATACCTGGTCCCTGGATTTAACTGCCGCCTTGGCCAATTTTCTGGAGAACAAGAACTGGAATGCAGTTGGGCAATCTCAATAAACCCGCTGCCATCCATCTACTGTAGGCTTAGCCCGTCCCTGCACGGAGCAGTCGTCACAGCGCCAAAAGCAAACAAAATACAAGACAACAAGACTGTCTGATAGATACCTAGCACTACACGCCCAGCTTTTCGTCAAATGCATTCGAAGACCAGGGTATATACGAACAATGACAAATCCCTGCCATGAAGCAGTCCATTTATCGCCGCATCTTTGACCTCCAAGACGCTTTCTTCCTTCCAGCATTCTCTCCATAGAGCTAATTGGCCAAAGACTTGAAGCGCACATGAAACCCTCGTCGAAGTTCTTTTAGAATGTTTCCAAGGCAGCACCACGCCGTCGATGAAGCTTCCACATCGAGTCAGTTCCTCTTCCGCTTTGACCCTCTCTAGCCAATTGTGCCGCTTACCCACCCCCTCGCCATGATTCACCCTGGGTTTCGACTTTCGAGCGAGTCGGACGGCCTCGTTCGCTGATTCAATCGAGATTCAGCTTTTTTAGCCGCGAACCATGGGCGTGCATGTGGCTCGCGCGGGTCATGGCTTGTCGATTCGGTGCCGCCGGCCAAAGTTTATCGGTAGCGAGCCTCGATAATTGGTTAGCTAACGCCTCAGATCGCAATATCTGTGGAATTATAGTGAGACATTCCTCGTCATGACGCTGAATAACTATCTTCACACAGCAGAAATTATGGCGAAACTTCGGCATCGCCGGTCGACTCCGCCTTTGACGGTGGACGTACTCATGCTCGAGCCGCAATGGCCGTTCCTGACTCGGGGAACCGGTCCCTGTGGTTTCCATGATCCGCAGAGTCCGCACCTTGTTAGACCGCGGCTCAGCTTAAGTTAGGGCTGCGTCGATTTCCCAAGCTGAGGTCGTAAGCGGAACTAAGACAGTAGCAACGACCTTGAAGACCTGGGGCGGCGCCACTAGGATCACCCCCCGACTCGGTGCACGCCTTAAAACCCTCAACGAAGCAATTGAGCCCAGTCTCATCTTACTATATCACGAAATCGCAGATTATCTGCATATGACTATGCGGGTAAACAAGGGCTGACCCTTAAGCCTAGCCACTTAGTTTTAGTGCTCTGGGATGTGCTATATAGTGTGCTATAGGAGATTGATCATCGGCAAGGCCTGACGGCCATTCTGGACAAAATAGGCACCCTAAATCTTAGTATACCCCGTGGCCTGGAGTAAGATATGTATCATTCTCAGCCTGAGTCAGATCCCGTATATTCGGCGCCCGGCACTACCCAGAGTACTCCGGTAAGCTAATCTCGTGTACTAGACCTTCCTATAGAGATACGTAGGTACCTTTACTGTTCGTATCTAGCATTTTTGTCTCACGAATAATTAAGAACATAAATATATTATGCGTAAGGTTTACTGCATAAGACCCGGTAAGTTGTCCACAAGGATGGCATTCTGGCTTGCCGCTAGGGTAGGTCAGTATCTAGTAATCCGCCTTTCTTAGGTAGCGTAGAGCGTACAAACGACACCATTGCCCAAAGTAACACAGTTCCTTCTGACAGCACTACGTAGTACTAAATCAGCAACTGTGCCTATGATGAGTTGGAACGGATTGTAGCTGGCTAGGCATTCACGCCGATACGCCGGTCCAGCATGCATCGGAACCCAACATTACAGTAACAGTTCGGCATCTTTGGGGCCCGCCTCAGGACACCTATCCGTCCGGGGGTGGGATGGTCTAGAATCTAGAAGCTCAAGAGTCGGTAAGGATGGGGTACTGTAAAGCAGTTCGGCACGGGACGTTGGGGGCCGGGGCCGGGGCTGTTTCATGTAGAAACTGGTGCCGACTGCAAAGTCACCGCTTGAGGACTTGGACTATTGTGATGCTTGGTTGACAACTATATGGGATCACAGCTCGAAGGGGCAAGATACACCTGTATACTCTATCAAAGGTCTTGTTCTACATAAACCTCGTCAAGAGTTTCTCCGTTCCGCGTTCTGAGCCTGGTTGGCAGAATGCTCCCCTCCGAGCGTGGTACCCCTCCTATCTATAGGCTTTGATACGAAGCAAGGCGGGTCGTCACGGTGTTCTCCAACGGTGTTCCCAACAGTAGTGGCCGGAGGCGCTGATCTACGGATGAGTTTCGGCTCTTTTTGGAAACAACAAAAAAGGATGAAAAAAAAAATGTGCGAATGGTTGTAGATTCGTCGTGAGAACTTTTACATCTTTCGCTAAAAAGAGAAAGAGAACAGCATTCAGATCCTGCTTAAATGCATTTCCATATCATGGGTCTTCGTAAAACGTTCAATATGATTGGCAATAGCAGAGCTTTTATTTCCAAGCGGGTTGAGCCTTCTTACGCCGCTGACTGAATGGGACTGGGGGCCGAATAGCACCTCCAGTTTTCAAGCGCGTATGCGACTCCGCTAGCAAAAAAGCTCAGCTCATCCGGCCCAATGTCCACGTCATCACTGGTTAATCGTTCGGATAGTAGATGCTCGATCTTGTCAAATACATCCTGGGTGGACAACGTCCCTTGTGGGATATGCACCCCACAAATCCTGGCGAGCTCGGAGAATTCATCCTTTACCACGATGTTGCGAAAGGTGCCAATAACATGGCTAAGCACATTGTCTAGGTAGAGCGCATTGGCGCTATCCAAGTCCAAGAAAGGCGATGGCACACGACCTGACTTGAAGTCTGCTACCCGGTCACGAAGGCGTGCTTTATACTCAAGATTCCCAATCCCGTTGATGCCATTCATGTAAGCCACGAAAAGCCTCTTGTCAAGGTCAAGAATATCGCCAGTATGCTCCGGAAGTTGCTCGATAGAATCCGCGATAGCTTCGTGGCTGGCCTCGTCGACATCGCTGGTTTCGGCTCCACTGTACGTTTCCTCATGGGATTTGTTGGGGTAAGATGACACTTTTGCTGCCAGCATCATTTCATGAAAGGTCATGCCATTGTCCGGAGTCTCATCCTCCTGATATTCTAATGGCTCGATATATTGCACGTTTGAGTCAAAACGCACCGAAGACTCGAACGAAATGAATGAGCCATCGAAAGACTCAATATCATCGACACAGAGCTCGGACATGACCTCGGAGGTGTCATCCCAGTCGACGATGTCGCACATGTCGTCATCAATGTCTTCAAATATTCCATCAGGGTAATCCGATGAGTCCGATGCATAACCGGATTCCGACTCTTCATCTTCCTCGATGTCGGCGTATGGCCTTTTCAGTATGGATTTCGGGAAAGTAGCTTCAGTCGAACGAGCGACTGACAATCTCGTGGCTGGATTGGTAACCGCAGGTTGGACAAAAGTCGCAGACACTTCATCTGAAGCATAACAGCTGTCACGAGAGAGCGAAATCTCGAGATGCGAAAATGTTGAAGAGAGTGATTCCCAAGATTTTTTGCTCATGTTTTCGACGCTCATTTTTGCTAATCTTTAGGCGGACGCGTCCGGCACTTCACCTGAAGAAAGAAGCCAATCTAGGAACAGATGTCCGAGATGTAATGTATATCAAAATCGAGTATCAAACTCCGCTTTGATAAGACTCTCAGATGAGCCTACGGCGGACGCAGAGAAGGTAGGTGTAATTGTTCTTGTTGTTAAAGATGTATGGCTTAAAAGGCCTCCCAGTACGCTCGTAAGAGTCCATGGTAGACGGTCGGTAGCAGTCCCGTTTACTGAGGAAAACAGGGGCTTCCCTGGACGTGTAGCTTGGAGTACATGTTTGATTCGTGCGTCAAGTTCTGGGAAATGGCTGAAATAATGTTATTCTCAAGTGATTGTTTTGTAAAAGATGCGGTCTTCAGGGTTTCCTTGACGTGATGCATATAGACTGTGTTTCGCTTGGTCAGAATAGGGAGAGCCGAAGACTGGATACACAGGTTTTGTATATGCGCGGTATCGAAGCCGAAGGATATCGAAGCCCAATACTGGCAGTCCAGTATAAGTGAAGTAATTGTATCGTTGACGATGGACGGCGAGTGTTGACTAGAGTCACGCCCGCTGTTCGTGGGGATGTCGTCCGAGTAACGCGGGGAGGGGTGACGGCGCGAAAAGACGGAAGAGGCGACTACTACTCAAAAATGAACTGTCGCGATAGATGTAGTTCAATCTTGAGATAGTGAAGAATGATAGTGTATGGGAAAGATAGCACGCGAAGTAGTGCTGGGGAAGGAAGAAGGGGAGAGATTCCCTGCTGACACTCAGGTCGTGATATTTCCGTCATCGACAAAGCCACGGCACCTGACTCCGCTCCATTGTCGCCTCCTCATCGGGCGGCCGGCTTCCAAGGTTTGGCCCTTGGGTGACCAGAAACGGGCTAGCGCTCAGTCACGTGCCACTCTTTTCTGATTGTACATACACGTGACTTTCCATCACATTCCAAGGCCTGATGAACTTCATGCTGGTTTCTTGATCGCCAATATAGAATTGCAAACAAAACCTAGCCATCACTCACACTGAGCTCTATTACTTGATATGCTACAGCCTGGGAAGAGTTAAGAGGCCGGTCTCACCCCTTCCTCATTCTATCGGCAGCAACCGAATGTGTGCCGCTCAGCATACCCAATCTTGGGATGGATATGGATGTGAATTCCATCCTCAATGAGACGGCTTTCAACCCTGACAAACCACTTGAGACGTTCAATCAAACAACTAAGCTTGTTTCATAGAATCCCCCTGTCATGGGTATTTTTGTCACCATGGCTGAAATGCTTCGGCGTGGCTTTCTACTCGTGCGCCAAGAGGCAATATGGAAAAAGATGTCCTGTTCTTTGTCATATCAGATCTGCATACTTCGACAATTACTCTTGTGTCGATTCCTGGAGCTGGCCGCCTTGAGGAATGGCCTTCGAATCCATATGTCGTACGCCTTTGTTCACTTGCGCTTGGATCCTAATCATGGCATCTCGACTCACAGGATGAGATTGTGCTACCACGAGTCCAGGAAGGTCGGGGCGCAGCTCCCTCGACGGGAGCGAGAATGGCTACATTTGACTTACCCATCCAATAGGGCCCTGTAATGCTGCTGGGTTCCCGCACGACAGACCGACTTTAGGGCAGAGAACAAAGAAACTACATCGGCACGCCTTCGCAACCCACCTTTAGGTTCAGACCCCTGCAGACTAGTAAGCCTCCTCCTGTGCTAAGGCTAACAAGAAACAAAGTGCAGAGCAAGTCAAGTCTGTTTAGAGCCAAAGGATCAAAGGATCAAAGAGGCTGAATGCGAATATCGACCACCAAAGCCTCCCCACAATCTGGTACCTGGGTTAATAATAGATGCCCAGCCTGAAGCAAGAATCTCTTCAGAAGTTGCAGATCGGCACAAATATTCTCTGAACGTGTGGGGCACAGATGCGCCAAGTACGGGTGTGTCTTTATCCTCTGGCATACCAGGGGCCTGTTCCGTGCATTATTGCTGGGGGCGCACATTCCTATCAGCAACCCAGCCATCACATCGACCCTCGACAAACAGTCCACCAAGCTTTATCGGCATCTAGTGGGTTGGATAGTACCCTCGATGCCAAAAATAATAGTTCCACCGACCGGGGAATACTCGACAAGGCGATTGGGTGGGTGAAGAAGTGATGTTGATTACTGTGGCCCAGAGATACTACTTTTATCTTGCTGGCTTATGGCGAAGATCAACGATGACGCTTATATTCATGAATATAAGACCACTTCCATGGTCGGGGAACTAGTGAAAGCCCGAACGGATTCCCCGTTGGAGCCGACTGATCTGCATCTATCGCCTGCAAGTGCTCGCGTCGAAGAGCTGTCCAGGATTACTTGCCCCCGCTGCACGTCCGCCTGATACTTGCTTACTCCGTTTCTGGCATAGTGAGCGTTGCATTCCAGTGGGTGGCCATTCAGCACTCGAGTCCAACTTTCGTCACCCAGTCGAGAGGTTCGAGGAACTCGATCAGCCACGTCGGTTATCTCGTCCATGATTGGCCGCTGAGGTTACTTGGGAATCCATAGTTCTTTCAGTCGGGATCGGTTGGCAGACAGTGGACGATATCAACACCCCGCTTGGCTCATTAGTGCGCATTCCTCTCTTACTATAGAAGGACTGGAATGCAAAGGGAATGCAGAGGCTGGAGAGAGCCGTGACAGTTCAAATAGGACCATCGGTCTGTTGTTTGTTTGCTTTGTCTTCTTTGCATCCTCTGCAGTGTTTTCTTCGGTTGTCAATCAATCAAACAGTCTCTACGCGCTGCATTCCACCTGCATAACCTACCGTACCTGCGGATCTGGCTCGCCATCCAAGACTTTGGTTTCGGACCAGGCTTTATATCCGCAGTCTTATCGCCAATCATATCTGATACGGCTTACAGCTTACTGGGTCGAGTCTTTGGCAGCCTCTTCGTCGCCGCAAACGGAAAGGTGATCTCCCGCCTGGCAAGATGTTCGCTCAACCATTCGATCATTCATTCAATGATCTGTTTAACCAGTACGTCAACATGGACACATCGAGTACGGACGCCAGCAAAGATGTTCAATTTTCCAGCGAATTCGACCAAATATTCCCACTCGACTCGTTCGCAACCGACTGTGGCGACCAATCTCCCATTATCTCCACCGCACAGCTCACCCGTCAGTCAACGCAGGACTGGAGCAAAGATCTCTGGTCACTTTCACAAAATACGGGCTGCTCTACCGACCAAGACAACTTCTCTCTTCAAGATAGCACGCAACCTTCGGCTGTATTGGGCTTGAATCTTGACCTTGATGCCGCTTCAGCCGGACATTCCCAGGCTTCCGTACCCCGCTCATCGCCTTCAACCCCTCCAGCAACTCCTGGTTCCAAAGTCAAGGGAGGTTTATTCACCCCAAAGACCATCCGTCGTCACCGAGAATCCAATGACCACCGCGGTTTACTACGCAAACAGAGCTTCTCCCCTGGCTTGATGCGCTCTTCTCAACTCCAGAAAGGCAGCTACAGGATGGCTTATCCTGAGGCCTGGGCTCAACGACTACAAAATTTCACTATCCGTAGCTCTGATGAGGGCTTACCATTGTCGCCACCTCCATCCGACATCCTTGTTCAAAGGGAGAGCATCTCCAAGCACACGGCCGCACAGATGAACAACTCGGCAGAGAACTTTCAAGGATCAACGGAGCTGCCTCAGCAATTCGACTCTGGCTATATGACCCAATCTCCAGCAATTCCCATGCCGTCACCATCCGTCAATGCTCTAGCCAGTCAGCACCAGAGGTATCTAAACCAGTCAAACACATCTACATTAACTCCAAGCCCTCCTTCGGCAGGTGGAATGTTTTCTTCACCACATTCCTCCGATCCCCAGTCAATGTCTTCTTGGCACTCCGATTCTCTCGGGACATCAGCATTCCATTACACGCCTGAGCTAAATGATCCTCAAACATGGTGGTCGCCTATGCCGTCTGAGGTCACACAGCGCCACGCTTCGTATCAACATATAATTGCATCTCCGGCCCCGCAGCGGCCAATCCAAGCATCTGCTAACCACGGCGACCTCCTGCAAGGGGGTCTTATGATTCAGTTAGACCCTACACAGTTTGATTTCTCTTCATCTTTTCCTTCTTCCGCTATACCGACGACCGCCAATACCCAGGACAGCCATTCTTACAATTTCGAAACACACGCACCACAGACATACGTTGACTCAACTTCCTTCACCACTCCGAACATTCCTAATCCATCGCGATCGCCATCCATTTCCCCCAAAACGGGAACCTCGCCAACTCAACGCAGAGACGGTATGGTACTGAAGAATACTCCTCGTCGTCATCACGGCCGGAACTTATCTGGTCAATCAACGAACATCCCCAAGCCTGTCAAGGCTCCCACCAATCTATCCACAAGCCCAAAGGCTGACAAATCAGTCACAGTGTCGTTTGTCAACTTCACGGCCAACGACAGCCAGAAGATCCTTACCGGTGTCGCCCCAAGCGGCAGCTCAAAGACAAAAGCGAGACGGGAGCAAGAGGCCCGCGATCGCCGGCGCAAGCTCAGCGAGGCTGCGCTGCAGGCGGTGCGGAAGGCCGGTGGCGATGTCGAAGCCCTAGAAGCCGTTTTCTGCTAATCAAAGCCGTCCACTGCATAATCTGCATATGCATTTTAATATGTTTCGGGTGTCTCTGTTGCATTTTCATCTTTCCTGGTCTTTATTCTTCCTTTCGCTTCAGCATCGGTCGTTTTGGCGCCTAGAAAGTCTGTTTTTATATTAAAATTGGGGTGTTTCGGGTCTTTCGGAGAAAGCTTTAGATCAGATCTGCGGGCATACCGGTTTAGGATAATACCCATTTACACTTATCAATGCAATTTTACACTTCAAACTCTGCAATTCCGAGTCATTATCTATCAACACAAATTGAAGAACTTGTAAAGTCATCCATTCAGTAGAAAACTAGGTATCACTGCCCCTTCTAATCTCATACTCCCATGACTACCGATAACTATCGTGCAGTACTCACGTCTAAACAATGCTTTTGCATGCGTAATTATATATATTTGTACACAGGGTTTCCGTCATGGCCGCTTGGTATACAGGGTATCTGAACTGAACTCATTGACCGCCTTAATCTCACCTCTTAGACGGCGTAGGGGTCCATGATTCAGGCTGCCACTTCTCACCTGGTGCATCCTTGGGCCGAAAGAAGGGATCCTCTTTGGCTGATGCTTTGCCCTGAGCCAGGTCATTCGCCTGGGCCTTAGGTCCTGATCCCGGTGCATCAGAGGCGGCACTCAATGTCGGGTCGCTTGTTTGCGTTGCAGGTCCTGGTTGTTGTGTTGCCGGCGCATCCAAACGGGATTGTTCAGCCTCCCATTTCTTTTTCTGCATATCTGCCAGTAACAGGATTCTTTGCCGCCTCAGGATATCTTCTTGCTGTTCTTGGATGGATGGGGGTTCGGGTCGAACGTAGCGAAGCCATTGGTGCCATTGAGCTGGAAGTGACTAGGGTCAGACCTGGCCAAGCAAAGGGTTAGACAGGAGACAGCTCACGGCTAACTTCAACGTCGCCATAGTGGGTTTTGGACGGAGGCTTGAGGATCCGTCGGAAGCGGCCCGCATTCAATTGGTCCCTGAATTCCCAGTATGTGTTCCCCGCGAGATCGTGCCCTGGCAAAGAACGATGTTAGTCTTGCTGAGGGCCATGGACGAATCTCGAACGTACCGACGAGGAAGGATCTTCGCCAGGGTAACCGGAGGCTTTTCCACTTGAACCACAGACTATTGATCGGACTCATCTGTCTGTAGAGGGGAGATTGCCAATTATAAGCGAGGGAATTGCAATCAGGCAGGCGAATCGGATTGACTGGTGGAGATGAAGATATTCGGGGAAATCCTGAGCTGCGCCGCAGTACTGCGTTGGCTGCGTCATCGGCTGACTGGTTGGCTTACCCGTACGGTAAATAACGGCCCAAAGGCATTCCATTTCCCGCCCTGGACCCTCACGTCTTCTCTTCCTATATTTTTCTTGCTAATCCGACTTCATTCTATCACTGAGATATTCTTTCTGCTTTCTTCCCACGAATTCGTTCGTGTGCTCCTGTCCGTCTGTCTTCGAGCCCCTTTTTACGTCATTCGCTCCCCCTTTGTCAACACAAAAGTTGCGACGATCCCCCTCCCTTCAGGCCCAGATATAGCCCTCTGGCGCCTTTGGACTTATTTGTTTATGTGTTTTAGGGTCTGCTGAAGACAGGTAAAACTTGTTTTCAAGGATGGCCTCTGTCTCATCTTTAGATAAGGACTTGCGCAACTTGCGCCTGTCCCGCTATACCCCGCAAGCCGCGGCCGAAGTCCGCTCCTGGATTGAAGAAGTGTTGCGCGAGAGGCTAGCACCTGGGGACCTTCTTGAAGCACTCAAAGATGGTGTCGCGCTCTGCAAGTAAGATAAACACGGTCGTGGCTGAATCCCCCAATCCCGGTTGCTGACAGTGCCCCGATATAGGCTTCTTAACCTTGCGGTTTCGCCCGGTGTCAAGTACAAGCAATCCTCGATGCCATTCGTTCAGATGGAAAACATATCGCATTTCCTCCGCGCTTGTCAACTTCCTCCTCTAAGCCTTCCTCCCCACGATGTCTTCCTTACCGTCGACCTCTACGAGGCCAAGGACCCTGCGCAAGTCCTTCAATGTATCTCAGCATTCAGCCGTCGGGCAAATGCAATCCAACCTGGTAAATTTCCACGCGCAATTGGAGTACAGAGCAAAGCCGGCACCTTGAGTCCGTCTTTGACCGGCTCCAGCCAGGGTCCCCACACGCCTACGAGAAACCGATTCGGTGACGCCAACTCTAACGCCTCTGGCCGCTCAAGTCCCGCAAAGTCTCCTCAGACGGTTAGCAGTTGGAGTAAGAAATCGGATCATCAGGTTACGCAGCCAGCTTGGAACATACACCAGTATGGATACATGGGAGGTGCTAGCCAAGCAAACCAAGGTGTCGCGTTTGGTGCCCGTCGACAAATCACTACTGCTGCCCCTCATGTGCCTAGTGTCGCGGAAAAAGAGAACCGCAGACGTGAAGAGGAAGAAAGACTGAGGCTCGAACAAGAAGAGGCTGAGCGGATTCGTCGACAACAGCGCGAAGCAGAAGAAGCACGTGCCCGGGAGGAGGAAGAGCACCGATGGGCCGAAGAGACGTCTCGCTTGAGGGAGAAAGAGCGGCGAGATGTTGAGGAGGAGCGGAGACTGTGGGATGAGGAACAGCGTCGGTGGGAGCAAGAAGAACAACAACGTCTGCGCGAGGAAAAGGAGGCAGAGGAAAGATTTGAGAACGAGAGACAACGGCGTAAAGATACGAATGACATCCGCCTGACCGGCCAGTTTCTCAGCCAATATCGAGCAACTCAAGCCGCGCCTACACAGCCTACACCCATTGAATCGCAGGAAAGCCAGCGCGTCAAAGAACTGGAGCAGCAATTAGAGCTTGCAAAGGAAAGGGAGCGCGAATACGAACGCGAACGACAAGTATTCAAGGAGAATGATAACAAGCCAACCGAAACCAAGCGCCCTGTACCACCTAAACCAAGCTACGATCTCTCATCTCTTGAGCAAGAACGGCGTCTCCTCCGCGGCGAGTGGGAACGACACCAGGCTCCAGAATCTGTTGCTGAGATGCAAACTCCCCCGCCCATGCCCCCTCGACGGCCTCTCCCCGACCCTGCTAGTGCTGCCCAGCCACCAAAACCCCAGGCATCAGAGAGCCGAGTCGACCGCTTCTTATCGTCGAACCCGGCACCTGTGGCTCCCAAGCCCGCTACCCATCGCTTCCAAGATTACACCACGACGTCCGAAGTGGACGCCGAGAACAGCCGCCGTCTTGCGTCTCAACAAAAGACCCGCGCCGGCGGGTGGGCTTCCAAATCCCTCCTAGAACGCGAAATGGAGCGCGAGCGCGAGCGTCAAAGAGAGTGGGAAGAGAGCCAGAAGCAGACGCAGGAAGCTGCGGCGAGAGGCGTCAAGGACCCATCACTGAATGCGGGGCCTGGCGGTGCTTGGGATGTACACCAGTACGGCTTTATGGGCGGTGATAACCAGAACCGGGGTGGCCCTGGTTTGGGTATTGGAGGTGCAAGGCGGCAAATTATTGGCCCTCGGCCGCCTACATGATTGTGTTTTGTTTTGCTTTGGCTTGGGCTTTTGGCTTGGGCTGTTGGCTTGCTTGCGACTGGATACTCGTCTTTTATGTTCTTACCAACCCATTCCCCTTTTTGCATTGTGTTCAATAAGATGTCTTCTTCAAGTGCACATACTACCACTCCTGCATGCTACAAGGGCACCAAGTCCTTCCCGATCGCGCCTCTCAATACTATACTCATTTCCCCTTAGCCCTAACCTCGGCACACTCCACGTAGAAGGTTACTTCACTAGCCCCATACACCATCGTCAGCACGAAACTACGTAGTACGGGGGCTTTTGGTAAATTCAACGGGTGCTATAAATTCATATTTAAATAACAATATAAATCAAGAGGGGTATCTATGGACGAAGAGACTGCATGAAACAAGACATGGTAAACCGTCCTACCGAAACAAGCCAGCGCACCGCAATGCAATGCAAGAGTTATTTAAGTACATCGAATGAACGGAAGAAAAAAAGGAGAATAATCAAGACCCGATGGCAGTAGAAGTCACCCTGGCACTAGCCGGGATCACCTCCTCGACCAAAAAGGTCAGTCGCTCTGCACTTTCACCGAGCCAAGCCCACTCTAGGTCCTCTGACATCCGAGCGACCTGGTTCTTCCTCGTCTCATGCTGAGCCTTCTCCGCGCGCCTTATGATCCCCTTCTTCGTCAATTGCTTTGTCTCCTCCGTGACTTGGATCATGTTTCCATCGGCAAGCAGAACAAGAAGGGCTTCAAGGGTTATGGACATCTTGACGTTGTCGGAGAGGGACGACGATGCGGCGGCATACGGGAGAAAACAAGTCTCTAATTTGCTCTGGGTGAGGTATTGCTCGTCTGAGTCAGCTGCGGATGAATCGCGGAGGCCGAACAGAAGCAATTCGCAGAGCGTCGAGCAGTCTGCGGGGATGGAGTGGGTTAAGGCAAGCGGAGAGACGAAGGCCTGATAGATTGGGAGGGGGAGGTGTCGGATATTTTCCACGAAGAGCTGGTAGAGGTCTAGGAGGCGCATGAACATCTTTGGGAAGGAATTAGAGACGATAGAGAGTAGATGGCAGAGGCGCTGGCGCAGGGCGAGTGAGGCCATGTCACCGAGGAGGGAGGAAGAGGGTGTTGGGTCTGGTATTGTAGAGTCAGGAATCGGGTTTGGGGTCGGTATGGCAGCGTCATTTTTAGTCCTGGCGGCTGCTCCTCTGCATGGACGCTTCGACCCGCGGCCGGGGGAGCTGCCCTCGTCTTCACGATCGGTTGAGACGTAGAAATCCCCGTATTCATCTGCATCCACGTTGACCGCAGCACCCCTCTTCCTTGAGTCTTTATCTTTGTTTTCCTTCTTCCGTGACAGCTTCAGCTCCTTACGAAAGACCTCGCGAAATTCATTGACCGCAGACGCTCCGCCGTCGGCGAATATGGCGCGCAGGATGCGACGGTCGCGGCCGAAGCCGGCATGAGAATTGACGATATAGTTAACTATGATGCTGTCTTTCAAGATTTGGTCGTCATGCGAGGGGTCCTGTTCCATTATGCGCTGGCGCTGGACCCAATCATCTTCTAGTACCTGGCACATAAACTCCAGCCAGATCCGCCAGTACTTCCACCGGGCCGGATGCAGGACAGCGCAGTTGAAAGCCCATCCTACGGCGTGCCAGAAGTCCTCAGCACGCGACCAGACCGAGGCCGACTGTGCAAGTTCAATAGGGATATCCTCATCCAGGTTTATTTTCCTCTCGCTGTTCGTCAATTTTCTGGAAGTACCGTCGATATAACGCCGTCCCCCATGACGCGAGGCCTCAAAGTGCTTGAATTTAAACGCCAAATCGAACCTGGCGTTTACAGGCCCGACAAGATTGTTTACCAGGTGCAGCATGCGGAGAGATACATGCGGCGTTTCCTGCTCTTCATCTGTCTTTAGTCGCGCGGTGGTGGAGGGATGGACGAGAAAGGTGGCAGCGAGTGCGAGATGTTGCGGTGATGGAGTGAATACTGGAATATCTGTGTTGGAATCTGTGCTCAGGGTGTTGATGAGCAGTCTGAGTGCTTCAAGATCTAATGTACATATTAGTCAAATTAAGTCTACCGCGACGCGAAGACGCGTGGGAGGGTACGTACGTAGACTCTCCTCGAAAAAGATGCCCACATGTTGAACCAACTCGAAGGGAAGAGGCTTCGCGGGATGTAGGCGAGGCGGGGGAGCCTCTTCGTTTGAAATAGCCATCGCGATTGGCGAAGAGGATTGATTGAGTCGTGGTCGGTGGAAGTTGAGGATGAGCTAGTCCAGTGCGGAGGTGAAGTCCATTGAATTGTCAACAATGAAAGCAACCTTATAGAGCTAGAAGTTCAGCCAGCACGTTGATACATCAAGGTGCTGTAGTGTAGTGGTGATCATAATTCGTTGTGGCCGAATTGACCTGGGTTCGATTCCCAGCAGCGCCAAGTGCGTTGACTTGATTGTATAAGTATCTTTTTGCTTTTTTATTCTGTTATCATGGAATGGCTGTCATTATTGCCTATTACTTAGTTTACCGTTTCTGTTCATGACTCGGGGAACATCCCTTGCAAGACAACAGCTTTGAGACAAATGAAGATCATCCGCCCAATTATCAGTCAATCATGTTTCAGGGATGTGTGATGGAAAAGTAAGCTGCAGTAAGACTGCGCAGTGATTGATGACCAGACCAGCCTCGTAATACAAACAGCGCACACACCCAAGTATAATACAGTTGTAGTAAAGCAGCAAGAAAGTGGTCCTGAAAAAGCATCGTGGGATATCTGTAATAAAATATCTGTCCTTTCTAAGTCCCTCGCCAAACACCTTTCTATCCCCAATCTTTTGCGTCATTTCTGGTCGCGTGGTTGGCTTTGTGTTCGTGTCGCAGCGAGTCTGATGCCTGATCTCGGACCCAGACTGTTGCTTTCGCCCAGAAACAAAGCAGGTGAAAGATAGACTCCGCCCCAATCTGCCAGCAGTATGGCTCCTGAACAGGGAGTAGGTATTAAAGTAGGACAAAAGTAGAGAGTAGTAGACTTAAAGGAGGGAACAAAACACGAGAAGGACACGCGGCGAAGTGGTAGCAAGGAAATGCGTAGGAGGAAACGATCAATAGGAAATAAAGAGAGCCTCTCCGTTACTCTTCAGGTATATCGGAAAAAAGGCCTATCCGTAATCGGTGGGACTGTACTCTGGGTTAGCCAAGCCAATGCCATCCGTGTCAAATGGAGAGAGGGAACACGTACGAAGGGTAGCTTGGGAAGGACCACTCCCAAGGTGGCTAGGAAGTTGATGACAAAGTACGTCAGGTCGTAGTGAGTGTAATGCGTGCTGAGAAGGAAAAGGCAAATTGGCACACAGAGCAGGAACTTCTTCGCCGGGGTATATTGGTCCCCGTTGTCAATTTGCTCCCACATGTTGAGGTTGTCATAGGCGCCAGCGTTGAATTCAAATGGGATGCCCCGCACCCAGTGGAACATGAGAAAGGATCCAAACATATAACTGATGTTGGTGAGAGTCCATGATGTTTCCTGCGAAATGCCGGGGAGGATGTCGTAGAAGATCTTCAAGGCCGCAATCAGAACAAAGTGGATGGTCCAGGCACCTATAGCGATACAAAGCCGTTAATGGTTGCTTTGCTTGTAGAGCTTCCAGAGAAGGGCCCAGTAGCGCTGCAACAACAGCCCACGCAAATCACTCACCTTTAGCATTAACCCAGTTCGCATTCAAGTTCGGGAGGGCAGCCTGGTCGCTAGTATGCTCAATGGACTCGGCGGGTTCCTGGTAGATGATACTACTCGACCTCCTCCGCCTGCCAGCCTTGCTCTGGGACATGTTATGGTCTGGTGCTAGCCGGTGCGGACTTGTGTCAACCTCCGGTGGGAAGGAGATGGCACGGGGCATGAGTAGGGACGACACTTTGGCGGTGTTCAATCGGTGAAAGAAGCGGCTGTAAAAGGTTCCGGAAAGAAAGGCGAGAAAGTAAGCTGGAGAGAGAAAAAAGAAATTTCAAAAAGGACCGAGAGTGACGGAGCTGGAGAGGGATGATAATAGCTAATGATACCAGTAATAGCAAGTAACAATGGCGGCACGGAAGAACTGGAGATATTCCGACCGATCGGCAGGTCACGGGATGGGTGAGTATTCAGACCTGCAGCAGTAGAAATACAGCCTTTCAACTTCCAATACTCCGAAATGCGGTTTAGAAAGTCTATTATGACTGTTGTGGTCAAGTTTGACTCAATTCTTCGGAAGCGAATGTCCTGAACTCTCAGAGAAAAAAAAGTCAAGCCAGGCTTCTGGGCCTTGAATAGGAGGGAGATGAGAGGTGTCTAATAATAGCCATCAGAACGGAATTCGAAGGCAAATGCAATGCCTGTATGGACATGTCCAGGCTCAGGGCTGTCGCGCGTTCTAGGCCTTGATACTCGATCGATGCTTGTTTTCTAGAATGTCCAAAAATATCTCCTATCTCAAATTGATCTCTGCACAGTGCAGAGTCAGACAGGTCTACTGCAGCTCTCGGAATCTAGATCCTCGGAATGCGAGTTTCACCCATTTATCAATCACAAGTGCTGGGCATGTTTCAACTACTCTAGCAATTCAAAATCACATCCACGCATACCATATCGTCGATAAATAAATAATTCAATCTTACCCCCTAATGACGGGGATATTGCGCTGATATATCTCTAACGGCCAGGGTCCTCAGCTAACAAGCTCGTTTATCAACCACTCAGGGGCGTTCGCTGCGAATCTATAGAGCTCTGTCAACATGACATACCCCATACATTCTATAAACCTATTTACTAACTACCACATCTTTTGCCACAATCTCGAGCGTTGCTGATTAGTTATGTGCTTAATGACTACGGAGTATTCCTTGTGATGACGTAAATGGGGACACTTCCGCCAAATTTACAAATCTACTGGCTTCTTTAACTTATTGACTTACTTTATCATTTCGGTGGCTACAGATCTCAATCCTTCTACTCTTCCTACCAGCAAATCACCGAGTTTTAGTCGAGAAAAAGAAGACCCAAATCAAATCCGAACAACAGCATTAATGCGCCTCATCAAGACCCCTCTCCGCATCTTATCACCCCTCGGTTTCACTCGCTTCCCCGCCATCCGTCTCCAACGCCTCCCTCCCCCAACTTCGGCTTCAAAAGTCGTGCTCAGATCCGCTCCGTATATTCCTTTCCTAGGTACCTTCTTCAGCTCAGGTGCCCGAACCGAATCCCAGAAGCAGAACAGCGAGATGGCTCCGCCCCCAGACAACAGAAGCGAGGACGAGTGGCGCGCTGTGCTGAGCCCAGGTAAGCAGTCTCCATCCTACCCACTCAACGAACCCGATCCTTTGCTTTTACTCGAGCCTCTTCGTCGAAGCAAAAATGAAAAGGCTGACGACCGAATAGAACAATTTCGCATCCTCCGCCAAAAGGGCACCGAACGGCCCGGCACAGGCGAATACGACTCCCATCACCCCTCGGAAGGCGTCTACACATGCGCGGGCTGCAACGCACCACTATACAAAGCGGCCCACAAATTCAAATCCGGGTGCGGATGGCCCGCGTACTTTGATTCGATTCCCGGCGCGGTTCAGAGGCATGTGGATAGCTCCTTCGGAATGGAGAGAACAGAGATCACTTGTACGAACTGCGGGGGGCACTTGGGGCATGTCTTCAAGGGAGAAGGCTACCCGACGCCAACTGATGAAAGGCATTGCGTGAACAGTGTCAGTTTGAAGTTTACGGAGGACGATGGGGAGGGAGCTAAGGCTAAGGCGTGATGACTGTTGGAGTTTCAACTGAATAGATTTGGATTGTATATGATGAAATACACATCTTACAGAGGTTGGGGCTGGCTTCCGTACGGAATAATACGGACCATATGGCGGCGCTCTCCATCTTTGAAGTCCGGAACTGCCGAGTGAGCGACTGTTCTCTGGTCCCAGACGACAACCGTCCCTTTCTCCCAAGATACTCGACAAGAGAAGTCTAATGACCGGATATGATCGTGCAGGAAGCCCAACAATAGATTTGACTCACTCGGCTTATACCCCACAACTTGACGAGCGATGGTCGGGTTTACAAACAACACTGGCTCCTTCGTCACCGGATGCGATATGACCAGCGGGTGCTCTGTCTTGACGGCCTCCTTGAGAGCTCGCTCTTGACCTACCCTAGCAACTTCTCCAACGCTTGCACTAGTATGTAGGAGCTTCAGGCTATGGAGGCCTTCGCGGAATGGAGGCGAGAGGGCTTGATAGGCTGCCGTCAACGACGTAAAGGCCGTATCACCTCCGCCTGATGCGGGGATCTCGAGGACCCAGAAGAGGGTCGCACCGGGTGTATTCGGGGTGAAGGTTTGGTCGATGTGCCACAGGTCGTAGTTCGTCTGTGAGCCCAGAAGATCACGGAGGTTTCCTCTGCTCGTCGTTAGGCCCTGAGCTCAGCGGTGATTTGGGTCGACGTACACTTTCTCGTCCGCGTAGACTACCTGAAACTCCGGCCCGGTGCCTTTGGGGTAGCCCATCGTCGGATGCTTGGAACATATTAAGTCCTGCTCGAGATTCGTTTGGTATCTCTTACTTTGTGAAGGGGACCAAAGTTTCTCGCAATTGTCAACTGCCTCTCCGGCCCTATGTCGGCAAAATCCTGGTCTCGCTTTGTATGGCGGGCTCGGTAATAAGTAACCACAGACGCACCCTACTGCGAAATTGACTCACAAGTACAAGGACACCCCGCTGAGCTGCCAGGAGTGCTAGTTGATCCAAACCTGCCGGAGTCAGCTGGCTCAGCTGAAGGCCGCGAATTTCGGTTCCAACGCGCGGCGTAACATTTTTCAAGGCAGTTTTTGACGATCGAATCTCTGGTAATTCTGGATCGGCTCGTAGGCCCGGCTCTTCTGTTTCGAAGAGTGGAATGTCTAGGGTTGGTGTGAAGCCCTCTGGCCGTACAGGGAGGTAAGCAGGGTATAGAGGCTCTGTAGCCATGAGAACGACGTGGTTGCCGCTTGTAATTGAACAAGGTTTCTCAGTCAGACCCCACGAAATAACAGCGCCTTTGAATATATAGCCGTTAGTCAAGACTTGGAGTAAGAAGCTTGCAGTAACTTGACATTGTCTCATCCCGGCCAAGAAAGGCGTCACGCGTAGCACTATGCCCCATAGGACAGTTTCGGACACTGACCGACTGCATCCTAGTGACTACGCTGCATGCCTCCTGGTCAGTTAGTTTTAGGATCTTCTCCATTGATATTCGAGCGATACTCGGCGCGGCCTTGTTTGGAGGGCAGTATGTGCCGTCACAAGATGTGGCAAGCACGCCATTGGAGCATCACTACAAATTCATCGCAGACTTGACGGCCCAGGAAGAGGGAAGCCATCTCGCATTTCAAATTCTGAAGTCATTGTGGCCCTGAATTCATCGGTTTACAATATGGACATCCAAGCTCAGGATTCGAGAACGAGATCGACGAGGGAGACAAAATGGATTACGCGGGTCCTCCAACTCGACAATCCAGAGCGAGTGCTTGTTTTGAAGCTTGACACCTTGCTTCTCACTTGGGCCTTCGTGGCAGGTCTCACCAAGGTATGGGTCAAATTCACATTCTACTCACGCGGTACCAAGCCCTAACTATATACTCTCCTAGGACATGGACCAATCGTCGACAACGCAGGCTTATGTGTCCGGATGGCAAGAAGCACTGTCTTTGTACGGCAACGAGCTCGTCGAGTTTACCACCTATTTCTCTGTCGGATACGCCTTGGCCATCGTTCCTTCACAAATGATCCAGACTCTGATACGGCCGTCCATATTCCTGCCTGCCTGCGAGGTTATTTGGGGACTTTTGACCCTAACGTATGTGTCTTCCTCTTGACGCCAATGTTATTGTTAACACTGAGGCAGGACATACGCTGCAAAGAATGCTCGGGCTGTCTATGCACTCCGTTTCTTTCTCGGTATATTCGAATCAGTATGACGCGCGCGTTTATACGGGATTGTTCACTACTGACGATATCAGACATCGTGGCCTGGCTTGGTCAGTCTTATCTTCAACTGGTGTACGTACTGCGTCCATCTGACACTTTTTTTATTTAACGCCGACTATACAGACACCCCGGCTGAGCTCGGAAAAAGGCTGGCTATCTTCGGCGTCAGTGGCGTTGCAGGAAGTATGTTCCTCGGCATCTTGCAAGCAGCTCTATACAAGAACCTTAACGGTGCAGGAGGCCTTGAAGTTAGTATTCCTGCATCGTGTTTCGTAATTTAATGTTGATTATTTAGGGATGGCAATGGCTCTTCATAGTCAGGTATGCTCCTTTTCAGAAGATTTCCGTTCTTGTTCGAGCTAGCCCTAACTCAATTGAAGTGGCTGCATAACAATATTCTGGGGTCTCATTGGCTTCTTGATCATTCCAGACTCACCGAGCATTACACGAGCAGTGTGGTTAACCAATGCTGAGCGCCGTCTAGCTGTTAGACGCATGGAGAAGAACGACACCGAGACTTCCAAGCTCATTGACTATAAGAGACTTTTCAGGAAAGCCAAGCTCATTACACTCAACCCACTTGCATGGCTCTACATGGCAGCTTATCTGCAGTACGCCTGGAGCCAAAGGGCTAACAGTTATTTCCTCTTATATCTGAAGGTCTGCTGTGCTGCTTCTCGAGGAGCCAAATAGAATTAACCGGGTTATAGGGACTTGAAGAGCCAAATGGGGAACCGCTATACAGGTTTGATCATGGCTACTTATTTGCAGTTGACCAGTGCTAATAGGACTTAACAGCACGTATACCGTCAACCTAATTCCCCTCGGCGGATATGGCATATCGATTGTAAGCAACGTTCTACTGAACGCTATTAGCGATTGGAAGAAATGGCGTATCCAGACCTCAGTCGGCCCTGCAGTAAGTCTACTATCCATATTTGCGATATCGCTTTTTGACACTACCAGGTCCTGCAAATAATCTGCTGCGCTGTTCTCTCCACATGGCCCAATTCAACGCCTACAATCATGACCTTTTATTTCCTGACCTTTGCCACAGCGGCGTGGGGGTATATTGCCCTAACTAACTAGAGGCCGCAAAGGGATCTGTTCGTTCTGACTTTCTTCTTTAGGTATTCCCTCCTTGCATGGCTGAGCGAGATCCTCAGAAAGGAGCCGGAGGCTCGATCGCTCCTTGTCGGTGCATCGGTGACGCTTGTTTGTAGGGTTATTACCATATGCCCACCTGGGCTTGCTTGTATAAGGCTAATAAGTTATTGCAGACGTCGGACACGCAACCATACCTCTCCGCGCATGGCGGACGGCCGATAGCCCCACGTACCCGGTTGGTTTCCCCCTTGCTACAGCATTCGCCGGGGGAAGTATTCTGGCGCTCCTGGGGATGTATTTCTATGTAAAGAGGTATGTAGGCTCTTGGACTCGTCTTCCAGGTTTTCAATGCTGAGATATTGTCTTTTCTGAAGCCATTCATACATTCTGGAACGAGGACTGGAGCCATCAATGACCCCCCATGCCGAAGGCGACGAACAACATCGCGGTTCTCATGCTGGTATGGAGGAGAAGGAGGCTCTTGGTAGTGTGTCGGAGGTGCGGATGTAGTGTGTCGGCCCTGGAGAGTTGAAGTGGAATGACCGCATCCGTATGCCGTCATGATGACCACAGTATCCGCAGAATAGAATGTCTAATAAGGGCACACGAAATATGATTCGAGTGAAGAAAGCCTTGCACCGTACCTAGAAAGTATGGCGCAGATGGTACTATGCAAGTTGATCCCGGATAACCTCATAATATTCCAGATATACTCAGGCTCCAACCTTGGAACCTACTCCATTGTAGGAGCGGGCCTCCCGAGCCAAACTACAGAGTATAAATGCTGTCTACGGTGACATCACAGCCCAATTGAACACCTTCACAAATGCAAAACAGCAGCATAATGCCATCTCTAGACCTACCAACGGACGGCGGCTCAACGGTCGACGTTTCGGTAATTGTCGGCGGCCATGTTACTCTTCCAACGAGTTTCATGATCAAAGAGCAGGTTGCAGGACATGACACTATGACTGCTCCCTCCTATAGCTTTCTAGTTCAGAACAAAGCCAAGGGCAAGAAGATCCTGTTTGATCTAGGGCTGCCGAAGGCTTGGAAGGAGAAGCTTCCTCCGCGAGGTTAGTGTATCTCACGTTTCTCTTGCGAACAATTTTCTGAAATGGGTCGAAGTTGTTAGAACGATCGAGGATTCGAAGGGGGTTATTGATGCCCCGAAGGATGTCGCCGATCAACTATGCGAAGGGGGTGTTTCGCTCGAGTCTATTGACGCTATTGTTTGGTCCCATCATCATTTCGATCATATCGGAGACCCGTCCGGTTTCCCCTCCTCTACCGCGCTTATAGTCGGGCCTGGGTTCAAGAGTGACAAGACCACGTTCCCTGGGTATCCGAGGAACCCGGACGCTAGAACCCTTGACGATGCATTCCAGGGACGGGAAGTCGTTGAGCTTGATTTCACCGGTGCCGCGATGAAGATCGGCGGCTTCCCAGCCATTGACTACTTTGGCGACGGGAGCTTCTTCTTGCTGTACTCAAAGGGTCATAGTAAGTCGACCACATCAAGCCTGCTTGATGCATTTACTAATGGTGTATAGCCCACGACCACATGTGTGGTCTTGCGCGAACCTCTGAGGATAAATTCCTATTTCTTGGAGGCGATGTCGCTCACCATGCTGGGGAGTTCCGCCCGACACCCCAGGTTCCTCTTCCGGATGAAATCCACCCGTCGCCGCTGGATGAAGACGCCCTGAATCCTCAGCGTCTGCCGTTATCTGCTTGCCCAGGAAGTGTCATTGAAAAAGCCCACCCGAGAAAGGGAACGAGACCGAGGGAATATAGAACGACACCGTTCTACGAGGCAAGTACGGAATTGAAACCATTCCCTCATGATGCTAAAGTCGCGGTAGAGAGGGTGCAGAATTTCGATGCTTCAGCCGAGGTCCTGGTCATTATAGCTCATGACGCTGACCTGGAGAGCATCCTACCTAGTTTCCCTAAGAAGCTCAACAACTGGGATTCGGTAGGGTATAAGTCTCTAGGTAGATGGAGGTTCTTGAAAGACCTCCTAAATGACAACTAGGTTAAAAGGATTGCGAACGGAGAGCCCATATATATGCGTTTTGAAATCGACGAGAAAGATGAGCAATGGGTTGAAGAGTCAAGGGCCTAGGCATCGAAAAGGCAAGCCGTATCACGTGCTGGTTATCGGGCAGGGTCTTGCAGCCTCAGGCGCTCAGGCGCTCAAGCCCCGACACCGCATCGGAACCGCCACTTGTGAATAATCTCCAGGTTGCTCCATTGTCCATCCACTTTTTGCTAGCAGACTCCCTCTTTCCCCTATTATCCTGTCCTTGCCAGTCTCCCTTCAGTCATTACAGCAGATTGTGGTATCTCAACCGGTTATGTCTCGCCGTCCTAACCCCGCCCAGGCGGCCCAGAACCAGCAGACTATCAAAGCTCTCTTGAAACTCGAAGCCAACAAGACATGCGCCGATTGTAAACGCAACAAACGTGAGTGTTCCTTGCGCTCAAACTCATGACCATCATTGCGCCACGGCCACTAATACTCTCTTGCTAGATCCACGATGGGCATCCTGGAACCTCGGAATATTCGTCTGCATTCGGTGTTCGGGCATACACAGGGGCATGGGCACCCATATCAGTCGAGTGAAGTCTGTGGATCTTGATGCGTGGACCGATGAACAACTTCAGAGCGTTGTTCTTTGGGGTAATGCGAGAGCGAATAAGTTAGCTTCCCGAAAAAATTGACTTTATGGATATGGTGGTCTAATACATCGGATAGGTACTGGGAAGCGAAGTTGGCACCGGGCCATGTTCCGTCAGAAGCGTGAGTGAAGCTTATGCCTTACACGCTACTCGTGAACTGCAATTGACAATAAACAGGAAGATAGAGAACTTCATCAGGACCAAATATGAATCTAAGCGCTGGGTTATGGACGGACCAATGCCCGACCCCTCAACATTGAATGCCGGAGGCGACGATGATGTTGTGAGTATCTTATCCTGTGCTTCGGCGTATACAGAAGCTAATGACCTAGCCTCTCGCTGTCGTCCAGGAAAAAGCAAAGATTGAACGCTCCGCTTCGCAAAGAGTGGCCGCGACCAGACAGCCGCCTGCAGTGCAACATCGTCCACAGGCGTCCATTGATCTCTTTGGTGATGACGATGTCGCTCCCCCGATCCGCCCCAGTACTACCGAGCCTTCAATTCGAGCTCCTCCCAAGCAGCCGCAGGCTGCTCCGAAACCCTCGCGACCCGGCGACTCCTTGCTCGGCCTCGATTTCTTTGGAAGTGCACAACCCGCAGCGAACAACCGTCCCGCCAGTGTTGCGTCTACGCCGGCTGGTGGGATGTCTAGGCCAGACCTGAAGCAATCGATCCTCTCTCTCTACTCCAAGCCGCAGCCTGCCGCACATGAGCGCACCTCTTCGTTCGGGGATCTGACTTCCCCGCCCCCGCAATCGACCTCTTCTTCCAACCTGGGCGGTCTGACCGACGCCTTCAGTGGCTTGAGCTTCCCCACTTCTCCCCCGGTTCAAAAGCCTGCAGAGAAGCCCTCCCCCTTTGCAGGTTTGACGAACTTCGCCAACTCCAAGTCGGCACCTGCAGCACCCAAGGTGACCTCACCTACAGCTTCAATTGGAAGCGCAGGCGGTGGCTTGTTCGACAGCCTGACATCCCCAACCGTTCCTCCCACAAAGCCGCAATCGCGCACTACATCTATATCATCCAACAGCCACGACTTCGGGGGATTCTCCAGCTTCCAATCTCCCCCGCCACCTAAGGCTAACCCTCCCTCGGCCTCCCTGTCCAACGACCTCTTTGGACTGTCCTCTCCCCCGCTTTCCACTGCTGCCGTCTCACCACCCCCAGTGCGCTCGCCGCCACAAGTGACATCCCCGCAGCCGGACCTAAGCTCTGCCTTCAATCTTAGCAACCCCGCACCCAAGCCAACTGTAGCGCCACCTCAGCCAGTAAGCACGACACCTCTCCCCAGTCTCAATGCCGCAGCCATCGATCCATGGGGTTCAAACGCATGGGGCACACCCGAGCCGGCCGCTCCCGCCGCCCCGCAGCCCTCCTCCATGATGAAACTTCCCGACACATTAACCGCCAACGACGTCGGCGCTGGTTGGGGCGCCCCCTCGGCAGCAGCATCCAAGCCCCCTGCGCCCTCTGTCGCAGAGGACGAAGACTTCGGCGGCTGGGCCAGTGCGGCCCCTATCTCTTCTACGACTACCACGAATGCGAACACTTCATCTAAACCGGCAGGCGGGTTTGGAGGATCTGATGACTTGTTTTCTAACGTTTGGGAGTAACCTAAGACTTACTCCCTCGTTCTTCGTTGCTTCTTGTCTTATCAAAACTGGCTACGGTAACTTGTCTTTTTGCGCTTTCCTTTTCTACTGGAGTTCTCTTTCCTAGTTGATATCTTCCCACGAAGTTTTCATGCTGTACATAATGCGGACCTTTTGTGTCTTTTAGACTCTGGCGCTAGCTCGCAATGTCACCGTATATCTTAATAAATACCCTGTGGAGGGAAATGGTCCGTCTTTCCTTGTACAACCCTGTTTCACAGTAATTTGAGTAAGGCATGATACAGACAAATGTCAGAAACGTTGACTATTATCATCACATAATATGTAACACGAAGTTGCCCGTCTTCCATTCGTACCATCGTAGACAGAAAGAAATAATAAGAGATAGTCAGTTATCAAAGAAGGGTATGGCTGACTGGGGTATAGAATGGCGCCTTGGGCAGGTCAAAATGCTAATAAGATCAAAGCCGCCGGTCGAGAGAAGGTGGTATCAGAAGCCAAGATAAATTAGAGAGAAGGAGTAAGGGTAAAAGAAATCGCTCGTGTCGAGAACAGGTCATACAGGACTGGGACTGACTTCAATCCTTAATCAGCCCCTTCAGGCTGGAAAACTCATCCTGCTGCGGCGTGATCACAGATTCCTGGGAAATCTTCGTCGTGACCTTGATCTCCGTCGGCGGCGACGTCGAGAGAAGGCTGATGTCTTTATCAAAGCGCTTGCCGAATGTATTCATGTGGTAACCGGGTGGGGGTTCATTGGTGCCAGCGGCGGACGCCTGGAACCCGGGGAAGTTCGCGCTTCGACTTCGGCCGTAAGGGTTTGTAGTGTTCTTGCTCTTGCCGGTGGAGAACAAGCGAGGGATAAGTTTTGAGATGAAGGCGCGGGTTGCGGGGAGACAGGCGCAGATGATGGCGGTGTTGCATTCGACTGCGGACCAGGTAGCTGCTCCTACGTTGTCGTCTAGAGGCTGTTAGCATTGAGACTTTTCCAGAGAGGGTGACGTGGGAAACCCACGGGTTGGATCTGTGGAGTCAGAAATAACCAAGAGACTCTGTAAACGGAGGATGCTGGTGACAAGCACGCTTAGGGCTAGTTAGCGGAGATGAGGGAAAGGACAGGACAAGGGACATACAAAGCACCCAGGGCAAAGACCGCCATGAGGGCGAACCGCTGCCGCCGCGGCAGCTGAAGGTTTTTGAGCACTGGCATAGGAAAGAGAAGGAGGGCGATATCGGTGAAGATATGGATTCCAGAGTTGGAGAACCATAGGGCTTTCTTATCCAAGCAGTAGCCATCGATGCTAGGGTCCCAGAACTTTGCGACTGGGACGCAATTCAGCCACGCGCTGATGAACGTCCAAGTTCCCCATACTCCGAGAAATCCGATTAAGCAATAGCACGCTACGCGCATGCGTGGGGTGGCAAAGACACGCTTGTACTGCAAAAGAATGGACGCCTTCGTGGTGATCAGGCTGGCTTGATATATGGGAACTGTCGCCCAGAAACACTACAGGAGATGCATGATTAGCACTCCTGACTAGCACAGACTGTTCATGGTCCCCGCGAGAGTACACGTACAATCATTTGTTTCCTGTATGTTTCCTCAGGAATGAGTTTATAATGCTCTCCCATGAGATACGCAGTTTCTAGGTGGAGAAAACTAGTGTTAACTTTGAGCTGTAATGTAGGCGCGAAATAAAGAGACAAACCTCCAACGAAGAGACCGAAGAAAGCCCAGCTGAAAAGCTGTGTAGGTAAGATTAGCGAAGCCCTTTCCAGCGGTGCGGCATTTCGAGTTCAGCAACATACAAGGGATATGATAATTGTCCAGTCATCCGACCCCATCTGTTTCACCATGAATGCTCTTGTATATATGCGGACTGCTGCGAGCGCGGTGGCCAGACAGGTGAAGATGGCACTGGTTGCCAACGCATGTCGACCGCGAGGTACGCCGAGAGCCATTACGACGCTCCTATGTCCCAGAAACTCGGATCGAACACGGGCGGCGAGGGCGTTATAAATCAGAGACCAGACACGGTCGAAGAGTAATCCGTACGCTCGGTAATGTCAGGAAAGTGGGATCAGAAAGACTTCATTCCCGTAGATCTAGACTGTTGAAATGAGGATCGAGAATCACCAGCGGCTCGAAGGCAAAGAGGGAGGGACATGGAGCACTAAGTAATGCAATCAAAACATTGCACACGGGCCACGGCCAGAAAGACAGCCAGTAACAGCCTCATGGAGTCATGATCCTAAAGAGATCGCCAAAGCCAATTAGTCTCAGTCCCAAGCCCAGATGACTAGCCGGAGCCACCGTTGCGGTGCCGCTAGTTCGAATTTAACCAATGTAGCGCTGGCTATTGAAATTAGTTGAATGATAGTATAGTCATGACGATGATAACAAGCGCCTACATGAGGACAGGTCTTGCTCATGGGCAAACCTAGTCATAGAGCCATAATCTTGCCGTTCCATATCACCAGCAGCAGTATAGCGTTCCGACTTTCGCCGGTTCCTCCTGGCCTACAGATGTGTGGAGATATCAAATGCCAGTTGCGGCACATAGCTAAATGGCATTAACCAAGGTAATGTTCGAGGTTTGTCTCCCGTCCTGATGTCGAGCGGCGAGTTGACCCGAAAGCGGGCGCCTAACTGCAAATGCAGTGTGGACTCGGTGGGCAATGGGCATATGACCCTGCGCTTGGGATCTGAAGATGGAGACCTCTCAAGCAGCTTTGTGCAAAGAGGGCACAGTGCTCTTCACAAAAAAGTTATGGACTCCCGGACCGTGTCCCGGTTATAGAGCATGGCAACTCCAGGCACCCGCGGAAATGTCAGTGCAGACTCAGAGAGAGAAAGTTTGGAATGATTCGATCAAGTGTCAAATCAGCAGTCAAGTACAGTTCCGAGTTAGTGACAATTGGGTAAAGGCAGGCGCATGTATACCCACAGGCAAGTACACAGACTCGCGGATTTGTCATGTGGAGTGGGACCCATGCCATATAAGGTCTATAATGCGAAAGAATACCCGCTAAAAAGGATTTCAACCATGGTATGGCAATATGACAGTTGAGCGAGACCTTTAGATGCTGACTCTCGTCATGATAGTCATACCGCAACGGCAGGATCTTTGGAACGACTGAATACCAATGTTAGCAACGCAGTGCTCAGAAGGATGAATAAGGCTTTGATGGTAATTTGTTAGCGCACTTTGAATCGAGCGGCGTCTGAGCGCTAGTAATAATATAGGGGATCTCATAGTGATGCTTGACTCTTTGATAGCGTCACTCTTAGCGTGAGCACTGGTTTCCTGACTCGCTAAAGGATGAGCGCCTACGCCAAGGATAGCACAGCACGCACCTGGATTTGGGATTGGGATTTGGGATCTGAAGGCGTTCGCGGGCCAACTTCCGCACGGTTTAGCGGCGTCGATCTCCTTCGTGGAGACGTCCGAGACGAATGCGAGCACGAGTCTGGGATCTGCATTGGGGACAGCAAGTGATTCCGCAGCAAGCCCAGCAACGGTTCGGACCCGGGGCACGATGTACGGAGTATTTGTTAGTGGCGATTCATGACTCTCCTGGAGCGCAGGGTGATGAGACGAGTCAAGAGGAGTCGTGGCTCGTGTTTGTACTCCGGAGTTGAGAGCATGAGAAAAGGAAAGACCGCTGACAGCCCGAGGCCTCTTTCTTGGGACTTGTATAGTGATCAGCCGCTTGCCGTGGTAACTCGATGCGAAAACAGCTACCACGGGTCAACGCGATGGTCTGGATGGCTGGTCACGGCGTCACGTTGGTCAAGCTGTTCAACAGTCAACTACTCCAGCACTGAGTCAGGCGGAGATTACTCGTCCAGAGCCGGGGTAGTAGATCATTCAGCTAGGTGGAGAGCCCTTATAATTTATCAAGTTACAAGCGGTTCCGGCCGCGGCGCCGTAGGCGCCATTAGCGGCCCTTATCTTCCCGATTGTCGGCCGCAAGTAAAAGCTTAAACAAATATAAATAAAAACATATTTATTAAGAAACCGTAAATTAAAAAAATATTTACCGCATAAATACACGTCCACGGGTACTAGGGAATAAAAAGACATTATAAACACCTACTAAAAGGTGGCTAAACTACCCACGGGCCTTAGGGTCTAGTAAAATAAAAATATTTAATAAATACTTAGCTATATACTTATTAACCTAGGTTAGTTAATTTATCCTGCTTATAAAAAATATATATCACGCCTAAATACCTATACTAGGCAGTTGTGGGCCGCGGGAGCTGCTTTTAAATAAGATTATAAGGCTAAAAGTTTAATTTTATTTTCTTCCCTTTAGGGCGTTATATATTATTAGGTAAAAAAAAGGTAATACCTAAAAAAAATAAAGTAGCGCTGTTAAAACTTTAAGCTAAAGCCTTTTATTATTTATGGGTATAAACCTAAATAAAGCTATTTAAAAATACTTTTAATATAGGCTGTAGGTAGTACCCTAAGTAAAAAACCTTAAGTATTTAGCCTTTGTGCATAGTAACTTTAGGAAAATGCTAAGGGCTAATTAATATTACTAATAAATAATATTTAATAGTATACTATAGGCGCTATTAAAGTACTAATACTTAAAACTAATTTTAGCTAGTAGGGATTAAAGTAACCCTACTATATAATATACTTTATTAACCCTAAAAAGGGTATAAAAAAAACAAAGCTTAAATATCTTAAATACCTTATACTAGCATAAGCTAGTTCTTACCTAGGAAAGGTTTAGCTTGGCTAGCCTATTTAAACTTAAAGGTAGCCCTTATAGTATAACTAGTACTATTAGGGGCTGTATATTATAAAGGATATTACACGCTATTTTAAATAATATATTTAGTAAATAAGGGGCGCCTTATTTACTTGGATATAAGATACTAATACCTATATTACCTTTTATTTTAATAATTATGGGATACTAGTACCTATATTACCTATTATTTTAATAATTATATATATACTACACACACCATACACTATTCTTATTAGATTAGTTTATTAGATTAATTTACTATAATAGTAAGGTAAAACCTAAAAGCCCTACTAAGCAAAAAATAATACCGCAAGGTTAAAGCCCTAAACCCTTAAAAAAAAATATAACCCGCTGGTAGCAAAGCACCTAAAGTAAATTATTAAGCCTTTAAAAAATATTATAAACTTGGATAATGGCTAAATTAACCTAAAATAAACTATTAAGCAAAAAATCTAAAGAAAAACTATAAACCTAAATAATGGCTAAATTAACCTAAAACACACTGTAATAGCAAGAAAAATACTATAAAAATTATTTAAAACCTTGCTTAAATTGCGCCTATAAAAGCTAATTAAAAAAGGCCTTTTTATAATACACCTACGGGAGTATTTAATAGGCTTTGCTTAAAATAACATACCTAAAAGTAATATTTAGGCATTACTATTTAAAAAGCTCCCCCGGGAGCATCTTAAATAGCCTGTTTAAAATACGCCTTTAAAAGCAACTTAGGCAAAGACACCTACCCGGGAAGCACCTTTAAAAGCACCTTAGGGCTATTAGGCTTGGCCTAAAATTAGTAATAAAACTGCTTATAAAACCGCTATTAAAGCCACCATGCATGTATTATTTAGGTAGCGCCTTTAGGGGTAATTTAAATACTTGTTTAGGTAGTGCTTTATGCCACTTAAATACCTATTTAGGCAGTGCTTAATACTACTTAAATACCTGTTTAAATAGTGCTTAATGCTATTTAAATACCTGTTTAAGCAGTGCTTTTGTTACTTAAATAGTTTATTTAAAATACGCCTTTAAAAGTAACTTAGGCGGAGATACCTACTTAAAAAGCACCTTTAAAAGCACCTTAGGACTATTAGGCTTGGCCTAATATTAATATTAGCATTGCTTGTAGTATTAGTACTAAAGCCACCGTGCATGCACTTTTTTAAGTATACTAAAGTAATTTATTATTAAATGCTAAGCTTTAGTATATTTTTTAAAAGCTAAGTGCCTACTTTTTTATTTAAAAACTAATAATAACAAATCACAGGGACAGACCAAAGTTTAAGAAAAAAAAAAAGGTAAGTTAAAAAATAAATATATTAAGTTAATATTAGCCTGGGTACTAATTAATACTAGGATGCCTATTATTAAAAGGTACCAAGGCATAGACTAATAAAATAAAAGCCTAAAAAAAAGCCTAAAAAAAAAGCCTAAATATAAAAGAAGCCCAAATATAAAAGCCTATTAGTAAAAGCCTATTTAGTAAAAGCCTATCTAGTAAAAGCCCATATAAATAATAAAAAACTAAACCCTTAAATACTTGGACACTTAAGTAAAAAAAGCGGAGGTAAATAGGGTAAATAAGGTAAATAATTTTAGGGATAAAAAAAAAGTTAAAATATAAGCTTACTATATATGTAGCCTATGGACTTTTTTAAGCTAGTTAGCTAATAATATATTAAATAGTATTAAAAATAAAAACACCTTTTATAAACACCGTGCTTTACTACTACGCACTAGGATAATATTAACTAAGTACCACTAAGTAATTATTTACTTTTTATTCCTAGACCTTTTCTTCGCGGGGGGAGCCTTATTTATAAATTTATTAGTATTTAGGTTAAATTTAAACCCCAACACCTTAAATCCCAAGGACTTAAATAAATTTATTTTTAATTTTTTTAACTTAAAGCTAAAGGCCCCAAAAAAAAAATTAACCTTATTTTTATGCCTTGCTAATATTATTAGAATAGCCTTTAATATAAACTAGGATTAAGGTGCTAAATTAAACTAGGAAAAAAAAAAGTATTTACTAGTAAAGGCCTTAGCAATACTATTTTTAGTAGTAATAGTATTATTTACAGGCATGGTACTAGTAATAGTATTATTTATTAGCATGTTATTACTAGGAATATTAAGGCTATTATTATTAAAATTTAGCCTAGTAACAAGGGGGTAACTATTACTAG